TATATTTAATGTTGAATTATTATTACTTTAATTATATTATCATTATATAATTAATTATTATTACTGTTATATTTATTCTACTGTGCCATTATAATCACAACTACCAAACTTCTCATTGTAGAGCACAGGAAATGGCCTTTCTTTCCGTGTGTAATATAGAAAAAGCACACGTAAATGTGTTCTCCAAAGGTAGATTTTGCGCTCCCTTCTCCGCTATTTCTCTCACGGTTAATGCGTAAACGAAACGGATGGCCAACGTGACCTCCGGGCCAACTTGACCCGGCTTCCTTTACTTGAACTCCGGCACTCCCTCGCATTCTCTTTTCTAGGGGCGTTATTCATAGCCGGATCTTAAATTTCAGTTCTCCTTGAGTTCATCTTCAGATGCTGTGTAGATTGTCTTATTGCATACCTGAAGATGAGACAAGCCTAAATACAAGATCCGACGAGGCACGGAAAAAAACAACTCTATTAGCGGTGATGTAATGTATCTTGTTACACGTATCCAATTACAATATCCAGATATTTATTGCGTATCTCTGCGTGTAACTAATTACGTTTTCCAGCTCAGTAATTGTAACCGTAACTAGTTTCATGTTTCTCGCGCGTGTGTATCTAAAATCTCATTTCAGATAGCGATACATTCGGTGACTTCACAATATCGTGTCAAGTTTATCTCATTGACTTGAGAGCAAGAGTACCTTTAAAGTTTTCGAAAAACAGACCTTTGATTCTTTACACAATTGCAGAAAAAAAAACTATCTCCCCTGTGTATTTTGAATCTCGTCGCATTTTAAGATTCCAAAGATGTTCTCGACGGCAATAGAAATGCGGAAATAAGAGTCGCATAGAATCATGCGGCTGTTCCGCCTGAACCGGACAATTCCTGTGTGAAACCGTGAAGAATTTTACAACCGTTCATGTAAATCAATGTTATAAAACGCGAACTCCACATTGTTCTTGGAAGCATTTATCAAGATGCTGAGTGTAAAACGTGTGACCAAACGATAACATCTAACATTTTATTGTCTCTGCATAATTCAGAGTTTGGAGTGGCTATTAAATTTGCAATCTATGTTAAATAAATATTAATCTATATTAAATATCCAAGTCTAAGTTATACTTATATCAAATACATGTTATAATCTATAAATGTTAAATTATAATTTATATTTTTACATCTGTATAATTTTCCAATTTTCTTAATTTATAAAATGCATTGAAATATACTGGAATTTTTGAAAACATTGTCTTCGTTTAATAGATGCTTGAAAACTACTTACGGTGAATCTAAATGCATTCACATAGTTGTAAAATTGATAATCTATACATCTGTATAATTTTTTATTTGTATTCACATAGCTATTCATTTTACAATCTATACGTCCGTATAATTCTTCATTTCTTTTTAATTTGCAAAATGCAATGGAATATATACCGGTATTTTTGAAAGATCGCCTTCGTTTAACAGATTCCTGAAAACTACTTACGATGAATCTACAATCCAAATTATTGGCTGTTAAATTTACAATCTATACATCTGCATAATTCTTGATTTTCTTAATTTACAAAATGCAGTGAAATATATATCGGACTTTTCGAAAACATCGTCTTTATTTAACAGATGTTTAAAAACTACTTATGATGAATCTAAAAGCACCTTCATAGCTGTTAAATTTACAATCTATACATCTGTATAATTTTTCATCTTTTTCAATTTACAAGATGCAGTGAAATATATACCGGGATATTTGAAAACATTCGCCTTCAGAAGTTTCATTCAAGCGTTTAACAGACACTTGAAAGCTACTTATGATATATCTAAATAAATCTACTTAGCATCTACATTTGCACAAAATATATTTACGTGTGTCCTATTTTATTGTAATTATTTATTGTATTATTATCGCACCCAGTTACCTCAGGAAGTGTATTCGTTACAACTAGAGTTGCCAGATCTGAAAGTTAAAATTACCGGACATTTCTTCTTTGGTAACAAACCCAAACCGGACTAAACCGGACAGAAATAATAATCATAACGTTACATTACATACAAAATATGACAAGAATTTATTTACAATATTAATTTCCAAACAATTTTATAAACAAGATTTGATTGAATAAAATCATAAACTATTACTTTTTTAATATATATGGAATGATGAATCGGCAGATCATTTACTAAATGGCTTTTCGTGGCGCCCGGTCGTTTGCAGGCGCTTGAAACGGAGAAACTAAGTTGCTAAAATCTGACCTCTCATTCCATTGATTGGATATAACTTAAAAACTGGACGTACGACGTCCGGTTTGACTTATTAACCGGATACTGGACAAGACTTCTGAAAACCTGACAGTCCGGGTCACAACCGGACAGTTGGCAACCCTAGTTACAACCACTCTCTGTAACTGAATTCTCCGCCTCCTGCGGGCCAAACGAGGCCTCGTTTGCAGAAGCAGAGAGATACCTGTAGGAAGTTCCTACTCGGTCAACAGCTCTCAGTTATCGCATCCGAGTTGCAATACAGCTGTACATTGAGACCAATGTTTCCCCCCGGTCATGATAACAGACATAATTTCCCACCACCGCGTTCGTCCCCATTCTGTCCGGCCCGCATTCAATTACACACACAAACTGCAATTTCTCCTCCATGAGAATATCGCCCGGAGACGCTCTCCGCGCGGCGCGGCCCGGCCGGTGGAGAGCGCGCGAGGAGAAAAAAGCCGCGGAAAATCATTAGATCTCATGGCTAACTCGATCTCCGACATTTCGCGATTATCACGGGCGATTATCAGGCGCTTCGCTGAAATCACGTGTCCATTAATCGCCCGATGCTCGAGCAGCCGGACGTTCCCGAGCGTGAAGATTGCGTAACGCGCATTTTTCTGCCGTCGTCTCGCGCCGCTGCGCATCTCGCGGGGCTAATCCGCGCGTGTATGATCGACGTTTTGTCCGAGAGCGGAGCCTTGAATCACTCAGCGCCTCGGCGCGCGGTGCTCAGAATCCGACATAAGGGAACGAAGCTTCCCCGCGGGGGTCGATGTACCCGAAAGAGCGGCGCCGAGGAGTCGCTTGTCAAGCGCTGACGAGCGCGTCTCCGCGCCGACGATGCCGCGCGGCGTTCCATATGTCTAATGGCTCCGCTCGGACTTGTTGCGGCGGTCGCTTATCATCTCAACATCTATCTATCGGGAAACGAAGCGGCGAAGCGATCGTCCGCAGATGCCGCATCGATAGGCCCCGCCGCGTCTCTCTCTCTCTCTCTCTCGCGCGCGCGCGCTTCCGCGCTCGGTCATGCTTGAAGAGGCGCCGCGCCGCGCCGGCCGACACTCGTCGCGCGAGTGCGTGTACCGCTAGACGAAATGTTATGAATTTTCCACGCGATCCCGCGCGAGAGCTCTCCACTCAACCGAGCGTTATCCCGCGAGTCCCGACACTTTGGGCATTTTTTCGCTCATCCGCGCATTCCGTGCCGCCGCCGCTGGTACCGTTAACAGGATTACCGTACTGCGCTGCGCTCTCGCTCGTATTTATTAGGCCCACTCATATTATTCAGCGATGAGTCGCACGCGTCCTGCGATTCGCCGCGCCAGAAAACAGCGAGCATATATATATATATATATATGTATATATATTTATATATATGTATGCCAGGCGGAAGTGAAATACCGCGTCGCGTCGCGTCGCGGCCGCGCGAGGGGAATTGTGATGCCGGCGACGCGGACGAGTCCATCGTCGCAACTCGCGTGCATCCTACGCACGTGGCGAACGCGGCCGCGGGGGGCGCGGGGACGCACGGTGAGAGAGTCCTGCGTGCCGAGGCGCGGCGAGGAGAGCCGCCGACTGACGACTGACGGTAATTTAGAAGAGACCCGAGCAAAACATTGGTTAGAGCCATCCTCATGAAGCATAAAACCCCGATAAGGCTGAAAGTAGGATGCTCTAAAAAGGGATGCCTCATTATTATCTCATGAGGCCCCGAGATGGATCTTTTAGGGATATCTTAGATTTAATAAATAAGACTTTGATAGGGATAGCTGAGAGGGGCCTTGGAAGGATTTTTTAGGGATGCCTTAGGTTTAATAAATAATAAGCTTTGATAGAGGGAAAACTGATAAGGACCTTGGAAGAATTTTTTAGGGATGCCTTAGATTTTACGAAATAACGCCTTAACATGGAATACTGATGTGGGCGTTAGAAGGATATTTTAAGGATGCTTTAGATGTGCAAAATCAAGAAGGATTTTTTTAGGGATGCTTTAGATTTAATAAATAAAACTTTGATAAAGGGAAAGCTGGAAGGACCTTAGAAGTATTTTTTAGAGATGCCTGAGATTTTACAAAATAACGTTTTAATATGGAAAGCTGATGTAGGCCTTAGAAGGATCTTTTAAGGATGCTTTACATATACAAAATCAAGTTTTGTTGTAGAAAATTAATAAGATCTGAAGCGTGTAATAAAATTGTCATAGTTTAATATTATTTTAGATACGCTCTATCTGGTTCTTTTAAAGATTTTTTTAATTATACCGCAATTAAAAACAAATTTTATTAGTTTTATGAGTTACCGTATTCATTAATCTGTTCCAAGGATTTTACTAATATTGCCTTCGTTTTGAAATGCAATAAACTTTAATAAACACAGTAGCAGGATTTTTGTGTATAAAGAATGCTATATTTTATTGTAAAGTATGCTGTGTTTCTAAAATAAAAATTCTTGTGTTATACACTAATAAAAGATTATAAAGAAACAAAGAAATTACAGTCTAAATTTCTTGGAATGAAAAGAACGAATATTTTTACTTAAGCAATAATAAAAATATTTTCTAATAAGGCCCTAATAATATCGTCTTAATAAGAACCCGTCAAACCATTTGTTACATATCTTAGAGGGTCCTTCTATCTCTAACAGAGCCTGATTAATGTTAGGGAAAAATAATCAGGCTCTTGCCGGAGTTCTACGTATGAATTTTTCTACTCGGGGATTTGCGATTTGCTTGCAGAACGACTACTACCTGCCAGCGCGATCGACCTGGTCCAGGGTTTCGACGGCGCGAATGAACAGCAATGCGACGTGGAGGTTCGGCAGCGCTATGTTAATTATATACGCGATGTTGGTGCTGGTCGCGGTGCTGGCGATAGCTGGACTGGCTCTGTGGATGGGCGGTATGTCGAGCGTTTGTTTCTTCATCTTGCGGCGAGCTGGCGATGTGAGTCGCTGTCAGTGTGGACACTCGTGTCTTGGAGATATACCTCGAAAGTGGCGCCATCTATAAACAAAATGCTATCGCTGTTTTATGTCCCCCTTCAAACCAAACAAGTTTTGTCTAAAACATTTTTTGATTTAACACAGTGTTTCTCTTGATATTTGAGTGAATACTTTAAAATGGAACACCCTATATATTCGCGTGATGATATGCTCAAGTTTAAAGATAATGAGGAGATATGTCTAATTAAATGCTGAAATGCACCATGAAAAACATCTTGAAATGCTCGAAAGTAAAAATGCGTTATAAAAAGTGCCAGCTATCGCGTATTGATATATTAGCATCACTGCGCTAACGGTGAACTACTAAACAAATGACTCCATAAATAATAACTGGAATTCGCTACCTACCCTAGATATTGAGAGTGGCCGTAATATCTACAAGGGCCTTAATACCACCTTTTTGTCTATATATACAGGGTGTCCGGGATCTTTTGGAAAGGAAAAATTGTGAAGATTAATCAGATCAAACTGAAAAAAAATCACGTACCATTTTGCAAAAATCGTTATAATTATTAAGTTATTAATGATTGAAAATGATCACATCTCTTTTAAAAGGCTTTTGTAATTGATATTGAATTTGGAAATTTGCATGCTTATTTGCAAAATGGTAAAGGATTTTTTTCTTCGGAATGACCTAACTTACAATTATACAAGGTGTGTAAAAAGTACCAAAACGGTGAAATATCTCGAAAACAAAGCAGAGCCATTTAGAAAAAAATATTTCAGACAAAAATGGTGTGATTTCAAGGGAGACATAAAACAACTATATCATTTTGTTTACAGATGGCGCCACTTTCAAAATATTCACTCGTCATTACTTTCCGTAAACAGGAATCCCAATTGTTTATTATATCATCTTTTTCTACCAATTAATTTGAACAACTTTTATCTGAAACATTTTTTTGTTTACCTATATTTTTTGAGATATTTAAGGAAAACTTGGTAACTTTTTCAATATTTAACTTTCGATATCCCGCTTTGTCGAAAGAAAAAGTGATACTAGACTTTTCTACTCTATTTGGTCTCAAGAATATATTGTTACAATAGTGCCCTAACTTTTGTCAATTTATCGATCTTTAGAAATTTTTGGAAAATCATAAAATTAATATAAGTCATTTTCAAGTCATTAATAACTTAATAATTAACTTGCGATTTTTGCAAAATGGTATGTGACTTTTCTTCTTAGTTTGATCTGATTAACCTTCACAATTTTTCATTTCCTAAAAATCCCGGATATCCTGTATATTAAATAAGTAATAAATATATTAAAAATATTAAAAATAAGTATATTAATTTCTAATATACTTGATATATAACTTTAATTATTTTTAATATTTAATATACCAATTAAATCGTATATTATATTAATATATGATTTAATTAATATATTAAAATCTAGAAGTATGTATTAAAATGTATTAAAGATATTGAAAATAAGTATATTAATTTCTAATCCATTTGATATATGATTTTAATTATTTTTAATATTTAATATACTAATTAAGTCGTATATTATATTAATATATAATTTAATTTAATATATTAAGATTTAATATATTAAAATTCATATAAGTATACAATGATGCATTGACGATTAATTGCGACCGGTAACGTTTCAGCTCTCCGAACAGATTCCAAGAATGGTGAGTTCCTCGCGTTCGCGTGTTAGCAATAACGATAAGCGTAATGTTCGCAAAATCTCACGTGCCTCTCGTCGATCGTTGCAGTTATCGTCGGGTTTTCGTGCAGCTTCAGGATAGCCAGGGGTGAAAGGTACAATCCTATGTTGAAGCTGAACACGAGCATGGTCTTCCGCGAAAAGGAGCGTAAATTCAAAAATATCGTAAGTAGGAAGTATCTTCAGGTCGCGTCTCACTGCGAGGGACGAAGACGTGCAGCTTGGCATTAAATCCTACTCTACTCCCCTTAGTTCGAGCTTCTATTTAGGAGAAGCGTCCTCGGCTCGTCCTACAAGCGAACGACGATAGACAAGTTCGAGAACGGGACGCTGAAGGTCTTCTTCAGGCTGTACCTCGACCGCAGGAAGATACCGCGCTCGATTACGAACGTCGAGGACACCATACAGGACATCATCGTGAAGGAAGCGTACTCGATATCATCTCTGTTCAAGGACATGGAACTGGATCTCACGAGCGTGTCGGTGAAAAGTAAGTAGCGCCTTCCGCAGTTCGAGTAAGCTGAACTTTTTTTCCACGGAAAGCGTGTCGAGAGCGACACAGCCGCTGCTTCGCTTAATGCGACACTTTTTGCCGCAGAAATCAGCCAGGAAGGTAGCGCGAGCTCGAAGCAGGGGCAGCAGAAGCACACGATGATCACGAAGAACGGTCTGCTGCGGCCGAACAGAAACGGCAGCCTCATCACGAGTTCGAAGCCGAAGACGAAGCCCGTGAAGCTCGACGCCGGCGAGCCCGACATAGACTTCAACAACATTCCGACCATCCAAGGCACTTACCGAGCGACCAAGGTTAACATCACCGCGGAGAACTCGACCAAGGGGACGACGACCGAGTCGATAACGGATGTTCAAGCCACCACCAAGGGACGACCGTTGACGTCCGCCACGAGAGAATCCGAAGAGGAGTCGAGCGAAGCGCCGGCCACGAGCACCAGCAGGACAACACCGAGCACCACGACCGCCTGGAGCCCGGACCAGGACGTCTTCAAGGACGTCTTCCACAAACCCGACCTGGAGACCTCGCCGTGGAAGCCGATCGTGCCGACGCACGTCAACACGGAATTCAAGCTGCTGCCCGACGACAACAATAGCACCGAGTCGAGCACACGACACGCCATTTCTCCAGCGTCCAGCGATGGAAGCGCTCAGACTGGAAGCGGCGCATCGCCGTCGGCGATGCCGGGTCTACCGTTGGAGTCGCTCAAGTTCCGCGACGTACCCGGCATGAGCACCTTCGACAGCGACGACGCGGACTTCCCGCGCGACAGAGTCGTGCCGAGCTCGACGGTGTCCAGACTGGACGACGACCTGGAGATCGAGGTGGCCGGCCAGCTGCCTCCGGAGACCTACAGTGTCCGACTGAGGGCCTCATCGAAACGCGAGGACAGCGACGCTGCCAGCTCGGAGACCTCGACTCGACAGACCTTCGGGAATGCTTCGTCGCAAGGCAAGCGGGAGGAACCGAGCGCCACCCGGCAACCGGAATCGGCGACGCCGACGATGTCCACGATGACAAACGGGTTCAGCGACGAGACCGCGAGCAAGTCTCCGGACACCAGCGGCATCGGCGTGGCGGAGCCCGTGCTGGACGCGGAGATCGAGCTGGAGGCGAAGAACCGCTACAGCGAAGTGCCGGCAAGCAAAGCCGACGAGGAAGACGCGCTGCGCAACAGGAAGGTGGACGTCGAGCCGCAGCGACCTGTCTACACCAGCTACAACACTCCCGACCTGAATGGCGGTAGTCTCAGCTCCAGCCTGATCCGAAACTCGGCGACCATGAAGCCCTTCAGGCACACGATACCCGTCGACAAGATCACGTCCGTCGTGAATTACAGCAGCGACTTTCCCGTCCGCGACGCGTTCCTGCCGGAGGTTCCTCTCGACGCGGACGAGTCGCCTCGGGACAAGAACGCGTCGTCGTTGGCGAACTTGGAGAGAGTCGTCCAGGTGGAAACCTTCGTGAAGGCACAGCACGACGACGAGACGATGGTCCAGCTGCCGCACTACGGACGAGTCACGTCGACGGACTCGAGCGACGACGAGCTGGCGGCGCGGCCGAGCAGCACGGAGGTCTACTCGGAGCCGAGCCCGAGCGCCAAGGACGGCGTCCTTGAGAAGAAGAGCGTGTCGAGGAACTCGACGTTCGTGGAGATCGACACCGTCAAGCACACACCCAGCGAGTCGGAGGAGAGCTGGGAGCCGTACGGGAGTGAAGTGGCGCCGGCGGCGGCGGGCGACGAGGGCGACCTACGGAAGAAAGTCTACAACGACACTTTGAAGGCCTACGTGGTGGAGAACCTGGTGACCTTAGCTCCAGTCAAGAGTAACACGGGCGTGGGTAGGCCGGTGCGGCCGCGGCCAAAGATCGAGTCCTTGACTGAGGACTCGAGCCTGCTGGAGCAGCTGTTTGGCGTGCGCGATTACTCGCGCGAGAGGCACGCGGTGAACGGCTCATCCGAGGATTCCAGCACCTCGTCGCTCGAGACGACGACGCAACCTGATCGCCTGAGGTTCAACGAGGAGGAGACCTCCACCGGCAAGAACACCGTGATTGAGCAGATCGTCGAGGTCGTGACTTCCATCAGCACCAAAGTGTCGTCCAGCATCAAGGGCGACCCGGTGGTGCTGAAGCTCATCGTCGGCAATTCGACCGCCCTGCCGCTCATTCGCTCGGAGAAGACCTCCACGTCGGACAAGGAAGAGGACAGGTCGTTCGGCACAGTCGCCGACACGACGGAGAAGGTGTCGTCCACGCTGAGCCAGCAACGACCGTTGCCTCTGTCGTCGGCGAACCTGAGAACGATGCAGACGTCGGACAGGAAGATCTCGGCGCTCGAGGAGGAGAACAGGATCCTGCTGGAGAAACTGAAGCAACTCGCTGAGATCAGGACGGACGGCGATTCTGTGCAGGTCGCGAGGAACGGCTCGAGCAACGACGCGACGATGTCGGGACCGCTTCAAGGTCCCGACGCGCCGTCGCCGAACATCGATGAGCTGAAGAAGATCGCGGACGTCGCGGTCGGCAACGAGACGCTGAAGAACGCGAGCTCGGGGGTCACGCTGAGTCGTGACGGCGTGGAGGTGTTCACGAAGGTGCTGAACAAACTGGAAGATCGGGCGAACAAGACCACGTCGATGACGCGAACGATCGCCAACGCTGCTCCCGATGGTATAACTGTTGTTGAAGCGCAGAAAGATTCCGTGTTGGAGACTTCTACCTGTCGATTCCCCTCATTTACCTCAAACGAGTTTGAAGACAGCTGAATTTTCAGACGAATGTTTTCGGTCGTGATGACACAGACTGCTTGCCGTCACCGAGTTTTCGCGTGGCCCACGTCACACGTATTGAGCTTTGCCTGTGCGCAAAAAATCAATTTTACTGTGGAATAAATTCGGTCACATGAAGAGGACGGCCGTAGACCGTGTAATTTTTTCAATAATTGCCAAATAGTGCGTTTTTAACTAGTAATTATCAAAGATAATTGACAGCTATACTAGTTTATGTGCATATACTAATAACATCGAAATAACAATATTGTGAATATTCTATCATGGCCATCTCTTACCCGAGTTTATCCTGACTACCCTAATTTGCCTGGAAAGAATAAAGACAAAATGGAAAACTTGCAGAAGTACTCTTGTAGGAGGTTTTTAACCGGCCAACTGTTTCAAAAGTTATGTTGACCGAGTTTTAACACAACTGAATGCTCAAATCAATTTTGTCGGTCAGGGTAACAAACTCACACAACACTTATGTTTAAAAAATATTTTTAAAATATTCAAAAGACGTCTAAAAAAGTAGGACGTCTTCTACTACGTCTTTAAAACGTGCGTATCAGTTTTAACACAGCTGAATACCCAAATGAATTTTGTTAGTCACGGTAACAGACTCACGTAACACTTATGTTTAAAAAACGTCTTAGAAATATCCAAGAGACCTCTAAAAAAATGGGACATCTTCTATACGTTTTTAAAACGCGCTTGTTGCATGTCAGTTTTAATGCAGCTGAACACTTAGACAAATTTTGTCCATCACGGTAACAAATTCACACAAAACTTATGTTTAAAAAATGTCTTAAAAATATCCAAGAGATGTCTAAAAAAGTAGGGCGTCTTTTATACGTCCTTAAAACGTCGTTAATACATCTGAACGTTCGGATGAATTTTATCGGTCACAGTAACAGACTTACACAACATTTATGTTTAGAAAATGTCTTAAGAATATCCAAAAGGCGTCTAAAAAAGTAGGACGTCTTCAATATGTCTTTGAAATATGCTTGTTGCGTGTCAGTTTTAATACAGTTGAACACTCAGACAAATTTTTTCGATCATGGTAACAAATCTACACAACACTATGCTTATGTTTAAAAAATATCCGAAAGACGTCTAGAAAAGTAGGGCGTCTTTAAAACGTCTTGAATACAACTGAATACGCAGACGAATTTTGTCGGTCAGAATTTTGTCGGCCATGGTAACAAACCCTTATGTTTAAAAAATGTCTTAAAAATATTCAAGAGGCGTCTAAAACAGTAGGGCGTCTTTTACACGTCTTTAAAACGTTTTTAATATAGCTGAACGTTCAGATGAATTTTATCGGTCACGGTAACAGACTCACATAATACTTATGTTTAAAAAATGTCTTAAAAATATCCAAAAGAATGTCTAAAAAAGTACGTCGTTTTCTACACGTCTTTAAAACGTCGTTAATACAGCTGAACGTTCAAATGAATTTTATCGGTCACGGTAACAGACCCACATAATACTTATGTTTAAAAAATGTCTTATGAATATCCAAAAGAACGTCTAAAAAAGTAGGGCATCTTTTACACGTCTTTAAAACGTCGTTAATATAGCTGAATGTTCGGACGAATTTTATCGGTCACGATTTCAGACCCACATAATACTTATGTTTAAAAAGTGTCTTAAGAATATTCAAGAAGTGTCTAAAAAAGTAGGGCATCTTCTACACGTCTTTAGAACGGCTTTAATACAGCTGAGTATTCAGACGAATTTTGTCGGTCACGGTAACAGACCCACGCAGAAACGCTCGTGTTTAAAAAATGCTCCTGAAATGTCCAAGATATTAAAAAAAAAAAAGTAGCACGTCTTTTGTGCATCTTGAAGACATGTTTGTTGCGTAGAGAGATATTCCGCATGACTCACTTTTCACGTCCGGCCGTTATTCAGTTGTACGAATCGAGACCTTTTTTCCGCGTAGATTCGAAACGTCCCAGACAGCACACGGATGTCCATTGGACGTCCATTATACGTCCATTTTTTTACAAAAGACGTCCATAGGACATACGTTTGTCACAACTTCGGACATAGGACGTCCAATGTACGTCCATCGGACGTCCTACAGGTCCGATGTCCAATAAGGACATCCTTGTTACGTCCAATTTATGTCCACGGACGTAAATCGGATATACGGACATAAATTGGACGTGAAACGTATATCCGGACACATTGGATATCCGGTGCTGTCTGGGGTAGAAGTCTCTCCGAGCGGGCGGAATGAAGCACCGGTCTGATTTGTACCCTGTGTGTTTCTCCAGATAACTGCGCCGGCTTTCTGTGCCGAGACGGAAAATGCCTGGACTCGAGCGCGATGTGCAACATGCTGGTGGAGTGCTCCAACTCTGAGGACGAAGCCAACTGCACGTGCGCCGACTTCCTGCGGACGCAGTTGCTGTACCGTAAGATCTGCGACGGCATCGTGGATTGTTGGGACTACTCGGACGAGAGTGATTGCGGTACTGTCTGCTTTTTGGCTCGTCGGCCGCCTCTAACTCGGGAAATAACTGACTCTTCGGGCTGTTTCTCCCGTCAGTCTCTCACACCATTTGATCTCATCTCCAGATTATTGCCGTAAGGGGCAATTCGTGTGCGGCAACACAAAGTCCTGCGTCGACTCGGACAAGGTATGCGACGGCTTCAGCGACTGCGCCGGCGGCGAGGACGAGAAGAAGTGCACAGCCCTGATAGACGACGAGCCGGAGGGAGACATGGAGGTCATCGTTTCCACGAGAAACACCTCGACGGACTACTCCGTTGAGTCGGGGCGAACGGCAAAAGAGCCTCACTTTGATCAGGAAGCTGTCGAGTCGTCCATCGTGGGCACGACCACGTTGTACGATCTCCCCGGTGATGTCCGGGCCGAGAAGCTGACGGACGAAAACGGCGACTTGTCCAAGTCCGAGTCGACTGATCAGCGAGCGACGCTCGGGAACAGAGACGAGGATGAGGAGAACGGTAAAATCACGGTCGCCGTTTCCAGCAGAGAAATCTCTTCGAATCTCCTACGAAATGGCTTAACTCCCGGTAGCGGCTTGCGTGCCGAAAGTAATCGTACTTTCTCGATAGCGACGGCTACCGTCCCTCGCGGCGAGGTCGACAGTTATAACGACAACGGCTACCTGAGCATACGCAAAAATGGCAAGTGGGGGAAGCTCTGTTTGAGCGACACAGACAGCATTCTCCGGGAGCGGCAAGCTGCGTGGTCCATCGAGGACCTCGCCAAGGCCGCGTGCAAGGCCATCACGTACCAGTGAGTGAAGAACCAACATCGTTCCGATCGGAAGGAAATGATTCCTCTTCATGCTGTCGCGACCGGCGAATCTCCCGCGCGTCCGGTCTCTCTCTCTCTCTCTCTCTCTCTCCCTCTTTCATTCCGGCAGTCCCCCTCTTCCGGTTCCTCTCAGCTTTCTCGCGGTATTTCCTTCCGACTTTACGAGGACAGACAAACTCGTTCAGTTAAACTGACCAAATCCCATTTGCTCGCAGAGATTACGAGATGGCGGAGAAAGTGCTGGACCAAAATCCGCCGCCAAACAGCTTCTATTACTCCCTGTCGCACAACGACAAGTCGTCGGACAGGACGGCTCTGTCTTTTAAGTCGTCCGAGTGTCCGGGCCGCGAGATCCTCAAGGTGAAGTGCAAGAACTTCGAGTGCGGCATAAGGAGTCAAGTAACCTCGACAGCGAGGTACGTTTTGTATTTCTCGATTCGACGTTTTAGTAGCGTGCTTTTCCTGGGAAATATTTTACTTTCATCGAAAATGCTCCTAAAGTGGAGCGGAGTTCTATTTCCTAATTAATATTGAAGTATCCTATGGATCAAAATATCCTATGGATTTGAAATATCCTATGAACATGATTTGGAATTGAAATATCCTGCGGATATTTCAAAGTGTTCTCAATTTAATGTTAATTTTAATGTCCTACACATCAACCGGAATGTCTAGTGGGCTCTTGAGACGTTCGAGTCGCCGTTTAAATATTCCGTATTCAAATAGATCCTCTCTTTCTCGTCGTTCCAGGATTGTCGGAGGCTCCAGTTCTTCTGCGGGAAGCTGGCCGTGGCAAGTCGCCTTGTACAAGGATGGTAATTATCAGTGCGGCGGGGCTCTCATCAACGATCAATGGATTATCTCAGCCGCACACTGTTTCTATCAGTAAGATTCTCATTCAATGTGCATGTGTGTCTGTGTGTGATCGATTTATATACAGGGTGTCCCATTTCAAATGCCCCAGGCAAATATCTCAAAAAATATGAAAAATACGAAAAGATATTTCAGACAAAAGTTATATGGTTTCAAGGGGGACACAAAACAAAACCATATTATTTTGTTTATTGATGACGCCACTTTCGAGATACTCACTGATCATTAGTTTTCTTAAATGGAAACCCCAATTTTTTATTATATCATTTTTTTCTACCAATTAATTTGAACAACTTTTGTCTGAAACATTTCTCTATTTACCCAATATTTTTCGAAATATTTAAGGAAAACTTGATAATCTTTTTAATGTTTAATTTCTGATATTTCGCTTTGTTGTTGGGAGAAAAAGTGATACGAGACTTTTTTTTCTATTTGGTCTCAAGAATATATTGTTACAATAGCGCCCTGACTTTTGTTAATTTGATGATTTTGAAATTTCCAAAGATCGATAAGCTAACAAAAGTTAGGATAATATTGTAACAATATTCTTGAGACTAAATAAAGTAAGAAAGTACTATTTATTACTTATTACTGTTTATTAGTATTGCTATTTTTTCTTTCGACAAATAGTTAGCGAGATATCGTAAGCTAAATATTAAAAAAGTTATCAAGTTTTCTTTAAATATATCTAAAAATATTGGGCAAATAAAACAAATCTTTCAGAAAATTGTTCAAATTAATTGATAGAAAAAGATAATATAATAAAAAAATAGAGGTTTCCATTTACGATTTTAAAATTGACTTCGGTTTGACCTCCAAATTTAATCCCTAGGTCAAATTCAATTTCACCACTGGATGCCATTTCCAATTTCTACAACTTTTATATTTAACACTTTTTTTAAAAACGTCTATTCTCTTCAAGTTCCGGAGGAACGCATCTTTCTGGTATACCCTGTATATATAATTTATTATATATATTATATAATTAATAATATTTTATATAATGGTATTATATAATTAATAATATAATAAATTATATATACCGGATGTCCGCCATTTTTTAGAAATAAAATATTGTAAAGATTAATCAAATCAAACTGAAAAGAAAAGTCAAGTAACATTTTGCAAAAATTGCAATAGTTATTAATAATTGAAAATTACCACATTTAAAATCTCTTTTAATTGATAATTTAAAAATTTGCGTACTTATTTATAAAATAAGAACTTTTTTGTTCAGAATTACTTAATCTACAATTATATGATGGCTATTCTGCCTAGTGATAGATGTGAGTATATTGAACTTTGAACCCTGAACTTTGAACCTGTCGCTAAGCACGATAACCATTATATAATTGTAGATCATTCTGAACAAAAAAGTCCTTTACCATTTTGCAAATAAGTATACAAATTTTCAAGTTATCAATTAAAAGAGCCTCTGGATGTGGTCATTTTCAATCATTAATAACTTAATAAGTTGCTGATTTTTGGAAATTTCAAAATCATCAAATTAACCAAATTCAGGGCGCTATTGGAACAATATATTCTTGAGACTAAATAGAGCAAAAAAGTCTAATACCACTTTTTCTTCTGACAAATAGTTAGCGAGATATTGTAAGTTAAATATTGAAAAAGTTATCAAGTTTTCCTTAAATATCTCAAAAAATTAAGTAAATAAAAAAATGTTTCAGACAAAAGTTGTTCAAATTAATTGCTAGAAAAAGATGATGTAATAAAAAATTGGGGTATCCATTTAAGATTTTTATGTTGATCTTGACTGGACTTTTCAAGGTTAACCCAAGGTCAAATTCACAGCGTCAGTAAATAGATCCTTTGAAGCCCTACAACTTTTGTCTGAAATATTTTTCTCTAAAATGTCGCATTAACGAAACAATCGGGTGACCCGGGTGGTCTGAAATACCTGGTATATCTTTATCTATCGTTTCATAGTTTTAACATAACAATCTAATTTAAACGCTTGTCGCACTTTTGCTTTTGTGCAGCGCGCAAAACGACTATTGGGTAGCGAGAATCGGCGCGACTCGCAGGGAGAGCTTCCGCAGTCCGTATGAGCAGCTCTTGCGGTTGGATTACATATCGTTACACCCGGACTACGTTGATAACGGATTCGTAAATGACATAGCTGTGTTGCGGCTCGAGAGGCCGGTTACATTCAGTGATTACATAAGGCCGGTTTGTCTGCCCGCGAATCCGGTCAGTACCGGGACAGTCTGCATCATAACGGGATGGGGACAATTGTTCGAGATCAACAGAGTGTTTCGTAAGTGGAATAATGACGTACCGTTTTGATCGTTATCAGATTTCGGGAGAGAAGCGCGGGCCAAGACGCGCCAGGACGTAGATTTAAGCGCGCAAAGTGCGGCCAGGAGTTCGCGTGAATCCTCTGCGCACTTAGAACTGCGTTCTGACTACGACCGATGGTACCCGAAGATAATAATTACCTAGCGTAAGTTACAAGTTCCATCAATATATAGCATTCCATTTGCATTTGACAGCGGATACACTGCAAGAAGTGGAATTACCAGTCATTTCGACGGAGGACTGCCGACGAAAGACTCTGTTCTTGCCGCTGTACAGGATAACGTCCGGAATGCTCTGCGCGGGATTACGGAACGGAGAGAAGGATGCGTGCTTAGGAGACAGTGGGGGACCATTGGTGTGCTTATCTGAAAACCGATACATATTGCAAGGTAATAACATCCGTTGCATCAACAAAGTGAAGTCACGTTTGCGTCAGCGGTAAATCGCTGAAATATAAAATCACGTTCCCTAGTAGCACATATTGTTGGGCCAATATTGGCTACAAATTGGGCCCCCAATATTGGCCAATGTAACTTCAATATAAGTCAATATTGGTGTAACAATGCTATGCAATATTGGCGATATATTGTAATTTAATGTCTAACCAATATTAGTTGCATATTGGGATACATTGGGCCAATGTAGTCCCAATGTAAGTCAATATTGATATAAAAATACTATGCAATATTGGCCATATCTTGTAATTTGATATCTAACCAATATTGGCTGTATATTGGGATACACTGGGCCGATGTAACCCCAATTTATGTCACTGTAGCCAATGCAACATCAATGTAACGCCAATGAAGTATGCTACTAGGGTTTTAGTTGTTAGAAGGTTGAATTAATTCTGGTCTTATTTTGTTAATTTTTTTATCTTTATTTTAAAGAATTGATTGACGGTTGAATTTACATCAATCGAAATATTTGCCGTCGTTAGCTGCGACTTTTTCCCATCTTCCTGGTAACAAAGCGATTCCGCGACGTTAGAACGATCTGTCTTTCGAAGCAATCCAATCAGACGCCCATTTTTGCATATTCTCGTAATTATTGAAGTGTGTACCTGCCAAAGCGTGTTATATCGATTGGGATAGGTGGTAATCAGATGGTGCTAGGTCTGAAGAGTACGCTGGGTGCAGAAGGATTTTCCATTTGAGCTCTAGCAATGTTTGTTTAACGATTGAAGCAATATGTGAACGAACATTATCGTGCAAAAGAATCACCCTGCGTCTATTGCTGGCTATCGCTGGCCTTTTTTGCATCAATTCATCATTCAATTTGTTCGATCGTTGCTGGTATCGCTCCCCCGTAACTGTTTCATTCGATTTTAGGAGCTCATAGTACACCACACCTTCCATATCCCACCAAATACAGAGCATTGCTTCGGGACCGTGAATGGTGTCGATGTTGATGGTTATCTTGGATCAACCCATGATTTTTTCGCTTTGGATTATCAAAATAAATCCACTTTTCATCTCCAGTTACAATTCGCCACAAATTACTCTTTTTTTCTGTCTGGCAAGCAAAGACATAGCGATATTCAAACGACTTGCAATGGCACTTTCACTCGATTCATGTGGAACCCATTTGCCTTCCTTTTGAACTTTTCCCATGGCGTGTAGGCGTTTAGAAATTGTTGATTTATCGAATTGTTGAGTTGTCCGGTGAATTGTTTTTCCGTTTGAGCGGTGTTTTCATTCAGTAGTGCTTGCGACTCAGAATCTTCGAATTTTTTTGGTTGACCAGTACGTTCTTTGTCACTCAAATTGAAATCACCGTTTTGAATTGTTGAAACCAAAATTTACAATTGGAACATGATGGATCACTATAAGTTATAACAAGCATTTCGTAAGTTTCATAGTTGCCGATCTTTTCAAATCAAACAAAAAAAGTGATGAATGTCGAAAATGCAATTTTGTACGATCTATTTTGTATGAAATTATCAGAAATATCTTGAATTTTGGGAATTTAACATGAAATTCGTATTCAGCATCACTAAAACCCCTCATGTACAGATTTTCAACGACGGATTTTAATATTTGGGACTTCAAGCCCTTTTTATGGATTTAGCTCGGTCCTTAAAGGGTTAAATAACAAATTTCAAGCGAATTCGCTGATTTTTTAAATTTCGTCCGCCATATTGGACCCGCCATTTTAGATGTATTTTTCACATCGGATGTGTATTCAACGATCTTAAAAATCCCCGAGTAACAAGTTTCACAAAATTATATGCGTTAGAAAAAAATGTGCGACAAAGGATTAATACAAATCTATAATAAGACAAGAAGAAACAGAACGACGTGCAAATCGTCCGGAAAGAACGAAACCCTAAAACTTGCTTCAGGTATCACGTCCAACGGCTACGGCTGCGGGCGACGGGAGCGGCCTGGTGTCTATACCAAGATCTTTCACTTCCTCGACTACATCGACAGCGTTGTCACGCAGAAGGATATCCAGCTGTCTGCGGTGGCGTTCTGCAAAGGTCACAGGTGCCCCCTCGGCGAATGTTTGCCGAAGTCACGCGTCTGCAACGGATTTCTTGAATGCTCGGACGGTAGCGACGAGCGAGATTGCCCCGCGACTTTGTGATGATACAAGACTGACATGATGTGTATATCGACGGAATGAAAGCGCGAACGCGATTTAGACGACGATAGCGATCCGATAAGTATGTATGTATAGTCTTATTAACGTTGCAAAGATGTGATAGAGCGTTCCGCGTTCTTCTGTCTAGGGAACAATACTTGTTGATTATTGTAAGACAACGCGCATCCGCAGCGCACAAATAGGGTGAATTTCAAGTACATTAAGTAGCGAAACTGGATCTAGATTGTTATGCGATCCTTTCCTCCAGATTGCTCCGCAAGTGTGATTGTCAAGCAAGCGGCACATTTTCCCGTCTGTAGATTATTTACATAAACGCTGAAAGCGACGAAACATAATGAGATATTCCAGTTCCTCGATGAAAAGTCGAATAGTTTGACCCCTTCGTCGAAACGTCGCGATTCTCCGTGTCACGTGACTAGACTTAACGTGGAATTGATGTGAAGATTTATGGGAGAGAACGCGATGTGACACGACAAATACATTCCTTTTATGAGAACCGTATCTTTTCATTGCACCAATTTTATAATCGGACAAACGAGACCGTAGTTACGCACGCACGCACGCACGTACACACACACATACACACACACGCGCGCGCGCACGCATACACGGTACTGCAGCGTACATACAGGGTGTCCCATTTTAAATGAGCCAGGTAAAAATCTCGAAAAATATGAGATACCGAGAAACGTTTCAGACAAAAGTTGTATGGTTTCAAAGAGGGCATAAAACAACTATATTATTTTGTTTACAGATGGCGCCACTTTCGAAATATTCACTGATCATCACTTTTCTTAAATGGAAATCCCAATTTTTTACTACAGCATCTTTTTCTACCAATTAATCTGTACAACTTTTGTCTGAAACATTTTTTTACTTGTCTAATATTTTTTGAAATATTTAAGGAAAACTTGGTAACTTCTTCAGTATTTAATTTTGGATATTTTGCTTTATCGGAAGAAAAAGTGGTGCTAGGCTTTTTCACTCTATTTGGTCTCAAGAATATATTGTTACAAGATCGATAAATGAGAACCTCTAGATGTGGTTATTTCCAATTATTAATAACTTAATAACTATTGCGATTTTTGCAAAATGGTGCCTAACTTTTCTTTTCAGTTTGATCTGATTGATCTTCGCAATTTTTCGTTTCCCAAAAGATCCCGGACATTCTATATAATTATTATATATATTATATATATAAATCGATCACACATACAGACACGTTTTCCGTTTAAGGAAAGTGATCAGTGAATAATATCTCGAAAGTGCCGCCATCTGTAAACAAAATAATATAGTTGTTTTATGTCCCATTTGAAACCATTATTTATAATAATTTAACCAAACAACTTTCCCCTGAAATGTTTCTTAGTGTCCTTCATATTTCTCGAGATTTTTGCCCGGCTCATTTAAAATGGGACACCCTGTGTAGAAAATCGTGGCTGAAAGAGAAATGTCAAGTCAGAGAGAACACGCTCTGGATGATATATATAACTTCACTTTATTAGATTTATTAGTCAGACTCATCACCAAAAATTATACCTATAACGGAAAATAGTGATTATATTGTATATAATCGACATTTAAACAAAAAAGCGCTTGTAAATGACGGTGTGTCTCCTCACGATGCTATTGTTAAGTTAAAAATAGTCTAGATTAAATAATGACGTTACAGTTTGTTACAGTGAATTGTGCGATACGGACAAACGGTTTGCCAAGACGGTTTGCCTGCTTGCGATGTCTGCGATGCTTGCCGCCGTTGTTCGTCTTCGCGCGTAGATACGTTTCTTCCTCTCTCTCTCTCTCTCTCTCTCTCTCTCTCTCTCTCTCTCTCTCTCTCTCTCTCTCTCTCTCTGTCTCTCTATCTATCTATCTCTCTATCTCTCTCTCTCTCTCTCACCATACGGTGTGTGCTTTATTCGCGTGATACTCTGGCACTAACGAGTACTTTCGTTATATAAACAACATCGCGTTATCCGTTAGACTCCAATTCACGTGGTCGATCATGCGGAGTTCCCCGTTTCTAGGTATATGTCGTACGATGCTCAACTCTCGACAGCGCAGTTTAGTGTTTCAGTGGAAGTAAAGCAATATCGAACTATTGAGACGACGGTGTCTGACACCATCCACGAGTGACGCTCGGAGGCCTAGTAATCTCGTTCTCTGCTAGCTATATATGTGTACAACGCTCGTCTCGCCCGGTGTGATCGGGGCGAGTGTTCTGTGCGACCGACAGGTTTGAGCAAAAGTTCTCTGTGTACGATAGAAAATGGTGTAAATGTATAAAAGAGCGACTCGAAGACGATAAAACTTTTGTCCATACCATGCATAACACACCATCGCAGCGTCTCCCTCCCTCACGATCTCGATATGCGAGTACCTGGTCGCACATGGAGATGTATAATATTTAAGAAAGAAAATTGTTCGCCCAATAATCCGGACTTCACTATTGGTACGTATAATTATATATATATATATATATATTATATATATATTACAGTCGTTAAAGGAGCTCAGTGCGGTCTTCGCGAAAGTCGACCATCTTGATTCAAGATGTCTGAATTGGGGTCGGTGAGTCGATGAAGAATTCACGTCCCCCGACGAATTTAATGATTTAGAAGATACTCTCAGACGACAGAAGATTTCTTTTCAAGCAATACTTTAGTGAATACATTATTACCGCTTATCACTGCGACTGCGTACCGCCGATGCGTATAATTTATTATCGATGTTCGTTAGACGCGCGCGCAGTCTCGCGTACGATCGAAGTAATTCCGTCATACGTTGCAAGCAAAACATATAGTATCAGGTGACCTGTCTTTTTTTTTCCTCCCTTAGCTACGCACTATCCACAAGAAGACAATAAATAATAATAGTAAGAATATGAATAAATTGATAATGTCTCTTGGACGACGATATCTCTAGTGAGTTATGCTGTTAAGGAGAGATGCGTAGGCTATGCATTATCGTGGTTTAAACGCGCTCTTAACCGAGTGAATCGATGGCCGTGGTGCTAAGACCGTTGTGACTGATGGTGGTTTTAAATTGTTCTGGCACTGGATATTCAGCCTGCAACACGAGACACACATTGTATAGCGCAGTCGCACGAGACCGCGTAAGAGTAATATTCGCAAGTTACTCCAAGTCTCGTAAACTGCTAAATTAATTCTTACGTAATCTCCATTGGCCTTGGGCACCATGACGTTCATTTCGCTAGATTTGCTGGTGATGAGCTCCACGTCAAGAGAGTCTGCGCTCAGATACATTTGGCAGCCGTCCGTTTTGTCGATCGAGATTGTGGGTACTTTTCCGAGGACCTGTAGAAGGTGCACATGAGATTACTGCCAGCTGTTATGATTCTGATGCAACTCGCAGATAAGTTAACGATGCATGAATTGAAGTCGGAAAACAATTTTGTCGAGTTTATATTTGAAGATATAAGAATAGCTTTATATGAAATTTCCAAATGTCATCAAGATAACAAAAGTTAAGGCATTCTACTGTAACAGCATATTCTTGAGATTAAATAGAAAATAAAAGAGTTTAGTACCATTTTCTTTTCCAACAAATAATTACCGAGATATTGTAAGCCAAATATTGAAGAAGTTTTTCTTAAATATCTTAAGAAATATCGGGCAAATAAAAAAAATATTTCAAACAAAAGTTGTCCAAATTAGTTGGTAGAAAAGGATAATGTCATGAAAAACAGAGGGTTTTCATTTAAGATTTTAAAGTTCACCTTGAAATTTCCGTAACTGCTCTCAGCGTCATACGAGTATCGCCATTTGATGAATATGTTAAAATAATACAACTTTTGTCCGGAATATTTTTGTCTGCTGCGCTCAATTTTCGAGATATTCGATTAAGACAGATGGTTTGGGACACTGTGTATATGTGTTTATAATATAATAAATTATATATATATATATATATATAGAAAGAGAGAGAGGGAGAGAGAGAATTATATAGGCATAGATTTTTACATAAATATACAGGATGTCCGGGATCTTTTAAAAAGTTATGAAGATTAAATGGATTAAACTAAGACTAAAAGTCAAACGCCATTTTGCAAAAGTCGCAATAGCTATTAAGTTTTATCGCAAAAATCGCAATAGTTATTGATCACAATAGTTATTAATGATTGAAAATGACCACACCTAGAAGCTCTTTTAATTGATAATTTGAAAATTTGCGTACTTATTTGCAACATGATAATTTTTTTATATTCAGAATGACCTAACCTACAATTATTATAACAGCTATTGTGCCTAGTGACAGGTTCAAGATTCAAGGTTCAAAGTTCGATATGTTCATATCTATCGTTAGACACAATAGCTATCAATTGTAGATTAAGCCATTCTAAACAAAAAAATCCCTTACTATTTTGCAAATAAGTACGCAAATTTTCAAATTATCAATTAAAAGGTCCTCTATACGTAGGCATTTCCAATAATTGATCATTAATTATTAATCATCAATAACTTAATAATTATTGCAATTTTTGCAAGATGGTACTTGCCCCGACAGAACAGAAAATCACGATGACATCAAAATGACCGAATCATGATGGAAAAAAAAAAGAATTTTCCTAATCATTTTGACGTCATCATGATTTTCTGTTCTGCTTGAGTTACTTTTCTTCTCGGACTGATCTGATTAATCTTCACAATTTTTCCAGAAGACCGCGGACATCCTGTATAATTACATCTATACAGAGTGAAGAAAAGGTCCCGGACCGGTAAAATATTTCGAAAACCAAGCATTTTAGAAATGTTTCGAACAAAAGTCGCATGATTTCAAAGAGGGCATAAAATAACTATATTATTTTGTTTACAAATGGCACCACTTTTGAGATATTCACTGATCATTAAATGGATTTTCTTAAATGGAAACTCCAATTTTTTATCACATCATCTTTTTGTAGCAATTAATTTGAACAACTTTTGTCTGAAACATTTTTTTATTGGCCTAATATGTTTTGAGATATTTAAGGAAAATTTCATAACTTTTTCAATATTTAACTCACAATATCTTGCTAATTTGTCGGAAGAGAAAGACTTTTTTGCTCTATTTAATCTCAAGAATATATTGTTATAATAACGCCCTGACTTTTGTTAACTTTTGAAACTTTTGGAAATTTTAAAATCATCAAATTAACAAGTCAGAGTGCTATTGTAACAATATATTCTTGAGATTAAATAGAACAAAAAAGTCCGCTAGCACTTTTTCTTTCGACAAATAGCGAGATATCGTAAGTTAAATATTGAAAAAGTTATCAAGTTTTTCTTGAATATCTCAAAAAATATTAGGCAAATAAAAAAATGTTTCAGACAAAAGTTGTTTCAATTAATCGGTAGAAAAAGATAGTATAATAAAAAATTAGGGTTTCCATTTAAGAAAAGTAATGATCAGTGAGTATCTCGAAAATGGTGTTATGAGTGAACAAAATGATATAGTTGTTTTATATTCCCCTTGAAATCATACAACTTTTGTCCGAAACATTTTTTTCTAAAATGCTTGATTTCCGAGATATTTTACCGGTCCGGGACTTTTTCCTCACCCTGTATAATATCCACATAAAGATCCATAATTCTGTATAGATATATAATATTTCTTTATATAGATACAAGTGTAAATTAATTTTTTTCATGCCTGTTACGCACTTGTAGCGCCGGATATTATTGAATTCACCGAGATGAAACCCGATTTCTCCATCCTCGGTCCTCGGGTTTCGCAAAATAACAATTGCCGCGCGCACGATCGGAGCTCTCGCTGGCCGCGCTGAACATGTATCGGTAATGGAAGATGTAGAATCTGACAGCTCCTCGAATTTTATACGCGCCGTTTGTCTGTGTTAATAACCGTCCAGACGCACATCTCGCGGGTTGGAAAATGCCGTGGAAGCTCGGTAAGTTCGCTCTTACTGTTCCAACGTGTCAACCGCTGTCGGATACATAACGGTGGTCCACGCGTTGGAAAGCCTGCCTGTTCACTGAATCACCCGGAAACTACAAACTTTCCCGCAGGTGGAAATTTCGAAGGTGTACAGCCAATGTGCGAGGCGAGTTGGAAGGAGTGCGCGACCGCAGTGACGAATTATTTATGGTTCGAGATAGTATCCGACGTCGTGGACTTCTTAGCGAAGGAAGGGATGACATGGGTACGTGAGAAAGGATGACACTCCCCCCCTCTCCACTTCCATTCGCTGCATTATCACTCTAAGTTGAATCTTGTGCCTGCGGAGGTCTCAAGCGAATGAACTGTCTCTCCCCGTAGGCCCTGGCGATAGCCATCATTTCCACGATACTCTTCTGTGCAAAGTCTCGCAGAAGTAAGCACGTGGACAACAGCATCAGGAGCAGACAGATGCTGAGCAAAGTCGGATATAAAATCCACGACCTGGAGTTGAAGGTGAACGTCTTAACGTACAAGGTGCAGTACGGGACGTGGCCGTTGCCGCACGAAATCTACAGTTTAAACCCGAAGAAGTTGCAGAAGATCAGGATGACCTTGTCCAACCCGCTTGACCGTAAAAGCTGGATAAAGCACGTGCTGCTGAGGTACGTAAAGGAGCGGGAAGTGTCAGACAGATAATGGACCTTCTCAGTGAGTCGACTGCAAGATAGAGCAGTCTAGTGTCTTCACATCCACTGCATGGTGAAACTACGTTTGCTTCAGTCCTTCGCAGAGCGATATGTATGCTCCTCGTGCGAACGTCCACGGCCCATCCGCAGCAGGACTGCCCGATTTCTTCGAGGCAAGACACGAACGTGCTGCTGCGCATCGTACTCAACGCGGTAATTTATCAACAGACTGCAGCAGCATTGAAACCTCAAAGTCTACCAGTGACCAGTCTGTCAAGTACAAAAATTAGGAATATATTGGCCGATCGCCTCGCTTTAACTCTCAATCAGCCTACTGTCGATAATGCTGGCGTGTTCTTCCTTGACGCTTTTCGCCACGAGGAACAGCTAGTGTCCACACGACATGCTGGAAATGTCGTGCTACGCTTCTTCTCTCGATAACCGACCCGATCCGTTCCTGCCGACAGCCTGTGTTCAAGAACTTCCCGTCCGAGGAACGCGAGTGCCGGGGGAAGCGACCTCTCCAAGAGCGGTGATCTTACGTTGCAACATCGGAAGAACATGCAGCTTCTACCTCTGGTAGACGAGCGCAACCGTCGATCCTCGAGGACGCTCTCAACGCGGCACGGCGAGTCCGTCTCGACCGCGTCGAACGCCAAGTTCAACCCGTGCCAAGATTTCACGAACACCGTGCACAGGTGCAAGTCGTTTCTCAAAGAACTGCGACGCGACGACGAACGTTACTCAATACGTCCGTCGAGTCACTCGTCGGAGAGGAGAGTGTCTTCCTTGACAGATGCGCACGCGAACGGACAGGTGAATTTTTCCGATCCTCCTGTAAATTGCTTCTTGTTTCTTTCACGGATGTAAAATTATCAATTTTAAATCTGGAGCTGTCTATTTCGAGCGTAAAATTGTCGAAATGTTTGAAATGTGAAATTGTTGATTTTTAATGTATAACTTCCAGTTTTAAATGTGAAATCAATTTGAAATATAAAATTGTTGTGATTTTGACTGCGAAGTTGATCTTAAGTATGAAATTGTCGATTTGAAATGTGAAATTGCCAATTTGAAATGTGAAATTGTTGACTTGTGGTATAAAATTCTCGATTTTAAGTGTAAAATTTCCGATTTTAAATGTGAAGCAGATTTGAAATATGAAATTGTCGATTTTAAATGTGAAGTCGATTTGAAATATGAAATTGTCAATTTCTGAAATGTGAAATTGTCGACTTGAAATATGAAATTGCCGATTTGAAATATGAAATTGTCGAGTTGAAATGCTGAAAATTGTCGACTTTAGACGTAAAATTCTTGATCTTGAATGTAAAATTGTCGATTTTAAATGTAAAATTTCCGATTTTAAATCGGAAGTCGATTTGGAATATGAAATTATCGGCTTTTGAAATATCAAATTGTCCATTAAAAATGTGAAATTATCGATTTTAAACGATTTAAAATTGTTAATTTTGAATGTAAAATTGTCGATTAAAAATGTGAAATTATCGATTTTAAACGATTCAAATTGTTGATTTTGAATGTAAAATTGTCGATTTTTAATATAAATTTTCCGATTTTAAATATGAAGTCGATTTGAAATATGAAATTGTCGATTTGAAATGTGAAATTGATTTGAAATATTAAATTATCGATTTTTGAAACATGAAATTGCTGATTTGAAATGTGAAATTGCCAGTTTGAAATGTGAAATTGATGATTTTAAATGTAAAACTGTCGACTTCAAATGTAAAATTTTTGTCAATTTTTAATATAAAATTATTAATTTTAAATGTAAATAATTTTGATATAAATTATCAATTTTAGAATTAAATACGCAAATATGCAATTACGACACATAAATATAATTTTACTTGCGTAAAATTACTAATTTTAAAAATTATTAATTTGTAAAATTGCTAATTTCATATGTGTAAAGTTACACTTACATATCTTAATTATATATATTTGCGTATTAAAATTATTCATGTGAAAATCGTATTCGCACGAAAAATCGCATTAATTTCACATATAGAATTATCAATCTTGCACTCTTAGCCAGCTTCGCTCACGGCGGAGAAGCGGAAGACGTCGGACGCTGCTCGCGAGGAAGAACCGAGAAGAAAGGACACGAGCGGTGTGCAAGGGCACGTGAGAGAAGTGGCGAACGACGAAAATACGGAGGACGTGGAGCAAGTGCACCGACGAAGCGACGCAGACGCATCCTCCGACGCCGTAGCAGTGGCGAACAACGATCTCGCGTTCCCGCGGGAACTTCTTCAGGGTCTCCTGACGGACGAGCCGGCAACCCGCAAGGCGCGAGCGTCCCGGGAAACTTTGTACGCGGTTCGAAGGAGGCTTCAAAGCTTACACAACGTGCTGCGGATGTACGAGAACACGAGTCAGCCCTCGGAGAGGCGGAAGCCGCCGGACCAGACTTCGGTGATTGGTGCCATCGACGCGCTCGCCTCCAAGATCGAGGAGCTCGAGGGGGAGAAAGTCCACGCGAGTCCTGGAAGCGGCTTGAGGCGAGCTTCACCGCGTACACGACGCCCGATCGCGGCCAGCTGCGACTACTTCAAGTTCGACCGCGCGGATGAGAGCTCATCCTCCGTGGCCGAGTGCTCGTCGAACATGTCTGCCAAGACGTACCAGTACTCCAGCGACGTAACCCTGCGGAATATTCGTTTCAAAGAGTACAGTCAGCTTAATGCACAGCGAGCCGCCTGCGCGAGTGACCTTGCGGCCCTCGCGGGTGGTTGGAAGCGGCTTCCGCCTGTCTACAGTGCGATTTCACGCGAGTCGAGGAATCCTGAAGAACAAGGCGAGAGAGATGTGCGAGAACGGGACATGAAATCGAGATCGCAGGGCGGCGCGAACGCAACGAGGGCGAGCGTTTCCTTCGACCTCGCAGAACAGAACGCCGCGGCGATGTCGGAAAAGACAGAATGCGCCTCGTCGTCCGAGGACGTCGAGGTGAAGAAATGTGGAGCACCTTCGACGAGAGCAACCGCCACCGAGAAGATTAGCGACACACTCGACAGAGAACGATACCAAGAGAGCAGTCTGGTGGTATCTCGAAGCAGTAGTCGAAGCAAGATTTCTCTGAGAAGCGGTCGGGAGAGCCAGTCGACGGCGTTGCTGCTGCGAGAGGCGCTGCTCTTCAAGCGGGCCCTGCTGACGCGAGTGGAGTCCGAGAAGAGGAGCCTGACACGCGGCACGGAAAAGGACAACGTCGCGAAGGAACCACCGGCGGGGTATGGGGCGCAAGTCGCGAGCAAGGATAACCTGCCGGCGATGCTGGTGAACATCGAGACGGAGAGACCGGTTGTCGACGCCGTCCATAGGAAGTTCGATCGACGTTACGTCCGCTTGGAGATGAAGCAACGAAAAGACCTGCGAGACGCGAGCGTTCTGGCGCGTCGCGACGACGAGGGCGACGACGAGTTCGCCCGCGAGACACCGTCCGAGTACTTCAGCATCTGCGACCTGGCGCTCGCCGACGACGAGCAGGTCGAGAGCAGCGCGACGCTGTCGTTGGAGCCGCCGATCTACGAGAAAGTCATCTCAATCGTGATACCGGTCGATATGGAGCGGCAAGATCCGCTGGAAGATGGCGACGACGCGGTCGGCAAGCGGCTGCCGGTGATGCTCGAGCTGGAGGGTCTCATACTGGACCGCTTGAGGAACATCAGGAATTACATGGATGTTTTCCTTCACAGCCAAAACAGAGCGATCTTCAAGGCGCTCAAGGCTCTTCAGGGTCCGATCGAGGGCGACTCCTCCACCCGATGCCCGGACGAGGCTCACAAATTCAAGAACAGCGAAGACGGAGTCCTAAAAGGCCGAAGACGCGTTTCCACGCCAAGCGAGCCGCTTGCGAATATAGAATGCTCTTCAACGACATTTGTCGACCCGAATTCCGTTGCTGACCAATCGAAACGCGACTACTCAGCGTATAGGGAAGCGAGGGAGAGCGACGGTGTCACCTGCGATCCCGGGAAGTGGTCATTGTCTTCTTCGCCGCCGATGAGAAACGAGACGTTGAATGCGCTGAACCTGCGCGAGCCTGAAGTGAACGCGGCGAACTCACCGCCCCGCATGAAGCAGCGCTCGGAAGCGAGACGCTCCCAGCGGGCGAGTTCCCGGGGCAAAGCCAAGAGCGACGTGTCTCTGATAGCTGGTTCAAGCAAGAAGTTGAACATCAGCCTACGCCCGAAGAGGTCGCACTCGTCGCTCACGCAGCGTGACACTTTGGAGCGCATCCGCAGGATATTGCGTCAGTCTGACGCCAAGTCACGCGACGGCGAGGACGAGTGCACGAAGAGTGAGAGTGAGTCACAGTCGGCGACGCCGTCCAGGTCCGTCCTGCTGTCGCAAGGACTCTCCGCTAGATCATGCATACCGATCCTGAGAAATCGTTTGGAGGCGGCTCGAATGAGACAACAGACGAGCGCGAGGAGTCCCACGAGGAGCCCGCTGACGATGCTGTGGAGAGAAAATGTCTGTGCGAGGAGATACGCGGCCGACGAGGAAGCTGCGCGAGGAAGGAGCAGCATGCCGATAGACGAAGGTTCAGGCACGGAGGAGGTCGCGTTCAGTTTGACTAAAGCGAGCACAGCGAAGAACCGGGAGGAAGTCGTGGAGGAGAACAGCGCGGCTACGCACAGAGACGGTAATATAACGGCAACGAATAGTACACGGATCTTTTCCGATGGTCTAAGGTCAGAAGCTCCGGGAACTGATAAGGGGCGCGCAGATAAGCATAAGAGATTTACGTGCGATGGCAGATCGGACATGATGATAACGGAGCGCCTGGGGAATACAGCTCCTAAGACGTTGACCATTATTTCCATAACGACGAGTGATGACTCACGGGAGAGCCGTCCGGCGAGTTCGTTCATCTTGAGAACAAAGAACGCCGGCTCCGCGACGAATTCGCCGGAGCTTAAAGCAGAACCGCAGGCTGCCGCCGTCGAGAAGATGGAGAAGGAAGTGACCGCGAAACCTTCCATCACTGATACATGCACATCGATGAGCGACCTGCGCTGAGCTGATTAACCACGACGCGCGCGTCATCTCCGTCTCGCTTGTCTCGCGGATATTTGTCTTTTACTCGCCGGATTCTTTTGTAAGAGTACATTTTTTGTCGAATAAACGGGCTTGCGATTGCTCAGACTAAGTGTTATCTGGTATTCTGGAGTTAAGAGGAACAGCGAGGGAGAAGAAGAGTGGTTTCTCGCGGCACAGGAGAGTGAGCTCCTTCGTTTTTGCACTCGGTGAAGTGACTTGTACCTTGTTAAGCACGACCTTGTATCTGACTACAAGGGGTCTCGTTTGAGAGAGTAAGTAAGTAAGCGAGTGATGGAAAGTGTGGCAGTACGTACCTGCATTTGTACACTTTGACAATTGACGAACTCGATACTGGACACGAGGGAATCGAATACGATGGACGATTTGCGGCAGGAATCCATCACGACGGAATTCACCTTGCCCTTGACGGTGAGTGTGCTGTCTTGGCATCGAAATATGTAAACCACATTGTTCATTTCCGCGTTGTCGATCATTAAATTCTCGCCTTTCTGGTACTCCTGCAACAGGTAGAGAAAGTTGTAAAGAGTTGTGTCTTTTCTTGTCTTGTATCTCTGTCTTGGAAAAAATGTACATTGCTTCTTCTATTTTCCTTTCAAGATATTCTTCAAGAAAAACATATGCTGCAATCAAATAAATATTATATACTTATTCTATATTATTATATACTTTCTATATTATTATTTCTATATTATTATATACTTATTCTTCAAGCATTTTATAATTTTATATAATCGCAAACCTATCTGGTGCTGATGATAAACTATCACAAGTTTATCATCAGCATCAGATTCAATCAAAATACATTCTGAAGTAAGTTTAGTGTTTCAAAAAACCAAGAATATTAAATTAAAATAAAAGTTTGGTTTATTTTCCCTAGAGAATTTTTCTATAAAGTACAAGTGTCATAAAATTCTTGAAGAAAGAAAATAAATTTTTCTTTCAAATATATTTTCTAAAATTTTGATACTTTTCATATTTACTTAACATTTGAAAACTTTTCTCAAATTTGTGATAAATTTGTTTTAAGAAACTATTATGAAGAAAATATTCTTTGTCAAAGTAACCATTAAAAGAAGAAAACTAAATAATTGCATTAGTAGAATGATATTTTAATAATATATTATAATAATATTATAATGTTATAATTATAAAATTCTTGAAGAGAGAAGATAAATTTTTCTTTTAAATATATTTTCTAAAATTTGGATACTTTTCATATTTACTTAACATTTGAAAACCTTTCTTAAATTTGTGATAAATTTATTTTAAGAGATTGTTATGTAAAGAAAATATTCTTTGTTGAAGATACCTACTGAAAAAATAAAACCAAATATAATTGCATTAGTAGAATAATATTTTAATAATATTAAAAATAATAATATTATAAAATTCCTGAAAAGAGAGAACAAATTTTTCTTTTAAATATATTTCCTGAAATTTGAATACTTTCCATATTTATTTAATATTTGAAAACTTTTCTCAGACTTGCGATAAATACATTTTAAGAGACTATTACGAAGAAAATATTCTTTGCCGAAGGTATCTATTAAAAGAAAGAAATTGAATAATCGCACTATTAAAATATTTTAATATTATAAAATTCTTGAAAAGAGAGAATAAATTTTTCTTTTGAATATATCTTCTAACATTTGGATATTTTTCATATTTATTTAACATTTGAAAACTTTTCTCAGATTTGTGATAAACACATTTTAAGAGACTACCCAGGCAGCACAATATCCAAAACTGGGACATAAGACGTCTTTAAGATGTCTTTAAGTCGACTTAAAGATGTCTTATTTTCAGACATCTTAAAGACGACTTAAAGATGTCTTAAAGACGTCTTATGTCCCAGTTTTGGACATATGTGCGGTCTGGGTACGAAAAGACTTACGAAATTACGAGGAAAATATTCATCGTTGAAAATAACCGTTAAAAGAAATAAATTGAATAATTGCACTAATAGAATGATATTTTAATAATATTATAAAATTTTTGATAAGAGAGAATAAATAAATTTTTCTTTCGAATATATTTCTTGAAATTTGCATACTTTTCTTTTGGAATTTATTTTTTGGATATATTTTTTAAAATTAGGATATTTAGTTGACACTTGACAACTTTTTTCAAATTTGCGACAAATATTTTAAAAGACTATTGCAAAGAAAATATTTTTGGTTAAAATAATCATTAGAAAAAGAAAATCGAATAATTGCACTAATAAAACGATATTTTAATATTATAAAATTCTTGAAGAAAATAAATATTTCTTTTGAATATATTTTCTAAAATTTACATACTTTTCATATTTATTTAATATTTAAAAACTTTTCTCAGATTTGCGACAAATACATTTTAAGAGACTACAAAGAGACTTACGAGATTATAAATAAAATATTCTTTGTCGGAAATAACCATTGAAAGAAGGAAATGGAATATAATCGCATTAGTAGAATGATATTTTAATAATATTATAAAATTCTTGAAGAGATAGAATAAATTTTTCTCTTTTGAATATATTTCCTAAAATTTAAATATTTTTCATATTTAATTGACATTTGAAACCTTTTTTCAAATTTGCGATAAATACATTTTAAGAGAATATTTCGAAGAAAATATTCTTTGTCGAAGGTAACCATTAAAAGAAGGAAACCGAATAATCGCGCATTAATAAAATGATATTTTTCTCTTCTTGTACAGATGCAGATTATGAAAAGTTAACTACCCACCACGAGCCATTTCTTGCCGTCTCTGGTAAATACGGATGGTTTGTCGATAGGCGCGTTCGCCGGTAACACATTCTTCATCGGCGTCACGCTGGCGATTGCTGGCGCCTTGAATGGCGCGGGTCCGGATCTCAGGGAAGGATTTTTATGCGTCTGCATGTCCGAAGTGACTTTCTTCAAATCTACGACACACAGACATTGGATCGATCAAGATGAAAATTGTCATCAATGTGATCGGTTAATCAGCTAATCGAGAATGAGCCTGATCGTTTAAAAATCGACGTAAAGAAATATTCTCACTCTTCGTGATATCTTCTCCCTGATTGATCTGAGCGAAAAGAGCGCTCCTGTCGTCGTTGATCATGGATAGTGGTGCGATGATGTCTCCGATTGGCATCGACGGAGGTGGCGGAGGCGGGATGCCTGCTGGTGCGGCGCCAGTTTTTCCCCACACTAAGCCTGTCGTGTGATGTTGACGGACATACTGCTGCAGATCGGTCAACGTTTGTACCCACGCTTTACACCAGTCTATATGCATTTTGTCTCTGCGAACAGAAGGTATATCTTCGCAAACTGCTCTTCCCTCCACAAAATCGCAGAACTATTATTCCTTATCTGACAAAAGCTTACTTCTCTTTCCAATCCTTCAACACGCGATTAGTATAAAACTGGCCGGCGTCATTCATCTCCTTAACGTACGGAGCTGGCGTGGGCGATACCGCGACCCATCCCAGAGCGGGGATACTTTCGCTGATCGCCGACAGATGATTGAAGAACGGGGAGCCACGATTCTTCTCGCGGAACTCCTGAATCCGCTGGATTTGCGCGGACATGGGCTCGAGCAGAGCCACATGCTCCGACTGGTTCGCCGGTGCTGCACGGCTCGCCGCCGTGTGTATAAACTGCAGCTGAAACCTGAAATCAAGCAGGAACGTTCAACCTGTGCATGATATACGCGCGGCGCTTGGCTTCATGGCTGGGATATAAAACGAAGGCATCACTAACTGGAAAGCTTTCTCAACGAGTTTGCTGTGAGCGGCTACGTCGCCGCCGATCTTCTGACTTAATTCTAGGTACTCCTTCACCGGCCCGGCTAAGAGGTCTTCGAACCCGGCTACGGACATGCTTGCGGACTGCTCTGGGATTATTCGTTCGCTCGAACAAATCGAATCCGACGATGATTGCGGCGAGTCCTGCGTGGACGAGCTGTTTCTTGCCGGCGTGGACTTTGGCGAAGGTACTTGCACGGAAGTCTCTTGAGTTTGGACCGACGAAGGTACCGGCACTTTCTCAAGCCTCCTTGTCACGTCCTCCAGCCGGTTCACCAACTGCTCCAGATACTCGTCCCTGTCGCTGACCTCACCGCAACCTGGAACGCGACATGAAATCATGAAACCATTGGTGAGTACATTACATTTCCGATGGTTGACGTCAACCGCTCGTTCTGTATTCAACACGACATCGTCGAAGGCTCTCGATATCGCCAGAGGAAAACATGCATCAAGATACTTCAAGTTTCGGACTTGATCTCGGATGCTCGTGCTTTTCGGGAAAGCACGGATATCTTTCCCGTCTGTAGAAAAATCCACCACGTTAACGTTATCTTGCAGGCGTGGCTGGTGCCACCGCGACGACACAAAGAGGGAGGCGGGCTTTTCCGCCGAGGGAACCGCCGAAAATCTCTGGAAACTTCGGACGAAGCCTCGTCGAGTACTTGGAACGCTAATTATAGAACGCGTAATGTGCTAAATATAGTCACGTTAGCGCAACATAACGCTGCGTCGCGTCAGGAACATTGCGTATGCCATTGCATCGACACACACGTTCCGCCTGTCGGAGGAGCCAACAACAAGTACTACTGACGATACTTATCGCCCAGGTCCTGGAGGAATCCCGCGATCGCGACGGGACACCGCAAGCGCGACGCGGCGCAGGGCACCACTGGACTTTCCGAAAATTCGCGACAAACTGAAAGACAGCTGAGATGACGTCCGGCGTGCGAGAACACTCCAAACTATTATTAGAGAAACCGCCAACATCGTGCGGGAAGTATACATAAATACGCGCGGCGAGTGTGTGATTCACACGTAACATAATCGCGAGCGATATTAGCGGTTTCGAGAGGAACACGACCGTACATTTCAAGATCTAAGCATCACGTAGAAATAAGTGCTCGGCTCAGGCCGGTTCTTTCCGACCTCTCAGCTGCCGAGTTCGCTTTCCCCGCGAGGACGGCGACCTGAGGACCAAACTCAGTTTGCTTCTTCAGCAACTCCTCCTGAGGACCAAACTCAGTTTGCTTCTTCAGCAAGCGACTCCTCCCGAGGACCAAACTCAGTCTGCTTCTTCAGTTGCTGAAGAAACGAACTGAGACGTCCACGAGATGCCGGGAAAGCGGCGACTATCGATACACTCGTCGTCGGCGCGGACAACGAAGAGGGCCGGCTACTTCGGTTCATGCAGCAGGCGCGCACAGAGGGGACTCGGGGCGGTTGGAAATTGATAGGCGAGCCCTAACCGGTGTGCACCCTCGGTCCTAGTGGGTCGAACCTCACTCTGTGCTCCGTGTTCTGCGCGACTTGCAACAACTCGGAGAAGAATCTGTGCCGCCTCAGGGCGAGCTCGTCGCGAGCTACCGGCGTCGCCGGCGGTTCCTGCATGCCGCTGCATCCTTCTCGCACGTGCTCGCCGGAGCTCTTCTCCAGAAGATCGTGTTGCTGCGTCGCCCAATCGGAGAGCAGGCCAGCTACGGAAACGACACACGTCACAATACGTCGAAAGGTCGCGCCGGGCAAACAGAGAGACTTGTCTCGCGGCTTCTCGAGCCGCGCGCTCCACCCTGTTCTCCCCCCTTCCCGCCCATCGCGAGCTCTTAAACTCTTGGTCTCTGGTGTCTTTCGAAGTCGAATTATCGATCACGACGCGCCGGAGGTATCGACAGGTTCTCGGTCGCGAATGTATACTACGAGTGGAATCGTCAGAGACTCGAAGACGCACCCTCCAGCGGTCGCCCTCGGGATAAAGTCCCGGAGATCGCGAGCGATCTCGAGGGAGCTTCTTCGCGAGGCGACCGCGCGCGCGCGACAATCTTCTCACTCGATTCTTTGGGTGGACGAGGACGCAACATTGAACTGGTCGACTGCCACATCACGCGTTACCTCGTTAATTGTCCTCAGTTATAAAACAAACGGCCAGCGCATCCACGACACCAGCGAAGTTGACGGGTGGTGCCGTACCTGGTTGCGCCTTGTCAGCCGCGTCGCTTTCGCCCTCGAAAACCGAGTCGTCGCCCTCGTCGTCCGCCCCGTCGTCGACCGTCCTCTCTATGTAGCCCGCGTCGCAGTAAAGATTCGTCTTGGCGGCGCAGGTCAGGACTTTCGCCTCGGCAGCATCACCCTCCGCCTGGTCCCCGACGGGACCATCATCACTCGCCTCGGCTTTCTCGCCGGTGGGAGCGCTCGTCTTCTCGCTGCTTTGCTCCTCGTCCCGGGGGCCTTCCTCGACCACCCGCTCGATTTCCTTCATCACGGCAGTGGCGAGCGACGAGATCTCCTTCACGAGTTTCACGTCTTCGTGTTCATCGATCTGGAGAGTCGCTTCCTCTCCCGCCGCGCCCGACTCTGGACTTTTCTCCTCGGGACTCACCTCGGCTTTGTTTACCTCGGCCTCTGCCGCCTTCGAAGCTGCTTTGTCCTCGCTTCCTTCAGCTTCCTGTTGCTCGGACGGGGACTCTTCCGGAGCAGGAAGAGCCGGGGCGTCGGTTGCAAGGAGAGCCGACTCCTCCACCGGAACTTCCTCGACCTTCTCGGCCTCCTCCGTTTCTTCCGCTCGCGGTACGTCGCCGTTCGCTTTAACCGCCTTCGGCGACGTCCCCGTCTCGTCGTCCACCTTCTCTATCATCTTCCGCGATGACGTCGGAGTGTCGTTCGAGTCGGAGTCGGTGTTCGATTGCGACCCCTTCGAGCTGGTACACCTGCAGCACTTGAACATTGCTCGGCTTTGCTTTGTTTATCTGCGATATCTCGTCTCTCAAGTATTGTCGTCGGCTTGTTGTTATGTCTCTCACGCGGCCGCCGTATCCTCTCGTCCTTGATATCGCTTATTCGTCTCTAACGGCCTAGTCGTTTACTCGCTCGGTCGCGATGTCCTCACAAAATCGATGAAAAAAACGCTCTTGCCTCTCGCGAGCACGTAAATTCTCTTCTAAATTAATATCGCGAAATCTCACGAGCTAGCTGATCCTGATGAGCTTGCGGCAAATCTAACAGTCACTGTCCGGTATAAAAATTCGGTGCGGTCGACTCTCTCTCTCTCTCTCTCCCTCTCTCGGTGCGAGACGCACTCGTCAGCTCAATGTAAAACTTGTATTTTACGTTCGCACGCAAGGTAAAACTCGACGGAACAAATAAATATGCTTGACCGAGTTCTCTTCAACAAGGAACACGCGTTTCTCGGTAAACTCCTACAGGAAATTCAACAGACGCGAACAATATAAAACTCGATAGATCCAACAATCTCGTCATCCGCGACCTTGGCGACGTGTTTCTTACTTCGTGTGTGAGCCGCCGCTTTTCTCGTCCCTCTCGTCTAGCTTCTCTCTTCACGAGGGGAGTCTCCCGGTGATGCGTCGGGCAACTCGCTCTCGCTCGTCAATGTGCATAAAAGAGTGCAGGGTGGCGATTGTTGCTTCACATTAGACGCTGCTGCACGACTCCGGCTCACTCGCTTGTCGCGCAAATGTGATTCCTGCTTAACTAACAGCTTGCTCGCGACTGCACGATCCGCGGTCGCCTCGGGACGCTTTAATAGACAGCCCGGCGATAAATATGGGAGGTCAAACTTAACGGATGAAGCTGCCGTAGCGCGCTTCGAATCCACCAATAAAATCCCGCCCCTCTTGGGAACGGTCGCAGGAGCGCGTTTGAAACGCAAAACTCGGCGAGCTTGGGTTGCGATTCCGCAGGCAACAACGACGCGCTTCCAGGAGACCCCGCGACCTCTCGGCCGAGGACTATGCGCGATCTTTGCTTGATTACTAAAGGACACTCGGGAAAGTATTCTCCCCGGGACGCTCGTTATTCACTGAAAAGAATTCAATCGCGCAGATCGGGGGATGAAGAGCCGCCGCTTATCGGTGACACTCTCTCGGCGCACTTTACTCAGGCACCGAGGCGGATAATCGAGAGTCCTGGAGCACTCGGCCGCGCCGCAGGAGGGACGTTCGTCCCATCTCACGGTGTCAGTCGCCGCACGCCCGCAGCCGTCCCGGCGTGATGACGAGAGATGCGCAAAAGCCGGCAAAAGTGCACTTGTGTGTGTGTAATCTAGGCGGAAAAAGGCAGGCGGAAGCTTTGGCAAGTCGGCGAAGAAGTCGGAAGAGAAAACTTTGGCGGCGTTTCGCGGAGAACTTTTTTGCGAGGAAGGAAGATAAGGGGGGATAAGGAGGAACGCGGCGGGACCACCGGGACGAGCAACGGGAGAACCGGCGAGGAGAAGGCTGACGAGGAAGGCGGAGGCAAAGGCGGCGGCTGGATAACGTCCCGACGCCCCGGTCCGACGTTCCCAGTTTCGACCGGCGCGGTGCGTCGCATCGCGCCGCGTCGTCTCACCTCGCCGCGCCGCGCCGCGCCTTCACCTCGTCACACCTCGCCCGGGTCCCCACCAGCGAGTGCTGCCGCTGGTCGGACGAGAGCCGAAATCATGCTGTGTACATTTATCCGCTGGAACTGGCTGAAATATCGGCCTGATGCATAATTTCGAAGTTGTAGCGGAAGTCTGTCCGAGAAGAAAGGAAATTTTCCCTACTGATAAATTTCTATTGACATCTAAAATGAGATTTCCGGAAAATTTCCTGTTGTCCCGAGATCCCAGTTGTTTCATATGGTATCTCAATTGAGATATGAAAAAATGAGTAACAATATTTCAATTGAAATATAAAAAAACAGCTTCTCTACTTTTCTTAACTGAAATATAATTACTTATTTTTCAAAATTTCTATTGAGGTCTAAAATGGAATTTCCAAAAAATTTCCCATATGAGATCCCAGTTGTTTCATATATCTCAATTAAGATATCGTATGAAAAAATGAGTAATAATATTTCAATCGAAATATAAAAAAACAACTTTTCTACTTTCCTTAACTGAGATATCATTAATTATTTTTTTAAATTTCTATTGAGGTCTAAAATGGAATTTCCAAAAAATTTCCCATATGAGATCCCAGTTGTTTCATATGATATCTCAATTGAGATATCGTATGAAAAAATGAGTAATAATATTTCAATCGAAATATAAAAAAGCAGCTTCTCTACTTTTCTTAACTGAAATATCATTACTTATTTTTTTAAATTTCTATTGAGGTCTAAAATGGAATTTCCAAAAAATTTCTCATATGAGATCTCAATTATTTCATGTGATATCTCAATTGAGATATCATATGAAAAATGAATAATGATATTTCAATCGAAATATCATGTGGAAAATAAAACAACTTTTCTAATTGAAATATCATTAGTTATTTTTTAAAATTTCTATTGGGGTCTAAAATGGAATTTCCAAAAAATTTCCCATATGAGATCCCAGTTATTTCATATCTCAATTGAGATATCACATGAAAAAATGAATAATGATATTTCAATTGAGATGTCAAGTGAAAAATACAAAAACTTTTCCTATTTTTCTGATTTGGAATATCGTTACTTATGTTTTTAAATTTTTATTCAGATCTAAAATGGAATTTCCAAAAAATTTCTCATATGAAATCCCAGTTGTTTCATAATTTCCATTTTCTAAAATTTCCATTGAGATTTAAAATAGAATTTCTAAAAAAATTTCCCATGTAAGATCTCACTTGTTTCATATGATATCTCAATTAGGATTCTTCTGAAAAAATAAGTATTGATATTTCAATTGAGATATCATGTGAAAAATAAAAAGCTTTTCTATTTTTCTAAATTGAAATATCTTTATTTATAATTAATTGAAATATCTTTATATATCATTACTTATTTTTTCATATGATTTTTCATGTGATATCTCAATAGAAATATCATTGATTATCTTTTTAAATTTCTATTAAGATCTGAAATAAAATTAAAAAAAAATTTCCCATATGAGATCCCAATTGTTTCATATGATATCTCTCAATTGAGAGATATCATATGAAAAATTAGTAGTGATATTTCAATTGAGATATGAAAAATAAAAAAGTTTTTCTATTTTTCTCAACTGTATGAAATATAATTACTTTCATTTTCATATGATCATTCATATGATGTCCCAATTGAAATATCATTTCTTATTTCTTTTAATTTCTATTGAGATTTAAAGTGAAGTTTCTAAAAAATTTTTCATATGAAATCCCAGTTGTTTCATATGATACCTCAATTAAGATATCACACGAAAAAATGAATAATGATGTTTCAATTAAGTCATGTGGAAAATAGAAAAGTTTTTTCTATTTTTCTCAATTGAAATATCATTATTTATTTTCTCAATAATAGGGAAATTTTTCGGAAATCTCATTTTAGATCTCAATAGAAATGTTCGAACAGAAGTTCATAATGTTTCACACGTCACTTTAGAGTCTCTTAGAGCAGGACTAGGGCTTTAAAACAATGTGATGTACGAAACATAACAAAAAATCCTTCTTCTCTTAGACAAACTTCCGTCGGGAAGTAAACGCTGCGGAATTAAGCACCAACTCAACATCTCGCCGAGCGGAGCGACGAAACGCAGACGAACGCGCCACAAGGAGCAGCTTCTTCGCTTCCGCCGCGTCAGGCGGTTTTCAGCACGTTTATAGTCGAGCTGCAGCGATCACTCGAACGCGTGCGCCTCGTCGGCAGAAATTATCGCGGATTTTCAGGGCGGACATTTGAGATCTCGGGAGAATCAACGGCACGTTACTCGTCTCTCGCGCTCGCAGCAGCAACTTACGATTTTGCCATAAGTGCAACAGGTTCCTATAAGCCTCCGGCAGGATCGCCGACTCGCTCTTTCTTTTCCTACGCTTTTCCTCGCCCGGCATCTCGTTGCCTTCCCTTCGACGTGATTCGCACCGGAGACTCTTCGCTCGGAAGAGAGGAAAGGAACTCGGCCGGCTCGAAGCGACGTGAAACGCGTGCGACTCGATGGAACGGCGGGGTATGACTAATGAATGATGATAACGGATCGAGAGCCGATCTAGACCGTGCGAGCGGCTGAATCTTAATCTCTCTCGATCGAATCTCAGGGACGTGTCAGTGACGAGGCGAAGCAGCGAATTCGCGCGTAAATCAGCAGCTTTGCAGTCTCCCTCTAATTCCGTCCTTTTCGGAAATCGCAATATTCGGAATCGTTTCTCCCTTTTCTAAAATCAGATCCGTCTCTCCCTTTTTCGCAAAAACCTTCAAAAGAGAAGCAAAGGCTGAGTGCTGTCAAGTCCGAATAAAAAATCTTGAAAAATCTAAAGCTCGTCCGGCGGTTTAGCTACACACCGTAAGACACTTCCTGTAGCTGACGTCGGATGATCACGTCATGACATCCTGCGGAAAGGCAAGATGACCGGAGGAAAGTCACGGGAAGAGGAAGCTGGAAGAGGACAGACTCCGCGGGAAACGGAGGAATTGCACTTTGCAGGACACACTGAAAGATCGAAACGGCGGCTGTCGGCCCGACGGGTTACCCGTCGCGCCGACGGCGCGGTGATACGTCACCGACGTCAAACGTCAGATGGAGGTGCGTGACTCACGCGGAGGAACGCCGAAGCCGGAACGCGGCGGCGGATAACCAAGAATCGCTCGCGGACGATTTGCCAGCGTGTACCGGAGCGACGAACGCACTCGCGAGCGGTCGCGCGTATTGACGTGACGATTCCTCCGGCGATGAGTCGAGGAGGAGCCTTCGGCAGAGCGGTGCTCTGCTCGATGCCCTGTCGCGGTCGCGACGACGTTCGTCGTCGCCGCGAGTAAACGGCGTTGTCCACTCACCGTGAGCGAAAATTTCCACGCAACTCGCCGCCGCACACGGTCCTTCCTTCGCAGGATCGACGAGGACAGCCAAGGGCGATCTGTCGTACGCAGAAATCCCGACCCGACGATACTAGCGTGCGATACACTTGGGGCGTTTGCCGTTTGCCGTGCCGTTTGCCGGATGCCGGAAGTACACACCGTTCTCCACTTAGCTCGACTTGGCGACGGCGACGCGGCGGCTTGAAAGCGCCAATCGCAGGCACGCATGTGCGCTTATCTTCGGCTTCCGCGCGCAGACGGAGCCGCATGGTGGCGTGTAATCGTCGCAGTCGCACTGAGCCGTGCAGCCGTCTAATGTGTTCGCGTAGTCACGGATTCACCTTTATTTAGTTGATTTCATCAGCAAAGGCACCTGCTGATCGACTTATTATCGTTATCAACGTTGTGTGATCGTAGATATCCTCATTGAATTGAATTTTGTTACAAAATAAGTGTTGATTGCACCGTAGACGCTTGACAACGAGATAAGGATGAGCACGAAGTTCCTATTTACCGAGTCGACGGAGATCCTCAATGTTTTGCCGCATTATCACACTCTCTTGAAGACGATCTTGGTGATCTCACTCGTTTGGTTTATTTCAAAGAGACGAAAGAATAACTCGATACCCTCGGATGAGTTGGTAGAGAGCAAGCTAGCGGAATGGCAACCGGAACCTCTGATAGGTGAACCACCGAAAGAACACCCTTCGTTGAATCCCAAGTATGTCAATGCCAAAATTGGAAGGCGAATAATTATCAACGGCAAGAATTGCCTCAATTTGGGTACGCACAATTATTTGAATTTAAGTAATGACTCCAAAGTAGAGGAGAGTGCAGTAGCTGCTGTAGAGAAGTATGGTGTTGGTTCTTGCGGGCCACGTGCCTTCTATGGGACTGTTGATGTACATCTTGAATTAGAAGAACGCTTGGCTAAGTTTACAAATACAGAGGAGGCTGTTATATATTCATATGGATTTAGTGCCATAGCATCCGCAATTGGGGCTTACTGTAAACGCAATGACTTGATATTTGTAGACGAGCAAGTAAATTTTGCTATACAAAAAGGATTGGATGCATCTCGAGCAAATATTCAATATTTTAAGCACAACGATGTTCAAGATTTACATAATCTCTTGATAAAACAAGCAGACGTAGATAAGCAAAATCCTAAGAAAGCTGCAAAGACTAAACGCTTCTTGATCATAGAAGGTATTTACAATAAAACAGGAAGTATTTGTCCCTTACCGGAACTATTAGACCTCTGCAAGCAGTACAAATTAAGGATTTTTATCGATGAATCTATATCGCTTGGTACCCTCGGTCCACATGGAAAAGGTGTTACAGAATATTTTAACATTCCAATAACTGACATTGATATGATAATGGGTAAGAGTAACATAGATATGTATATTTTGTGCAGTGACACACTTTTGTTCTCAGTATATTATGTATAATAATTTATGTTTTTCTTATAGGGTCTTTGGAATCAGCTTTTGGATCCATTGGAGGCTTTTGTGTAGGAACATCTTTTGTTATTGAACATCAACGTTTATCTGGACTCGGCTATTGTTTCTCAGCTTCTCTACCACCTTTTCTGTCATCTATTGCTATTGCTTGTCTGGATATTATAGAGAATAATTTGCAGATATTTCAGTCTTTAAAAAATAATGCTCTAGCAGTAGATAGCGGTCTCAAAAGTATTTCGGCATTTGAATGTCCAAGTTTCGCAGAGTCACCTATGAAACATCTATATCTAAAGGATAAAAAAGACTATGCCACTGAAGAGAAATTATTATGTGCAATATCTAACAAATGTATTGAAAATAACTTAGCAGTTATACTTCCTGCCTATCTGGAAGCAGAAATACTTAAACCAAGACCTAGTATTAAACTTTGTGTATCTACTGACTTATCCAAGAATGACATCGATTTTGCACTAGATACCTTGAAAAAATGTGCAGAAGAAGTTTTATCATGTCATGTTATACACGATAGGAACGAATCTTTATAAAAATAAATATATTAAGAGTTTATATAAGTATCAAAATTTTTATAATTTTATAATTTAACTTTGTATTGTGTTATACTTGTAACTTTGGTGTTATGAATATTTTATTATTAATGGTTAATAAAAATTCAACCAACTATTATTTCTAACAATACATTTTTTATAACCGTTGATTAATTTAGAAAGCAAAAACGTATTCGAAGAGAAGGTAACATTTTGACAGTTTAAACTTTGTAAACAAGCAACAATTAATCTTTTATATCAATTTTGTATACTATTTTTTTATTTGTTCTTAAGGAGATGCCATACTTGTCGACAAAATATTAATATTTTTCTGCAAAATGACGTTGCATTTATCAGAGAGAAACCTAAGAACGGCCACGGCCGCGTTTTGCTTGAGGCGCTTTTTCGCGACTGTTTGATACCGCGCTCTGCATCCATTTTTAGCTGGGAACTATTTGCTGCATCCATTGTCTGGCGCGCCGGTAAAGTCTCCACTTGGTGCGAGTCCGTGCTACGTCCGCTTTCAGTCGCACGGCGTGCGCAAGCAAACGCGGTCGTGGCCGCTCTCAGGTTTCTCTCTGACCCAACTTGCCCAGAACCATCTATGGAATTGAATTGAATTGGACTCTACTCTACATCATTCTTTAACTCTATGGTCATATGTATTGCGCCATCTTTATTACTTAGCCATTTTCTTACATCCGTTGTGAGGTACGTTGGGTCCTCGTGTTATTTTTACGATATTAATATGTACGATATTAATGTTTTGGTAGTTTTGATATTTCCAGTCTGGAGAATTAATACTATCCATTGTCATTATTTGTAGTTAAAAATAATATGAAGTTATATACAAATATCTTTTTGATATTTTGAATGGAAATTAAGAGGTTATAAAATTATGTTCTGAACGAATAAAAGCTGTACAGTAGGATAAATTGAAAGAATCCTTATTAATATTGATGTAAATGTGCATTAAAATAATAAGAAAACTACTTTTTAATATTAAAACAATTCGTTAACATTAAAAAAATATAAAAAACTTGAAAGAGAAAATAAAAAATAACTGATAAACTTGTTATATATAGGTTTTATACATAGAAGATATGTTAATATAATCTAAACGGAAGAAATGATTAGTATAAACTTTTAAATTTCTGATTTATTTTTAGTCCTTAAATTCCTACAAGGTATCCCTACACACTTTTCAAGATGGGTAGGGAGGACAAAACAACTTGGAAATCAAATTATTTTACTAAGCTTGTAGTAAGCATTTTTTTTTAATTTATATATTATATTATTTATAGCATTTACTAAAATGACCTTTTTTTAATATCAGCAACTATTGGATGATTATCCAAAATGTTTTATTGTGGGAGCAGACAATGTTGGTTCCAAGCAAATGCAACAAATACGCATGTCATTGCGTGGAAATGCAGTAGTTTTAATGGGCAAAAACACTATGATGAGAAAAGCTATTCGTGGTCATGTTGAGCGTAATGCTGCATTAGAAAAATTACTACCTCATATTCGTGGCAATGTTGGATTTGTTTTTACTCGTGGGGACTTAATTGAAGTAAGAGACAAGTTACTGGAGAATAAAGTGCGTGCACCTGCTAGAGCTGGTGCCATAGCACCCTTGAGTGTTGTCATTCCAGCTCAGAATACTGGACTTGGTCCTGAAAAAACTTCATTTTTCCAAGCGCTGAGTATACCAACCAAAATTTCAAAGGGTACCATTGAAATAATTGTAAGTACCTGTAGAGAAATTTATAAATTTAATATTTGAGATGTATTACTTCGCAAATATAAAAATATGTAAAATTTCAGAATGATGTCCATATTCTCAAACCTGGCGATAAAGTTGGAGCTTCTGAAGCTACGCTTCTAAATATGTTGAATATCTCTCCTTTCTCATATGGTTTACTTGTTGAACAAGTATATGATTCTGGTACAATTTTCGCTCCTGAAATTTTGGATATCAAACCCGAGGATCTCCGCGAGAAATTCCTGGCTGGAGTTGCAAATATAGCCTCGATTTGTCTGTCAATTGGTTATCCCACAGTCGCTAGTGCACCTCACAGCATTGCTAATGGCTTTAAGAACCTGTTGGCCATTGCTGCTGTCACTGATGTCGAATTTGCAGAGGCTGCTACTATCAAGGAATATATCAAGGTATGATTTTTTACATATATATATTTATTTTGGAAGAAGGATTGTATATATTATCTGAAAATTGGAGAACCCTAGGTTTAACTGTGTTTCATTTTTTAATAAATTATTACTCATAGTTAACATGGTATACATATATATCATTTAAAAATGTTTACAAGTTGAAAAATTTTTGCACAAGATTTAAAAAGGCTGCTATAAATTTCTAAACTAAATAAAAATAATAAACTGATTTGCTTTCATTTCTGAGATATTTAATACTTAATACAAAGGTAAAAAAATATATTTGAAAGTAAAAATTTTAATGCAATTGCTACCTTATAATAGACATTCAAAGTAATTGTTAAACAATTTTTCAATTTTAAAGAAAAAGACCATTTTCAATATCTGTTATAAATTAATGGTTTACATTAAGCATTAAATATTTTGAAGCTTTACAAGCTTCTGTATATAATATACATTGTTTTTTTTAATTTAGATGTACCGAGTATGTGTGCAAAATTTTTAATATATATTTATATAGCCATCTTGCTTTACTTTTGCTATTGAAAACTGTAGAGATTGATTTCTTTTTATGCAAGGCACAGATGTATTTCCTAGTATTTAATTATTCCTATACATAATGATGATGAACTTTGCACATCTAAAGATCTTGGTTCACGTGTCGGAGCTAGAAATAGCAGAACCCACCGATGCGTCAAGATCAAGGTTGAAATATTGCGTGGAAACGCTGTCTGAACCAATTATAGTGAAAAGACATTTTACCAACAAAAAAGCTATATCGATAAAGAGTAACGGAACTTTTCGGTTACAGGATCCAAGTAAGTTTGCTGCTGCAACTGTAGCAGCTCCATCAGCCACAACTGCCGATGCTCCTGTCGCGGAGAAGAAAGAAGAGAAGAAGGAGGAGTCCGAAGAGTCCGACGATGATATGGGATTCGGATTATTTGATTAAATAATTATCTAAAGGGCTCGTCTTTGATATTGGAATAAAACTCCATTTGTACGACTCCAGCTTTTACTGCGTACCAAACTCTCAGCTCTCCCTACGTTTAAACACGTCCGAATTGTTTTGAATATTATTGCACAAGGTGCAATATTTATTGTTACATAATGTTACGTTACGTTCTGTTACATAATATATTGAATATAAGCGCGAATCACACAATGTAGAATCGCGGAAATATTCGAGTGAGTCAGGAACGTGAGTAACAATTACCTCAATTAGAGACAAAAATGCGAAGTGAACGTTTCATTTTTTTCCTTATGAAAGAAGACATGCGGAAAGCTCGAAGTGAACGGAAGAAAGGGGGTGTGTCGTTTCGTGGAATTCCTTTGAGCTTATCGGAACGAGTAATTTGTTTATCTCGAGTGGCGCGCGAGATAAAAAGGCAGAAAGACATTTAATATTCCGGCACTCAAAGATGTAATAACGCTCGTCATCATTAGCATGATTACGTGACATGACGCCACCGTGCGGCCCGGAGAAGGGAGGAAGGAAGACGGGGTGGGGCGCTACAGTACCACTTCGCGCTGTTGGTCTCTCCAGTCCACAGAGAGCTGATCAGAGCTGATGGTGGCGGTCGGTGTAACTCGGCACGAGTCGGACCGGATCGGTTTTCCGCGAAATTTCTTTTCGTCTATCAAATTTTCAAAGGCGCACCAGTAGTCCTGTCGTGTACGCGTCGTAGCTGAGGATGGGTCTACTCTCCGAAGGAAGTCCCCTGAGCTGGGAAGAAACGAAGAAACTGTCCGATCACGTGCGCAAACATGGAGTTATACAATTTATTAACCTGTATAAGAGACTCAGAGACAGGCAAGGGGACGTCCTCAAGTGGGGCGACGAGGTACGTTACAAATTAATCTGCCGGTCTCGCCGTCACGGTGTACCGTATCATTTTAATTTGCACTGTCATTCCGTCGAAATGTCGAAATTGTTTTGTATACGATCCCGCTAACCCGTGTCCCATAACCTTTACCGTTCGATTCGACGGATGATATATCGCTCGCGCAGTGTGTATAGTCTGCTATAGTCGCTTAAATATTTATTACAATGTCACCGGAAAGTGGATCGAAGACTGTGCAAGGTTTCACTTTTTCTTCCGACATGTGTCACATATGTTATACATATATCATGCTGATTTTCTTGCATGATAATTGTACGTCCTGCTATTATTGCTAATAATTGATGACTTATCCGTTTGTAGTCATATCTCATCCGCAATCGTATCTTATCTCCAAACTATCAATTATACTTTGGACTTCCTGCCTGTTAAATAATCTAAATTACGCAAATTTCATGTATTCCAGGAATATTTTTAATTATTATGTCGAAAATTATCTTACTACAGACTCAAATATATTTTATTCTTTATTTACAAAACTTATGAGTATAATGGGGTGGTTGATTAAAACAGTACAAATGTATAAATTTATTCTGGATATCACAAGTAACATAATATTTAGAAGAATCTATAATAATTTTAATCAGCCTGTTATTTTGTATTGTTTTCTCCATTGTGACATTTTTATATTTAGCAAATATATTACAAGTTCTAATAAATATAATCACTTTTACATAGGTGGAATATATGCTTATAAAATTTGACGATGAAGTAAAAACTGCGAAACTTAGTTTGAGAGGTGCAGAAATATTAAAAACCCTAAATGAGAAAGAAAATGAAGACCCGGAGTAAGTATACTAATATTATTCTAATATTTGAATAATATTCTAGAGAATATGTAGAATATATAAAAATATATAAAAAGATATATATACATATATAATATATATAGGATACATGGAATATATATAAAAAGGAAAGTTATCTCAAGTAGCATTTAGATATCATAGATATTCTAGGCGTAGAGATCAAGAGATATATCAAGATATTATATCAAATACTTGTTTTCCAACCAAGTTTAACTAGTCTATTATATCAAACTCATGACTTATTTATGAAAATCTGTTGATATTATACAAATTACATAAATGTAAAAATCTGATTATTTACAGTAATGTAAAATCACTTTGGAGACCAGAATATGGTGCTTACATGCTTGAAGGAACTCCAGGAAAGCCATATGGAGGATTATTAGCTCATTTCAATGTTGTTGAAGCTAACATGCGCTATCGTAGGCAAGAGGCAACAAAATTGCTTCAGTCAAATGAAGTTTTAATGTCACTAACAGTTTTCCCAAGGTACCTATGAAAAAAAAGTTATTGGTATGCTAAGATTTTGCCTTCATATTTTGTAAATTTTATTTATATTGTAGAATAGGAGCTCCAGATTTTACCGATCCCCCCACTCATCCGACACCTAGTGCTGGTGCTTCTAGGAGCTTGTTTTTTCCCGACGAAGCTATATTCCCCGGTCACCCACGATTTAAGACACTGACCAGGAATATAAGAGAACGTCGTCGCGAAAAAGTAGCCATAAACATTCCTAGTATGTAACATGTATTTTATATTTCTTGCGGGAACTTGTTCGCACTATTTTTATTTAAATTGAATTGGTCGAATTCCATTTTGCGCTCCGCAATACAAACAAATCTCTCTAGTTTACAGAGATGAAAACGTACCGCTGTTATTCAAAGAAGACCTTATCAGCAAAGGAGACGACGGCTCGTCTTCTAAAGCAGCTCAGGATAATCACATTTACATGGACGCGATGGGTTTCGGGATGGGGTGCTGTTGCTTGCAACTCACCTTTCAGGCGTGTAACATACAGGAAGCCAGAACATTGTACGACCAGCTGACACCTCTATGTCCGATCATGGTTAGTGTTAATTGTTCACCGATGCTTACGATTCCCTCCTTTCTCATTTTTCCCTCTCCCTGTCTTCTTTCCCCCAAGTAATAGCAATATTACTGTCAGAATATTTTTTCACACGTACGTTACAGAACGTTTGTTTAACATTCGATAGTTGGCTCTAACCGCGGCCAGTCCATTTTATCGGGGGTATATAAGCGACGTCGACTGTCGATGGAACGTCATATCTTCTTCAGTGGATTGCAGAACACGGGAAGAGCGTGGCTTGATACCTCTGAAAGAGAATAAATTTAGAATCAGTAAGTCCAGGTATGACTCTATCGATTCGTACCTCAGTGAGCAAGGTGAAAAGTATAACGACGTTCCTCTGACATACGATAATGAGATATACAAGCAACTTCTGGACAATGGGATTGATAAGTTGCTTGCGCAACACATAGCTCATTTGTTCATCAGGGATAGCGTTTCCTTGTTCTCCGAAAAAATACATCAAAATGACTTAGAGGATACGGATCACTTCGAGGTAAGACTGCAATTGCAGTTGATTCGACGTGTCGTTAACGCTGCTGTAGCCGACGCGCTTCAGCCATGATCGTAATCACTAACGTTGTTTCAGAACATACAATCCACCAATTGGCAAACCATGCGCTTCAAACCGCCACCGCCGAATTCTTCTATCGGCTGGCGCGTCGAGTTCCGTCCATGCGAAGTGCAGATCACGGACTTCGAAAATGCCGCGATAGTTTGCTTCACGGTGCTGTTGACAAGAGTTATCCTGAGCTACAAGCTGAATCTTCTGATCCCCATTAGCAAGGTCGATCAAAATATGGCCAGGGCGCAGAAGAGGGACGCGGTTAAAGCGGAGAAGTTCTGGTTCCGTCGCGATATCACTTCGGATTCTAAGAAGCCCGATGACGCCCAAGCGGAATACACTGAATTTACAATCAACGAGATCATTAACGGAAAGGTATTGAATATATATTTTTAAATAGTGTTTAATTGAATATTAGATATAACTAGAGACGCTTAATTAGATGTTATACTCTTTAAATATTGAGTTATTCGGAAAATAATTTCGGTTTTCTGCATAAAAATGAAAGACGATATTTTTAATAGAAAGAAAAGTTTTATTCTGTTAAATATATTGACCCATTTTTGTTCTAACACCTTTCGCCATCTTTGAGGTAATAACATGATTCCACGCTCGTAGAACTGGTCGTAGAACGCTGGTAGCTCTGGTCCTTATTGGCAAAAAACTGAATTATGTGGTTTTTGATACCTTCATTTGAATCGAAATTTTTACCATCCAAAGAATTTTGCAGTGACCGAAACAAATAATAATTGGATGGTGCCAGATCAGGCGAATATGGTGGGTACGATAGCAAGTCCCATCTAAGCGCTAATAGCTTCTGGCGAGTCATTAAACTTGTATGAGGTCTGGCTTTGTCATGATGGAACACATCATCTTTTCTATTCGCCAATTCTAGTCTCTTTTGTTTGATAGAATCATTCAATTTGTCCAATTGGTGACAATACACATTCGAATCAATCGTTTGGTTGTTTGGTAGCAACTCCAAAAAAACTATTCCTTTTCAGTCCTACCAAACAGAGAGCATCACTTTCTTTTGATATCAGTTTTTGAGCTTTGGACTGGTTCATTTGCTCCATGGCCTTTTGCGTTTAATATTGCAAACAATCCATTTTTCATCTCCAGTTATGAGTCGCTTCAGCGCTTCAGGAATAGATGATTTTCCTCACGTTTCAACAGCAAATCGCGGATGGTAATGCGACGAATCAAATCTCTTTGAGAACGTGTGGAAGCCAAATATCGAGCTTTGAAACGAAACCAAGCTGTTTCAAATGCTCATACACAGTCGAATTTGATAAATTCAATCTCTCAGCAATTTCTCGTGTTGCTAAGTGACGATTTGCATCCACCAATATGTTTATTTGGTCTTTATCAGCCTCCATTGACCTTCTAGAACGTATGTGTATCTTTGAAGTCGAAATTCCCAGAACTAAATTTCGAAAACCAATTCTGACACTGACGTTCAGTCACAACACATCCTCTCCATACACGGCACATAATTTTTTTTCTTGCTTGCGCTACATTTTTGCCTTTACAATAATAAAAAAATAAAATATGATGAAAATCCTCACGTTAGTTTTCCATTTTTGATGCGACGCTAAATAAAAATAACTTGCCAGATTCCAAAACAATTTTTTTTTTTTAATGAAGCTTGAAATGTGCGTTGTAAAAATATAAAATGATTTTTTAGTTTAGAATGAGGTTGACTGCTTAAAAAGGCAACTAGCACCATTTCATAGCATTTCACAGTATATATTTGAAGAAGAAAGAAATCACTTTCCGAATATACCACCCAATATATAATTCTCTCCTGTTCCCTTTCTACAAATAATCTAATAAATGTCGACTATAATTGTTGATGTTTTTGCAGGATGGTGGTTTTCCCGGCTTAGTGCCGCTAGTAAATTCCTATCTTGCTAACATGGATGTAGATGCTGATACGCACTGCACTATTCAAAGATACTTCAAACTGATACAAAAACGAGCCTCCGGGGAGGTTTTAACAACTGCCGCTTGGCTCAGGAAAGAAGTCATTTCGCATCCCGAATACAAGTAAGCGAACATGCGTTTGTCTGTTTCTCGAGACTGCCACTATTATCTTTTGCAACAAATTATATTCTAATACGAAATATATTCTAATAACGAAAAATTAATGATGCAGACACGATGCGGTAATAACGCAGCGCATCAATTATGACCTTCTGAAAAAGATCCAAGACATCGTTTCCAACGAGGTGGAGTGTCCAGAGTTGCTCGGGCACTGTATATCATCTAAAACCACCGAGACTATACCCGCCGCGGTTGCAAAGGCAGAAAACTGTTCAACGGCAAGTTTTTAACGACGACGAGTTTAAGCATTTGAGGTAAATCGGAGAATATCTGTTTTATAACATTATTGTGCATATTTAATAGCGTTAGCTCGCGTGATTAAATAAGTACGTTTCTGTGTTTACTGTTTTTTATTCATACAATATGAAAGAAATGTGGATAGTGCAAGAGAAAACTATATTTGTAATTTTATATTCCATTTGTTACACGTGTTATATTGCTTTTATCTACCAAATATGAACATATGTGATAGAAGAGAGAGAAAAATTCCGTGATTTTCAAGAAAAAAAGAAACAGTATTGCAAATATATGTGTATAAATTTAATAAATATCACTGTATAATGATACAAACCGATTAAATCACATTCCACAGAACTCAATTTGTGCCCGATTTGTTTCAAAATTATATATATTAGAAGATATTGCATATATATTGAAAAATTAAGTAACCAAACAAATGGTATATTTATCAGCAAATATATAAATAATATGCATGTTCGAGAACTTGTTTTTCTATTGTTACGGATTCGACAATTACCCACTGTTTAATTTAAAATTAATAAAAATTAATTTAAAAAATTATTTAACGAATAATTTATTTAATAAACAATTTTAATTTTGAGACTACTTAATATTTCAATATCGCATAGTTGAACATAGTTTATAACATGAGAGCAGTAACAGCCAACTTTAAGTTTATACAGTGATACTTGTTAAATTTTTAAACTATATGCACATGTATATTTTCAATACTTTTTTTACTAAGAAAGAAGCGACAATAGTGCAAGAAAACAATATATTTGTAATTTTATATTCCATTTGCTATGCATGTTGCATTGCTTTTTACCAAATGTAAATGTATGTGATAAGAGAGAAAAAATATATCCATGATAAATCAACGAAATTACATTCCGCAGGACTCGATTTATGCGTAATTCGTTAAAAAAAAAAGAAAAAAAAAGAAAAGAAAAGAAAAAATGTGAATGAATTGATATATTGTTGCGAGTATATTGAAAAATTAAATGATCGAACAAACGATAATAAATTTATTTATTAGTGTATTAATGACACGGCATATATGGGTAGTTAAAATTACCAGAAGTTTTAATGTTACTTGCTTTCTTAAGATCAAGTTTCATAATCTTTTGTACCGATTTTTACTCACTTTTTGTCAAATTTACCTAATGGTTGACAATATCAACGCGAGTTAGTTTTGATCACAGTGTTAAAGGCAATTCTTGCAATTTTTGCCCGAATAAATGACTTCTCTTCCAATTATGTTCTGTTGAGTAGAAATATATTTAAAACATCAAAATTGCTACAAAACTGGACTTTGGTTGTCATTTTGTTATCACATTTTAAAGGCTCGTTTCGTCTTTAGTTATACGAACCCCTTGACAAAAAGATCATTTACACGGTCGTTTGCAGGAATTGCATTAGAGTGAATTTCTACTTAATGTTCAAATATAGGCGACTCGTCTGAGATGTATGTATATTATCTTCGTTAGTTATCTTCCAGTATGCTTTCAAACAATATTATACACAGTATTTCCAGATCATCTTAGGGTGATCCCATAATTTTGTTCAACATATACCAATTAAGTATGGTTGAATTATAAAGAGTTAGAGAGGAATTATGTGCAAAATATTTAGATGCTAAATCTTTATTAGATAGTCTATACGACAAGTGTGATCAAAGAGAAAAATATCATATGCATGTGTGTATATATATATATACTTACATATAAATATATATATATGTGCATAATACACACACATATATATATAATATAGATATGTACTTAAGATTGAAAATAACTGTACAAAAATATGATATATATTTCTAACATACTAGCCTTTGGAATATAAATTATGCGAAATGAATTGTAAAATAAAAGGTACACTGCAACATAACAGAGTGTCTGTGGAGGAAAGCTCGATACTTTGACACAATCATTTCCCAAAGTCTTGAACTTCTTTCTCAAGAACAGGGGTATACTGTATATACATACATCCTTACAATACTTCTCGCAACTTGAAAGGAAGTTAGTTTAAGTAGAGATGTTATCATTTAAATAAATCAATAACAATGCACCTCCTGTCATTTTGCCATCTCTTCCTTCTATTTTTATTAAAAACTTTCTTTTAGATATATGAAAAGTGATATTGCATACAAGTGTTCAATCTACAGAGAAATATAGTTTCAATAATAAAAATAAATGTTTTTATTATTTAATTATTTTAATTGTTATAGTAGTGTAAGATATTCTGATTTCAACGATGCTCATACTTACTGAGTAACTTTTGAGTTATATCTGTATAAATTCATCATGTTTATCTAAACTTGTTCTATATGAAATATAGCTGTTCCACAGTAGGGCAACTGATTGTACAACTAGAGCTTGATAGTTTAAAGACACCAAGGAAAAGTTCATAAGTTGCACCATAGGCCATAACTAAAATAACAATGATGCAGTAGTAGATTGTAAAGCACATAAGTAATATTGAGCTGTTTTTACAAGTTTTCTTACCTTATAATTATTAATTAATATATCACTATATTCATTTAATAATTTAGTCTTTAGCCCCTTGATATCTTTTCCTTGACAAAAACCAATAGCAACCAGTAAAACTGCTATAAAAGTGGGCGCAAAAAGCAATTGATCGCAAACAACCTTTTTTATTCCAACTATGTAACCTTTAGAACCTATATATTTATCTAAAATGCCATACCACGTTCTTGTTGCAGGACCCTATATATTTTATTGATACATATATAAATATTCTTAGATAATATGTTTTATATTTCTGGATATTATGTTAGTAGTATATTTGATCAATTTTCAAAAATTAAACATATAAATTAGACATTATTAGAATCATTCATCTGGAAGATACCTGCAATTATTAAAAAATATTTTTTTTCATATAATTACTTACACTAATGAACAAGCCAATTCCAGCAAATTGCATTGTTCGTACATAATCAATAGCTTTTGGACCACTTTCTATAAAATTTTGTGCAATCTGATCTCCAAGACCCATGAGTATTCCTATATATATCAAGTTATAATATATTATACATAATTACATATTATTTACAGATATATACAGATATAGTAACTGGTTAATTACATTACCAGCTTGTACTGCTTGAGTACCCACAGGATACTTCTTTAGTGCTGTTCGGTATATTTTACTTATATTTCGCATTATCTGTCACTCGAGCATCACGTCACGTCGTTGAATAAAATTGTCATTCATTAGACGATACCGTCGTAAGATATTTGTTCAGGTTAGGTAGTCTAATAAAATAATAGATATGAATCTTATGAATCATAGACTGACACAAAGCTTATCTAGCATTATCATGAAAATATCAAATTTAAAATGACATCATAAGGTATCAATTGATCAATCGAATGAGAAATTGCTCGATTAATTATCCCGGATACGATCATGTAGTTTAATTGTACTAATAATGTGAAGTAATTAGCTGATTGGCAATCAATTCATCTGATGCTGATCTGTTTCAAATTTATTAACATTAAAGTGGAAATTATCACACTATATTGCACTTTTCAATACTTTCTGTACTTTTTGAACCTGTCATCAATTTCTGTGCACTTCATAGTTCATGGTTCAATAGATGGCTCCAGGCGGGACAATTCCGCTCCTACGCCAGGGTACCTACAGAGAGGAACGTGAGAGCCAGCCAGAACACAGATTTCTGCATAACACATAATACATAACACATAAGAGAATAAACCAATTAGTTTTCTTCATTTCCCTCCTCAGGACAGAAATGAAGAACTCTGATTGGTTGATTCTCTTATGCGTTGTGCAGAAGTCTGTGCTCTGGCCCTTACTTTTGCAGCTAATATAGACGAGCCTTTAGAACCTTATTCTTATAACCATTGTAGATGGGCCTTTAGCATATTAGCACCTTCCTTTTTTTCGCTCGACAATTTGTCAATTGTCAATTTCTATGCAGCTCCAGTCTTAAGTCAGCGGCACACGGTGCTTGTTTTCGTGCTGGATTGCTTGCTGGATGAAAATACTGCGTTCTGATTGGTGTATTTCCATCCATCTTCGGAAATGTACCAATCACAACGCAATATTTTCATCCAGCAAGCAATCCAGCACGAAAATAAGCACCGTGTGCCGCTGGCTTTAGGCCCAGTTCCACAATTTGCTTTAAACTCCGTTTAAACGTTTAAATGTTTAGCAATGATGGAAAATAAAGATTAAAAAATGTTATTACAGTCGAGTGTATAGAATAAGTATATATTCTATGCCGCACGATCGCTCGCGACTTGCCCGCCGCCTATACATGAAATCAAGGTCGAGGAAAAAGAACGCAGGATTATTTGTTCCTCTTACCGATGTTCCTTATCTATTTTATCCTATTCGCAAGTCAAGTGACAGTTTCGTCATATGAAAGGGATACGCGATACGGTCGTGATAAAGTTTAAAAATTATCCCGAAAAAATTCATGAAGGTAATTTCAAATGTAAAAAACTTGGAAAATCTCGCGAGAAAGCTGCCATGCTTCAAAAATTTTCACGAAATTCGATAATTATTAACGAAATAAATAATTACGCTTACACGTCTAACGTCAAGTTCTTGCCTGCAAGAGACAACTAGTTTTCCGTTTAAAAACTCGCACAGTGTATTTCAGATCATGTATCAATATTGAATACCTCAGTATCATCGATTATGTTATTACGTTGGGATTATTCTTTAAATATAAATCGCATATAATTATGGAGGACATTAATATCAATTAACTGTTAATGGATTCGCGTGTGCGGTTATTGGTAATCGGGTAGAACCATTTAATAAACCTGCCGAGCGAAAACGCGATCGACGTATCGTGACATTATGGAGAAGTTCGCAATTGACTTGGATAAGGTCCTTGATGATTTCGAATTCAACGAAGGTACGTATTTTGGAACAATGTCCGCTGGTTTAACTTCTAATGTCACTCTACAGAATATTCCAGGCTGTATATATTATGATCAATGAATCAAACATCAATTGTAATTACACTTTAAGATAGTCACCATCATTGAATGATATTAGACATATGTATTTACATATCGCGAAAGGCAAATGACAATTCAACTTTCACTAACGCTAACTACACTAACTAATTTTATCACTTGTAGACTGTGCGGAACAAGTAGCATCAGTTGCAACTTCAGCAATCGATGCAGCAAGTACAGACAAGCGTGCTACTGAAACTGTGCGCCCAAAAACATACAATTATGTTGCTGTTAATTCTGAAAAAGGAGAAGCAGTCGATAGTATACCGTCTTTTGAAAAATACAAAGACACCCGGCCGATAGATATTGATTGTAGATATTCACTAGCCGAGAGGAACATAGTATCAGTATCAAAAGGTAAAGATTCTATAAATAATTACTATGCACAGGACCATATGGGTGATAAGAAGACTGGACAGAAATTGTGTGTTCATTCTCATGATTCAGATCAAGCACCTTTAACTTTGTACAATGACATATCACACAACTTACTGCAGAAACAACAAAATGGGAGTAACGATTCAAAGGACGACAACAGATATGACAAAAAGTTAAATCAACCGAATATCAAACCTAGTATTAGCAATGTGTTTAATAGTTTAAACGAATATATTAACGCCCCTACTGGGAGTTTGGATTATGTTGAACCTACATTAGACGAGATAGATGATTTGCCCAAAACGTCCATAGATAATATAGAAGAGAAAGATCTTAGACCAAGTAGAAACGTAACGATTAATGAGTGTTCAACTTCTAAAACGAAAGAACTTGTTGATATAACTGGTACAAATACTTTGAATTACAAAGATGTCTTACCGACGGAAGTAGATAAATTAGTCGAAGCAGAAACTATCGGTAAACAAGATGATGCTGTACAAAATGTTATATTGCATTCTACTCCGATACAGTGTGAAAAGAATAGTAATGGCAATGTAACCTCTGAAACAGCGAGTATAGTCAATTTGAAATATGAACATGGTAATATGACTGCAGATACAGAGTTATCTGACAATAAAGTAGATGTTAATGAAAAGTTTAATAACAACAGATCTGATGAGGCTGCTGAAAGTATTGCTGACGAACAGAAGCACTTGAATATAGAGAGACTAAGTTCCACTGACAAATGCACATTTGACGAAGATAAAGATGGCACAATAGATAGTGTTACAAAGTTGGATACGAGTATAGTGAACAAAGTAGAACATGAGGATGTGGAAACGATGAAGAACGTTTCGTCCAATGTGTGTACGACCGTTGATATCAGCTTTTCCGAAGAGGAGTTAAATCGGTATTTATTAGAGTTGGAAGAGGAGGAAAGGCTGAAGGAGGAAGCAACATCATGTGCGAATACTTCGTCGACAAAACCGTACGAGTCGAATGATGATACCGCGAAGACTGCGAGTCAACATCAACGAGACGATGAGGGCGACAAGGAAGCACCAATATTTGAGAAAATTATGATTGGTGAACTTCCAAAGATATCGGAAAAGGAGTCTCAGGAAAAGGAAACGAAGAAGTTCTCCACGATCAGCTACAGCACCGATGCGTGTAGCAAAAATGTAATGGAAGTTTCTACAGGAAAGAAAGACTCACAGGAGCTCGGTGATACCGCGAAGATTGCTTCAGATGAACAAAATAATCAGTCAAAAGACATACAAGATAATGAACAAGGTAAAGCAATGAGAGATAACGACGTAATAAGTCAGGCAACTGGTCAGCATGTGGAAACAGAGGATAATACTTCGCAAGCTATGTCGAATGCAACCGCTGAGGAGAACAAAGTCCCGTCGAAACCGAAAAATGCCGGCGAACCATGCGGTCACGGCGCGAATACGATGCAGAAGTTGAAACAGAACGTCAATGCGGATACACAGTCACAAGATAACAACGACGATGCTGTTAAGAATAAGGAATCGGGAAACAAAGAAGCCCACGATGACAAAGTGCACTGCGAAGTTGTCGAGAGCAACAAAGAAAATGTTCTTATAGTGCATGATAATGAAATGCATAATAGCAGCAAGACTTCCAAGACCGAAGTCGTGGCTACAGTCGCGGATGCTTGTACAGTTCCCAACAGCGACGAGAACAATTCAGAAGCTGGGAAACCTACTCGTCCTCAGACGTTGAATATCGTTTCAACGCATAGCCAAGATGACTCCTATGTACTCGGTAGGTTGTTTAACATATAAATTATGAAGATTGCACGTGTAGTTTGCAATTTAAGGGAAGCAAATGTTGAGTAAAAATTGTGTTATATTGTGGCAGAATCTTCCAGCGCTACGCCAGGAGAAGCTGAGCCTGAACATTCGGAAACTGGTGGTCCTGCTGACGAGGATCGGGGTGCTTCGTCGGATGTTTCCGATAATTCTTTAATGGAATGCAACACAGTTTTGGGGAAACAGCCTCCATTCTGGGTTCCGGATAGCGATGCTCCTTGCTGCATGTTATGCGACGCTAAATTTACCGTACTTAAAAGACGTCATCATTGTCGTGCTTGCGGTAAGGTATGTGAAAACTGACGAAGTTATTCGTTTATATTCGGTGTCGGCCGGTACACGAATTAATAAAAACACAACGAGTTTTATATATCAATATACGTTATCTATATTACATTGCGTGTCATCACATATAGCTTATTCATTGCTTCGCTAACTAGTGTTTCTTCGCTAATTTGCGGCGTCATACTGACATCTGTTCTTTGAACACGATGATCGACTGTTTTTACTGTGTTTGCAATATATTTCGCAGGTGTTGTGTAACAAGTGTTGCAATATGAAATATAGATTAGAATACCAGGGAAACATCGATTCCCGCGTTTGCGTCCTGTGTCATCATGCGCTCACGAAAGGTAAAGGTCGATGTAATTCCATGGATGGAATTTCTTCGATGGAAAATTTATCTTACAGTATTACTTCGGTATGTGAAACAAATACAGCAGAATTTTTATAATTGTACATTTGCGTACTTTTAGCGGAGAGCGAGCAAGGGATGGGCGATTGGTCAACCAGTTACAGCTCGTATCCCGGCTGCAGCGACATTAACTCTCCACAGGTATGTTAATCGCAGTTTACAGTTTGAATTGATCCTTTTTCATTATCCTTTTTCATGATACTTGTAGCGCGAAATTTTCTGTAGCTGTAGGGCATTGAACGCCACTTTGTCAAGTGCCCGTTTGTTAACGAGTTGTGAGAAAAGAAGCCGACTGTTTAAACTTATTAACAAATTATTTTTAGAATTCCGCTCAGTGATGAATTATATTGAATAACACTAAAACTTCTTATAAGCATTGTATGAACATTAATGTAAGTCTAGTCGAGTACCTATAACAACTTGTTGAATACTTCTGTTTAATTTTTATGCTTTATTTGTGCAGACAATTTGTGTACATCAAAAGCAGATTAAGTTGATGTATGTTTAAATAACGAGTTATTAACACACATAAGCAGATTAATATTACATTCCCGTTCTATATTAAAAATTTCAAATATATATCTATATTAAATTAAGTGCGTTTTTTTTTAACTGCACTCACTCTGTTAATCTTTTTGAATTTTATGTAAGTAAAAACATTACAAAAATATAGATTTTGAGGAACTTACTTACATATTCATATCCGACTAGTGATTATAAAAAAAAATAAATCAAATATAGTTGTCATAAATTTATCATTGTTTTTAATAAATATTTTGTATTTGTTTATAATATCAGAGAACTGAGAAATATTTTTAACTAAGGTCCAGGTCTCAAAGATACAAATTTTTAATGATTATATTTGATAAGCATCTCTACCAATTACTATTTTCAATATGTATTTTATGTATTTCATATATATTGAATTACGAATTATATTATAGCATGTACAATTTTTTAATGGCTCCTCTTGAGCTTCGCGAGTATATAATTTGTTTTTAGTAGAGAATGCATGTCAGTATAACGATGAAGCATGACTTAGTAGAGCTACTACGCAATATAAAATATAGTCTGCTTTATATTGTAAATACAGTTAGGGTCCAGCAAACACATGTGCAGTTTATTAAAGCAAAAAAGATATTTTTTATTTAAAATTTTGTTCCTTGACAAATTGTCCCGCGTTGTTCATCCAAAGTAACTTGAAATCCCCATCTCAATTCTCTTTTTCATCTATCCTCTATTAATGAAGATATACAAGTTAACAAACATCGGCCATTTTTATTTTATTAGAATAATGAAACATTTTCTTATTGGTATTACCGTAAAATAATAACCATATTTTTTCTATTGGGATGTGAAATGTGTTTGCTGGACAATTGAACGAGCGTCGATGTTAGAAGTATTCGACAAATGGTTATAGGGGAGACAGCCTAATCCAAATAATCCCATGGAGTACTGTTCAACTATACCACCCTTGCAACAGTTAGCTGGCGGTTTGCCACCACCACCAACGGTGATGGTACCTGTGGGTGTCCTTAAGAGAGAAGGCTCCAAACATCGTGCAGAAGGACAGAAATCTGTTATGTTCAGTGATGGTAGGTAAATATTATTTATACTGTTGAGCATTTTCAACATCTCTTTGTCTCTCTTTGATCTTCTTCTCTCAAGCACTAATGTGTCATGTATATGTGTGTGTGCGTGTTACTTCCAAAATAATTAAATCTTATATTAAAATCTCCTACACACATATTTTTTCGACCGCTTAGTATGCAGAATAACGAGATAACGACTGTGTATGTATGTACAACACTACTATCCTATATTATCCACATGTCATTTTTCCCGCTGTATTATATCTTTGAGTTGTTTTTTTGTTCTCGTTATTCCCTCATCCGATGCAGTATTATTTGTCACTTATTTTCCACCACTCTGGAACGTGTTACCACGTTGTCAGCCCTCGAACCCTTCCTGGTTTGTTTTATTTTTACGCACCTATAACTAAAACACAGGAATAAGGCCTGGCTGTGACCTGACAGAGCTAGACACGTGTTGGGATCTGAAGCCACCGTACCGCAAACAAGGGAACAAGCGGATCTTCGCGTCGGGATCCACGTCGACCGATGTTGCGACGAGGAGACAGAGTCATCCTCCTTTAGACAACACGACCAACAGCTATATACCGCACGATCCTAATTTATTGCCGCCGACCGTCACCATACACAAAGGCCGTAAGGAGATGTTCCCATATTACATTAACAATCTACGGTCTTCTCTCGACTCATATCGCTTCGTTTCTTTATCATGGACAGAAATCACTTACCATCCGCCTGTGGACGAGAATGTGCTTTACAAGACGTTGAAGAATGAGTGCGAGCCGCCGGTAATGTTCGCGATTAATCGGAATCTCTACGCGTATGTGAAAATCACCAATTGTAAGTACACGCGCTACGTGTCGTTGAACAGCTCGCTAGAGAGGAGAGAGGAGCGTTCTCATTTTATGGTCTTTCAGTGAACTGCTGCGTAAACAAGATCTGCTGGAACATAACGTCAAGAGGTCTCGCTTGCGTCGGTCAGGACGAAGTTATATTGCTGGTAGAGACTTTGCCAGATGAGACGCGGATCCCAAAGGATTTACTCATATACATCAATCAGTTGTATCTCGAAGCCATTAAAGGTAACGTCTATCATCACCATTGATGTTTCAACGGAAATATCTATTCTATCGCAACGCGACAAATAATCTCTGTTGAATTCGTCCGCAGGTAACACGATGACTGAACTCGGATTCTCAGTCTATCAAGGTGGTAACTTGTTGGGTTCGCGCGAACACACGGGCTTTCTGTTCATTCGCCAAACTTTACAGTGCTTGCAGAAAATCATCTTACCACCAGCTCCTTTCCTAGTCGGACTTTTAATTCACAGGTGAACATATCGCTAAACTATAATCAGAATTTGCATTATCCCTAATATACAGGATGAGATATCTAAAACCTGAATAACTTTGAAAATATGCGAGACGGAAAAAAAAAATGTTAAGTACAGAAGTGGTAGGGTTTCCTTTTTTTTTTAAGTGACATTATATAGCAGTATTAGTATTACCTTGAAAGCGTCATCGAGGTCGCAAGAAGATTATTTTGAATTTTTAAGATCGAAATCTTCATTTTTTATTATATCACTTCTTTCTACCAATTAATTTGAATAACTTTTGTTTAAAATATTTTTTTATTTGCCTAATTTAAAATTATTACAGAGAATATTTCTCGAGATATTTACAAGAAAAATTTTTTCAATATTCGGCTTACGAGGTATTAGGCTTTTTTATTCTATTTGGTCTCAAGAATATGCTGTTACAATAGTGCCCTAATTTGGTGACCATTGGAAATCATCAAGTTAACAAAAATTAGGACACTATCTGTAACTGTCACATATTCTTGAGACCGAGTAAAAGTCTAGTGTCACTTTTTTTCCAATAGATAGTTACCGATAGTTATCGTAAACTAAATATTGAAGAAATTACCAAGTTTTCCTTAAATACCTCAAAACATATTAGGCGAATAAAAAAAATGTTTTAGACAAAGTTGTTCAAATTAATTGGTAGAAAAGGATGATGTAATAAAAAAGTTTCCATTTAAAAAATTCAAGATAACCTTGCCGTAATCTTGATGACGCTGTTCAAGGTTAGACTAGTTGAAATCCTACAACTTCTGTATTTAACGTTTTTTTCTATTTTGCATATCTTCAAAGTTACTCAGGTGGCCTGTTTGAAGTGCCTCACTCTATATTATCTCATATTGTCGTTCTTTGGGTTCTCTCTTCTATGCCGTTTATCAGATTTAAGATTATGTCTTTTGCTGCTTATTAGGTGGGAAACTCCGTGGGCCAAGGTGTTCCCGTTGAGGCTTCTCTTACGTCTCGGTGCGGAATATCGTTATTATCCGTGCCCACTGGTGTCGGTGCGTTTTCGGGATGCGTTATACTTCGAGATCGGGCATACCGTCATGAAAGTATTAGCAGACTTCAGAAACTTTGGATATACCTTGCCTGGAGTTAAGGGCTTGACGATCCATCTCAAGAATCGTACAACGGACGTCATGTTTCCTAAAAATCGATACGACCAAGTCATAAAAGGACTTCACAACTCGAATGATCACGTTTTAGCTTACGCTTCGAATTTCAGTATATCCGCGGACTCGCATTTGGTTTGCATACAAACGAACACCGGTGACGAGAGTAATTACCAAACGCAAGCGATAAACATTCACAACAAACCGAGAACTGGTGAGTCTCAGCGAATATTTCCATCTTTTACAAAGTTTACTTCAATTTTTTCTCCATGTCCATGTGAGTTAGAAGAGATGGATATGTGTACGTGTGTTCCTTTTTTGTCCAAATATTACTGATGTACGAAATCCTTTACGTATTTCCCTACTTTGCAGTAACCGGTGCCAGTTTTATTGTCATCAATGGCGCGTTGAAATCATCAATGGGTCTTTCTGCCAAATCCAGTATTGTAGAGGATGGGTTGATGGTAGAGATAATGCCAGAAAAGATGGAAGCCTTGAAAGCTGCTCTGAAAAATATGCAAGATTTCTCGATCGGTTGCGGACGGCAGGGAGCATCAGAACCAGATGAGACTGTAAATATTAAGTGGGTCGATAACGACACGCTGTTCAATCTGGGGTAAGTTTTTCTTTATTGATCTTACGTATCATATGTAATTATTTTCTTAATCTTTTTATGAGATATCTATAAACTTCATGATAAATCTGTTTCAATCAAAATAAATCTAGCATATCTTGTAATCTTATGTAATTTTATATCATCAGTTCGTTCGTATTATCGGCAAATATTTATATTAGAGATAACTTCACTGATGACAATCACCTTGACATATATTTTTAAAGTCATGAGTAGCTATCGAAAAGTTTTAACAGCCGCTTATTTATTTGTTAAAATGTTACTAATAACAGGAGTTTCACAAGATTACATTGAAAATTTGTTTGAATTTGTATCTCGCCATAATTATACATTTAATGAACGAATTGATAGTTTCTTCGATGTAATGTCTGATTTGTCCCAATCAGATAATAATAACGAATCTAGTTTATTTACTTCTTTTGGGACAATATAAAAATATCAGTCCTCCAGAGAGTTTCATTTGACATTTTTCATGTTTTCTTATTAATTTATATCTTATTAAATTATTACAAGAATTTTCTGCCTTATTAAATTGATGAGCCCACTATATATTAAAAATGGAGAGATTGTAGAGATTGGCAAAAGCTTCTACACAAGATTTATATTGACTTGAATTTAATCTTGCGCAGAAGTCTTTGCCAATCTTTATCATGTCTCCATTTTTTGTATTTGGGAGACTCATCAATTTAGTAAGACAAAGGATTTACCAAATTATGTCTCGAAATTACGTTCTGTAGCATTGTTAATTTTTTTATATTTTCCAAACTTCTCTTGTTAATAACTTTCTAATAAAAAATGAACGATAAGATTAAAACCTTTCAGTAGCTACTTAGGATGATGACTTTGACAACATATGTTAAGATCATCGTCATTGGTGAGGTCGGCCGTAATGTAAATAATTACCCATATTATTTAATGGCAAACAACACTATCTCCAGAGTTAAAAGCCCCATCGACGGTCAGCCAATGGACGGTATACCATCGATCAGGGTACACAACGGCACCGATTACAAAGGTGCAACTCGATTTATACGTTGGACAGAAGTATTCCTTATAAAAGTACGTATCAAGTCTACGTAAGAACAGCGTGCTATTTTCTATATAACTTAGGCGATTAATTAAGTCGTATTACTTCAAAAGTCAGATGATCATTCGAATGGCGTGAGCGACCCTGTGGACGTGAGTAAATTATCTGGGAATATAGCAAAAGCGACGTGTGTGGCGTTGGTTAAACTATTGGATCTTTTGGCAACAGCTGGTTTAACGAAGCTTGGTGTACGGGCAACGATTCATCCGGATAACGTAAGTATATAGCCTTCCTCTTAGGCTTCATTATATATTGTATTTAGTTATTAGGAGGTTAAATTAATTCTGGTTTTGTCAATTTTTCTATCTTTATTTTAAGCAATCCAAACACCCATTTTTGCACCCATTTTTGCACATTCTCGTAATTATTGAAGTGTGTATCTGCCAAAGCGTGTTGCATCGATCGGAATAGATGGTAATCAGATGGTGCTAGGTCTGGAGAATACGCTGGGTGCGAAAGGATTTCCTGTTTGAGCTCTAACAATGTTTATTTAACGATTGAAGCAACATGTGGACGAGCATTCGTGCAAAAGAATCACTTTGTGTTAATTGCTAGCTATCGCTGTCCTTTTTTGCACCAATTCATCATTTAATTTGTTTAATCATTGTTGGTATCGCTCGCCCGTAACTGTTTCGTTCAGTTTTAGAAGCTCATAGTACACCACACTTTCCATATCCCACCAAATACAGAGCATTGCTTTGTGACCGTGAATGTTCCGTTTTGGCGTCGATGTTGATGGTTGTCCTGGATCAACCCATGATTCTTTCCGCTTTGGATTATCAAAATAAATCCACTTTTTATCTCCAGTTACAATTCGCCACAAAAAACTCTATTTTTCTGTCTGGAAAGCAAAAATATGGTGATATTCAAACGATTTAGGCGTTTAGAAATTGTTGATTTATCGACGTTGAGTTTAGCCAATAGTTTTTCCGTTTGAGTGGTGTTTTCATTCGATAATGCTTGCAATTCAGAATCTTCTAATTTTTTTGGTTGACCACGTTCTTTCTCACTCAAATCGAAATCAGCACTTTTTCAATCGTTGAAACGAAAATTTACAGTTGGAATACGATGGAGCTTGATCACCATAAGTTGTAACAAACGTTTCATGAGTTTCAGTTGCCGATTTTTTCAAATCAAACAAAAAAACAACGTTGAAAATGTAATTTTGTACGATCTATTTTGGACGCTTATAAACAATGAAACTATTAGTAACAATGTTACGGTTAAAGTGATAAATCCAGTTACTATGCATAATAACCGGTTATTATGCATAATAATCATGCTTTGGTTAATTTGATAAATAATTCATATTTTTGTAGTTAAAACCCATGCGTAAGTTAAAAGCGCGTAAGCTGCACATACGGTTATTAAAATCCACGCGTAAGTTGCAAGTGCGTTTTGCATCGCGCGCGGTTGTTGGAACCCACACGTAAGTTAAAAGCGCATAAGCTGCACGCGCGATTATTAAAACCCACACGTAAGTTGCAAGTGCGTTTTGTATCGCGCGTTGTGCGCGCCCAATTACGCGTGAGTTTTAATAACCGCGCGTGCAGCTTAAGCATTTTTAATTTACGCGTAAGTTTCAACAATCGTGCGCGCAGCGCGCGATGTAAAACTCACTTGCAACTTACGCGTAGGTTTAATTGTTCATAACTTTGTAACATTTTGATACCGTTTGGAGTATTTCTGCCAATATTTATGACAATTGGACATAAATGATTTTCAAAAGTTTCTCCAAAATCATTTTCTAAATATCATTTATCACTTTAACCAATAAAATTTGGTTATGTAAAATAACCGGTTAAAGTAATAAATTGCATGTATTTTATCATATTAACCTAGCTGTTGGTTATTGTGCATAATAACCGTTTATGCACAATAACCAATTTATCACTTTAACCGTAGCAACAATAGTGCGCAAATTGTCATATGTCATACAGAAATGTCAAATCTTTCAGTATTGCCAGATCTCAATATTCGTACTAACTATTAACTTGTTACTAAAGCCATCTATTGCTGGGAACCAGAACTCAACCTCCTAATATTTACTTAATATGTATACTAAAGTATACTAAATTATAAAATATATGTTTTAGGTGGGTTACGAGGCCGGAAGTGAGGGTACAAAATTGCCGCCAATCTACATGAATAGCTTAGATAATGAATTGATTCAAGTTTTACACAAGGCCGCGCAGAACAGTCAAGATGAGCATACAGTGCTTGAATTGATATTCTACGTACTCGACGACTGAAAAGAATAGTGCGTATCTCGTATTTCTCTTAACTGGCCATTGTGCTCTGCAGAACATGGGGTAACTTTCATTTAATAGGAAGAAAATGGGCAATTGCAGATCATCATGGTACGCCGTTTACATGAACTGTGCATTATCTATTTGCTATATGCTTTGTCTCTTAACTGAAGATATTACTTTTATTTTCTATCTCCTAATACTATTTTTCATAATGAACTCGTAGTATTTTCAACTCTTGTTGAAAATCTCGATATGATTTGCATAAGACGAAGTACCTTTTCCAAATGTAGAAGAAGAAACGCTGGACGAGGGGCATAATAGCGAGACATTTTAAGAGAGACTTTTACGACAAGTAGACATTGCTCGACATTATATGACATTATAATGAAATTGGACTGCTACACAGAACGTTATTTATTGCCAAAGACGTACGCAGGATATGCTATATTCTTTATTAATGTAAATATACTTGTCCTTTCTCGATTGTTTTGTAAAATATATACAGGAATGATCATGTTTTACCACAGTATGATCTGAAAAGTGGACACTTCCATAGGGATCCTTTAAAGATATTAAAGATAATGGCAATTGTTTGACAACTATGATAACTGCTGGCTAGATCGCAGTGGGACTATACGAACATAACGCAAATGCATCCTGCGTGCTTATTCTGTAACTTTCAAAGGCAGCATTGTTAAGTGTCGTTGTGCAGTTGTATCGTGTTACAACCGCGCGACGGCGCGTGACGTGTGCGTCTTGTAATGTATACGTTACAAGATTTACAGAATGGGTCTGCTGTTCACTTATGCAATTCTATTAATTGACACATGTATTTGTCTACTAACAATATTTTATATATACATATATAGCAGATCTTTCAGACATATAAGGACAGCTTGTATAAGGCAGTACTATAATGTAATTATTATTGTATTTATTGTTGTAATAAAACTGTTAGATAAAATTAATATAATGACGAGACGATCTTGTTACTTAACTTTAACTGAACGATAATCCGCGTACGTAAGAATGTTAATAAAAAATTATTTTGTTACAATAACACTGTGGCGTTTTTCATGCAAATTCAGTGTACACTCTCTCTGTTCCTTTCCTGCATATACACGTGTTTAGAGTTCTGTATATGCAGAAGAATACTGATAAGGTAGGGAACCCGGGAATTCAAAAAATTATGAAGCTTTGTGTGGAAGTAAAATAGTTCATCCGTAATGCAAAGCTATTTTTTATTCGTGCGAAATTCCAGTCTGAGGAGGTGAAACCACCCTTCGAAAAAAAAAACCATTTTCATTTTTTTTAGCGTATATCTTTTAAAATACAAGGCAGGCAAAAATGGTTTATATAAAAGTTGTAGTGTCTTTCATACTCTTTGCAACTGTGTATTCAGATTTTGTAAAAGGAGAGAAGGCGAAGGGGGTTTCAAAAATTTTTTAATTTTTTTAATTTTTGTTTTAAAAAATCTGAATATACAGTTGCAAAGAGTGTGAAATACATTATAATTTTCATATAAACTATTTTTGCACATGCCTCGTATTTTAAAAGATACACGCTAAAAATGGTTTTTTTCTTTTTGAAGGATGGTTTCACCCCCTCAGACTGGAATTCCGCACGAACAAAGAATAGTTTTGCATCATGAATGAACTATTTTATTTCCACACAAAGTTTCATAATTTTTTAAATTTCCGAGTCCCTTATGTTTCCTTGTGAGCGATATGGTTATCCTGTTTGTATATATCGTTGTCTGGGCAACGGGAGATATATAATGTGCATTAGTTCATACTCGGCTACCTAACGTTACGTACTTGCGGATTGTAGCGCGTTGCGGCGTGACAAGAGTTTGCGTGAGCTTGGAGCACTCGTCATTTTCGGAAAAGTGCGCGGTACTCGAAATTGTGACGTCATGAGCGAGAACGTGAAATTTATCGTGACGGAAGTAAACAAATTATTGGGACGTAATTATAACTTAATTGGATTCAACGCCTTGAGCGCCGAAGATTTATTGCTAGTATGTATTTATTACTTTACTTCTGCTGTATTTTCTGCCGCCAATAATCCATCTCGATTTGTCCTTTTGAAGGTACTATGCAGTGTCTTGATGAAGATACAGCAGCGCGATGAATCAGACGTCGATGTTAGAATAGAGTCTCCGGAAGAAAGTTCTATATACATCTTAACAGCCTTGCGAATACTTAATTACCAACCCAATGTAGATCCTGTGACGTTTAGGTGCGTTTTGAACATTTCAGCCGAGAGACCGACGTTTCACTCTTTAAATTAAATCTTATCAAGTATGAGTGAAAATGAAAGCAATTTTAATTAAATGTAAAAGAAGCCGATGAAAACTTATTCGTTGCTTGAATGTAAATTTGTTTTAGGCAGGGTCTAGCCCGAGGCGAGGTTGACATCATTCATCCTATACTGATGTGGCTTTTGACGCATATCGACGTTGTTCAGAAGAGAGCATATCTGTCGCGCTTTCTCGTCAAAGTAATGTCAAAAATTTGCTTCCTGGCCGTGACATGCTCCTATGTATTATGTAGGGTGTCTTAAAAATACCGGAACCTTCGGATAACTTTGCAGGATCAAGTTTTCATGAAAAACTTTAAGTACAAAAGTTGTAGAAAATCGAGTAACGGACTTGATGGTGACCTTGGCCATGAATTTCAAGATCATTTGGAGGTCAACTTGCGTTTTTTAAATGGGAACCCTTATTTTTTATTACACTCTTTTTTTCTACCAATTAATTTGAACAACTTTTGTCTAGAACATTTTTTTATTTGCCTAATATTTTTTTGGATATCTGAGGAAAACTTGATAACTTTTTCAATATTTAACTTACCGATATCTCGCTATTTGTCGGAAGAAAAAGTGGTACTAGACTTTCTTGCTTTATTTAGTCTCAAGAATATATTGTTACAATATATTCTTGAGACTAAATAAAGCAAGAAAGTCTAGTACCATTTTTTCTTCCGACAAATAGTTAGCGAGGTATCGTAAGTTAAATATTGAAAAAGTTATCAAGTTTTCCTCAAAAATTAATTGGTAGAAAAAAAACAGTGTAATAAAAAATAGGGGTTCCCATTTAAAAAACGCAAGTTGACTTCCAAATGACCTTGAAAGTCATGGCTAAGGTCACCATCAAATCCGTTACTCGATTTTCTACAACTTTTGTACTTAAAGTTTTTCATGAAAACTTGATCCTGCAAAGTTATCCGGAAGTTCCGGTATTTTTAAGACACCCTGTAGTAGCTGGCTATGTGTAATTATACAGGGAGAGGAAAAAGTCCCGGACCGGTAAAATATCTCGAAAACCAAGCATTTTAGAAAAAAATGTTTCAGACAAAAGTTGTATGATTTTAAGGGAGGCATAAAACAACTGTATCACTTTGTTTACTGATGGCGCCACTTTCATACAGATATTCACCGATCATTACTTTTCGTAAACGGAAACCCCAATTTTTTATCACATTATCTTTTTCTAGCAATTAATTTGAACAACTTTTGAACTGAAACATTTTTTATTTGCCTAATATTTTTTGAGAATTTAAGGAAAACCTGACTTTTTCAATATTTAATTCACGATATCTCGCTAACTGTTTGTCAGAAGAAAAAGTGATACTAAACTTTTTAGCTCTATTTAATCTCAAGAATATATTGTTATAATAGCGCCCTGACTTTTATTAACTTATTGACCTTTGGAAATTTCAAAATCATCAAGTTAACAAAAATCAGGACGCTGTTGTAACAATATATTCTTGAGACCAAGCAGAGCAATAAAATCTAGTATCACTTTTTCTTTCGACAAATAGTTAACGAGATATCGTAAGTTAAATATTGAAAAAATTATCAAGTTTTCCTTAAATATCTTAAAAAAATATTAGGCAAACAGAAAAATATTTCAGACAAAAGTTGTTTAAATTAATTGATAGAAAAAACTGTGTAATAAAAAATTGGGGTTTCCATTCAAGAAAAGTAATGATCAGTGAATATCTCGAAAGTGATGCCACTTGTAAACAAAATGATACAGTTGTTTTATGCCTCTCCTAAAATCATACAACTTTTGTTCGAAGCATTTTTTTTCTAAAATGCTTGGTTTTCGAGATATTTTACCGATCCAGGACTTTTTTCTCACCCTGTATAAAGATTACTAATAGTGCAAATTTCTATGATTAGATAGAGATTCCGCCAGAATATTTAGGGGACTCGGAGATATCCCTCTTACACGAACAATATTTGGCCTTGGTTGACAAATTCAAAGCAGTTCATAAGGAAAGAGAGATAGGAAAAAAGGTAATGATAACTATGTAAATTTCTTCACTTTTCGTCGTGTGAGTAACTATTCTTTTCTCTTTTTATGCAGAATGTCGAAACGGCCGCCGAGCTCGCAACGGATTTACAAGCGATGGGAAAAGAGAAAGAAGTACGTCGCTGATAATTCATCTTTGCTATATTATTATTAGGTCATTAAATATAAAATGTCCGATTTTCTTTAGTAAGTTTGACAGTCGATATCTCTTGACATTTCACTTTTGCAGTTCTTGATGTTTTTGTCCTGAAGGGGTATACCATCACAGTCCTTCAAACACATGTTTTGTGATTATCTTTCAAATTGTCTTTATTACAGCATTTTTTGTGTAACCATGGATGAGCCAAAAATTCGTGTTATTTTCAAATATGAGTTCCGTCGTGGAACTAATGCAGCGCAGACAACTCGAAATATCAATAAAGTATTTGGTGAAGATATATGGCTAATGAACGCACAATGTGTCGATGGTTTGAGACGTTTCGTTTCAACGATTTTAATCTTGAAAGTGAGCCACGTGGGTACTTGAGACCAAGGTGGGTAATGATGAGTTCCGCATGAGTTAATCCTTTAACGCCTAATGGTAACTATAGTTACCAAAAACGCGTTTAAGAATCCATAACTTAGTCAAAATAGGAGATATTTTCGTTTTCTTTGCATCACTGTAACGGTGAATCCTTCTTCCAAAAAATGATATATAGATTGTATGTAGATTCGGTTTAGTCTGTTTTTAGCTCAGTTTTAATGATAACATGTTTTGTCAAATTCCAAGTAAGCATAGTTAACATTGTTACTGACATCTAGAAGTGCACTGTAAATAAATAGATTGGTATCTGTTATAATTTTATACATTTGGAAGCTTTCTCAGATGCGAAATGTGAAATTAAAAGAATACAGAAATTCAAAATGGCGAATCCAATATGGCGGACACGAAAATCAAGAAATTAACCTGTTTTCGTGAAACCTGGTGACCTACAGTTTTTTATGCGACGAAAAATGAAGGGACGATTGACTATCTAAATGGTGATCTATAAGATATTCTTCTGAAATAGTAAGCTTGACGCTCTGAATGATAAACTTCACTACCAAATATAGTAAAGTTTCAGCTCAAAAATGTTAAGCTGACTATCAGAGTTATGTCGTATAAATTACCCTTCATTTTTCTCCATATAGGTTGCTCATTTCATATATGCTTTTAGGATCCAAGTCATATTTACCAATAAACAGAAAACGAACGATAAAAGAAACCAAACTAACGAAACCAACAAACGAAAAGCGGAAACTTCATGTACTCATTTATTCAGAAGTAAACGATTGATGCTGATTTTCCGTGTAATTGTTTCACGGTTTTTCCATCTGGATAACCATCTCTGAGTGTGTCCATGTTTATCATTTTTACCGTTATATTTACAAAAAAAAATACAAATTTATTCGTTCAGAAGTAGACTATTACTTTACATTGGAAAAGTAGTTTTTCGTATATATAAAATTCTGATATTTTTTTTGGTTATTACTACTTATAGTCTCAGTTCAAAAAAACTCAAGTTTTATTCTTAAAACATTTATAAAAAAGTCGGGCGTTAAAGGGTTAAATGAGCATCAGAAGAGAAATCGTCTGGAAGCTTGCCTTTCTTTATCATCACGACATAAAAGCGAACCATTTTTACATCATATTACTAAGTGTGATGAAAAATAGATTCTTTTCGACAATCGCAAACATTCGTCATAATGGTTGAATAAAGATGAAGTGCCGAAACATGGTCCGAAACCGAATATTCAATAAAAAAGCTAATGCTATCTGTTTGGTGGTCCAGCGTTGGTATTATCCGTTACAGTTTCATGAAACCTGGTCAATCGATTACAGAGGATGTCTATTGTAACCAACTGAACGAAATGATTAAGATGCTTGTGATTAAGCAGCCGAGATTGGTCAATAGAGACAAGCCAAACCTCTTGCAAGACAAAGCTGCTCAAACTACAAGAGCTGGACTTAGGAAAACTCCGTCACCCACCGTATTCACCAGACCATGCACCAACTGACTACCACTTCTTCCAGGTACTGGGCCACTTCTTGCAAGAAAAAATATTCAATTCTCCACAAGCTATGGAAAACGCTTTCCGCGATTTCATCGCCACTCGCTCTTCAGGCTTCTTCGCTGCTGGCATAAATAAGCTACCATCATTAAGATAGCAAAACTGTGTCGACAGTTTAGGCGCATACTTTGATTAATTGTATTGCTTCCAGTTTGAGATATAATAATCCAAAATTTTGATTCGAAATCGGACATTTCATATTTAATGACCTAGTATATAGGAATATTTTATTGTTAACGAAAAAGATGATTTGAGAATTAGTTTGTTCAACTAAAATATCTAACAACGCAATCGCATTTATGGATATAATATTAATTGATAAAATTATCGCAAACACGTAGGCGGTGACGGCGCGTATCGCTAAGATCAAGTCTAAGGCTGAGCCTGCGCTGCATCTGTTGGATTCTTGTAAGATGTTGCGGACAGAGAGAGACAAGGAACGTGACTTGATGTCGCAGAAGGAGCAAGAGGAGGACACTATGTCTGACTTACAGGTATAATTCTCGTGGGAAATAGCGATTCGCAATTGATTCGCCGTTCCAAGTGCGTGCGTTTTTACGATGATAGAATCTGACCTTGTCGCATCCAGAATTCTCTTCAACGGGTGGAACGCGAGTTGCAAATTTTGAAGCGCGACGGTGTCGGACTCACGCCGCATATATTGATTCAACATTTGCTGGAAGAGGTGACGGTGCAAACTGCGATTGTAAAGGAGAAGCTTCCATCTGAATTAAACGCGAAGAAGAATCGAATGAGAGCTTTGTCGATAGTCAAGGGATACCCCTACCTGGGCTCGGACAAGATCATAGGCATGAGAAACGAATTGGATGCCATACTGAAGGACATCCAGGATTTGGTGGAGTCCAAAGTGCGTATTTCAGGAATGACTACGTGCTTAAGCATGAGTGAATAATCTATGTGAAATAATATTAAAAAAAAAAATCTTATTCTCGTTGCTAGTAAACTTTCATGATGCATGTTGTAGATATCTAAAAACGATATCGACAAAATGGAACCGTTTAGGCAACAAGCGGCCGCTGTCGGGAACATGAAGCGAAACGCTCTTGAACGTTTGGAGAAGGTCGAGAGTTCTCTGGAGGAATTGCAGCTTCGATTGAAAGAGAAGCAAGATCACTCGAGAGCTCTGTTAGAGACGTCGGCACCTCGAGCAGAGGAGCTGAAGAAGTATGTTAATCGCTTGAAGACCAAGAGTACGCTGTACAAGCGCTGCAAGGCAGAGATTGCTGGCTTGAAAGCGGAAAGTGGTGTGCTACATCGAACAGTGGCTATTTTAGAAGGCCAGGTATTATCGAAATCTCTAATATTGGCGTCTGACAACTCGTATATTGCTTAAAAATGGATTAATATGAATGCCATCATTTTTCAGATAGCTCAGTCTTATCAGGCGGATATTGTATCAAAAATAGTCATTCCGGAAAACTACATGTCGGACAATGCCTTAACGACAAACATTCAATTGTCTCATTCAATACTGGCTCTCCGTACCAATCTGACTCCCATCATAAAAGGTAATAATGAATTTCGCTTGCGTGAAATCGAGTAGGTTTTATTCACGGCCAATTTACATCAATTAATATTATCGAAATATAATGTATATTTCGCAAAATTTTAATAGAATTTGTTTAAAAAATATATGTTACAGATATCAAAGCGCTACGGCAGATAGCGCGTGATGTTGACGAGAGATATCAAAAGGCGTCCAAGAGTCACAACACGGTGGAAACGACTATGAAAAATACAACGAGTGATTTGCTATCCGAAACGAAGCGACTGAAGGATAAATTATTAAAGGTAATTTATGCATCGAAGAATAGACCACGATGAGTATAACATTGAGCGCTGTATTGTAGAATACTGAAGATAAACAGCAACTTGAAGAAAACATCGCGAAAATGAAAATTATTGAAGAGAAACTACATAGCGAAGCAGAAGTAAATATTCTTTAGATAACAATATCAATCTTTATTCTTATTAAAATTTACGTCGATTTCGTTTCAGACTAACAATGGTGATCTCGATAATGTAGGACAAACGTTAAAACAAGAATTGCGTAAAAAAATCATATCAGCAGAAGAGGAATTAAAAAATTTGAACAAAGAACGAGAGAAAATAAAAGAACACACTATGCAGTCTGAAAATCAGACACAACAATGGAATAATATTATATCGTAAGCATAAAGTCTGACAGGTATCTTTTGCGACAACAAGATTAATAACAAGTATAATAGTTTAAGTAAAGAGAATACGCTCATAAAGATCAAGAAGTAGTAATATAAAATTTTTCGATATACATTGATGAATTTAAAAAAAAATAACATTCTAGGATCTTCTCATGTAAGATTCAATGTGCTGAAATGAGTAAGCAGACCGACGGCATAGTTGTACGAAGAGGAGGAGCTGAAACCCTTGTGTTGCAATAATGTTAATATTAATTGCGTAGGTATTTTTAGTAGAATATACAAACGCTAGATGTAGAAAATATTTTAAATATGCAATAAAGTAAAATATACAAAAAACGTATTGAACTGTAGATAGCTGAGCTCAGTCTTCCTGTTTTAGTCCGGTATCCTACTCATCTTCATAATTTTAAAAACAACTTACGAAACAGGATTATAAAGAATGTTTCTAATTGTAATTTTATTTAAAATCGGTTTTCTATTTTATACAGTACCCTCTTTTTAGTACCCTTGTAGAACACAAATATTGAACAGAGTTGCAAGAGAGTTAAAAATACATATTGAAATATTTTTTCATGTGCAATATCTTTACAACTTTTTAGGAGAGAAGTGCGTGCGTTTAATATTATTTTAATTTTGCTTTCATCATGATTCATGATGAATTCTGAAATGTCCTTCGAGACATTAACAGAATCGAATTCAAGATCGAGAAGTGACATCATCTCGTTGTCATGGTCATTTGAGCGGCTCTCTGTCAGAGCCTGGAGTCGTATTACTTACACATAAGTCGGAGAGGCCAGGGGAAAGTAAACTGATTGCTTCGAGGCAGTCAGATGCGAGCAGGGACGCAGTCTTACTTCACACGTGAACCACGTAGCACGTTCACGCATCGCTAACTCCAGGATCGAGAGAAATCAGTTATATAAATTGCCAAAATATATTTTATCAAAAAGGACCAACCTGGACGCAGCGTTTGTTAGCGTTCGCGGTAATAAATCATGACAGTGAAAAACCGTTATTTCATCATCTTCGTTATCTCGCTGTCACTTTTTATTGGTAAGTTTTTTCCATTATTTAGCTGTGTTTTCCGTCAATATTTTTACCAAGATAAAGATATTCCGAGAAGCAGAATATCGTGCGATAAAAAGAAAAATCGAGGAAAGTATTTAGGCATGCGTCATAGATCACGTAGTATATGCATGAAGTGGTATTTTTCAATTATGTAAATTACGATGAAATCCCATTCAGTGTATTGAGAACTGTGTATACACAAAGAATGTTGAAAGATGAAATGTAGATAAATTTGAAGACGAATATGCAATAGCTCAAAGTTTGACATGAAAATTGGAATGATTGTCGTCGATAATATTTACATTGTTCAATGATAATAGAATAAATATAATTACGCGTTTAAGAATTTTTATGAATCTTATAAACAACAAATGCGAAAATTACATTATTTGAAATGTACAATATGCTATTGAAACGATCAGATTACTTCGATATCTCAAATGACCACTTTGACCCAAACATCATAAATGAACATGATAAATAACGTTGAAAATATAAACTGACCCAGATCTCCGTGAGAATATCAAGCCAATAATTTTCTGCTTATTTCAAGTTCCTTCAGCCTAATAGAGCATTTTTTGCAAAATGATGATATTAATATTCGAGATATCGATAACACACACGCACTCGTGCGCGCCAAATTATAATTTCGTTTGTAAGATTTCGCTAATCTCGACATATGTCTTAGGGAACAGCGAAGCGGGATGGAAGTTTTGGAAAAAGGAGACCACTACAACTACTACCACAACACCGACCCCCGAAAATGTTCAACCTACTGCTACTCCAATACCAAACATAGTCGGGCCACAGGTCACGACGCCCAAAGGATCGACGGCACCAGCTGTGAACACAGGAACTGGTATAATAGGTACCACTACTAACAATGAACTTATCATATTACTTTGAACGATATTCTTCTTATAGCATTTCAGGTATTATTCGAAGCGAAAACTCCTTGAGAGTCAAATGTTTAAGAAGATTTGTAAATAAATTATTGTTGCGGTATAATCCATCTACATCTGTATTCTCTCGTGTTTATCTTTCGTAAGATTGCGAGGATTCAAAGCACATTCACGATTCTCAAGTTTTTGTCGAGATCTTGGGCAGGACAACCAGTTTCGAACAGCACTCAGGATGCTGTCGAATCAAGCGATTCGTATCTTCATATAGTTCAATTACTTGAGAACTTTCACATCAAAGATGCGAACTTTTGCCATCATCAGGTGCTGCTAACCCGGGACTTGCCATTGGCGTAGGAACTACTGGACAAAATATACGAAATAATGCGCGACCCAGTCGACCTAATCCAGGAACAGAAGTTGGCCTGGATATCGCTGGTCCAAGACCAGGTAGACCGGAAGTCGGTGGTGGTCAAAATTATCGAGATTGGGCTGCAGGTCTCACCGGAACTGGAGAGCTGTCCGGAAACCAGCCATCGAGAGGACCCGTTCAAGGACCTCAGAGACCTCAAGGACCACAAGTATCTCAAGGACCTCAAGTAGCTCAAGGACCTCAAGTACCTCAGGGGCCTCAAGTACCTCAAGGGCCTCAAGGACCTCAAGGACCTCAGGGGCCTCAAGTACCTCAAGGGTCTCAAGTACCTCAAGGACCTCAAAGACCTCAAGGACCGACAAGTGGTGGCCAGACGCAGCCCAGTTTACCATCTGCAAACTCAAGGCCAAATCCAGAAGCAACGAATCGACCCGCAGCTTCGCATATACCAGCAAACATCCCGACTCAACCGAACCAGCCATCAAACACAGGTCTGTATCATTTAACCTGAAGGATTTCAATAATGTCAAAACTCCTCGTCACTATGTCATTAATGAAATTCTGTAGGTTCAGGATCAGGAGGCATGCCTAGAATTGCCATACAACCTCCAAAACCTCATGTGATACCTGGTAAACTCTGTTCATATACACGTCAATTCTCTTATGGTGTACAATATATCTGGAAAACAATTAAACATAATCTAATCTAATACAGATCCTATCACTGGGATTTCTACTTCCGATGATCGCAGCAGACCGGGTAGCCCTTTTTCTCCAAATTCAGGAGCATCGTTTGCTGACGTTGCTGGTGGTGGCAGCAGACCCGCTTCGCCGACAGGGTCGCCGAGACAACCCGAGTATCCTAGACAACCAAGTGCGAGTATACCGGGTACGTTTAATCACTCACGTTTCAGTATTCTCTTCTTATTGTCTATACAACTAGTGTAGGCAAAAAGAGTTTTATTGCCAGTAGTTGGAGATGTAATTTAGAACGGAATAATAAATTTTGAGACAGTGGATGGATTAGTTTAACATAATGAAGGGTTGACTATTTTCTATGCTTGAATTTTTATGCTTGTGCAGGCATAAACCCTGCAGGTGCCGCTGGAGCCAACCAGAACAGACCAGGTACGCCTTCTTCTCCAACTTCAGGAAAATCATGGGCGGACGTTGCTGCCGGTGGTAGCAGACCTTCTTCACCTACAGGCCTCCCTAGACAACCTGTACCAGGTACGTCTATGTTGCCTATAACGTACGTAATTGCCTAACTGACGCTCTCAAGTAAGTACCACTTTCCGTGTCTTCTGCTTATTGACATAAGTGGAGAGATGAGGTTATGATGAACACGCGTTTAACAGCATAGTAATCAATTAAATCACTGGAACTAGGTGAGAATGAACGTAGAACCACGGGAAGACCGGCACAACCTGGCGATTCTCGGCCAGAACCGGCGAGAGGCACGTCCACCATTGGCGTTACTCCGGCCACGGGTGCCGCGGATCCAAACAAAAAAGTATATTCCAGTAATCCAACATACAGCAAAGGGAATACAGTTACTGACGAGGACTTAGAGAAGTTGTCCGAAGCGCTCTACATCAAAGAGACGAATAATGCAAACCGATACATAACACTCAATCTGCAACAGAAGACCACCAGCGGTAGCCCGACGGACCAAGCTCCACAGCCGTAAGAATCATATTTAAAAGTGTGGACTAAGTCCTTATTCTGGACGTATGGCGAACGCTAAATGTGCCTCTCTAATCTCAAGTTCTGTTCCTCTTACGTGAACGTCACATACAACGTTGTTCCAGCTTGAAAATCAGAAAAGCACTCTTACAGTTCGCTATGCATCCAAAATATGGCATATGTACTTCTAAAGCTTGATCTACAATGTGCTCTCTGCTTTCTATTTTTTATTCTTTATGTTCTCCTGGCTTGAGATGTAAGATGTAAGTCAAAAAGAGATATGGAGAAAGAAATAGAAAACAAATTGCAGATAAGGCTTAACGGATCATTAAGGCTTAACTATTATTCGCTGGATCTGTGTCAATAAATTCATCAAGCTGTGTATCCGCAGGCTACTTACAGTGAGCGCTGAGGCTTTCCAGATTCCCACGATTCAAAGAGTCCTGTCGATATTCGACAATTATCAATTGGACACTCATACGAACGAGTACATTAGTCCAGCGCAAAGGCAAGAGGAGAGTCTCCTTGTCGACACTTTCTTAAGTACGAACGTGATGTCTGCCGCGATGCGTTTCCTCGCAGATAAAGGATTCATGCGGCAGGATTATTACGAGTACAAAGACACCCTGAGAAGAATCTGGTTCAATCTATTCTCACGCGGGCAAGGTAAGATCGGAAGCACCGGATTCGAGCACGTCTTCATGGCGGAGACGAGGCAAGCGGATTCAGGCACTCAGGAGGTACTCGGGCTACACAATTGGATCTACTTCAATGCAGAAGAAACGAAGAGACGCGTCGACTACTTGGGTTATATCAACAAAGTCGATTTAGGAAACGTAAGTGATTTCTCGATAAATAGAGTTTAAGTTTCTTGTTTCCTCGCCGCAGCCATTTTGGATCACGACCACAGAAGCGAAAAAATTCATGTTGAATATTCCTACGGGTTACGTCCAAAAGATAAAAATATTTGTAACACGATACATGCAATCGCATTTTTTAAATTTTTTAAAAGTTCAGAAACTTCGCTTTTGCCGAAGCAATTAATAAACTGACGAAAAATTACCGCGAGAGAATCATAAGAAAAGGTAGCTCAAAAAGGAAGTTAATCGTGTTAATGTTACAGTTATTTATTGATAGTACAAAAGGACAATTTTCGGAAGATTTTAAAAATGTACCTGATTATAAACATCGCTTTTTTGGTATATTTTTTTAATTCGACATAATCCGTAGTGAGTAGAAAGTTTTAATATAGATTCGTTTCTGATGTCATTAAATAAGAATTCCGTGGCGAGAGGCCAGGAGCCTTAAATTGCACAGTTTGCTTCGATCACGCCTGGTGATTTGTAAACGTCAAAGAAATGAATGTACGAACATGAGTTCGCTTTTTGCTCCGCAGAAAGGGTCCATCGTCAAGGTGCACGCGAAATTCAATGGTCTCGACAAGCCAGTTACAGCGTTGTTCGTCGGCACCTCGCCTGAACTGGAAATGGCGCTCTACACCGTCTGTTTCTACGCGAGACCGGACGGAAAATGTCCCGTGTCTTTAGGAGGAACGAAATTCAACATAGTGACGTACAAGTTTAAATACAGAGGAAAAGATCTGATCGGAACGGCGTACCCGGAAATTTGAGGATGCCGTACAAAATGTACCCCTCAGAGATTGTACAATTCTTGTATACCTTATAGTAAATAAAATAAACCATACATGATTGCACAGTTTGTATCAACTCTAAGATGACGCTTCTCGCCATTCCGACTGATCTCCCTCAACTCTAAAGTCGGTAAGACAGTGACTATTGCCGTAATTACTTTATTCAATATGTGACATCTCGTGCAGAATCTCAAACTGCCATCAGAACTGGATTGGATTTTAGCAACTTTTTTTCACGCGCCAACCAGAAATGAAACTTACCGATTTGAAACGTCGATGTTTCATATTTTTACATTTACTTTTATAACAGGAACAGAAGTTATTTCTGCATGGCGGCTAGTTGCGGTGGAAGATAATTGCAAAAGTGGGCTCGATAGAAAGTGTAAACAGGCAGATAACATAAAAACATGAGAGGAGAGAGGGAGAGGTCAACTCGCATGACTAAACCGTTGCACGCGTGCAATTTCACTCAGTCAGTTCAGTCGTACTGAAGCCGGCAAATTTCATTCTTGTCGATGCCTTATATATCGGCAGCATTCGCGAGTAGAACAATTCTTTCAACCGTCGTATTATTATTCCAGACAGTTTGGAACACTTTATTCTGTGCGCGGCGCATTGCGGGTGATTTAATTTATTGACCGGACTGCTCAAGTTTCCACCGGAGAAGCTATTTCATAAATTACGAGGACTCTCCGAATTCCCGGATGCAACGAGATGCACCGGGGACGTGATCAGCCACCTCATCAGCTCCACCGACCTCGACGTGGGCGGGAAGAGTATTCACTTCACTATGCTGCGCAATCCGTCGCCCTTGGAGATAGTAAATCCGGTAACAATGGGGAAAACGCGAGCTATCATGCAGACGATCGAGGAAGGTGCATACGGCCAGGACGACAACACGCAATGGAGCGATAAAGTGATAAATATCCAAGTAAGTCGCGGAATCGCGCGCTGCGAAAAACGTCGTCTTCGTCAAGAGGTCGATCGTCCGTATTGACATATCTGATTTTGCTATCGCCTTTGCGCTACCACCTCCTATCACTACATCCCAATGCGTACCTGCATCCAATATTCCAATATCTAGAATGCTTCGCTAGGTACACGGAAACGCCGCCTACACTGGGCAAGGAATTAATCGAGAATGTTTGGCCCTAAGCAGAGTGCCGCACTTCCAGATCGGCGATACGGTTCACTTGATAATTAACAATCAGTTAGGCTTCACAACTCTGCCCTTGAGAAGCCGATCGACGATACAGTTCACTTGGTAATTAACAATCAATTAGGCTTCACAACTCTGCCCTTGAGAGGCCGATCGTTGAGGTATTGCATGGATCTGGCCAAGAGCACTGTGCCTGTGATCCATGTGAACGCTGACAATCCTGAGGTAGAAATAAAAAATTTACAATTTTTAATTATAAACCTGTGTTTTCTATCAAAATTACTTCTTGCGTGAATTTTGGGACACCCTTTATATCTGGAGAATTGCGAATCTGGAGAATTGAGAATATTATTTCTGGAGAATTGCGGAAAATATAATTTTTTGCGATTACAGCGCCATCTATCACGAATCAAAAAAAAAGTTTCGGACAAAATTTACGTATTTTGTGACGTAGAATCCGTATCTGCAATAAAAAATGGAGGTTTCCATTTAAGATTTCAAAGTTGCCCCCAACCCCCATCCCCAGGGGGTGGGGTGGGATGTCGAGTTTGGTATCATTGGATGTCCCCCTTCGAGATTAACAACTTTCATTAACCACTTTTTTTTATCCAATGCATAGTTCTCGAGATATTTCAATATCTTCAGATAAATCGTGCACCCTGTATATAATAGTTTGAGTAGAGAAGAAGTGTTCAGAAACATCAAGAAAAATTATTATAAAATCGTTCGATATAGACTTTGGTGAATTTAATAAAAAATTAACATATTCTAGGATCTTTTCATGTAAGATTTAATGTGCTGAAATGAATAAACAGACCGACGGCATAGTTGTACAAATAGGAGGTGCTGAAACTTTTGTGTTGCAATAATGTTAATATTAATGCGTACATATTTTTAGTAGAAGATATAAACGCTAGATGTCGAAAATATTTTAAATATGCAATGAAGTAAAATATACAAAAAAATATATTGTACTGCAAATAGCTGAGCTCAGTTCTGTTTTACGGTATCCTATTCATCTTCATAATTTTAAAAACAATGTATGAAACAGGTTTATAAAGAATGTATCTAACTATAATTTTATTTAAAATCGTTTTTCTGTTTTACACAGTACCCTCTTTTTAGTATCCTTGTAGAACACAAATATTGAACAACTGCAAGAGAATTAAAAAACATATTGAAATATTTTTTCATGTACAATGTCCTTAAGTTTTTAGGAGAGAAGCGCGTGCTTTTAATATTATTTTCATTTTGCTTTCATGATGATTCGCGGTGAATCCTGAAATGTCCTTCGAGACATTAACAGAACTGAATTCAAGACCGAGAAATGATATCATCCCGTTGTCATGGCCGTTTGAGCAGCTCTCTGTCAAAACCTAGAGTTGTGTTACTTACATATGAGTCGGAGAGGCTAGGAAACTGATTGCTTCAAGGCAATCAGACGCAGGACGCAGTCGGAACGCAGTCTTACTTCACACGTGAACCACGTAGCACGTTCACGCATCGCCAGCTCCAGGATCAGGAGAAGTCAGTTACATAAATTACTATAATAAATACTATACTATACTTTATACTATAATTTATACTATAATAAATACTATAAATTACTATAAATCTAAAATATATTTTATCAGAAAGGACCAACCTGGACACAGCGTTTGTCAGCTTTCGCGGTAAATCATGATGATGAAAAATCGATATTTCATCATTTTCGTAATTTCGCTGTCACTCTTTATTGGTAAGTTTTTCTGTTATTTAGCTATGTTTCTCGTCAAGATTTTTACCAAGATAAAAACATATTCCGAGAAGCAGAATATCGTGCGATAAAAAGAATCGAGGAAAATAATAGAGCATGCGTCATAGACGACATAATGCATGCATGACGTAGAATTTTTTAATTACGTAAATAATTAGAGTGAAATCCTGTTGTGAACTGTATATGCACAAAGAACGTTGAAAGATCAAATATAGATAAATTTGAGGACGAATAAATATGCAATAGCTCAAAGTTTGGCATGAAAATTGAAATGGTTGTCGTCGATAATATTTACAACGTTTGACGATAGTAGAATAAATATAATTACGCGTTTAAGAATTTTTATGAATCTTACAAACAACAAATGCGAATATTGTATCAAAAATCGTCAGCACCAGCTGTAAACATAGGAGAATCAGTGTAATAAGTACTACTAATAATGAATATTCAATCAAATTACTTCGAATGCACAACGATATTCTTCGCGTATCATTTCAGGTATTACTCGAAGCGGAAAATCCTTGAGAGTCTTGAATGTTTGGAAAGACTTATAAATCAATTATTATCGCGATATAATATATGTACGTCTGTATTCTCTCGTGTTTATTTTTAGTTTCGAACTGTATTCAAGGAGATTCGAATTTTCACACGATTAAATTACTTAAGAACTTTTACAACAAAGATACGAACTTTTGTCATCACCAGGTGCTGCTAACCCAGGACTTGCCATTAACGTAGGAATCACTAGAGCCAGTCTACCTACCAGTCTAGGAACAAAAATCGGCTTGGATATTGCCGGTCAAAGACTAAATAGACCGGAAATCGATGGTGGTCAAAATTATCGAAATTGGGCTGCGGATCTCACCGCTGAAGGACCGCTACCGAGAGTACCTGTTCAAGGATTTCAAGGATCGACAAGTGGTGGTAAGACACAGCCCAATCTACTATCTGCAGGCTCAAGCCTCCCAAGACCAAGTAGACCAGAAGTCAGTAGTAGTAAAAATGATCGAGATTGGACTGCAGGTCTCACCGGAGCTGGGGCACTGCCACCGAGAGTACCTGATCCAGGACTGCCACCGAGAATACCTGTTCAAGGATTTCAAGGACCGATAAGTGGTGGTAAGATACAGCCCAATCTGCTATCTGCAGGCTCAAACCCCCCTTCCCCTCCCAAGACCAAGTAGATCGGAAGTCAGTGGTGATTAAAATGATCGAGATTGGATTGCAGGTCTCACCGGAGCTGGGGCACCGCCACCGAGAGTATCTGATCCAGGACTGCCACCGAGAATACCTGTTCAAGGATTTCAAGGACCGACAAGTGGTGGTAAGATACAGCCCAATCTGCTATCTGCAGGCTCAAACCCCCTTCCCCTCCCAAGACCAAGTAGATCGGAAGTCAGTGGTGATTAAAATGATCGAGATTGGATTGCAGGTCTCACCGGAGCTGGGGCACCGCCACCGAGAGTATCTGATCCAGGACTGCCACCGAGAATACCTGATCCAGGACCGCCACCGATAGTACCTGTTCAAGGACCTCAAAGATCTCAAGGACTGACAAGTGGTGGTCAAACACAGCCCAGTCCACTATCTGCAGGCTCAAGGTCAAATCCAGAAGTAACAAATCGACCCACAGCTTCGCATGTAGCAGCAAATATCCCGACTCAACCGAACCAGCCATCAAACACAGGTCTGTATTATCTGACCTGAAGGGTTTTAATAATGTCCAAACTCCACGTCACTATGTTATTATTGAAATTCTGTTGGTTCAGGATCAGAAAGCACGCCTAAAATTGTCATTCAACCTCCAACACCTCATGTGACACCTGATAAACTCTGTTCATATACAATTCTCTTATGCTATAATGTATCTCGAAAAAAAAAATAAACATAATCTAATCTAATACAGGTCGTATCGCTGGGACTTCTACTTCCAATGATCGGAGCAGACCGGGTACACCTTCATCTCCTAATTCTAGAGAATCGTTTGCTGACGTTGCTGATGGTGGCAGCAGATTCGCTTCGATGGGGTCGCCGAGACAATCCGAGTATCCTGGACAACCGAGTACGAGTGTATCGGGTACGTTTAATCACTTTCAGTATACTCTTCTTATCATCTATATAACTAGTGCATGCAAGAAGAGTCTTATTGCCTGTAATAGTTGGAGATGTAATTTAGAACGGAATAATAAATCTTGAGACAGTGGGTCGATTGGTTTAATGAGAGGTTGACTATTTTCTATGATTGAATTTTCGTGCTTGTGCAGACACAAAGACCGCAGGTGCCGCCGGAGACAACCAGAACAAACCAGGTACATCTTCTTCTACGGCTTCTTCTTCGACCTCGGGAAAATCAAAGGCGAATGTTGGTGGTAGCAGATCTTCTTCACCTACAGAACTCTCTGAAGAACCAGCATCAAGTACATAATTCCATGTTGCCTAACGTAAAATTGCCTAACTTACGCTCTCAAGCAAGTACCACTTTGTTTCGTGTCTTTTGTTTATTGACATAAGTGGAGAGATGAAGTTGTCTCTGATGAATATGTGTTTAACAGCATAGTAATCAATTAAACCTATTTAACGACGAAGAGGAATCCACTATCTTATTACTCATCAAGAACTTGGAATTAGGTGAGAATAAACATAAAACCACGACGAAAAGACCGGCAGAAGGACCGCCAGAAGTACCTGGGCCAATTTCTTTACCAAATCTGGTGACAGGCCCTTCCATCATGGACCTTATTCCAGACAAGAAGAAGGATAACACGGATGATGATACGGATGATGACACGAAACCAAAGGAAAAAAAAGTATACTCCAGTAATCCAATATACTCCAGTAATCCAACATACAGCAAAGAGAATACAGTTACTGATGAGGACTTAGAAAAGCTGACCGAAACGCTCTACATCAAAGAGATGAATAATGCAAACCAATACATAACACTTAATCTGCAACAGAAGACTACCAGCGGTAGTCCGACAGACCAAGCTCCACAGCCGTAAGAATCATACTTAAAAGTGTGGACTAGGTCCTTATTCTGAACATAATCCCAAGTTCTGTTCTTCTTATGTGAATATCACATATAACGTTGTTCCATCCTGAGAATCGGAGAGGCACTCTTAAAGTTCGCTATGCGTCCAAAATATGGCATACGTACTTATAAAGCCTGATCTACAATGTGCTCTCTGTTTCCTATTTCTTATCCTTAATTTTTCGTGGCTTGAGATATAAGGTATAAGTCAAAAAGAGAAAGATAAAGAGAAATAAATATAAAGTAAAGAGCATATTGCAGGTAAGGTTTAACGGATCACTAAAGCTTAACTATTATTCGCTGTCACTATGTCAATGAATTAATCAAGCTGTATATCCGCAGGCTACTTACAGTGAGCGCCGAGGCTTTCCAGATTCCCACGATTCAGAGGGTCCTGTCGATATTCGACAATTATCAACTGGACACTCATATGGACGAGTACATCAGTCCAGTGCAAAGACAAGAGGAGAAGCTCCTTATCGACACTTTCTTAAGTACGAGCGTGATGTCCGCCGCGATGCGTTTTCTCGCGGATAAAGGATTCGTGCAGCAAGATTATTACAAGTACAGAGACACATTGAGGGGAATCTGGTTCAATCTGTTCTCACGCGGGCAAGGTAAAATCGGTAGCGCCGGATTCGAGCAGGCCTTCATGGCGGAAACGAGGCAAGCGGATTCTGGTACGGAGATATATGGGCTACATAATTGGATCTACTTCAATGCAGAAGAGACGAAGAGACACATCGACTACTTGGGTTATATGAACAAAGTCGATTTAGGAAACGTAAGTGATTTCTCGACAAATAGAGTTTAAGTTTCTTGTTTCCTCGCCGCAGCCATCTTGGATCATGACGACAGAAGCGAGAAAATTCATGTTGAATATTCCTACGCGTTACGTCCAAAAGATAAAAATATTCGTAAGATGATACAATAGATTAAGCGCATTTCTAAAATGCTCCGGAAACTTCTCTTTTGTCGAAGCAGTCAATAAACAGGCAAAAAATTAACGCGAGAAGTTCATGAGAAAAGGTAGCTCAAAAAGGACGCTAATCATATTAATGTCATATTATTATTAGTTATTTATTGATAGAGCAGAAGGAAAATTGTCGGAGGATTTAAAAACTTGTGTGTACTTTGATTATAAATATCATTTTATTGGTATATCTTTTTATTTCGACATAATCCGTAGGAAGTTTTAGTATAGATCCGTTTCTAATGTCATTAAACAAAAATTCCGCGGCGAGGGGCAGGAGTCTTAAATTGCACAAAGTTTGCTTCGATTATGTCTGATGATTTGTAAACGTCAAAGAAACAAATGTACGAACGTGAGTTCGCTTTTTACTCCGCAGAAAGGGTCCATTGTCAAGGTATACGTGAAATTCAATGGTCACGACAAGCCAGTTACGACGATGTTCGTCGGCACCTCGCCTGAACTGGAAATGGCGCTCTACACCGTCTGCTTTTACGCGAGACCGAACGGAAAATGTCCCGTGTCTTTAGGAGGAACAAAATTCAACATAGTGACGTATAAATTTAAATACAGAGGACAAGATCTGATCGGAACGGCGTACCCGGAAATCTGAGGATGCTGTACAAAATATACCTGTCAAAAATTGTACATTTCTTATATACTTTATAGTAAATAAAATAAATCATATATAATTGCACAGTTTGTATCAACTCTAAGATGATGCTTCTCGCCACTCCGACTGATCTCCCTCAAGTCTCAAGTCGGTAAGACAGTGACCATTGCCGTAATTACTTTATTATGTGACATCACGCGCAGGATCTCAAACTGCCATCACAACTGGGTTGAATTTTAGCAACTTTTTTTTCACGCACCAATCAGAGATGAAACTTATACCGATTTAACCGATGTTTAATATTTTCACATTTACTTTTACAACAGGAGCAGAAGTTATTTCATGGCTGCATGGCGGCTAGTTGCGGTGGAAGATAATTGCAAGAGTAGGCTCGATAGAGAGTGTAAACAGGCAGATAACAGTGATGCATAAAAACATGAGAGTAGAGGGGGAGAGGTCAACTCACACAACTAAACCGCTGCACGCGTGGAGTTTCACTTAGTCAGTTCAGTCGCGCTGAAGCCGCCATCCACAATGTACGCGATCGGACGATTCGTATTGAAGAAAAGGAGCCCACGTTTCTGGCTGACCTCATCGATCCCTTGCGGCAGCGTTAACTTGTATCACAGCGAAAACGGCGTTTATGGGTATAAACCAAGTCAACGGAGGCACTTTGAAGGTACTTGCCTTGTTAAAAACTCGAGAGAGAGGGCATGAGAAGTGTGTTCTCTTATATAGCGGGAGCATGACCAGAATTATCCGGGTTATCTCGTCGCAACGCGGAAGATAAAAAAGATTTGAATATGAAATTTGTCAAGGTGATTCTATATTGGAAAGAAAAATGTTGCTGACAGAGAAAAAGAGAGAGAGAGAGAGAGATTTAAATTTAATCTACCGTAAATTGAAGCGACACTTTTCCCGACAGATCATTTTTGTTGAAAAATATTTTTGTCTTCCGGTATAAGGCTCTCCCAAACAAGACGGGATACGCGTGAATACTCTTTCTACTCGTTGTACATTAAAAGTCAACGATACGCGTTAATAATGCGTGTAATATTTGCTTATGATAACGATCTGCGCCTTATTCGCCATTATCTGCATCCACGATTTTCAGACGCTAATTGCCGTTCTCGTTTTTCAGTGCCGAAGGAATATTTGGATGAACGGGCAAGGCAGAGTAATTTCTACAGACTCGTCGACGCCTATAGAATTCACGGGCACAAGCAAGCCCACATAGATCCCCTCTCCATGACAAAACCGTCATTACTGCCCGAACTGCAACCGGGTAATTTCGGGCTGAATTTAAAGGACAAGGTCCATTTTCGAGGAATCTTACTTACGCAACAGAACGAGGGGACGGTGGAAGAAGCTATTCGGTTACTGAACGATACCTATAGCGGTACCATCGGAACTGAATTCAGTTATCTCGAGGTAATTTCCAAATTCGTAGAATCCTTGCAGACCCGCGCAAAATCAGTGGTCATTAGAGCCACGAGTCTCTCTATCCTCTAAGATCTTCAACAACGCGAAGATCTACTGCGAAATAAGTTTGTATTATTTATCGTAATATTGCGGCTCAATAAATACCGATAAGAGCAATGATAAGAGATTGCACTTGCGATCGAGTAGACCGAGGAAGAGAGGGAGTGGTTCGCCAAAACCGTAGAGAGAACCCTGGCCGAGCCATTGGACGACGAAACGCGCAAAGCGATAGCCGCGGAAATGCTGAAGAGCCAAGCTTTTGACAATTTCTTGGCGATCAAATTCGTGAGCCTAAAGAGGTACGGGGGAGAAGGAGCCGAGAGTATGATGGCCTTCTTTCATGAATTTTTCAAGCTATGCGCCTCCGGTAATTAAAAACAAACACACTCTCAGTTAAATTAGACAGTCGCCGATATTGTCGTTCAATAGTTCGACACAGAACGATTGCACGTCCTAACGAGTACTGGAGTAGTTTTCAACACATTCTAACTTCGCGACTGAGAAATTTCATTCTTGTCGTTGCCTTATATATCGGCAACATTCGCGAATGGAACAATTCTTTCAACCGTTGTATTATTATTTCAGACAGTTTGGAGCACATTATTTTGTGCGCGGCGCATCGCGGGCGACTTAATTTATTGACCGGACTGCTCAAGTTTCCACCGGAGAAGCTATTTCATAAATTACGAGGACTCTCCGAATTCCCGAATGCAACGAGATGCACCGGGGACGTGATCAGCCATCTCATCAGCTCCACCGACCTCAACGTAGGCGGGAAGAGTATTCACTTCACTATGCTGCGCAACCCATCGCACTTGGAGATAGTGAATCCGGTATCAATGGGGAAAACGCGAGCTATCATGCAGACGATCGGGGAAGGTGCATACGGTCAGGACGACAACGTGCAATGGAGCGATAAAGTGATAAATATCCAAGTAAGTCGCGGAATCGCGCGCTGCGATGAACGTCGTCTTCGTCGAGAGATCGATTGTCCGTATTGACATATCTGATTTTGCTATTACCTTTGCGTTACCATCTCCTATCGCTACGTTCCAGTGCGCATCTGTATCCAATATTCCAATATCTAGAATGTTTCGTTAGGTACACGGAGACGCCGCCTACACTGGGCAAGGAGTTAATCAAGAATGTTTGGCCCTAAGCAGAACGCCGCACTTCGAGATCGGCGGTACAATTCACTTGGTGATTAACAATCAGTTAGGCTTCACAACTCCGCCGTCGAGAGGCCGATCATCAAGGTACTGCACGGATCTGGCCAAAAGCATATCCGCGCCTGTGATCCACGTAAACGCTGACAATCCTGAGGTACGATCCTTGCCTAAATGTCATTATCTCGCTGGTACTACAAAAACGAAAATAAACAATCGTAATGTGAAAATGTTGCAGATGGTTGTACGAGCCACGAGGATAGCCTTTAAGTATCAGAGACAGTTCAGAAGAGACGTTTTCGTCGATCTAGTCTGCTTCAGAAGATGGGGTCACAACGAGCTGGATGATCCCCTTATGACTAATCCTCTTATGTACAAGATTATACAAAATCGACCGTAAGTTTAGATTATATATGCGTTTTATAGAATAGTTACGAATAGTCTTTTGTTTTAAAAATAACCGAAACAGTCTTTTACAGAAAAATCCGACATTACTTATTGGCCAACCCAATATATATACATGTGTCTGACAATACATATAAATTTCCCGTGTGCGTGTAAATTAAATGAAGCTGAATAGAAAATCTCTCTACCATTTTGCAAAAAACCACAAAAATTTTGAGTTATTATTTAAAGAAGATTGACGAATGATCGTATGATAAGCTGTGGTTGCAATTTCTGTCGTTGTGTGCTTGTAGATTATGCCAAACTGAATAAAAAAGTACTATTTTGCAAATAATCATGTAGATTTTTAGTTATTTTAATTAAAGAGGATTGGAATATACATTAATTAATAGCTAAAGACGTAATTATTTGCAAAATGGGGGGAGGTGGTACAAGACATTTTTTTTCAGTTTGATTCAATTATATGCTATCGTCACTCTTCACACATATGAGTAGAAATGTTTCCTTTAACTCAGATCTTTCTCAAGAAAGGCCTAAATATACTAAAAATCTACTTCTCTTCTCAACTGTTCTCGAAATTCCAGATCTATACCGGATCGATATGCGGACGAGCTGATAGGCGCCAATGTGCTTACTCGAGAAAGCGTTCAAAATACCGTCGAAAGCCACACAGGATGGTTAAACAGGATCCTGAAAGAATCTACAGAGGATGCGTCGCGACAGCCAGGGTACCTCGCTGGAAGATGGATAGGAATAAAGCAAGCCGAAGCTAACGTCACGCAATGGGACTCGGGTGTTGAGTTGAGTTTGTTGGAATTCGTGGGAAGGAAGAGCGTTGAAGTGCCGGCGGACCTGGTAAGAAGAAACATGTATATCCCACAAATACTATATACGATACTGAGATGAAATCTACACTTACGTATCACATTAAAGGACATTTATCCGCAAGTATTGAAGAGTCACGTTCTAAACCGCCTGAAGAAGATCGAGAGCGGTGACTCTTTGGATTGGTCGACTGCCGAGGCGTTGGCTATCGGTTCCCTGTTGTATCAAGGATATAACGTGAGGATAAGCGGGCAGGACGTGGGGCGCGGGACCTTTGCGCAGAGGCACGCGATGATCGTTGATCAGTCCACAGGAGGTGTGTATACGAAGCTCGATACGATGAGACATCTTAGAGACTTATGATCCGTATGAATGTTTCAGCTACATTCATCCCATTGAATTCTATGATCAGCGGGCAAACTGGCAAGTTGGAGGTGGCTAATAGTATTCTATCCGAGGAGGCTGTGCTGGGTTTCGAATACGGTATGAGTATAACGTCGCCTTCCACGTTGCCCATTTGGGAGGCTCAATTCGGCGATTTCTTCAACGGGGCGCAAATCGTGATCGACACGTACATAACCAACGGAGAAGCTAAGTGGATGCTGAGCAGCGGCTTGACGATGCTCTTACCGCATGGATACGACGGCGCCGGTCCGGAGCACAGTTCGTGCAGACTCGAGAGATTCTTGCAATTAACCGACAGCAAGGAGAACGAAGCCGATAGCGACGACGTCAATGTGCAAATCGCGAATCCCAGTGAACCGGCGCAATACTTCCACTTGTTGAGGAGGCAGGTGAGACGATGGAGACGTGTCGTTGAAAAGAAAAGAAAAAAAAAAAGAAAAAGATATCTTTGAACACTCACGTTACAATATGCTGCACGTGTATCCCAATTAGAGAGATATTATGGGTTTGCAGATGGTGAGAAATTATCGGAAACCTCTGATCGTGATAGCACCTAAGATTCTACTACGTCATCCGGCGGCGGTATCATCTTTGTCAGATTTGGGGCCACGAACGAGCTTCAAAAATGTTATTGGTGTGTTCTCTTTTTCTTCTCCTCCTCCAAAGTAAAACGGTTGAAATATTAAACTCCTTGAAATGTTATCTTTTGTACGAACTTATAAAAGTGATATCTTATATGGGTTTTGCAGGAGACGACAGGGTGAAAAGTGACGACGTAAACAAAGTCATTCTAGTCAGCGGGAAGCACTATTACGCGCTCAAGGATTATAGAGACAGTATCGAAAACAATAACGTAGCTATCATTCGAATTGAAAGCCTATGCCCGTTCCCTATCCAAGAATTACTGGAAGAGATCGAAAAGTATAAATATGCAAGAAGTAAGTAAAGAAAAAGATCCATCGTTTAATACAATCGGGTTATATGATAATACAATATTGTATCGTGTATCAAGAATACACAGTTGCTTTCCGATAGAGACGTCTCGAGATAGTATTCTGCATATTTCGTTATCAATATGTGTTATCAGTTTTCGTCTGGAGCCAAGAAGAGCCGCGGAACATGGGCGCGTGGGGTTTCGTCAAGCCGCGTTTCGAAAATCTATGCGGAAGACAAGTAAGTTATATTACGCTGTAAAAAGTTTTACATCGACCTTGCGCTGATGGCTTCTTTCACCAGCATAATGGAGACTAACGGATTATCATTTTCAGTTGAAATACTGCGGCCGAGAAACCATGGCGGCACCAGCTGTTGGAGATCAACAAAAGCATCAACGAGAAGCTAAGGAAGTTATCGTTAAGCCGTTTTTGATGAAATAAATATCGAGATACGTCACTTTGACAAACTGCCATATCATCTTAACTAACCCATATCTCTACGACACTTTTATTTCTTGTATAGCTCGGAACAACAAGTGGTAAGAAGGATGTCGTTTTGTGTGATCAATGATAATTTCTGCATTATGCATTAATCTTTTTGTTACTGAACTTTTGTTGAAGGAGCAATGGAAGAAATTAGCAGAATAATCACGGATAAATCTTTACATTAATCACACACATTGTAAGTTTTATTACAGTTCCAACAATATAGATTACCTACCTTAAAATTTTCTCTTCCGAATATATATATTCTTAAATAATTAACACACAATATATTGATAAGACGTTGATCTCTTCCTTCGCCTCCTTAGCGTTCCCTAGCGATTATCATTGTTACTCCATCATTGTCATTCATTTCTCGTTTCTGCTTTCAGCGTTCAAACGTTCGTGTTCTCTTTGCACAAGAGCTCGCAATTCATCCTAAAATCAAACACCAAGAAGTCCAGATTTTAAATACGTGGAAACGTAGAGAATAAGTGTGTGATAAAAATAAAAAATATGCTATTTTTACCCCCCAACCAAGTTTATCAGCCAACAATTGACAACCCGTGTCGCAATCACCCAACAAAGCTATATCGCGTCCTGAATGAGCATTTCTAGAGTCGAATACTAAACCCTGCCGTAGACCCAAGAAACGCGACAGACGGTCTTGCATACCAACTTTCTCATTGTTAATAAGCAGACGTGGACAATTGGTTCGTACTCTGAAAAGCAAGATAATTTTTAAAATTACATATATGAATCTTAACGACTCCTTATGTTGCTATAAATACCCGCACATACCTGTCTATTAAGGACGCAAAAGGCTGCACTACTAAACTCGATCCCATAATAATTAAAAGATCGGCTTGTACGAAATCTCGGCCAGCGAGCAAATAGAAACGTTCAGGCAACATCTCACCAAAAAAGACTATGTCAGGCTTTACTACACCTTCTTCGCACTCCTCACATTTTGGTATTGTACCTTCTGCTATCTTTTCTATCATTCGAAGCCACGTAATCAATAATTTTTGCAATTAACCATCATCGTAAATATGTAAAAATGTAATAAAGTATACCTTTCATCCATGGAAGTGTATACGGTGCTCGACATTTAAGACAACGGCCAGTATGAAACGTTCCATGGGCTTCCACTAATTTTTCAGCAGGTAATCCAGCTACCCGTTCCAATGTATCAATGTTTTGTGTATAATGCCGCAGCAACAAACCCTTCTCCCACAGGAGACGAATAAAATAGTGACTTAAAGTAGGTTTGAAGCCTTCTGGTAGCAGCTCTCTTGCAAGAGTAAAGAATGGTTCTGGGTTTTCTATGAAAAAATCTAATTCAAAAATAGCTTGTGGATGGGGCAAATTATATTTGTCTAGTTTGTGGTACAATCCACTAGATGGAGACCGAAAATCTGGTATTCCAGCAGCTGTGTGAAGAAAATATATATAATTTTTATGTGCATTCATAGTAAAATAAATAAAAAATTAAAATACATAGATAACATCTCATTTTAAAGCAGAAAACTAAGAAAAAATTTATTATAGGCCAGTTTTATCAAGTATATCTATAAATATACACACTTACAGGTAGAGATTCCAGCACCTGCCATAGTAACAATTTTACAACTTTCATGTTCTTTAATATATTCTACAATTCCATCTACACTGAGTTCACGAAGAACTCTTTGTTGTGATTCTTCACCTTGGTCATTATCTGACGAATCTATAAGCTTCAGCTTTTGATTTAGGAATTTACGCAGCCTTTCCATCCCGGAATCTTCTATATCTGATGATTCGGGAGAGATGTTCTGTTTTTCTTCATCTGATTTATCGCCTGGAATAGACAAAAGATCACACAAAATCAAAATTGCCTGATGTACTCTGCCAATGAATTGTTTTCAACAATCACAATGGCAAAATTGTAAGATTTATTATTTTTACTTTTTTCTCAATGTAGTCTGTGATAATTTATAAATTTTCTATACACAACATGAGCACATAATCAATACTATATTCATAATAGACGAATATTTTTGCTGAATAATAATCGTTGTCCGTTTTGCTAAGCCAAAGTCCAATGCTGGTAGTTATTTAATTAATTGATTTAATTAGTGTATTAACCTCGCGGAATTGGTGACAGTCTTCTCCACAAGTGACATTTATATAACCTGCATAAATATACACGTCTTATACGTATCATAAAATGAAAATTTGCATGAAAATGTAACATCAAGAGGAAAGATAAAATAAAATAAAATAAATTTGATGTCAACACGATTGCTTTGTGCACTTGTATGCGTTGTACATATATTTTTATTACTTCATGAAAGCGGTTGGAACGGAAATGATTCGCATATTGCAATGTCACAAGCTGTAATGATAAATGCGTATCGTTGTATTTGAAAATTACCTTTTCGATTTTCCTCGACCTCCTTATCCATATTATGCAGGTTGCAGCAGCACTTAATATTCGCCGACTCGCAAATGCTATTTACGGTAAGTTATCAGCAATGTTTATTCACTTCATGAATAATTCTGAAGGGGAAGTTACGCGACAGAAGACAAGTTTGTAACGTTACGATTGTATTGCGCTCTAATGCTACATAGATCAAATTTATGTAAAAATTCCCTCACTTTCTCACGTTATAACGTCCAATCGTACATAATCGCTTAGTCAGATACAACGGACGTACTGCACATTTAGATCGCACGAACACACACATGAACTCAGCTGCGTCTGACGGAGATTGACATTCGATATAAATCGAGCCATCGCAACATTCGTCGACTAAATTTTTATGAAAATTACGTCGATCTTTATCGATTATAATTAAAAAAAAAAAAGAAACAAACAAGGGAGGAAATAATATAAAAAATAAATAAAAAATAAACGATGTGAATCGGAAATTTTTACCGCTGCTATCACTCAAAGTTTCGGCCCCGTTAAAAATTTGCAGTATTATCTCTCATACAATATTAAATCCCATGTAAATATCAATTTCCTCCCAATTTCAATTCAACAATCAAATTAATATAATGTCTACGACACAAACCATCGATGAGACCGGTATTATTTGCGGGTTGAAAGCTGCAATTACAGAGCTGGAATGGTTTGTTTAATATTGTATTTTCATATTAACACACACACACATTTGTAGTCCTCCTCCTTGAGAATCCTATTCAGAAATTTAAATTAATTATTTAAGTTTGAATACTGAATTAATAAATTTGGATTTGAGAAAAGTTGAGTTCAATATTTTAACACAATTTCTATGTAACTTTCCATCAAAGTTTTGTGATCACTAATTTTGGACATTGACATAATTTCCAGTCACCAACAGGCGCGAATACTGAAGAAGCAAAGAGAAAAGGCAGCATCACCAGCTGTATACATAACAATTCCTATACATGTAATGCATCCTAAAAGACAGAAACCACGTAGTAAGTCTAAAAGCGACAAGTCCGCTTCTCCAAAAGGTAGAAAAGACCCTGTAACGGAAAGTCAGTGCAAAGACAAAGAGAAGCTCGATCGACGCAAGGTCAATAGTGAATACTTTGCAAATGCACGATTGGTTTTAAGCTCGAAGCTGTCAAAATAATTTCAATGTGTAGGAGACATCTCGTCCGATATTCCCGGAAATGCGAGGAGGCATATTGTATTCCAGATGCTACTGTTTGTACAGAAATGGCCTCCAAGATGAATGTCCTTTAACGCAATGTCAAGGACAACCAGATTGTCTAGTTAAACCATGGGCCATCTGTCCGCCGGGAAAATACGTTAGATCACGTTATCCGGAATTGTACCCGACTAAGAAAGATTGTAAAACGTGACGATACGCACACAAAGTTAAAAAAAGAAAAACAGAAAAAAGGAAACAAAGCTACGCATCTTTTCAGTGTTTATATACTTTATACTAAAACTTCAAAGCATCCAGAATTAATGACTACATCGTCACATCGTAAGAAAAACGTAGAGTAGAACTTTAAAATTTAAAACGAGTGGAATTTAAAAATTTTTACATGTCTTATTTTTAATCTTTTATTAAAACACCGGACAACATGGTACACATGGTTGACAAACAGGTGGAGGACAGAAGGGTACACATGTTGGAGAGGAAGGGGGAGGACATGGGGGAGGAGAACATGTGTAACAGATTTGTGGTATATAGCAAGTATCCGCCGGGGATGGCACGTAAACTTGGCGCAACGACAGCGGCTCGTCGCAACATGCTGGCTTTTGACATGAATCTCCGTTATTTCCATTGTTATCGTTGCATCTTGCAACGGACATCGGCGACTGAACTTGATTTCCATTATTGCAAATAAGCCTGCAGTAAGCAGCCAACGCGGCTTCCCTGGCCTTGTCCGCGCAATAGAACTTTTTAAGAGCGACTTCCGCGTCGCCCAAGTCAGTTAGCTTCAGCAAAGCAGTGCGACCTGGACCGCAAACTGGATACAGCTTTGTCATGCACTCCGGTCTACCCATGCAATCCCACATCATGCATCTGTCTTGCAGGCCGTTCCTCTTGATACATTCGCACTTGTACATTATACTTGCACGGAGTTCATAACTCTTGCAACGTTTAACAGGTATCTGCAACACGTATCGGACGGACAATTAATTGGCACTTAACTAACGAAATAGAAACGCAATTGCTTGTAGGAAAAGAATAGCGAAAATTAGAGCTATGTATAAACTCACACAACAAGGTACACAAGGATCGCAAGGATTACAAGGTGCATAAGGATCGATTGGTTTTACGCAGCATTTCACGATAGGTGCGGCAGATGGCTCATCCCATTCACATGGTTTTCTATGACACGTAATTTCAATAAGTCATCTTATAGCTGTCATCGAATCACAAGCAGGATCTTACCTTCTGTCCATAGAACTGATCAAGCATTTTAGTTGCGTCAGTAATTCACGTCTTCTCTCGCAATTTGGAGTTTTACCGTCGCAGGGCATTTTTCCATTCCAATTTTATGCCGCACGATACTGGGAAATTTTTCCTCGACTAGGTCTATCCTCGCACTTTTTTTTCTTTTCTTTATAATGTCACATTTTCTACATTGTCATTTCGACGGATTAATATGCACGAGATACGTGGAATTTGGTAATTTTGTGTAAATTTAATACTGATTACATTAGCCCGACATCAAAAATGATTTTGTTCTAGTCATAATTGTCAATTTATTGAAACATCTAGTCTCCTAGCAACTGTGTTACCGTTCGTATATAGCACATTGCGATAAAACACGCGTAATCACTTTTAAAAACAAATAACAAAAGAACAAAAGAAATGTTTGTGTTCTTGTATGATTACAGTATCAAAATACGTTATTAAATTATGTTACAGGTTTATGTTGTATATATACATATTTCACATTATCACGGAGCAATAAATTTGTACGTATCTTTCTTGATTTTTAATAAAATACCTTCTTCGTTCAGCTTGGAAATTAAAGTGCTAAAATCGCTTGTCGAGATACCTCCGGCCGCTACAAGTGCATTTAATTCTTTTACCGAAAATGTTCGTCCTTTATCCATATTCACTTTCTTCTCTAATATTCTGACAAATGCTTTTATCTACAAAAAAAGATCGAGTTTCACAGCAAGAAATTACGGTAATTAAGGGACACCTCGCCTTGAATTTCATATATGTTGTCAAGAACATTTCCTTGAGTAACTTGCAAAAAAATTTTAGTCGGTGGTCATTGTTTATTAAAAAGTTTTTGACAAAAGAATTTTCATAAATAACATAGTCTTCTCTCCGCATTTATTTGTTTATGCATGTAAAATACAAGTAAAATATATGTTGACGAAGGAGAAGCAGAATTCCTTCTTTTGCACTCCCCATTTCTAAAAAATAATTTGATTCATCCTAATGTAACCTGACCTGACTTAATTCAACTTAAATTGCTATTACTTTATTAGGAATTTTCGAATTTTTCCTATAAAAAATTTATCATTCCCCTCTCCTTTAAAACCTTATATACATGCTTTTTTATAATTAATTCTATTAGAGCTTTTTTATAATTAATTCTATTGCTGCAAAAAAAATCGTGATTTTTAGTGCAATAATACTTTACCAAATATTTTTACCAATACTTTTTCTGTTAATAACTTTTTAATAAACAATGACCGCCGACTGAAACTTGTAATTTACTTGTAAGTAAGGATATGTCCTTGATAATATGTATGAAGTTCAAGATCATCGGCGAAGTGTCCTTTAATATTCATAATTACCGAAATTACTTCAAATAGTCTTGTCAAAATGTAAACTTACTTTTCTATTTGTCAATTTACCGTCGGAATTTAATCCCGACACCATGAAATCTTCCTCCAATGTCTCTGCCATTGTATATTGCATTAAATCTACTACGTCCAATGCGTCTGACTCGGTCGCTTCGACACGTAATTCCAATTTTGCTCTGGCCTATAAGAATAAAACGCCACAAAAATATCCTGGTAGTTTATATATATGTCTATCGTGCAACAAGAAATACCTCAGTCAACCGAATCATGGCTTCTAACTGTCTATTGAATATCGGCAGGCTACCGAATTGTTTATGCTTAGATCGAAGTTCCAAGTAGTACTTTTGCAGTATTTCTGCAGCTGCGGGTGATAATTTTGGATTTACGTATTGTCGTGCATAGGAAATGTACGTTCGAAGGATGGACGATGGTATAATATCACTGGACAACGGCATCATCAGTCTTTTCCTGACAAAAATATTAATCGGTGTTTCTTCATATTTGCTATTATGTCAAATAAATATGTATTAAGTATATAACAATATTGATCACTTACTTTAAAGGATTTTCATCATTAAAAGATAATTCCATAGATTCTCCATGTGAACTTCCTTGAGCACTAGTGTGAACAGTCATTATGTGTTTGCATAACAGACTATCAAAATGCTGTTACAAATAAAAAAGTAGCATCGCTGCAATAATTCCACACATACACACATACGTCTGTACATTATACAATATTTGTTCAGATTGCAAAGATTTACTTACTTTGTTTGGCTTATCTAGTAGCAAAAAGATCAGATCAAATCGTGAAAGAAGAGGTTGACTAATATTCAAGTTTTCAATTACGGATTTGCTCTTGTCGTATTGCCCATTTATAGGATTAGCCGCTGCGAGAATCGACGTACGCGCAGGCAGTGAACATATCACGCCGGACTTTGCAACGGTGACGCTTTGTTGCTCCATCGATTCTAATAATGCCTAAAATAATGTATTATATATAAACATTGACATTTTTTTTAAGTTGCGACTTTATATAACGTTCATTCATTCTACATACTTTAGCACACTTGTTATGTTATGGACAATAGATGTATTATTTCACCTGATGCTGAGAACACATTTTATCAAATTCATCAATACAGCAACAACCTTGATCTGCTAAAACTAAAGCACCAGGTTCTAAAGTAAAGTCGTTGGAACCTGTTTCCTTCATGAGTGTCACTGTTAATCCAGAAGATGTACTCGAAGTGCCGCAGATGTACACAGCTTACAACAATATTCAATTTTTTATGTTAAATTATACATCTAATAAAAAACTTTGAAGATTTTGGTCTCCTTATCTATACCTTTCGCAGATATCCGAGCGCATGCTTGTAACATCTGTGACTTGCCAAGACCAGGATCTCCAACTAATAAAATATGTATGTCATCTCGTAACTGTGTACGTTTTGCATTGCCACTGAACAAGCTTAACAATAATCCAGCTTTGACCATTTCATGACCATATATGTTAGGACATAACGAATGCACTAACAATGCGAAAAGATTTGGTTCTTTATATATATCCTGTATAACATAAAAAAAGAAATTAAATAATTTCACAAGTTACAATATCTAATTCAATGTATGACAAATACCTGTATTGCTAAATAATTATTTAATGAAATTTTGTTATTCATAGAGCTTTTATTATTTTTATATCTATGTTTATTATTAATCACAGTTATCGCTTTCATATATAAAGAGAAAGGAGACCCAACTTTTGGTTTTGTTGCACCATCATCAATACCTTGTACCTTAAAGTATTATAAGATATGATTAACTGTTATAAAAGATATTTTCATATAATTGTTCATGTAACTAACTTTCATATAACCATCTAAGAATCTAGAAAAATACCTTGATAATGCCTGTAAGCGTTATGTCATCTCCGGGCATACAAATATTAACTAAATCACTCATGAGTTCTACATCGAGTATTTTAGGCACTCTACCTTTATTCTCCTATAAGATATTAACATATTAATTTATAATTTTATAGATATTTTTCTTTGTATCACAGATACTAGTGACATTAATATTTTAATAGTATTGCAAGTATTTAAAATCTTTTGTAGAGGACCTGTTCATCATTCAATGGCTCCTGTATCCTAATTATTTGGAACAAAACGCTTTTCACGCAAGGAGAATCTAAAACTGGATAAAATTTTGATGTACCACAGACATCACACTTTTTTGGCAATGTATATATTTCTTGCAATTGTTTAACCAATTTTTGCAAATGGCATTTAGAACAAGCAAATATCACCCACTGTGCAAGATGTTTTACTCTACTAACTCTTATCACACATCCTTTAGTGGTCACTAATTTGCCTAAGAAAATATTTCATGATTATCATTTAATAAAAAAGACATATTTGGATATATTTTTTAATAATAAATATACAAGTTTATACATATACATACCATAATAATTTAATTTAAGATCTCGTAAACATATAATTGGCTGATAATTTAATATACCTAATTTAATTGCTGGTAAACTGCTAATAGATCTTAAAACATATTTTAAATTTTCTTCTGGTACTGTCTCCAAAATTTTCTAAAATCATGAAACAAGATATTTGTAACAGATATAATTTTGATAAAGAATTAAAGGTTCTGTTACTAAAATAGAACAAGAGGAAAATCCATTAACTTAATATAAATGTAAAAATATCAAAGAGATATATTTATGAATAATAGTAAACTTACTTGATGAATACCAAGTTTTATACAATTTAATGTATTTATTGGATTCTCATATATCTCATCTTTAAAATTTGGCCACTGTTTCATAAATTCACTGTCATTGTACAATTCGCAAATGTCAATATCAAATGACATTCCTGCCTCTAAATTTGTCATTATAAGTAAGGAAGATAAGGCTTGATGTCTTTCTATAAAAGCCTCTATAGCTTTAATCTGCCTTATAATAGCACCATGAATTTTGTACTCTATATAAATAAATCATCAATATATAAGAGATCATGTTTCTATCAAACAATACTTTTTTTATTATTTTAAGTATATAAATTAAATAATACCTTTGTCAGGAAAAAATAATCTCCATCCATAATACGGAATATCCACATTCCTACCGATATCAAGATCATCAGAGCTAAGATTTGTTTCGTTTCGACCTAAAACAATGTTACAAAATTCATAAAATGTTGTGTCTTGATACAGAAAAAATAAAACATGGTAAAATGATATAATACTTACATGGCTCACTGTCATTTTTGGAGGTTTTTTTCGATTTCCATTTTTTCTTATAAAAACGTTTTTTATCACTCATAATAATTTCTAAAAATTTGTATACACTTAACGAATAAACGACGAACGAACAATGAATAGTGAATTCGGCAAAAAGTGCGGATACACTAACAAGAGAACTGCACGAGGTGTAAATATCATCGATTTGGCTGAATTTTTGTAGATAAAGCCGGCGGCACACGGTGCTTGTTTTCGTGGTGGAATTGCTTGCTGGAATTGCTGGATGAAAGTATTGTGTTCTGATTAGTGCATTTCCATCCATCTTTGGAAATATACCAATCAGAACGCAATATTTTCATCCAGCAAGCAATCGAGTATGAAAACAAGCACCGTATGCCGCCGGCTTTAAATCAAAAACCGAAATACCGTATGTCAATATTGCCAGTAATGAAAGTACATACATCATTTGTGTCACATATACTATAGATTTTCAATGTTCGCAATGAATATCGGATTGCAACCTATACAGAAAAAAAAATGGAAAAAGATATGGTTCGGGCTCCACAAAAACTTCCAATATTGCATTCAGGTACGAGTATGATAAGCAGTTATAAGCATAACATAATTGACGCATGCGCAGGAGGTTTGGTGGGACTAAAGCCCGGTCCAGGGTACCTATTATGGAACTCGTCGGAATCGATTCCGATCGAATTTATTCCGTTATTTCCTAGATTTCTATTGTCTTTTCTAGGGAAAATTGAATTATTCCGATCGAAATCGATTCCGACGAGTTCCATAAAGCCCGTATCAGACTATGGATTGGGATTGAGATTAGATTGAAATTTGACCAATTGAAAAAGAGAAAATAATCTCAAGTATAGTAAACTTACTCCTGATTGGTTAAATTTCAATCCAATACTCAATCCCAATCCGTAGTCTGATACGGGCTTAATAGGTACCCAGAATAGATTGCAAACACCCAGTTGCGAGTTGCGAAGGATGGCAACTACTAGTTACAAAGTGCTATTTCGATTGTAAGGGCCATCACACGTAGAAAAATTTTAACCGTAACCGTAAGGTTGTAAGAAAACTGACTAATCACAGTCAATCCTTTCTCTTGTGACATTATAATAATCGACTGTGATTGGTCAGTTTTCTTAAACCTTACGATTATGGTTAAAATTTTTCTACGTGTGATGGTCCTAAAGGCTCGTCCACATTAGCTGTAAGAGTAAGGCTGTAAGGTTGCAAGACACGAAATGAAATATTTTCATTCGCTGACAGCTTACGTTATAGCCTTACAGCCTTACTCTTACAGCTATTGTAGACGAGCCTTAAGAGACAGTTGCGATTACCGGTTGTCGTCGCCAAGAAGTTAAAAGTTGGACAACTCTCTTTTAGTAACCGTAAAGCCCCTTGCACAATGCCAGACACAGGCAACAATAGATTATTCTTGTAATAGTTGATTGTGATTGGTCTATTTTTATTCTTATTGCTTGTTGCCTGGCATTGTGTAAAGGGTCTAACTGTCTTACGACCGAAAATAACACTTTGTAACTAGTAGTTGCCATTCTTCGCAACTCGCAACTGGGTGTTTGCAACTTATTCTGGACCGGCCTTTAATGCCCTCAACACTGCTTCTGAATATTAAGCCCTAAACACAATGCCAGGCAACAGGCAATAAAAATAAAAATAGACCAATCACAATCGACTATTACAAGAATAATCTATTGTGATTGGTCTATTTTTATTCTTATTGCCTGTTGCCTGACATTGTGTTTAGGGCTTTATAGGTAGGGATGCCTGAAAGGGATTCCCCCCGTAGGGCCCTCACGGCTCACATTACCGCTTCTTTAGTTAACATCATGATGTCGCAGGAACAAGAGGTATCTTTGTCCACTGCGCAACAGATTATTGTTAAATTTCTCACAATAGAAGGTGAAAAACCGTTAAATATTTTGACAAAGCTTGAAGCACAGTTCGGGGATAACAGCGTTAAGGACACTCAAGTATACACGTGGCACAAAGAATTTTCAGAAGCAGCAGAAAGTGCAATTGAAGATGAAGGTCACCCACGTGGCCTGTGGAACGACGTGACTATCGAGCATATTCACATTATTAGCTGGCTTCTTGACTACATACCCCGATTATCGGCTCTTGAAATTTCTCGTATCTTCGGAATAAGTTACAACAGTGCTCGTAAAGTCATTACTGACTACAAATTTTTTTCTGCACTAGACTGACGACTGATCTCTTTAGCACGTGCACTAAAAGTATGTATTAAAATTTCGCATACGTATTGCAAGGTCCCGAAAGGAATGTAACTGCACCATACAATTTTTACTTAAGAAGATGTTAATATTTATTGAATATTTAATATTTCCTTTTGTAATGTCACATTCAATGTTCATTTAATATATAGAATACTAACGGGATCTTGCAATGCGCATGTACGGTCGCGGACATAAAGGTTGTCACTTTTTTTTTAATGACTTTCGGGACGCATCCCGACTCGAGAAAGATGAGAGCTGCTGCTCCGCCTGCGGAGTACGCCTGCGCAGTAACTCAACGAAAAGCGAGAAATGAAATATATGTGGTATGATATAAGTATGTCATTGTGTTCAGCGAAGAAAACCGCTCAGTGAGCGATTAGTGACTATTGGTCCTTACTGTTAGATCCTTACATTCAGACCAATAACGTTGACGAATTATTCAACCGTTGAGTCAACCGTCATGAACGCATGCAATTTTTACATTTTAAAAAATCAGCAACGGAGGGGGGAGTGCAAGTCACTCAAATGGGAATGCGTCTTTTGCAAGGTATTGAACAGGTATGTATATTAAATTTTAAGTGAAATCGTATTTTTTTAGTCACTAATCGCTCACTGAGCGGTTTTCTCCGCTGAACGCGAATGATTGTTGATATACTTATGGCATACCACGTATATTTCATTTCTTGCCTTTCGTTGTGAGATACTGCGCAGGCGGAGCAGCAGCTCTCATTTTTCTCGAGTCGGGGTGCATCCCAAAAGTCATTTAAAAAAAAGTGACAATCTTTATGACCGTGACCGTACGTCATGGCCGTCTTTTGTAAAAAAAAAATGGACATATAACGAACGTCCAATGGACATCCGTGTGCTGTCTGGGTACCTCATTATCCCCATTCTTGACGACACTGTGGCAGTGTTGCCAGCAAAACCGTGTTCGATTCTGCCAAAAAGTGTGCCACATTAGTGCGTTTTGTGCCATTCGAGCTAAATTAATATATTTTGAAGATTTTATAAGAACTGAGGAATCTATAAGTAGTTTTTATTGTCTAATCTTATATTTGTATCTTAAATTTGCATCTTAAAAACTAACACTTGTGTATCTTTAGAAGTTCGTAAACTTTACTCTGAAGACTATATTCATAGTCCGATCTTATATTTAAGATCGTCTTAAGTTCATCTTCAGATGCTGTACGGATCATTTCATTGGCTACAGAATATCTGAACGTGAACTTAAGACGGTTTTAAATATGATAAGATCCGACTATGAATACGGCCCTGAATATAGAATAATTGAATTAACCAATCCTGATAAAAAGATATTTGTTCTTTTTATTCTTATTGGTTAATCCGATGTTAGTTACTTTATCCGTAATGTGCAAGTTCCGAGCGCACTCCAGATAATGTAAGTGCCATTTTATTGGTTATACTAAATCTACATACTTTTGCTTGTAGAATGCGATACGTTTGTCATAGAAGCCAATTTAAAACTTTCACTTAAAAATGGAATTGTATCACTTTTTCCTCTTTTGTGCCACAAAAAGTGCATAATGTACCACCAAATCACTAAATTGTGCCTGTGTGCCACTGACCTTTAATTGTGCCACATGTACGAATGTGCCATGACTGGCAATGTTGCACTGTGGGTCAGACAAGAATAAGAGAGGAACCAAGGAACCTCTCTCTCTATTCGCATGTAAACAATAGAATTGTACGCCAATGCTCATTCCAGTTAGTATATATTTCAGTGGCTGAGCCACGGTCGCCACCGTTTTCGACCTAACCGTGTGAAGTGAATAAGAAGACCTAATTTTGTTTCATTCCTCTATTTACAGACTTTGATGAAAACCAATGGAATTTTCAGTTTAACTATTAGAAGTCTTTGTTACTGACGATCTTGAATTTCGAAAAAGTGAGTATCCGCAAAATGGGTCCTTTGCCTTCTCACCAAAGATCAGAAATGTCTTGAGATGTGCAAATGTTGAGAGGGTCAAGGGAGAGTGTGGCAAATAGGGATGGGCAATATTCGAAAATACATCGATGTTTATAATATCGATTAATAAAAATAATTGAAATGACATTGATTATTTTCTAAACAAAAAAATCACTTCCGATTAATCGATTAAATTTACAAAGTAAATATTTAAATTGGTTAGCATTAGATTAAACACTGTTAAGGATGCATTCGGAAATATCACTCGGATATTCCTTGCTTACATGTGGATGCGTTCTTAAATTCACAATAGATGTAGCCTGCGTTATTCAATCCTAAAGCGTCATTTACAATGGCAGTAAGCAGTAAGGCCTGGTCTACAATAGATGTAAGCTGTAAGAATTGACCAATTCCCATATAGGAATGCCAAGTCTTTGCCACAGCACCAATGCTCAACCCGATTCACGGCAAGCTATGGCTGCGTTCAGCAGAACAAAGTGATCAGTGAGCGCTTAGTGATTCTCGCTCCGGATTGGTAAATACTTCTGGGTCTATAAAGAATCTAAAAGAATGCTCCAATCACAGACAATAATCACTAAGCGCTCACTGATCACTTTGTTCTGTTGAACGCAGCCAGTGATTAGCCGATGCTTGGTGTCCTATATCGGCCTATACGTGGTACGTGGTCGGATGCCATTGAAATGACTTTTTGTTTTTAATATTCGCATCGCGTGTTTTTCAGTTTCTTGCAAATATGTCGCAAACTTATTGTAGAGTAAAAAAATTAAAAAAATTAGATAGCAACAAACAGTGTGATAACATTGAAAATTATAATAAACAAAGTGATAGTAAAGTGGATGATGTCGACAATAATGCCCAAGAGGTTATATTTGATGATACTGAAGTAAGTGTTACTCCAGTAAGAATTAACGTGGAAGATGATTCTGATTGTAAGCAAGATTTTAATAATATTCATAATGTTAATAATTCTTCTCAAACGAGTGACTATATTGATATATTATCCAACGATGAAGTTAAAATATTGGCCTACACTCGGCGTATGATCGGATGTCATTGAAATTGTTTTTAGTGTTCACGTCGCATCGCGTGTTTCTTGTCTTTTGCATCTCTTGTACGAACATAAATTTAGTTATTGTGTCGAATTACATCCATTATTAACAAACAGGCCGACGACTTCTTTCAGAAACAAGGTAAGAAAACCAATAAGAATGACGAATTTATGGTTATGTACGCAAAAGTTATAATGCGTCGTATACAATACACACATAAATATATATATATTGAAAATTAACATCGTGGCGAGTAATGATCTACTAATATTATTTACGTTGTTTAAATATGACGCAAAGAAAATGATCGTGATTTATAGTTCATTTAAATTTTATTAATATTTTTGTATTTTAGAAATATCAACGAAAACACAGGTTCCTATTATATTAGATGATATGTCGATGGATATATTGAACGTGCAACCAAGTAATTATAAGTGTTTAAAAAATTCTATTACACACATATATATTACTTTAAGATTATTAAAATTTTAATTTCACTTTTTAATTATTCTTGAGTTTCAAGTAATTTAATAGCCCTGCAAAATCATATAGATGCAAAATTCAAGCAGCTTCGGAATGAACTGATTAGCCAAACAACTTCTGTCAAAAGAAGTATCTTATACGATCTGAAAAGAAAAATCACTGAAATTAAACACATTATTGTCACTGCCACTTCCTTCCAATCAATCGCTCCACAACCTAATACGGAAATATTGCACGAATCTCTTGGCATAATATTACTTACTGTGATATTTAATGACTTTTTAAGTTTGGAGGATGCATTACGTACACTGGAAAAGAAAAAATCATTGATAAAAAAAATTCTGTAATGAATAAAATACAAATAATATTTTAATACAAAATAAAATAAATACATAAAATAAATAAAAAATACAATACAAAAAGTAGTGTTACTAATAACAAAGTGTTTCAATTTATTATTTTATTATAATGCAGATGGGATTATTTAGCATAATTACTACCGGAGAATTTAACATCAAAGATTGCATAGCAAAAATGATGAAATCAATAGTAGGGAAATCTGTTGAGTTTGAGTATTCCAATACAGGAAGAGTTATTCATGGACAATCAAAGACAAATTTCAGTGCGACCATAACATACCAATACATAAGAGGTAAAATATATTACTTTAAATATTATATTATTACCTATGCAACTTATGTAAAAAAATTTTTAATTTGAAATATTTTGTACAGACGTTTTAATACAAAAATTTGGCAATACGTTGGACATAAAGAAACTACCTGGTCAAATCGGAGTATGGCTCTCTGGCGATAGAGAAGGTGGTAGGAAACAAAGAATGCAACATCTTTAATATAAATATTAAAACCAAAAAAACATCCAGCTTTAAGGTTTGTTATAAACATTAAAAATTATATTTTATTTTATAGTTTGATATTATGTTCATCTCAAGAAATATATATATGTAATATATATGTGTATGTGTGTGTGTGTGTGTGTTTGTATGTGTTAATATGTCTAATAAAAATAAAAACATTTAAGAATTTATCAATACATAAATATTTATGATAACCCAAATGTTGCGAAGTAATATAAAATTGGAGAAACTCCCAAAAATGGGGCTTATTCCAATTTTTTAAGATTATGGACCTGAGCAGAATGATTGACTTTTAATTTTAGACAATGTTTTATGCTTTAAGTCTTTGTCTTTGGTAACGCACAATACTATTTTCTAATAAATTTTATGTCTCAAGTCTTAAACATATATACGAATTTCGTACTACTTGACACTTGACAGTGCGTTACTAAAGATAAAGACTTAAAACATAAAACATTGACTTAAAATTAAAAGTCAATCGTTCTGCTCAAACCCTAAAAGAATATGTGTGGATATATCTGGCAATATAGCAATGCCATTATTGGTCTAATAATGGCGTGGAATATCAACCATTAGTGGACCAATATTGATTGTGACGCTTGGCCGTATATTATTAACCATTCTTGGGCCGAAGTTATTATTCCATTAAATTCCCATTGTTGGGCCAACTTGGTTTATCAGTATTGCGCCAATGCTGGCTTCCTGGCGATCAAGCTTGGACCAGGATTGGACCATTAGTAAAACCCTATATGGGTTATAGCCGATTATTTTTGTAATAATCGACTGTGATTCGCCAATTCTTACGATTTACAACTTACAACATGTATTGTAGATCAAGCCTAAGAAGTAAGCGTGAATAGTAATGGAAGATTCACACTGCGTCCGATGTCCGGCGTACGACGTCTGACATCCAATAGGAGAACAGCTTTCTAATCGAGAATTCAATTCTCCACTGGTAAGCTATTCTCCTATTGGATGTCGGACGTCGTACGTCGGACATCGGACGCAATGTGAATCCTCCATAAGAAATGGACCAACCACAGTTGATTATTCATAATCAACTGTGATTGGTTTATTTCTCACCGTTTATTTACTTCTTACTGCTTACTGCCATTGGGTGCATGCAGAACCACGAGTGCTCAGTGAGCGCTCACTGAACGCTCAATGAGCACCCTAGGTCAATTTACTGGATGCAAACGCTCTCTTAAGGCTCGTCTATATTAGCTGTAAGAGTAAGGGCAAGAGCACAGGCTTTTGCATAATACATAATATATAACGCATAAGAGAATAAACCAATTAGTTTTCTTCATTTCCCTCCTCAGGACAGAAATGAAGAACTCTGATTGGTTGACTCTCTTATGCGTTGTGTATTATGCGTTATGCAGAAGTCTGTGCTCTGGCCCTTAGGCTGTAAGGTTGCAAGATACGAAATGAAATATTTTCTTTCGCTGACAGTTTACGTTACAGCCTTACAGCGTTACTCTTACAGCTATTGTAGACGAGCCTTTAGGCACAGTCGCCCCCCGCATTTCAACACAACTCCCCTCGCCTATCATACGGGATATGGATAGTATATGGATGAACTCATAGACATAGGAATATAGGGACATAAACCCGTAAGATAGGCGAGGGGAGTTGTGCTGAAATGCGGGGGGGACTATGCCTAAGTTTCATTGGCTACAATAGTGCGCATATTCAGAGCGTGTGATGCAACGACTTGGCTGTCACTGGCAAATAGTAAATGTAACAAAATGATAAGAACTATTTATACTGACAGTATTTTGCAGAGATTTTACATGTGTCTTTTTTTCATAATTTCATTCACACATAACTTCATACACATCTATGTATGTATCAAATACTTATACATGGCACAACCACCAATTAGATTTAGGCACAGTTTACCTCGTCGCACTATCCCGTAACGGTTATCCCCCCGCAACTCTATGCTCTGTCCCTATATTCCTATTGGTCTGTTCTTTGTAGCTGCACTACTGAACTGGTGCAATAAGCTAGAGTGAGAAAACCTATATTTGTCTCTGGTCTGTTCTTTTCAGCTGCACTACGGAACTAGTGCAATAAGTTAGAATGAGACAACTATATTTTTTCTCACTTTAACTTATTGCACCAGTTCAGTAATGCAGCTAAAAAGAACAGACCATAACTTTAACTTATTGCACCAATTCAACAGTGCAGCTATAAAGAACCATATGTCTATGGGCCAGAGCACAGCTTCTGCATAACGCATAATACACAATGCATAAGAGAATCAACCAATCAGAGTTCTCCATTTCTATCCTGAGGAGGGAAATGAAGAAAACTAATTGGTTTATTCTCTTATTCGTTATGCAAAAGCCTTGCCCTATGAGTTTATTAAAACTTGTGACGTGTTGACGCATGCGCAGGAGGTTGCGGAGGGAATAAATATCTCCAATACTGCTGCCGCTTCTTTAGTCAGCATCATGACAGAGCAAAAGGTATCTTTGTTCACTGCGCAATGGATTATTATTAAATTTCTTACGATAGATGACGTAAGACCGTCCGAAATTGTTAAAAGGCTTGAAGCACAGTTCGGGTATAATTGCATGCAGAAAGCTGAAGCGTACGTGTGGTACAGACAATCTTTAAGAATAATACGAAGAGCAGGTAGAAATGGAACTTACCCACATGATCTATGGACCAACGAAATCCCAGACACCTCTTCATAAGCTAAACTGGTAATTTCCATTGGCTTTCATGTATAAAAGCTATCTCTAATGTAAAACATAGAATCGTGCGTACGTGCGCATTGCAAGGTCCTGAAAGGAATATAATTGCACCGTAGAAGTATTTTTATTCTAGAAATATTAATATTTATCCAATTAATATTTATGTGAACATTGAATGTGTCATTGAATGTGACATTACAAGAGAAAATATTAAATATTGGATAAATATTAACATTTTCTGGAGAAAAATGCCTGTACAATGTAGTATCCCTGATAGCACATGTTCTCCTGGGGACGTCCTAAGGACGTCCTGAAAATGAAGAAACATCCCCAGAACATCCTCAAGACGTACTCTGGACGTCCTCTGGACATTTGTGCTATTAGGAATGGTGCAGTTACATCCCTTTCGGGACCTTGCAATGCGCATGCGAATGAAATTTTAATACATATTTTTAGAGGACGTGTTAAAGAGACAAGTTATCGGTCTAGTGTATAATATAGAAATCTGTGAACATGACTGAGAGGAGCATATTCGCCGTCTTCTCAAGGATAACCCCCGATTAACGATGCTAAAATTGCTTTTGAGATCGGAATAAGCTACGACAGTATTCAGACAATCATTACTGACTACAGAAACATATATTATAAACTATTTTGTGGATCCTCCAGATAGTACAAAACTTTCAAGAGACGCCCCTGGGATGTCTCAAGGTCCGTAAATAGATGAACGGAACAAAGGACAAGAGCATAGGCTTTTGCATAACACATAATACATAACGCATAAGAGAATAAACCAATTAGTTTTCTTCATTTTCCTCCTCAGGATAGAAATGAAGAACTCTGATTGGTTGATTCTCTTATGCGTTGTGTATTATGCGTTATGCAGAAGTCTGTGCTTTGGCCCAAAGTCAGGTCCTCTCACGGCCGCCATTTTGGAGCCAGAGAATCTGTGTTAGTTACGTGATATTATTATGGTTATATTATTATGGTTATATTATTATGATAGTATTATAGTTTAGTTGTATGAGTGAACAGAGTAATCAAAACATAGTTTAAGATGTAATCAGAAATAATCAAAACATAGTTTAAACACATTCCAAAATACTAGTGAGAATTTTCAGAAGAAAAACAATTACAATGCCGATTGTAGTACAAAAAATTGCAAAACATGAAAATAATTTTTGATCTGACGTATGTGGTTAATCAGTTGAGCCACGCCATTTCGAGCCAAACTATGGTCGCTGCCATTTTCGAGCCAAACTATGTGAAATGGATAAGAGGATGAGACTTTGTTCCGTTTCTCTATTTACGGACCTTGGAATGTCCTAAGAACGTTGGGATGTCCTCAGGACATCTGTGCTATATGGGACTAAACCAGCGTTACTAGATCGTGAGATTTTTTCGCACGTGCGCAATAAGCGCAACTCCGCTCAGTCCCAATCGCGTACGTATTTCGCTGGAATATAAGGTATCGCTAAGGCCCTTCGAAGAAAAGAATGAGATATATTGAAAAATGAGTATAGGATAATGAGAGATGTATAACAAAAATGTATAAAAAACGTATTACAGGTTTCTTATGCATCGTTTTTTAAGTTCGTGCTGTCTGGTTACAATGCAAGCTATTTTACTTCATTACCATATAATAAATAATAGTTTTACGTTCAGCGATGATGAAGACCTTTAAGAATCGACTATTGATAGCACAATGTTCGTGTATCATTTGTGAGTGTTTCTTGTTTTAATATATAATATGATAATACATTGCATACGCATATGCAATACGTGCTGTTCAGGTTTTCGTATAGGCCCCACATAAACGCCTATTGCTGCATCTAAACACGATACTGACAAGACTTCCCATGTGGGGATTGTGACGTACTGGCGCATGCGCTGTTGAATATCGATCTGAGGCCGCTGTTGTTTAAAGTTAAATTGCAGCAACAGTATTGTTATCGGTCAACCCTGAGACCGGCTGCTAATATCCATTTGTGACGTCTTCCGCCCTTTTGCGATTACCGATAAATACAGTTTTCTTGATTGCTCGCGCGATTTCAAGTGGCCATAATATATGGCGAGAATACATGGCAATATATGGGAATAATATATAGTAATAATATACGGCAACAGTATATGGCAACAATATATGGCAACAATATGTGGCAACAATATATGGCAATAATATAGGATAATAATTCATGGAATATATTTTTCGTTACAAGAGTCAATGCAAATGTACAACGGCATGCACAATGTAATAATAAAAGTAATAATAAAGTAATAGTAAAAGGGCTTTCTGCGAGCACTGAGTCAGGCACTCACCGATGATGATATTGATGATGTCCTGTTGCATCCAACCAGATTCACCAATGTCTGCCCATGTTCGCTGCCGCCCTCCATGTCGCGCAACATCCATCTTGCAGCGTGTCCCACGTTGATTGCTACACTTTCAACACACTTTCGCGACGCGGTCGATACGCGTATTAGAACGGCGATATTTGCGTCAATTAACGAATGTTTTACTCGCTATCGGTGGAAACTTTTTGCGCGCTGCGAAACGGACTCTATAAACTCGATCGGCGAGGAGCAAGAACCGTGTAAAAATTTATTGACTCGTCCAACGGATTTTTACGGCTCTTTTCGCGATTGCGTTTGAAAAGTTGCGAAAATGTGGGAGTATCGATATCTACGAGTGAAATACTCGCGACGCGAATGCACGCGAGGAAAGATTAGACAATCAGAAACCGGTCCCCCTTAGAGAGCGCAAAGAGAGAGGAGCGGGGCAAAGTTTTCACGCATTATAGCTCTGTCACGACGAAGCTTACGTTCGCGATACTTTGGCGAAATGAGAATTTAAGTTTTCTTTGTTAGCAACGCGAGTAAAAACGCGTATATTGACAACCGCGGTCGCGATATTCAAAGGCACGCGAGCGAGGATACCTCAAGCTCGGCGTGTGCTGGCGCAATTTCTACGCGCATTATACGCTACTCGAGACAATAGGGATCGTGATGAATGGACAATATTGTCGAATAATTCTACAGCCTGTTTTGCAAATAAAAGAAAAGTAATCAACGGTATCGGCACTTATGTGTATGAATATATTTTACACGAACAATTGAATATTGTCAAATAATTAAATGGTTAAGTAATTCTGCGGCCCGCTTGAAAAATAAAAATAAAGCAGCTGATGTCGGTGTCGCGTTTGTACATATGAATATTCTCTTATTCAAATGACTGAACATCAAAGAGAATCATTCAGTATTTTAAATCTTGTATGTAATGCAGGCTATCGATCAAGTAATCCCCTGATTGTTTCGAGCAATGTATTTTATTCAACGTCACAAATACACACATGCAAGTATCTATTTGCAATTCGCATTGACTCGAACGATATTTTTTAGTCCCACATCCGTCATGCAGAATTTTGTTTCTCTTTTCATTTTGACTCACCGAAACGACTTGCAGTCAGAGCCAGCCACGTTCCCCTTCAACTCTGTAACAAAAAATTCACATTTGCTCATCAGATTTGACCAACGAGTGCGGGCGAGTAAAAGAGTAGTTTACCCTCTGCGATCGTAATTCAAGTCGAGCCGGAAATTATATCCCAGCTCTAGATCGCCAAGGGTCAAACAGAGGACTATAGTAAACTTGTAAACTTACCTTCAAGCCGACTCTGCTTCGCCCGAACCGGATCGTCCAGTGCGGCATCCGCGTCCACCGGATTGCTGTTGCTTTCCGCAACAACTGAAACAGAAAAATAATTTTCCCGGTTGATAACCTGCGGTAGAGAGAGAATATCTTTGATCGGGACCAATCGAAAATACGGATATATTTTGATACGGAATTTTTATCTTTGTATTTTTGTTCCAACGTTGAAAATTTAAATGGGACTTGAAGCTTTCAAGAGAGCTGATGAGGAACAAGTTACAAAGGCAAAGATCGTAAAGAGTTGAACACAGATGTGTAGGAAACTTGTAAACTTTACCTTCCGGCCGACCCTGTTCTGCCCGAACCGGATCCTCCGGTGCGGCATCCGCGTCCGCCGGACTTGCCTCCCGCAACGTCTGAAACAAAAATTTAGCGTTCTTGATTGGTAAGCTGCGGTAGAGAAAGAATGTTTGGTCGGGATGAGTGGAGAATATTCGCTACGATTTTTTTTCTTCATTGACATTAAATGTCTAGATAGGAGCTCTTGAAAGAGCTGACGAAAGAAAATGACAATAAGAAGCGGAGACAACAGTTGTGTGCTCTCGAAAATATTCTTTTACGGATGGACATTTAAATTCAGATCCCGTAACAAGAGTAAACAAACTTGAAAGAAGCGCTGACCGAAAACAAAAAAGGTCGCAGTCTAAGAAGCGATATGACGTTGAATATTCTACATAAGACCAATATTCTCACACAGGAATTGGGAATGATTCAGAATATTTGATTGAGAACATGATGAATTCGAGATTCATGTCCATGGACCGTTATCCGTCTCTATCTGGATCAATATCTTTTGTATACAACAACGCAATAAATAGATAGACAGACAGAGATTGACGAGAGTAATTGCAAATTCATAAAGTGATGATTACTAGTCGGATGATGACGGATTGTGAATGCCGAGCACGAAATTCCGACTTCTTATTCCCGGAAAATTCGTCAAACGTACGCTCTCGTTATCGGAGACCTCCCGCGTAATAAATGATTCCACATACTTGGAAACGTGACGTATCGCTGCCGGCGTTCTGCTTCTCGACTGCTGAAGTCCTCCGGATTTCACTCGCTCACGCTTCTAATGCTGATACTCGCGATTCGACCGTGTGGTTAATCAACGCGATGCCGACGCGGTGCCGATTGAGTATCTTGAGGACCGACGAGATACATTTCTTTCAATTACACGAGACGGAAGTGATGAGCGCGTCGCGCACGGCTGCTGTTGATTGAATAAAGTCGAATACACGAGGTGCGCGAGTATTATAATACGAAGGGCAAAAAGTGTCGTCGCTCGCGAGCCGATCAACACAATCGGCGCGATGTAAACATTGCGGGCCTCGGCGGCGGTTGAAGCAAGAGAGACTTGCCTTTGAGCGTCTCTTGTTTTCTCGAAGGTTTCGGAACGACGAGGGGAATGCGAGGAGGCCTTTCAACTGTACGCGACATTGATGCACTCTATTTATTGATTACTGAAAATAAAGAAAATTACTCTGTCGAAGCATCGGACATTTGTTAGCTTTATGTTAATTAAAGAGGAATGTATACGATTAGAAAATGTGTTAGCAACTAATTGTACAGAGTGTAAGTTGTTGTGACGCCGTTTTCAGAGAATAATTAAAGGTCATGGTAGCGTTAAAGAATGGAATTTCATCCTATGGGAATTTAGTCGCGCTCTTATTAAATATTAGTCCTGTATAAAATGTCATATTTAAAAGTTGTTTCGCATTCACGAGATTTTGCCGTAAATTCTGCTCTCAGATTGGATCGCGGGTGAATACTTTTTAATGCGACGAATAGAACGTGAAAATCTTGTATGCCTCTGAATCCGAAAACGATTAGGAGAAGAAGTGAATATTTTTCAATACGAAAGTTCGCATTTAAAAATTATCGATTGCGATTGAATACAAGGCATATTTGAAACGAATTGAATCCTTGTTAATGCGAAGCATTAACTACTGCCATCTCGCATTTAGCGCGGTGAAATTTAATGGGAACTAATACTTTTTATTTTCCCTTTCTTCGGTTCAGAAAGCAGAATTCAGACGTATTCAAAATGTCAATACTTTTTAATATGTTTCAGTTCGACATTTTATACAGGGAGATTATCCGCTGCGGACAATAACTCTCTACTTTTCATTTAATATTCAATGATGATAAATAACATTTAATTGCATTCGTTTGGCTTTTTTTATTTCGAAGATAAGAAAATATATACCGGGGTGAGATTTTACCCATGACAATATTAACGTGATTTTCTTTGATGCTTTTTTTAAAAGTTCAAATATTTCGTCGACTCGCGGGGTATTTATAATCAGAGTCTCGTCACGTTAATTACGTGAATAACACATGTTCCTCCGAGCGGATCGAATGCTCACCGACAGCCACTGTCAGTGCCACGAGCGAATGTCCGGAGCGGACGGGATGCTGAATTAAAAAACAAGACGAAGTGAACGGGACGCGGACAACGATACATCATGCGTCTCCATACATGTCAAATTGTTTATTATAGAAGAGACTTTGATACGGCAATATATATTCGAAGATTTAACATTTAATATGTAGTTTTATTTTTTCTGCTCCTCCCCCCTCTCCCCCGCTCTTTTTAGACCGCCGGGCATAGTCTGGCATAGAGATGGCAACTGTCATTGCAGCACGGACATAAACCGCCTGAAAGTGGATGTAGCATGGACTTCCACCATATGCAGATTTTACCACCGAGACCTGAAAGTGGATGTACTATCGTAGTTCCCCTCTCAAAATTGATGCAGATGGCGTCCTTTCCCAATGCGGAAAGTTGGTGTCGCAGAAAATGTCGTATTGGCCACTCTCAGGTTACTCTCTGGTATTACATAAGGGAATCAAACATCTGCGCATGTGTCAGTTGGTAGTTCACATGGAGAAGGGCTACATAAGCAATATGGCCTACCCAATTAGAAGAAATGTGTTTTGATTCAACCAATCAGACGTGAATGTCGGACACCAGGACGGTACATAGTTTTCGGGGTCATGTATTGAGTCGGAGTTAGCAGTCTAGTTATACTATAGAAGTCTGTGATATGAAAGATATGAAGTTATGTTGGTAGGCTCGATAATTTGACGTGTATTGTGAAAAGGAATACGTGTTTTGTTATCAGGTTATGGTCGAGATGGGTGCAGTGAAGAATTCCGTAAGTTTATTCTCACTTGTAACTAAAACTAAATAAGAATTATATTATTTTATTAAACATATATACATTATAATAAAAATACTTGTTGCATTAAAGTGTGCATTATTTGCACGCTCGTCAATTACATGACAACATTACATCAATCATATTGCCACATATGCTATTCCGAACTGAAGTCGGCTTTCGTTGTCAGCAATCATGTTCACAGAAATCTAGTTGTATAATTTCTCTTTTAATAATACCTTAGATATATGTTTACGATTTTCTGTTGTTTAAAGATTAACAAGGAAATATTTTTCTTTATTTGAATGAAATAAATAATATTTTATAGGTTGTAAAAATCAATAAATGGGATGGAGCAGCCGTGAAGAATGCCTTGGATGATGCAGTTAAGGATGTACTGACAAAGAAATATAATTATATTGAAAATTTCTCTCTGCTTGATGGAAGGCTAGCGCTCTGTGGAATTGCAGTTACAATAGCTATTGTAGCATTGTTGTGTGATTACTTATATCCATTCCCTGTTTCTAAGCCTGTTCTAGTTATCTGTGTTTCTTTATACTTTATCTTAATGGGACTTTTGACACTGTATACGACATATAAAGAAAAGGGTATATTTGTGGTTGCAATTCAAAGGTGAGTTTATAATCCTTGGATATTTATTTACACAACATATAATTTAAAGAAAAGGAATATAAAGATATATCAATATGATCTTTCTGGATTTCAGAGATCTAGCAGGCTTCAATCCTGACTTAGTCTGGGAAGCTAGCTCCTATTTGAAAAAATACGATGACAAGTATAATCTGGTTTTATCAGTTAGAAGCGTATCATCAGGCAACATTAATGAAACTACTGTAACAAAGTCCGTTGCAAATTTCATCGATATTAACGGCGTGGTGATTTCGGAGCTGATAGAGTCTGTTGTGACGAATATGCACGATAGTTTGACGTTGCAACGCAAGGAAAAGTAGCACAATGTTTCCAAATCTGATTGAGTTTGTATGTGAAAATTTTCGGTCTAATAATTTTGGCAGTGTTTCAAAACTCTCAATGCAATATTTTCATATTTTCGATCTCATACATAACAATGTAAATAATTGTCATGAGAAATGAATAAGTTCAATGATCTACATGTGTATTGTAACTAACATATATCTTAAACCGTACACACCAAAAAAGGTATAAATTTTTTTTCCAAACTAGATGTTTTAGATGCATTTTATTATGCCTAACCCTGTGCGTGGTCGATAAAATCATTTGCTTGCGTTCCATGCTTAATTATGCATATTTTTGCATAAAGTCTGGTCTACAAAAGGTAAGTAAGCCTTTAGCTGTTTGCTTAGAAATTTTATAATTTCTAGCAGGAAATAAATGTCGTCCTAATAACTAAAATCTGACGAGTTCGCTGAAAGCTTAAGGATTACGATTTTAAATAATAGTGAAAAACACTTAGCTGAAAATTAAGTCACAGTTTTGCTTACAGCAAAAGGCTGAAGACTTACTAAATTTATTGTGAATCAGGATTAATGCATAAAATACGAACGATTACACAAATAATTTTATATTATTGCGACGGTTGAATCGCATGAAATAAAATCCATCGCGTATTTATATCTTATTCACAATTTATGTGAAAGATGCAACACAAATATAAGTCTATAGGTATACAAAAATAAGAGGACAATGCAGCGTTTCTAAAATACATAAATATAACGTTCACACACTTTCTACTTGTGAGTAGAAAATATCGTGCCTCTTGTATGTTTTTATATAGATTCCTATAAAGTATATATAATATAAAAAATAACGATTCAACTCCAAATTACATTTGTATCATATTGTTGTTCCGTGATGTATTTATAATATGAACATCGATATCGATTTTTCGTAGGTTAAATATTATCAAAATCATGTTACATTTTCTTCCTTTGCGTGAAATATATAACGTAACATGATTCTTTGGCATGTTACAAAACTACAATGATCTATCTGTGCAAAGGAATAGAGTATCTATGGTACCGAATATGTCAAACAAAAATTTCCTTCTCTTTCCTCTCTTCTTGTGATTCCCGATATATTTTTAGAAAATTTATAGTGAAAATCGTCAGATGACTGTGATGAGGTGATAACAAAGTTGTCCCAATTATCACTCCATGTTTAAAAGAAAAAAAGATAGTAAACGCTATATAAATAAAATATTTCCTTTTTTAACCGTGCGTTGTATCGTCCTCAACGAAATCGGCCGCTTCTTCTCGCGTCACGCATTCAACGTGCGAAACTTTGTTTCTGAACTTTACTCCGTAAAATTTATTCGCGTGATGCAGTAACTCGGGTCTGTAAAACAAATTACACATTATCAGATCATTCTTTATTTATCATTCTTCATATTGCAATTTTCAAGAGAATTCACGCAATTGACGATTTCAACAAAGTCAACATTATATTTCAAGCTTTCGTGATGAGCTGCTCAGCTTGGTTTGCGAGTTAATGCCGCATCGTTCGTAGATTTATTTCAAGGAGAAAAGCAATCTAAAATTTTTCAGGTTGCTCCTCTTCCCGAAGAACAAAACTGAGATGTTCAGGAAGTCTGAAGCAAATCCACGAAGGACTCGGCACTAACATGAAAGTCAAATTGAACGAAATCATCAAGTTAATATTAGTAAAACGATAATGTTTAAGTGACTTCCTAATGAACCTTAGCGAGACTATCATATTACCTGAATGTTGTAGTGATGAACTGGGCATCCGAACTCAATTCATGGATCATGTCCGCCACTGCTTTCCTATGTTGTGCGTCCAAGGCCTGATCGATCTCATCAAACAAATAAAACGGCGCAGGATCGCACTTCTGAATTGCGAATATCAGTGCCAACGCTACGAGCGATTTCTGCCCACCGGATAATTGGTTCATTTCTCGCATTTCAGCTCTATGTCCCGTGAACGACACTCTTATGCCTAAAAGTGATAATTACGTTCATTAACGTTTATCATAAGCTTTTAGAATATGCACAAATAAAACATTGATCAACTTACCAACGCCAATAAACCTGTCAGAATCGGCCGGCTCGGCTGTTCCGTCGTCCTCTTCATCGCCGTCCGCAGTCTTCATCACCAATTGTGCGTGTCCCGAAGGTACAAGCTTATTAAATACATCGCTGAAATACTTGCTCACCTTAAAAAAAGAAATGTTCCCCGATAAAATTGCTATAAAGAATTTTTCAACGTGTTTCAAGACGAATGTAAAAAGTAAGTTGAGATCCAACACACTTTTATATAATGTATAAAAACTTTTTTCTTTTACTTAAATTAATTACATACTTGTTTAAATGTAAATTGTATCGCCTCGCATTTGCGTTGCTCAAGCACTGACATGAGTTCTTTTATTTTCTCGTCGCCTCTATCTAATTCCTCTTTCCGTTTCACCAATTTCTCCTTTTGGTCGCTGAACGACATGAACTGATCCAAGGCTTTCTTATTTACATGGCTAGAAATAAGTAAATGCGATGAAGAAGCTTGTGATGCAAAAAATATAATTTTTAAAATACTTCGATGTAAGAAAAATATATAATCCTTTGCAGTCATATTTCTGTCGAATGCAGTCACTTTACTGAAGATATGTACCTGTATTTTTTCAGGTGATTATTCGCTTTCTCCATCTCCCTAAAGAGCTGCTTCGTGGTCATTGTACTGAACTTAGAGTAAGCCTCATGACTAGGCAGCGCGCCGAGTTCGGTAATTTTCTGCGTACATTCCACTATCTTTTGTTGCAGAATATTTAATTTGCTCGCCAATTTCTCCAAATCCTTCGCGTCGGCCTCTATCTTTTCCTGCGCTTCTTTTTCCTTCAGCTTCCACTTTTCGACGTCAGCGGATTCTGCTTTTTGCTAAACACAAATTACGAAAGGATAATTGGAAAACATGTGAAAATACGCAAACTAATATTGCGCGATATTAGCAAGTGACTTGCTTACTTTTTTCATTGCACTTGTTACTTTCTCATTCTGCGATTTAAAGTCCTCGTTTACTTTTACTAATCTTTTCTCTATATCCGCCAGTTGAATCTTTGATGAGTCGAGCTGTCGTTGCCGATCTTCGACCGATATCTCTTGCAAAGCTTGAACAAGCTCGTCTTTCCTCCTCACCAAATTGTTTGTCAATAAATTTTCCAACTTATTCTTCTCCGCTTCCAACTGCATTCGCTTTGCGAATGCTTCCTTATTCTCCTTCGTCAAACGTCGGATGTCATCATTCAAAGTATCAACCTGCACGAGCATCGTTATCAGCAACGAATAAAAGTTTCAACGAGTTCTTAGACCAAATTCATTAGTTTTCTTAAAATCAGCTCAAGAGTAAAAAGAAAGGAAAATATTGACCTCAGTACGTATCATGCACTAATAAAAAATGGAGATTTTCATTAAAAAAATTTAAGATGACTTTCTGATAACCTTGACTTTGTTCAAGGTCATACTAGTATTGTTATGTGATGCATCACTTGAAACCCTACAACTTCTGTATTTAACATTTTTTCCCATCTCTCTTGCATATCTCCAAAGTTATTCAGATGGCCTGTTTTAGATGCCTCACTTTATCTACACACCTGATGCTGATCTGCGACGGATAATTGTGCCATAAGTTCTTGATGCAGTTCGCTCTCTAGACCGTCTTTAGTCGCACGCATTGCTTCTAAACTAGACGTGCACTGTGCGAGGCTTCTCTCTTTTGGCGTCCGGTACCTTTCTATCGCGCTCAACTCCTCCTTCATAAGACGTATTTCTGCCTTCATCTTGTCATATATATCCCTGTCAAAAACAGATCACTAATTAACAAATGCCCCGATATAACTTCAAACATATACAATTGTACTATTACAAATGATAATTGAAACTCAAGAAATGTCATTAAATCACTTACTTAGCTTTACTATTTCTAGTTTCGGTTCTCTGCATTTCGCTAACGTAAGAACTAATATTTTGGTCCGCCTTCCTGATCTCCTCTTTGAGCGTCGTTAATTGAGTCTCGAGGGTAGAAATCTGAGACATTAATTCCGATCTTGTCTTCTGTATCTCAAGGCGCGACTTAAGTGTATTGAAATATCCACCAGTTAAGGAGCCTTTGGATGAAACTTGATCTCCCTCTAATGTAACGCAATCCAAACCAGACGTTCGGGCTAGACTTGTTGCCGCTTCCAGATTACGACAAATTAAAGTTTTCCCGAATATATATCTGAAATGAACATAGAAATATCAATCTGTGTCTGTGTTGTGTGGAAAAAGAATCGTAAGAGATGAAACCTTACCTTAGCGCCTTATCATATTTAGGATCATAATTTAGTTTGGATATCATAGGTATGGCGTCGGAGGTTTGCGGGTAATCGATATTCTTCACGTGAAGTCTATTCAGAGGCATAAAGGTTACCTCACCCGGCAAACGCTGATTGTTCATTTCTTTCAAAATTTTCGTACCGAACTTATCGGTCTCTACAATGTGATGGAACAATCGATTTCCAGCTGTTACCTCTACCGCCATGTAAACACTCTTGTCGCAGTTGAAATTCTCGATTACAGGCCCGTAATAACTACTCACTTCATGAGCCATATCTTTCCGTGTACTGAGGAATTGAAAACACAACTACTAATTATATACAATTAATTACAATTAATTATATCTTAAAGAGATATCTAAATAAGTCTTACCGGAAAGTGTCCAATACTTTACGTACACTGTCTCTACCATTCAGAATAGGTTTACCAGCCATGGATCTCAAACTCTGATCCGCTTTTGCCAAATCCTCCTTTAGACCGGATAAATTCAGTTGCAATACACTCTCTTGCCGATATCTATAAGTTTGTATGTACAGCGTTTTAATCAGAATTTTAAAACTGATTGGTATTTTTCTCGTGCATAGTTTATTCAATTTCAGATACCTCTAAAATTTTGTAGCGAAACACTTCAACTAGAGAACTGGTTCATATAAAAAAATTATTTATATTTAAACATGAAATTTTGAATAAAAAAAAGTGAGTATATCAATATGACACAATTATTATGCTTACTACAAATAATTCCGGAAACTTAACGAGATAATAAAAAATAATTACTGTTCTTTTCGATTTGCTTGACATTGGTCCTTCGATTTGGTGAGATCGTAATATTGCTTGTTATGGTCGTCTATCGATGTACGTTGTCGTTCCATCTCGCGTGTATGATCGCCTATCTTCTTCTCCAAGGCCACCTGTTTTTCTGCATCGCGTTTGAGATCTTCGCTAATCTTTTTTTGATGTTCCTCTTTATCCTTTATCTGCTTGGTAAGTTGCCGCAGTTCATTCTGTATCCATTTATCTCTTTCATCCTGAAATAAACAGGGCACTTTGAGATATTTGATCGAAAGTTGTTTATGCCTGTTTTTAATGAAAATATCAATCAACATTGTACAACTGTATATGTTTAAAATTTTTACCTTGGTGGTAAATTGACTACCACGGCCTTGTTTAGCATATAACTCTTTGCGTTTCTGCTCCTTCAATTGTAATTCTCGCGTGCATTCCTCTTCAACGCGTTTCATTCGTTCGTACTGCAACCGAATATCTCTTATTTTAATATGTCTAGAATTCGAAAGTTTAGATATGTATCGAATATCTGAGTATTCCCTCACCTCTGGCTTAATTGACTTTAGCTCATCTTCTCGAAGAGCGATATTGCCTTTTAGCTTCTCCAATTCCTGTTGAGCGCGTTTTCTACTATCATTATCACCTTTCACTTCCTCTAATAAATCGTTGATAGTTAAAGTCAACTTGGTCTTTTCTTTTAACAATTGTTGCTGCTCTGCACTGTAAATTATAAACGTTTAAGCATATTGCTTAAAGATTCTAAAAATATTTAAGAATAAAATATACCTAAGAGTATCTCTTTCTTCCTTGGCGCTTTGCACCTCCTTCTTCGCTTCCTTTAAGCGCTTCGTAGCTGCACGCACCATTTCTTGTGCAGTTTTTGCTTCTGCCCCCAGCCTCGCTTGCTCTGCTCCGCTGTTCGCTCTGGACTCTTCAAGTTCCTCCAATTTTCTCTTGTTCTCTTTGAGTTCGCGCTCATGAATTGTATACTCTAAACAACGGCGTTGTTTGTCCCAGCGTTGGTATTCTTTCAGCTCTTCCTTCTCTTCCTCGAGTGTCTTCAAGCGTTCCTCTGTAATAAAATGAAAGTTGTCCTTTATGTTTCGTTTGTGCTCAATTATTGTTTCTAGCACAAACTTTTGCTTACCTATCGTTCGCAGAAAGTCCTCAATTTTTTCTAATTTCCCTTCTGTCTCTTTCAAGATTGATTTTGATTCTTCTCTTCTATCATCATATACCCTAGTACCTGCTACTTCTCTCAGTAATTTCAATCTCTGAGAATCTGGTGCTGTTGCCATTTGATTTATCTATAAGCAAAAGCATTCTATTCAGTAAGAACTATATTATAAACTATATATAATAACTATATGTAATTGTTATAGGAAACTATAAATGTTCCATTGACAAACCTTTCCTTGCTTCACAATATAATAGGGATTAGACCTGGAAAATCCTGCCGACTCCAATAAATTCATTACATCATTCCTTGTCACTATTTTCTTGTTCAGAAAATATTGATCTTTCTTGGAACCAATCACCCTTCTTAAGTATACTTCATCTTTATCAATCTGAAGAAAATATTTTATAACATACAAGTATATTCCAATATATATTCCAATAGCTCAGTAGATATCAGTAGTCACATAATGATACATAATGATACAATTGACACATAATGAATATTATAATAATATACTCATGTAATACAATGCCTCAATAGTAATTTTAATTAAAATAACAGCTTACTGGTAATCTGCCATCAGAATTGTCAAATATAATTTCTACATGGGCAGATATAACACGAGGTCCTGTTCCTTCATGCAACAGTGCTTGCCTTTGCTCCGGTCTAAGATGAGAGAATTCATCACTTAGAACAAATTGGATGGCATAAAAGAAATTGCTCTTGCCAGAACCGTTTCTGCCAACTTATAATAAAATATTTAATTATATGATATATATTTATATAAATAAAGCTTAACTTTGTATATATAGTATTTCACTGAAATGTTTAAATACATACCTACTACATTATGTCTTGGATCAAAAGGCTCAACAACTGTTTGTTCACGATAAGATTTAAACCCTTGAATAATCACCTGTTTTAACATAAATCATCGATTTATAAGATCAATCCCATATTTATTTTTATCATAGATCTATTTTTTGGATTATGAGATGTAAGTTATAAATCATATTTACTTTTCAAGCTGGTCATATAGGTATTTCAATATTACAATTTTTTCTGATTTCTTTTTAAACAAAGGCAATAAGAAATAATGACCTTAAAATACTGTTTTCTTCATTTATATCATATAACCTAATTAGTATTTATGCAATTATTATACAAAAAAGCTTTATAAATTTCTGAGAATTTTTAGAGCAATTTAACATTGTAAAAAATGTAACACAACAGATTTTTATGTGTTTTAACTTAGATATCAAATTAATATGCTTAATTAAAGAATTAACTGACGAATGGAGACTTGAAATAAATATTAAGCTAAATGAGATTTTTTGAATTTCGGGAGATAACTTTGTTTTGAATGTCAATTTCGGTATATATTTTTTAATATTTAGTATATTGTTTTTATTAAAAATGTTCGAAATGCGGGATATGAGAAATATGAGCGTCCATCGAGAAATGAAATGAAGCACATCGAACATTGACAGAGAAGGTTGTAATATGATTTTGTTCCCCATACTTGTTTGATGTACATGATGCAGCAGGAAATCAGGCAAACATGTTAGCATCAACGTTATTTAAAGACAAAATAAGAAAACGCGAATCCTCTTCCGACAAACACAACGAAAACATTCGACCGATTTGTTGGCAGAGCGACATTTGTAAAACATGCAAGTTGATAACCGCCAAAGATCTCCAGATTTGGGCGGGAGGTGTAGTTTTATGGCCAATAGTCATGCGATAAAATATCACTAGTTATCTCACTAGATTTATGACAATTATTTGGTCTGTTCTTTTTAGCTGCACTGCTGGGACTCGATTCCTAACGGCGTGCGATTGAGATGCGTATGCGAAAATCTATATTATATGTAAACAGACAGGAACATGAGAGCGGCCAACACGGCGTTTTCGGCGACACCGACTTTGCGTACAGTGAAAGGGCGCCATCTACATCCATTTTGAGAAGGGGACAACGATGCTATATCTACTTTTAGGTTTTGGTGGTAAAATCTACATGTACTGGCAGTCCGTACTACATCCATTTTCAGGCGGTTTATGACCGTGCTACAATCGTAATAGCGTACACTCGTGAACTAAAAGGTATGTGCACCGATTTTTTATTGACTTCGGATTTTTTTTCTTCATTGACATTAAATGTCTAGATAGGAGCTCTTGAAAGAGCTGACGAAAACAAATGACAACAAGAAGCAGAGACAACAGTTGTGTGTTCTCGAAAATACTCTTTTACGAATGGACATTTAAATTTAGATCCCGTAACGAGAGTAAACAGACTTGAAAGAAGCGCTGACCGAAAACAAAAAAGGTCGCAGTCTAAGAAGCGGTATGACGTTGAATATTCTACACAAGACCGGTATACTCAGTTGAGAATTATTCAGAATGTTTGATTGAGAACATGATGAATTAGAAATCCGCGTTTGTGGACCGTTATCTGTCTCTGTCTGGATCAATACCTCTTGTACACAACAATGCAATAAATAATTAGACAGACAGAGATTGACGAGAGTAATTGCAGATTCATAAAGTCATGATTACTAGTCGAATGATGACGGATTGTGAATGCCGAGCGCGAAATTCCGACTTCTTATACCCGGAAAATTCGTCAAACGTCCGCTCTCGTTATCGGGGACCTCCCGCATAATAAATAATTCCACATACCTGGAAACGTGACGTATTGCTGCCGGCGTCCTGCTTCCCGGCTGCTGGAGTCCTTCGGATTTCATTCGCCCACGCTTCTAATGTCGGTACTCGCGATTCGACCGTGTGGTTAATCAACGCGATGCCGACGCGGTGCCGATTGAGTATCTTGAGGACCGACGAGATACATTTCTTTCAATTACACGAGACGGAAGTGATGAGCGCGTCGCGCACGGCTGCTGTTGATTGAATAAAGTCGAATACACGAGGTGCGCGAGTATTATAATACGAAGGGCAAAAAGTGTCGTCGCTCGCGAGCCGATCAACACAATCGGCGCGATATAAATATTACGGGCCTCGGCGGCGGTTGAAGCAAGACAGACTTGCCTTTGGGCGTCTCTTCTTTTCTCGGAGGTTCCGAAACGACGAAGGGACTGCTAGGCCTTTCAACTGTATACGACATTGATGCACTCTATTTATTGATTACTGAAAATAAAGAAAATTACTCTGTCGAAGCATCGGACATTTGTTAGCTTTATGTTAATTAAAGAGGAATGTGTACGATTAGAAAATGTGTTAGCAACTAATTGTACAGAGTGTCAAAGTTGTTGTGACACCGTTTTCGGAGAATAATTAAAGATCATGGTAAATTAAAAAGCATTAAAGAGAGGAATTTCATCCTATGCAAGTTTTGTCTCGTTCTTATTAATTGTTAGTCCTGTATAAAATGTCGTATTTAAAAGTATTGTTTCGCATTCATGAGATTTTGTCGTGAATTCTGCTTTGCGGAAATCTCAGATTGGATCGCGAGCCAATACTTTTCAATGCGACGAAGAATAGAACATGAAAATCTTGTATGCCTCTAAATCCGAAAACAATTAGGAGAAGAAGCGAATACTTTTCAATACGAAAGTTCGTATTTGAAAATTATCGATTGCGATTGAATACCAGGCATATTTGAAATGAATTGAATCCTTTTTAATGCGAAGCATTCACCACTGCCATCTCGCATTTAGCGCGGTGAAATTTAGTGAGAACTAATACTTTTTAGTCCCTTTCTTCGGATCAGAAAGCAGAATTCAGATGTCAATATTCAAAATGTCAATACTTTTTAATATGTTTCAGTTCGACATTTTATACAGGGAGATTATCCGCTGCGGAGAATAACTTTTCTACTTTTCATCTAATATTCAATGATGATAAATAACATTTAATTGCATTCGTTTGGCTTTTTTTATTTCGAAAATTAAAAAATATATACCAGGGTGAGATTTCATTCATGGCAACATCAACGTGATTTTCTTTGATGTATTTTTTTAAAGTTCAAATATTTCGTCGACTCGCGAGATATTTATAATCGGAGTCTCGTCGCGTTAATTAACACGTGCTCCTCCGAGCGGATCGAATGTTCACCGACGGCCACTGTCAGTGCCACGAACGAATGTCCGAAGCGGATGGGATGCTGAATTGAGAAGCAGGACGAAGGGAACGGGATGCGAGCATCATGCGATACATCATGCGTCTCCAGACATGTCAAATCGTTTATTATAGAGGAGACTTTGATACGGCAACATGTATTCGAAGATTTAACATTTAATACGTGCTTTTATTTTTTCTGCTTCTCCCCCCTCTCCCCCACTCTTTTTAGACCGCCAGGCATAGTCTGGTGTAGAGATGGCAACTGTGGTTGCAGTACGGACATAAACCACCTGAAAATGGATGTAGCACGGATTTTCACCACATGCAGATTTTACCTCCGAGATCTGAAAGTGGATGTAGCATCGTAGTTGTCCTCTCAAAATGGATACAGATGGCGTTCTTTCCCAGTGCGGAAAGTCGATGTCGCAGAAAATGTCATGTTGGCCGCTCTCAGGTTTCTCTCTGATATAACGTAAACTGTACATTTTTGCATACGCATCTCACTCGCATGCCATCAGGAATTATTCTTATAATAATCGATTGTGGTCGGTCTATTTCTTACTGCTTACGCTTAGAATCTTATTCTTGCAGCTATCGTAGATGGACCTTTAGATATCGCTCATAGCACGTCGCTAGTTTGACTACGTTTACACAGCCCTATTTATGCCAAAGTTATAAAGGCTCGTCTACATTAGCTGTAAGAGTAAGGCTGTAAGGTTGCAAGACACGAAATGAAATATTTTCATTCGCTGACAGCTTACGTTACAGCCTTACAGCCTTACTCTTACAGCTAATGTAGACGAGCCTTAAAGGTCATTCTACAATACGTGTCATAAGTTGTAAGCCGTAAGAATTGGTGAATCATAGTCGATTATTACAAAAATAATCGGCTATAATTGGTCAATTCTTACGGCTTACAACTTACGACACGTATTGTAGAATGACCTTAACATCGATGTTATAACTACTGACGTTAGATGCCGTGTAAACACTCCTTTACGACGAAGTTATTACATTGATGTAGTAACTCAAAGTCATTTGGTGAAGAGGCTTAGAGTTTCTACATCGACGTAAGGAAGACGTGTAAACGGACGCAGTGTAAATATGATAATAATACCAATATAAAAATTGAACATCTTAACTTGATTGTAAAATTGATTTATGTCGTGAAAATTGTAATACGGGTCCGAGATCAAGCAAATGATTTGGTGGTGTTAAATTCAACAAATGTTGTAATATAATTTCTTTCTGATGCTTTCGCCGTTTAATCAAAATATTTCGTACATATAGTATATATTGCATCGTCATATTTTCTACTATTTTCAAATATATAGCAACAAACGAGCGTACGCTTTCCATATTTTCTATGATTAATTTTTTCCAAAATTGATAACCTAAAATTTTAATTTCATTTTTAGTTAAATATTATATTTTATTATATAAATTTTACTGTATTGATATATACATATTTTATAATTTTCAAATTCATAATATAACCTAAAAGTTCACTTTATTTGTTGATTTATTTACATACTATTCTTTTCATATTCTAATTCTTTTATATTCATACTACAATCACAATTATTTCATTTTTCGGCCTTTTATATTGGTACTAATGGAAATCCTTGACCCACTCGAAAGTTATTAAGTTATTTCAAATAGATAAGCGTAAATGTGTAAACGCAACTCACCTTAAAGGCCATCACACATAGAAAAATTTTAACCGTAATCGTAAGGTTGTAAGAAAACTGACCAATCACAGTCGATCCTTTCTCTTGTGACATTATAATAATCGACTGTGATTGGTCAGTTTTCTTCCAACCTTACGATTACGGTTAAAATTTTTCTATATGTGATGGCCTTAAGTAGGAGTTATAATATTAAGGCCCATCTACAATGGCTGCAAGAATAAGGTTCTAAGCGTAAGAAGTAAAGGCTCGTCTACATTAGCTGTAAGAGTAAAGCTAAGACTCCATGCATGCGGTGAGCTGCGGCAAATGCTGCGATGACCAATCAGGAGGGAGGCGCAAGTCCGGTTGCGGCAAGCTCCGGCATGCGTCTGTCTTCTGATTGGTCACCGCAGCCGTTTGCCGGAGCTCACCGCATGCATGGAGTCTTAGCTTTAGCTTAAGGCTGTAAGGTTGCAAGACACGAAATGAAATATTTTCATTCGCTGACAGCAGGCCTCGAGTCGTTGCTGTTTCTGATCTTCGGTGAAAAGACGAGGAACCCATCTTGCGGACACTTGTCGGAACCCAAGATCGTCAGTAACAAAGACCTCTATGTAGCTAGGTTGAAAAATTCCATTAGTTTTCCATTAGTATATAAAAATTAGAAAATTTTCATTAGTGTATAAAAATGACCCTTGTATAAAACAAAATCGTGCGTACATGCGCATTGTAAGATCCTGTTAGTACTCTATATATTGAATGAACATTGAATGTGTCGTTGAATATAACATTGTAAAAGGAAATATTAAATATTGAATAAATATTAATATTTTCTGAATAAATATTAATATTTTCATGCTTGTGCAGTTACATTCCTTACAATACGCATATGCGAAATTTTAATACGTACTTTTAGAGCATGTGTTAAAGAGACCAGTTATGGGCCAGAGCACAGACTTCTGCATAACGCATAATACACAACGTATAAGAGAATCAACCAATCAGAGTTCTTCATTTTTATCCTGAGGAGGGAAATGAAAACTAATTGGTTTATTCTCTTATGCGTTATGTATTATGCGTTATGCAAAAGCTTGTGATCTTACCCTATCAGTTTAGTCCAGCGTTACCAGATCGTGAGATTTTTGATCAGAGACCAAGAAACTTTTTATCGCGGACTAACCTATCGAACGGAATGTTCCCGAGAAGCGCTCTTGAGATGAATGGAAGTTATAAGCGAACCTCATCGATAGCATATTTAACCTTCGATATCTCCTAAAGGTCTCAAGATACAAGAACGCTCTTTTGCAATATAGTTCTATATCAACCCTACTTTGACCACAAAACTCGACTTTCAATTCACAGTAGAAACGGAGATATTAACATCAAAAGTTAAACATTTTGACTTACTATATCTCATAAACGGTTCAGGATACAGGAACGCGCTCTTGCCACAATGTAGTCCTATACCAACCTTATTCTTACCATAAATTTCCACTCTCAATTACCAGTAGAAGCGGAGATATCAACGGCAAAAGATTGGAAAATTTTAACCTTTGATATCTTCTAAACGGCTAGAGATACAGGCCTGTTTCTTGCACCAAAATATAGCCCTCTCAAAACCGTACATTTTCCCGTAAATGACGACTGTCAACTCCCAGTAGAAGCGCAGATATCAAGGGAGAAAAGTTGGAAAACTTTAACCTTCGATATCTCTTAAACGGTTAGAGATATAGGCCTGGTTCTGACACCAAAATAAAGTCCTCTCAAAACCCTACATTTTCGACTACATTGACGAATCTCTACTTCCAGTAGAAACGGAGATATCAACGGAGAAAGGTTGGAAAACTTTAACCTTCGATATCTCCTAAACGATTAGAGATACAGGCCTGGTTCTGGCACCAAATTAAAGTCCTCTCAAAACCCTACATTTTGCCGTAAATGGCGACTCTCTACTCCCAGTAGAAGCGGAGATATCGACGGAGGAAGGCTGGATATCGACGGAGAAAGGCTGGAAAACTTTAACCTTCGATATCTCCTAAACGGTTAGAGATACAGGCCTGGTTCTGGCACCAAATTAAAGTCCTCTCAAAACCCTACATTTTGCCGTAAATGGCGACTCTCTACTCCCAGTAGAAGCGGAGATATCAACGGAGAAAGGTTGGAAAACTTTAACCTTCGATATATCCTAAACGGTTAGAGATACAGGCCTGGTTCTGGCACCAAATTAAAGTCCTCTCAAAACCCTACATTTTCGACTACATGGACGACTCTCTACTCCCAGTAGAAGCGGAGATGTCGACGGAGGAAGGCTGGATATCGACGGAGAAAGGCTGGAAAACTTTAACCTTCGATATCTCCTAAACGGTTAGAGATACAGGCCTCGGTCTGGCACCAAATTAAAGTCCTCTCAAAACCCTACATTTTCGACTACATGGACGACTCTCTACTCCCAGTAGAAGCGTAGATATCGGCAGAGGAAGGCTGGATATCGACGGAGAAAGGCTGGAAAACTTTAACCTTCGATATCTCCTAAACGGTTAGAGATACAGGCCTCGGTCTGGCCACAAATTAAAGTCCTCTCAAAACCCTACATTTTGCCGTAAATGGCGACTCTCTACTCCCAGTAGAAGCGGAGATATCAACGGAGAAAGATTGGAAACCTTTAACCTTCGATATCTCCTAAACGGTTAGAGATACAGGCCTGGTTCTGGCACCAAATTAAAGTCCTCTCAAAACCCTACATTTTGCCGTAAATGGCGACTCTCTACTCCCAGTAGAAGCGGAGATATCAACGGAGAAAGGTTGGAAAACTTTAATCTTCGATATCTCCTAAACGGTTAGAGATACAGGCCTGGTTCTGGCACCAAATTAAAGTCCTCTCAAAACCCTACATTTTGCCGTAAATGGCGACTCTCTACTCCCAGTAGAAGCGGAGATATCAACGGAGAAAGGTTGGAAAACTTTAACCTTCGATATATCCTAAACGGTTAGAGATACAGGCCTGGTTCTGGCACCAAATTAAAGTCCTCTCAAAACCCTACATTTTCGACTACATGGACGACTCTCTACTCCCAGTAGAAGCGGAGATGTCGACGGAGGAAGGCTGGATATCGACGGAGAAAGGCTGGAAAACTTTAACCTTCGATATCTCCTAAACGGTTAGAGATACAGGCCTCGGTCTGGCACCAAATTAAAGTCCTCTCAAAACCCTACATTTTCGACTACATGGACGACTCTCTACTCCCAGTAGAAGCGTAGATATCGGCAGAGGAAGGCTGGATATCGACGGAGAAAGGCTGGAAAACTTTAACCTTCGATATCTCCTAAACGGTTAGAGATACAGGCCTCGGTCTGGCCACAAATTAAAGTCCTCTCAAAACCCTACATTTTGCCGTAAATGGCGACTCTCTACTCCCAGTAGAAGCGGAGATATCAACGGAGAAAGATTGGAAACCTTTAACCTTCGATATCTCCTAAACGGTTAGAGATACAGGCCTGGTTCTGGCACCAAATTAAAGTCCTCTCAAAACCCTACATTTTGCCGTAAATGGCGACTCTCTACTCCCAGTAGAAGCGGAGATATCAACGGAGAAAGGTTGGAAAACTTTAATCTTCGATATCTCCTAAACGGTTAGAGATACAGGCCTGGTTCTGGCACCAAATTAAAGTCCTCTCAAAACCCTACATTTTACCGTAAATGGCGACTCTCTACTCCCAGTAGAAGCGGAGATATCAACGGAGAAAGGTTGGAAAACTTTAACCTTCGATATTTCCTAAACGGTTAGAGATACAGGCCTGGTTCTGGCACAAAAATAAAGTTCTCTCAAGACCCTAAATTTTCCCGTAAATGACGACTCTCTAATCCCAGTAGAAGCGGAGATATCAACAGAGAAAGGTTGTAAAACTTTAACCTTCGATATCTTCTAAACGGTTAGAGATACAGGCCTGGTTCTGGCACCAAAATAAAGTCCTCTCAAAGCCCTACATTTTCCCGTAAATGATGACTCTCTACTCCCAGTAGAAGCGGAGATATCCAGTAGAAGCGGAGATATCAACGGAGAAAGGTCGGAAAACTTTAACCTTCGATATCTCCTAAATGGTTAGAGATACAGGCCTGTTTCTGGCACCAAAATAAAGTCTTCTCAAAACTCAAATCGTATTTTTTTAGTCACTAATCGCTCGCTGAGCGGTTTTCTCCACTGAACGCAATGATTGTTGACATATTTATATCATACCACGTATATTTCATTTCTGGCCTTTCGTTGTGAGTTACTGGGCAAGCGTGTTCTACAGGCGGAGCAGCAGCTCTCATCTTTCTCGAGTCGGGATGCGTCCCGAAAGTCATTAAAAAAAAGTGACAACCTTTATGTCCGCGACCGTATGCGATCCGCTCCGACGCTTCATACATCTTTATTTATTTATGATACATTTTTCACAGCCTCGCTGCAAAATCTGTGATTCGCTACGATACTTGGTACGGCGGACTCATTTATTTTTCATAAATTCTGGAAGGCCGGATTGCAAAATCTGGCTTTGTGGGGATCTCGGGAATAATATAAGGAACATGTTATAATAATTTGGCGGTGATGTATAACGTCAGCTAGACAAAATAGGTTAATTTGTAAAATGGTATTGCATGTAAGGCGCTGCATCACTTGGCTCGCCTAAAAGCATTTTCTCGCCGTGTATCGGCCGGCGAAATGCCCGAGTGAGTAAGACAAGGACAGCGCGATCGATTGTTCGTCCTTGTCAAACTGACTTGATCCAACCTTCCTGCTCTTGCGCTCGCGCGCACGGTGTTGGTTCGCGACCTCGCCGCACGAGGCCTCCAAAGTCAACGCTGGATTTGTCTCTGGCTCCTGCAGACCCTTAAGGAAAATGAGGAAACATATGGTTTGTTCTTTTTAACTGCACTACTGAACTGGTGCAATAAATTAAAGTAAGAAAAAATATAGTTGTCTCATTCTAACTTATTGTACTAGTTCCGCAATGCAGCTAAAAAGAACAGATTGCTAGTAGCGCGGAACTTCATATTTTTTAAAATCACTTATTCTTTTTAAAATAAAGTCGAATCAGAAAATTATACCTAAATTTTGTGTATTATAGTGATAAATACAATTATCCTCTTCATTCAATTAATTTATCTTTACTTCTTTTCAATTTATTACTATTACTATTTACTAGCCTTCTATACCCATTTTCATAAAATTTTCATATTTTTGTTCAGTGAACTACATCTCACTTTCATGCTTTTTCCATAACTCAAATGTTTTATCTCTTTTTCAATCCACTATCAAATAAACCGTTAACTTTGTTGAATTAAAATTATTAGGAAACTATAAATTTTATTTTACATTATTTTATAAATAGGGAAATTTACATTTGCAAACACACAATACATACAGTGTTGGATGTAAGTGTAAAGTGAAATTTTCGAGATAAAATTTTTTTTACAGCTTCAAAAAAATCGTATATATTTACCTTCTTACATGTTTATCCGCTTTTAATTAAATATCTAGAAAATATTACGATATACCAATACGTTTGTCCAGCATAGTATACATATATGTGTAATACATGTATAAAATCGACTTTTTAATATACATATTGCTTCGCTAATGCTCTTAAAAACTTAGCTTTCCGAATATTCGCCGCTTCTCTTTGGATCTCTTCGTTGTTATTAGAGTTCAATTCTAGCAAACCAATAACTTTGATCTGTAAAAATTAAGAAATATATACTTTACATAGTATAGAAAAATTTATAAATTTATTAGAAGCTTAAATGAAAACTAAGATTGGTTAATTGTATAATATTCGTATTAATTACTTAATTTATGTATTTACCGCGAGTTGTTTCCGGTGATGCTCCCCGCGCTTTGCATGTTGATGTATGAGATACTCTAATAATGTAATATCCCAGATACAGTGATAATATGCATCCATGGCATCAGCGGTTGCACAGTTCTTTTGATCACTAGATGCCATTTTAAATGCCAGAGAATAATCTACCTCTTCTAAAAACTGACACAATATAGCCGCCTGAGTATAACACTGTAAATGAGCGCAGCACTTGATCATTCTTCTGTAAACAAGATCGTCTATCTGTGTGCGTAGTATGGGTTGGCTAAACAAATCACTAGCTACCATGATGGCCTTTAAATAATATTTCATCGCGCTTTCGTAGTACGCCAAAACTAAAAGAAATAAATTAAATAACATTGAATTTTTATATATGTAAGTATTAAAATGATGATATTCGATACATCGCGACGCATGAACTTACCGAAATTAAGATCGCCCATTAGTCTGAGCCATGGCACATTGCAGGGATAATATTTCAGAGCTTGTATTAACAATTGGAACAATATTTCCCCGATATATCGGATGTTGTATGAATTTGCACTGTAAATGATATATAACTCATGTGAATATTATTCAAATATTATGAATACCACTTGTAAGTAGTAGTAAAGCATTCACTCTCAATGTCATAATGTGTATTGCATAGTATGTATGTACAAGATAAGGCACCTAAAACAGGCCGCCTGAATAACTTTGAAAATATGCAAAATGGAAAAAATGTTAAACAGAAGTAGGTTTTTAAGTGACACATTACATAGCAATAGTATGATCTTGAATAGCATCATCAAAGTTATGGAAGTCACCTTGAATTTTTTAAAATGGAAATCCTCGTATTTATTACATCATTTTCTTCTACCAATTAATTTTTGAACAACTTTTATCTAGAATATTAAAAAAAAAGATTCAACCTTGAAAAGGAAAATTTTCTCAACCTGCCTGCAACCTTGATGCTGTTCAAGGTCATACTAGTGTTGCTGTGTGATGCATCTCACTTGAAACCCTACAACTTCTGTATTTAACATTTTTTTCCAACCTGCATATTTTCAAAGGTGGCCTGTTTTTAGGTGCCTCACTTTGTGTAATGAATGATGGGGAACACTACAATGGTGGATGTAGTGATACTACAATTCACATACTTTGGTACTCCGGCAGGCCAAAGAGTAAGATACTGTGTATGCAATTCCAGACTAGATTCGTCGCGCAAAACGTTACGTAAACGTGCTAGCAACGATATCACCACAGTGAGTACCATAGGTTCACGTAACCGAGTAAGAGTACTTGTAATACTGGCGACAACATCCCTCGACGCATTACTTCCAGAACTTCCACTGTTGCCACCGCTACCGCTGCCACCGCTGCGTTTTTGCGTCTGTTCTCTGCTAGGACCAAATGCTGCTAAAACTGAAAAGACACACATATTTGGTGCTTATGACGGAGAGTGTTTAGTCTAGTTCCTATCGTGTAAAGCAATCGAGATAATTCACAAGAAGTTTGGCGTGAAACAATTTAATCGTGAAACAAGTTTGTCGAATTCTCAAGATTATCGCGGATACTGTGAGGTATGATGCTTTCGTTTCAAGTGGAAAAATATATACTCATGTCCCATGCCTCTCGCGGAAATTTGCGAGTCCCCTTGTACTTGACGATGTCTTGGCAAACGCTGCTAACGGCGGCCGCGAACTCCGTGTAACTCCAGCGTTTCTCCAAACTGGTGAGATAATCCCACTCTGCCATGTTTAACAGAAAGACCGTGCAGTACTCTATTATTTCTTGTCGCGGGATTACTTGGTCGGTCGCTTGTAAGGCACCAAGACACTGCTTACACCGTGCAACCATACTTTGCATATCAGCTGAAATAATAAATGATTCTGAAGAACGATAAATTATCCAGAATTATAAATTTGTCGTTATTTTCAGAGATATTTCCGATTAATCTCTTTTCGGGCGAATTATCTTGGTCTTGGAATAAAAATAAAATAAAATAAGGGTTTCAAGACTTTCCATACATATTGTGTCGTATAAAGTGTTGAAATTAAACGGACAACTAAATACATTCATACATACAGACATTGGTCGTCGGCCAAGTATGAAGACACTTCCATATTTCGACGAGTAGGCATTCCCAGCTCACTAACTTGCACAACTTGTAGACCTGAGATTTTGCTGCAGTTTTCATGTGCTCCTGCAGCTCACTATCCAAAACTTTCAGCAGCTCAATTGCACCGTCGAAATTTTTAAACATCACCAATTCTCGACTCTTTGCGAGCAGAACATACGAATAATCCTGCATGAAACCTCTCGAGAGAGACATCACCACACTCTGCAATGGAATAGGCAATTCCCAACAGCCATTAACGTTCCACAATGGTTTCATACGATGTTTACCATCCAGATGGATCAACGTCTCACGGATTTCATGACTGTCGTAAGTCGCTATCAACTTCTGTTCCAGTTCAAATACTTCGATTCTTGTGTTATCTGTAAATTATAGTGGAATTGATTAATTTACCTGCAAATTACAATGGAAACGGAAGTTCAGAGTCAACATATAAGAGAAGTAAAGGAGAAAATTATTTTGAAAATGGTCTTATTTGTTTCTGCTTTTTAGATACAGATTTTCCCAATAGTGCTCCCTTGAGTTCATTTTGTTAATTAAATATAAAATCTCATGTCTTACATTTTTTTCTTCATTATATTATAAAAACTACTTACGTATATATGGTATAGGTGATATACCCCAGTCGTTATTTAGCAACAAGTTTGGTAATTCTATTTCGTCGGATACACTTGCCTGTTTAATGATAGCCAGTTCCGTCTCATCAAATAATGACGAGAAGGAGGAATCATTAAGTATTTTCAGAGCAAGCCCTTCTATACCGGTAGTGTTTATAAGATAAAGAAGGTAACGCGAGATTCGTTTCTTATCCATAGGCGATGCCTTTTCTATAACGTTATTTAAGGCCTAAAAAAATAAAACACAAATGAGACGATAAGAAGAGTGAAAGCATTCAGTTTTAAATACATTTAAAAGTTCGGAGAAATGATTTCCCTGAGAATGACATAATAATGAAAATCTGACGGCTACATGAATATTTAGAAACAAATTAAAATTTATACCCAAAATAGAACGTCCAAACCCTTAGAGCCGGCTGCTTTAATTTCAGTTACATAATCACCCAGGATTATGCTGTCATCGAGGATTTTCCTGACGAGATTCAAGCATTGTATTTGCAGTAGAAGATCCCGAGCAACTATAATTTTCCTGTTAACAGACCCGCCTTGTATGTCTAACTCCAAGTTATCTCTATAAACCTGAGGTATCTCCCTGAAAACATTGTCTGTTTGCAAAATCTGCAATATGTTCTGCAGATTTTGCACATATCGCGTGAATACATTATTCGAAAATGCGTACACATCGATCCTATTCGATATGCAAAAGTATACTTACAGTATATTGATCCTTGATCGAGGACTGCAAACGTTGAGTGAGACTAGGAGTGATATTTTCTATCGGTACCTCACACGCGAGACAAGCGCCCTCCAAGAATTCCTTTTGTACTTTGCAGTACGTTAATTTCACTGTTGAATCTAGTTTACTGTACCGCTCCTTTGCCTGTCTGATATGACACTTAGCATCTTGATATTCCTCCCTCAATAAATAATACATCGCAAGATCATAATGTATCTAAAAAGGGGTAAAAAAATTTCCTTAAATTACACTATATTCCTTAAATTACACTATATTCCTTAAATTACACTATATTCCTTAAATTACACTATATTCCTTAAATTACACTATATTCCTTAAATTACTCTACATTAATACAAAAGTAATATTTAGTTTATAAACTTCCTACCTGGCATTTAAATTCATCTATATTCACTGGATACATGTTTTCCCAATTTTGCTTGATTTCTATACTATCCTCAGTCAACATTTGAAAAGTATCAAAAGAGAGAACCATTGGCTTTATATCGGATGCTTCTAAAATAGTGTTTAGGGCACTTACGCTGTTGGGTATATGTGCTTCTAATTTCCTAATAATGTCATCCACTATGCCTGGTGGTACATATGTCGATTCTTGAAAGCCTGGTCTAATTTATAACATATTGGTAAAAATATTCCAAGTATTAATAAAAAATTGCCAACCAAGACATTATAATATCAAGACAGAACTCACATATGAAGTAATTGTTGTTTTGGCTGTTTGTTACTTAAAGCTCTATAAATAATTGCCCTTAAGTGCCATCTATGATACAAAACCAATGTGAACAAAAGTTGGTCGGAGACTTTCTCTATAAAGAATTCTGGAATTGTAGGTATCTCTACCATGACATCAGATGTGATATAAAATAAATCTTGCAATAGTGTTAATTGTATCGGCAGAGGTAGTTTCTTCTCTAGTATATCCAAGTCCCATTTGAGATATGCTGCTACTTTCAAAGAAAGTATCTTCAATGCTAAATTCCTGTGAGACCACTTATTTACACCATTAGGCTTTACATCGTTTGACTCGGTATCAATTGTTTTGAGCTCAATCTCCTTTTGGTCAGAATTAATCGTCATAAATTTAATTATCAGGTCCGTGGGTGATGGATCTATAGGAGTGGAACAAAACGCATATAATGTTACTTAATGTCTCATTAAAGATGCAAATACTTGATAAAGATTTTACCTGGGAAGGGTTTTGATAAATGTTTCTGCAGCAACGAAGGATTTAGTAAAAATTCGAACCATAATATTGTGTCCGGTGAAATCGGCACTGTGCCTGGTCTAAGCAAATCTACGTCCATGGTAAGAATATTGTCATTAATGTATCCGTACAATTGATACTCTTCACGATACGGGATAACCCACAACAGATACAAAATGCAATACCGCCGTGAACCGTCATTGACTGTTTAAATCCATGAATCATAAAGAGTGGAGAAGGATTGGTTGTGTTTAGAATTTATTCATCGCAAAGTGAATGTGCTGATTGGCTATCAAACAGGCAATTACTAGAATTGTTATCAGAGAAATGTAGGGACCTTATTATTAGCCGATAGGGAAGAATATTTCCGAACTGATGGTATCACTTGCGTACGAACTGATTTCGGAGCGATTTAAATCGCCCCGATCGAGTAACGTTAAAATACTCGTCTCGGCGGTGAAATAATGCAATCTTTCGGTGATGATACTCTGATTGCTTGTCTAAATGTTGAAAAGAAGCATAGAATTTTGCAAGAAGAAAGCCGAGACAGAGTTCTGCAAGAAATAAGCGATAACGAATTGGGTAAATATTTTAAACACAGCTTGTCGCTCTCGAAGTTCGGGAACGAAGATAACGACACGAATAAGTCAAAACTGTCACACTTTGCAAGCAATAAAAAGGAAATAACAAGAAAAGATGAGTCTGATATTGGAAAATATTTTGAAAATAGCGTTACATTTGTTAATATTGATAGTGAGAAGAATTTGTCGTTAGCATCAAGTTCTTCGAAAGAGGATAAAAATCTCTCTTCCCAGAGACATAGAAGCTGCCATAAAATAAGCAGTAAGAACGCTAATATAACTTATTTGAATGAGAAGTGTCTTTTTAATATCATAGAGAAAAGTGATGAGCCTAATATAGAACAGATTCAGAAAAATAAGACTGATGATACTGAAAAAAATAAAATTGGTAATAACTATGTTACATCATCATCAGCTGTCAATTGTACATACGATAAAGAAAGTTCAGGGATTATTTTGTCTTTGCCTCTTTGTACTCAAGACCGATGCAAACTGGCATCATGGGGCTTGCCACTAAATATTCTTCAGGTATTAAATTATGATATATTATTATATTAAGATATATTTAGTAGATTATTACATGTATACATACATACACATGTGCACATTGACATACATATGCATGATTTTAATAATTGTTATTTTTCAGAAATATATCGCTCGTGGAGTTGAAAATATGTTTGCATGGCAAATGGAGTGTTTGTCGAATCACAAGATAATACAGGAGAAACAGAATCTTGTATATTCTGCACCTACTTCAGCAGGAAAGACTCTTGTTGCTGAAATTCTTTTGATCAAGACTGTCCTAGAAAGGCAGAAGAAAGTAATCTTCATCCTACCATTTGTTTCTGTTGTTAGGGAAAAAATGTATTACTTTCAAGTAAGATCATACTTGAGTTAATTTTGTTGTACAAATATTTTGGCTGTATAATTTTACTTAAGTGAATTCGGTATTCAGGATTTATTGTCTGATAGTGGAATAAGAGTGGAGGGATTTATGGGCGGTATGGTGCCACCTGGAGGTTTTGCTGCTACTCAGGTTGCAATAGCGACCATAGAAAAGGCAAATTCTTTGGTGAATCGTCTGATGGAAGAAAATGATCTAAGTAGTTTAGGAGCTGTAGTAATAGATGAATTGCATCTGCTCGGTGATGCCAATCGTGGCTATCTTCTGGAACTGCTCTTAACAAAATTGAAATATATGACTATTCGGTAAGCTCGATAACATAATTGTATGTGTCTCACGGAATAATTTGAATTTTTCTTTTAGCAACGACGATATCAATATCCAGCTAATCGGCATGTCAGCCACATTGCCGAATTTGTCTTTGTTAGCCAAATGGTTAGATGCTGAATTGTATAAAACTGAATTTCGTCCTATTCCTTTAAATGAATATTGCAAAGTAAGAAAGTTTCTATTACTGTTTGCTGTTTAAAATACTAGGAATATTTTTATACTTCTTGAAAAAAACTAAATAATACAAATTCTATTTTTATACTGTTTAAAGCTCCTGACCTCTCACTGTAATCATATTATACAATGGTGTCAGAAATAAGAACTCTCGTGTGATTTACATTTGCAATGTGTGTTGAAATCAGTTAGTTTTTTATGTGAGCAGAAACATGCTGGGAAATATGTTGCAAGGAAATAATTGATTTCAATAATACTCGACAGAAATAGATCACATATATGATTTCTTGCTTCATGATTCAATATGATTACAGTGAGGGGTCAAGAGTTTCAAGACAGTTTCTACTTACAGATAGGAACACATGTATATGACAATAAGTTTAGACTCGTTAGAAAATTGGCAATAGTACCAGAATTAGAAGCGGACGCGGATAATATTCTTCAGCTTTGTATCGAGACAATAAGCGCCGGTCACAGCGTGTTAATCTTCTGTCCTACGAAGAAATGGTGTGAAAAATTGGCACAGCAAGTTGCAGTAGCTTTCTTCAAGTTAGGTATGTTCAAAATCAAAACTCGGGTAAACGTAGATTCTCTTTTTATTATACACACATGTTTTCCATAATTTTATATTCCTCTCTTTCTCCCTGTAAAACATAACAAAACGTAACTGCGAAGAATATATATCTTATGTACGTCCTTTACATCCAATAGGTTCTGGAAATAGTACATTTGGAGGGATTTTGAAAAAGGAGATCAATCCTGAGTTAATTCACGAAACTCTGGAGCAACTGAAACGCAGTCCGAGCGGCTTGGACAATATTTTGAAAAGTACGATCTCGTTCGGCATCGCTTTCCATCATGCTGGGCTCACGATGGACGAGCGTGATATCATAGAAGGATCCTTCAGGTAATGATTCTTCCAATTTTTTCTTTTTTTTTTACTAACTTCTCATGTCGTGTACTAATTCAAGCTCGGTATTATTATTTTAGAACTGGATCTTTGAGAGTCCTCGTAGCAACGTCGACATTAAGCAGCGGAGTGAACTTGCCCGCACGAAGAGTAATCATAAGATCGCCCATGTTCGGTCCTAATTTGTTGAACACTTTAACTTACAAGCAGATGATAGGTCGTGCCGGCCGTATGGGGAAAGACAGCGCAGGTAAAGGCAATGCGTAGGAATATATTCACAGAATGTAGCGTATGACTTTCTTCCGTTGCTTTCATCGTTTCAGCCTGAAATTTCAATTTTTCAGGAGAAAGTATACTGATATGCAAACCAACTGAACGCAACGCGGCAGTGTCATTGCTCTCTGCGATTCTAGACCCGATTGAATCTTGCCTCAACGATTCTACGTTGTTGATAAGAGCGCTCCTGGAAGCCGTAGCTAGCGAAGTTTTATATACCTCGGAAGATTTGGAGTTATATATCAATTGTACTTTGCTGAGCTTGAGCGAGCAGTCTAATGTGCAAACTTTCTCCAGTGAAGCGATTAAATTCCTATTGGACAATGAATTTCTATTGTGAGCATGCAATTTTAATTCTCCCTCTCTCTCAACATTTTTAAAAATACGTAATTAAGTGTTTTTACTACTTGTTATATCGAGCAGATTGCAAACTACAGAGAAAGAAACACGATGGATAGCGACGTCGTTGGGAAAGGCGTGCTTGGCTGCTTCCGTACCTCCCAGGGAAGGATTATTCCTGTTCGAGGAGTTACAAAAGGCTAGAAGATGCTTTGTTTTGGACACAGAGTTGCATGTGATATATTTGGTAACACCGCTCGGCTCCGGCAGTCAAATCGAAACTGTCGATTGGATGACATTTCACGAGTTGTGGAATATCATGTCCGAAAGCGAGCGCAGAGTTGGAAGACTCGTCGGAGTCGAAGAACGCTTCCTGCTGTCAGCTATCCGAGGAATCATTAGACCCGGAAAATCGGTAACCATCGTTTGTTTATCGTAGATAAGATACCTGTCTACTGTGAGCATAAAAACCACCAAGTAAATTCGATGCTCATCTTATTTATTATTTAATCTCGTGTTATTTAAATCGTTTCTAATATGCTCCGCTCTATAGTTGAATATACACAAGAGATTCTACAGTGCGTTGGCATTGCATGAGTTGGTGAACGAGGTTCCGCTTAACATAGTCTGCAAGAAGTACGGCTGTTGCCGCGGAGTGCTGCAAACTTTACAGCAGTCCGCTGCTACGTACGCAGGTAAATAAACCATGACAAGACATTTGATACCGTTCGAATTATTCATCGGACGAAGTTTAATTTCTGATTATCTTCCTCTAGGCATGGTCACGCAATTTTGCAAACAGTTACGCTGGGACTGCATGGAATTGTTGATAAGTCAATTTCAAACGAGATTACAATTCGGTGTCTGCAGAGAATTGTTAGATCTGCTGCGCCTGCCGATGTTAAACGGCTTGCGGGCGAGAAGCCTGTATAAACAAGGGATCACGTGTGTGGCGGACTTGGCTGTTGCTAACGAGCTTAACGTTGAACGCGCACTTTACAATGCTCTTCCTTTCGAAAGGTATGTATGTGAATTATAAATCATAATTTTATGTTATATATTCTCCTTCTCCCCCTCTCTGCCTATCTCTCCTTTTTCTCTTGTTGATACAAGTTGATCCTTTGTATTCATGTTCAGTGAGAAAGATTACGAAGGAGAATATGCGCTCGAGACGGAGAAAAGAAATAAAATAAGGACGGTATTTGTCACTGGAAGAGATGGGCTCACACCGCAGCAAGCGGCAATTCTGTTGGTTCAAGAAGCGCGAATGTTGGTTCAGGTTTGCAATTTTCGCACTCTGAGAGTGATTCCTGATATAATTATTAAGAGGTTGAATTAGTTCTGGTCTCTAGCAATAGATGACTTTAGTAACAGGTTAATGGTTAGTACGAATGTTGAAATCTAGCATCATTGAAAGATTTGACATTTCTTTATGACATATGACAATTTGCACGCTATTGTTACTGATAATTTTATTGTTTATAAGCATCTAAAATGGATACAAAATTGCATTTTCGATATTCATTACTTGTTTTATTTGATTTGAAAAATCGCCAACTGAAGCTCGTGAAATGCTTGTTACAACTTATGGTGATCAAGCTTCATCGTATTCCAACTGTAAATTTTGGTTTCTACGACTCAAAAGTGGTGATTTCGATTTGAGTGACAAAGAACGTACTGGTGAACCAAACAAATTCGAAGATTCTGAATTGCAAGCATTATTGAATGAAAACACCGCTCAAACGGAAAAACAATTGGCTAAATAGTTCAACGTCAATGAATCAATAATTTCTAAACGCCTACGCACCATGGGAAATATTCAAAAGGAAGGCAAATGGCTTCCATGCTATTGAGTGAAAGTGCAATTGCAAGTCGTTTGAATATTGCCATGTCTTTGCTTACCAGACAGAAAAAAATAATTTTTTGTGGCGAATTATAACTGGAGATGAAAAGTGGATTTATTTTGATAATCCAAACCGAAAAAATCATGAGTTGATCCAAGACAACCATCAACATCGACGCCAAAACGGAACATTCACAGTCACAAAGTAATGCTCTGTATTTGGTGGGATATGGAAAGTGTGGTGTACTATGAGCTTCTAAAACCGAATGAAACAGTTACGGGGGGGGGGGGGCGATATCAGCAACAATTGAACAAATTGAATGATGAATTGGTGCAAAAAAGGCCAGCGATAGCCAGCAATAGACGCAAGGTAATTCTTTTGCACGATAATGCTCGTCCACATGTTGCTTCAATCGTTAAACAAACATTGTTAGAGCTCGAATGGGAAATTCTTCCGCATCCAGCGTACTCTCCAGACCTAGCACCACCTGATTACTATCTATTTCGATCGATGCAACACGCTTTGGCAGGTATACACTTGAATAATTACGAGGATGTGCAAAAATTGGTGTCTGATTGGATTGTTTCGAAAGACAGATTGTTTTATTGTCGCGGAACTGCCATGTTACCAGAAAGATGGGAAAAAGTCACAGCTAACGACGGAAAATATTTTGATTGATATAAATTCAACCATTTCTTTAAAATAAAGATAAAAAATTTGACAAAATAAGATCAGAATTAATTCAATCTCCTCATTAATGACGATTTAAAATAATGTGGCACTGATTGTTTGCAGAACGAGCTGGGACTCGATCAACTTCCGTGGGAGCAGAAAGAACGATCTCTCGAAATAAATACACAGGCAAGAAATATCAAGGATGCGTCCAGTACCCAAGAACAATCTCAAGTCCAAATGGATGCAGATAATTCCAAGTCTGCAAAAGTAGGAACATCCATCACGGAAAATTCGCCACGTGATAAGCTTGCGAGTAACGAGAATCGAAAGGATGATACTTCGAGCGCCGACACACGCAAAGAAGCTGTCGAAATTAATGTATCTGAAAAGAAGAGAACCACTGAATCACTCGCAAGCTTGGAAAACAACGAAAATGCGTCAAATTTTTGTGACATGAGTAGTCCCGATATGATAGAAAACGACGAATGTTTGAACATCTCTGAAGAAATAAAAGATTATTCTGAGATCGATAACAGTATTAAGTTGAAAAGGAAGAATAAAGAAGAAGATATTAATATATTTAACAAGAAGCCAAAAATCTCCAGTTCGAATGAAATTGAAGACACCGATGAGGATCAGACGGAAAAAAATACAAGCATGTCTATTCTGAATACGCGTGGTAAGTCACGTTCGAGAAGTCCCAGTCTGTTTGACGACAGTTTGAATCTCGACACGCAGATGTGCGACATTCTCGAGCAGAATGTCATAGATTTATCTGGACTGGAGGACTGCAATACATTCGAGAGCAAGTATAACGTCGCGAGTGCATTGCAGAAGAAATCTGCAGATCCGAGTGGCAGCAATGCGCAAATGTGCAATGAGAATAACACGAAAGTACACGCCCCCATAGACGTGGCGCATTTATCATCGAAGAACAGCATACTGTCGTGGGACGACGATTCGTGGAACGATTTTGCGGAGTTACCGAAGAAGGTTGTCGAGAATACGAAGAGGGAAATATTACAAGGCAAGATCAAAGACATTGTGAATACGAGCTCGTCCATTGCTTCAAGAAATGCGAAGACTTGCGCGCAAAATAACAAGGTGGATCTACATAACACGGGCGTCAAGAAGCGCACAGCAGTCGCGGTTAAGGAGAAAGCGCTACGAAAGTCGAAGTTGCTGAATATAACGACCACGCAATCGCCCGTGACGAACGTAATCGTCTTTAGGGATCAGCGGAAGATATCCGTGGACTCCAACGGATCCGATTCGGACATCATCATCGCTTCGCAGCACTTCGAGTCTCCCTTAAACAACAGCAAGAGTCGAGTGAAGACACAGCTGGAGAAGAGAATACATAAGATACGTTCTCAGAAACTCGTCGAGAGCACGGAAGAAATAAACAATCGCGTGAATTCCCCCATGGGAGCAATACCAAGTGACGCAGTGGAAGACAGCGCCAAGAAAAGGGTAACGCTGAAGTTGAAGGAAATTTTGCCGCGAAATTTTGGCGTAGGCAGCTTCATATATGATTCCGAAGATGAAGTGGTGGCTGATTCGAAGTCAGTTTCAACAGTTAAACGACACGGGACGCAGTTAAGCGTTTCGAAGGAGAAAATAAAGCCGAATACAGAGATTGCACCGCAACCTGATAGCAATGTGGATTTGTTGAATGGCACGATAGATTGGAAAACCTTGAACATCGTGAAAGTTGCGAACAACAGGGCGACTTTCAGTCTGTTCAAGCGCGAGGTATTGAAAAAACGAAGCTTCGCGTTGGCCTTACATTGTGACATGTACGTGGACAATACAAATAATATCGGGTCGAAGATTTGTATCAACGGCACGGAGAAAAAACGAAAATTGAAGAAGTCTGTAAATTACATACACGGGAGGAAGGAGATTCGCGGTGCTGCGATTTCCTGGGAAAGTAATATCGCATATTACATCTCATTCAGTAACACACAAGGTGAGAGAAGTGAGAATCATACGATATTGTTGTAGCATAATAAAATTAATCGTACGACTGCCTTTCCAATCATCGAGTACCGTCTCTCTTTTACAATTTGATACAAGCTGAATTTTGTAACTCTTCTAGATGCAAAAATCTCCACCAAAGAACAAATTACTCTGTTGAAAGAGTTGCTTTCCGATGCGGCTTTATATGTGAAATGCTTTGCGATCAAAGATACATATAAACTGCTGTATCGATGTTGCGCTATCTCGGCCAAATGCAGATTTCTCGATCCAGTGATAGCGCACTGGTTATACACCAATGACTTCGAGGGAAATTTCAGCGAACTGGTAAAACTGCAGCGAATATGTTGTTACTTGCTGTACACGATGATTTGAAAAAGACTAGAACTGATGATACGTGAATTTTGAATAGGTGACGCAATACTTTCCCCAAGGAAATTTTATAATGAAACGTACGAATTCCTGCTGCAACGTAGGCCCTGGGATGGATGTGCAAAATTCTTTGCCAGGCGAGTTTAGATCGGCCGCAGAAGCCGTGCTTACGTGGCACATGACGGATAGCATCACGAGTAAATTAGAAGAACTCAATCCTGTGTTACTTCATACGTTTAGAGGTAAGTTTTACTTAAATATTCAGTAGGATTCGTGACTGCAGTTGTTGTTCGCGGCCCAAAAATATTAAACGGGAAATTCCAAAAATAAAGAATTCCTAAGCTTGAAATTGCCTTATTATAATTATATAAAAATATAATGTAAAAATGTATTAGGAGGTTGAATTAATTCTGGTCTTATCTTGTTAATTTTTCTATCTTTATTTTAAAGCAATGATTAAATTTACATCGATCAAAATATTTTCCGTCGTTAGCTATGATTTTTCCTCATCTTTCTGGCAACATAGCGGTTCCGCAATGATAGAACGATCTGTCTTTCGAAACAATCCAGACACCAGTTTTTGCACATCCTCGTAATTATTCAAGTATATACCTACCAAAGCGTGTTGCATCGATCGAAATAGATAGTAATCAGGTGGTGCTAGGTCTGGAGAGTACGCTGGATGCGGAAGAATTTCCCATTCGAGCTCTAACAATGTTTGTAACGATTGAAGCAACATGTGGACGAGCATTATCATGCAAAAGAATTACCTTGCGTCTATTGCTGGCTATCGCTGGCCTTTTTTGCACCAATTCATCATTCAATTTGTTCAATTGTTGCTGATATCGCCCCCCCCCCCCCGTAACTGTTTCATTCGGTTTTAGAAGCTCATAGTACACCACACTTTCCATATCCCACCAAATACAGAGCATTACTTTGTGACTGTGAATGTTTCGTTGGCGTCCGAATGGCGTCGATGTTGATGGTTGTCTTGGATCAACTCATGATTTTTTCGGTTTGGATTATCAAAATAAATCCACTTTTCATCTCCAATTATAATTCGCCACAAAACCCATGCTTACCATACACAAAAAATTCTTTTTTCTGTATGGTAAGCAAAGACATGGCAATATTCAAACGACTTGCAATTGCACTTTCACTCAATAGCATGGAAGCCATTTGCCTTCCTTTTGAATATTTCCCATGGCGTGTAGGCGTTTAGAAATTGTTGATTTATCGACGTTGAACTATTCAGCCAATTGTTTTTCCGTTTGAGCGATGTTTTCATTCAATAATGCTTGCAATTCAGAATCTTCGAATTTTTTTGATTGACCAGTACGTTCTTTGTCATTCAAATCGAAATCAGCACTTTTGAATCGTTGAAACCAAAATTTACAGTTGTAATACGATGGATCTTGATCACCATAAGTTGTAACAAACATATCACGAGCTTCAGTTGCTAATTTCTTCAAATCAAACAAAAAAAGTAATGAATGTCGACAATGCAATTTTGTATGATCCATTTTAGACGCATATAAACAATGAAGCTATCAGTAACAATAACGCGCAAACTGTCATGTCATAGAGGAATGTCAAATCTTTTAGTATTGCCAAATGTCAACATTCGTATTAACCATTAACTTGTTACCAAAGCCATTTGTTGCTAGGGGCTAGAATTAATTCAACTTCCTAATATTTAAATATGTACGTACAAGATATTTTTCATTGCTGCACCGTCTCTTGAGGATTAAGCTAAAATGTCAGAATTCCACTCACTCGTCAAAGAGAGGGCACAAGTATAATAATGTACAATATATTTCATTATTGCTTAATGTCGATAATGTTTCATGATATGTAATTTATCAATCAAACTTTTTCATGTATATAAACGTCTTATATATAAGGTTCGATATTATCCACACGGTTTTGGGCGTCCGTAGTAGGTCTTGGAACATATCACCCGCGAATATGGGAGAATTACTTTGTATCTGTATGAACATGCTCATTAATATTCGTGTTCTCTTTTAGACATAGAGATGAGAATAGCGACGATTTTAGCGTGCATGGAATTATCAGGTATTGGCGTGAATTTGAAGGCATTGCAAGAGACACTATCGGTTATTTTAAGCGAGATGCAATCTTTAGAAACAAGAGCTTATGATCTGGCAGGTAGAAAATTTAATTTATCATCGTCCAAAGAAGTTGGACAGGTTCGTACGCTCTCGAAACTGCAATTAAGCCTATGCATCTAATATTATCATGATGCATAATTTCAAATATACGTCTCGTAGGTACTGGGATTGTACAAAGATAAGAAAGTCAGTACGAGCAAAGCAGTCTTGGAGAAATGCGACAATCCAATATCACGTCTCGTAATCTCATGGCGTAAATTAAACGCAACGAAAACAAAAGTAATCATTCACATTGTTATCGCGTCTCCGTAATATAGAAGTAAATTAAAATTATAATATATAATATGCGTATCGGTGATAATTATATAATATGTAATTATTAATAAGGTAAAACTTTAGAATAGGACTTCTTCCGAATTTTGATATTTATTTGCTGCTCTCATGGTAAAAATCTTTGTTGTGACTCCGACAGTGATAATCAATCGGGGGAGCCCGAAAAAAATGTTACCTACTTATTTTTTGAACAACTTTTTTGGTAAATATTCAGAAGTACTATTATATCAAAATCTACGTTTTCTTGTTCAGTAATTTACAAAACTAGCTGTAAAAAAACATATATACAAAGTTTTACATATACAGGGTGTTCTAAAAAGATATGTCAAAAATTTAAAGAGATATTCCTCACACCTGAAGGGTGAAAAAATGTTATATGGACGTAGGTGCGGAAATGCTTATTTCAGGAGTTATGTTGAAAATACTGTTAGCTGTATTACTTACACAAGGAAAAATTTAGGATTAATTATTGTAGACGACAGTCATTTAATTTACATTTGGTCGGTTTATTTACATTTGGTTTTAATGTGACCTTGAGTTAGTTATAATAAATGTTGAAAATATTCGCCATTTGCCTGAATATAAGCAGTGACACGTCGACGCATTACCACCAGCCGTACTAAGGGATTTCCCTCAACGATATACATTTTGCCAATGGTTCATACGTAAGGATGTCAATCCTAACTTTATTCCTGCAGTGCTGTTTACGGAGACCACAGTTTACCAGAGATGAGATTGTTAATTTTCACAATGAACACATCTGGGCAGATAATAATCCATACAAAATCGCTCCATCTCGTCACCAGCAAAAGTTTTCTGTTAATGTATGGACTAGTATCATCGGTGATTATTTAATAGGACTCTATTTTCTTCCACCAAATCTTACAGCGCTTGTGTACATAGATTTCTTAGAAAATCATCTTCCTATTCTGTTAGAAAATGTTCCGTTGATGATTAGACAAAACATGTACTTTATGCATGATGGAGCTCTTCCTCATTTCAGCAAAATTAGTCGTGATTTTCTCGATCAAACTTACGGTGATCGATGGATAGGAAGAGGTGAACCTACTTTGTGGCCTCCACGTTCCCCGGATCTCAATCCGATAGACTTTTATTTGTGGGGATATTTAAAGGCAATCGTATATGCTACAACAATACGTGATATTCAAGATCTTCGTGACCGTATCACTGCAGGTTGCGAGACAATCCGCTGTATGCCAGGCATTTTTGAATGTGTCCGTGAATCAATGCGTCGACGTGTCACTGTTTGTATTCAGGCGAATGGCGAACATTTTCAACATTTATTATAACTAACTCAAGGTTACATTAAAAACAAATGCAAATAAGCCTAATTAAACAATTGTCGTCTACAATAATTAATCCTAAATTTTTCCTTGTGTAAGTAATACAGCTAATAGTATTTTCAACATAACTCCTGAAATATGCATTTCCGCACCTACGTCCATATAACATTTTTTCATCCTTCAGGTGTGAAGAATATCTCCTTAAATTTTTGACATATCATTTTAGAATACCCTGTATATTAAGGAAGAGAGAAGGGGACTAAGATCTTTACAGGAAAAAACACGAAAATTTTATTCCATATATTTAAATTTTTAAATACCGATTTTATACTGATTAAATACCGTTCACAATTGTTACTCGAATCTTTTGCCTTACTAAAAACAGATAAGTCTACGATATACTAAAAATGAATACTGAAAAGATTAGACCTCTACGCAAGGTAGGACTTATCATAAATTACAAGCAAAATAAAGCAGACCATTATTCACAATCATACTCTGCTTTGATCAAAAGTACAAATTTATATTATAAAGTCTAAATTATAGCGGAGAATAGTTTATGTCTTTAGTTTATTAAAGTTCATTTTTTTTTATACTTTTACTCAATAGTTTAAATTTGGTACATTTCTCCTTCAGAGTTTTATAAGATCCGAAAAAAATAAGTCGGTAACATTTTTTTCGGGCTCTCTCCATTGATTATCATTGTCGTAGTCACAACAAAGATTTTTATCCAGCAAGTAGCAAAAATATATCAAAATTCGGAAAAAGCCCTATTCTAAAGTTTTACCACTAATAATAATAAATTAATAATAAATAATTATATAATTATGTAATATGTATTTGAACATATGATCTTTTCTCTTCTACAGATCGTCTACCCATTGTTGAATTTATCTCAAGAAGATTCTCGTATTCATGGGAATTGCATAACTTGCACAGTGACGGGTAGAGTTTCAATGCATGAACCAAATCTGCAGAACGTGCCGAAGGATTTTCATTTCGAAGATAATAATCTCCTCGTGAGCGTAAGAAGGTCCTTCGTACCGGCCTTGGGCAACGTGATGCTGTCTGCAGACTATTGTCAACTCGAATTACGTCTCTTGACTCACTTTTCACAAGATTCGGTGCTGTGTGAAATCATGAAACAGCAGGGTGACATCTTCAAAAGCATTGCCGCTAAATGGAACAACGTAATCGAAGAAGAGGTACTCAATAACGACGTTATTAAGCGCAAAAATCTTTCCACGACATTCTTATGAATTATTTATGTGTACTATTGAACTATTTACATATTATTTATTTTGTTTTATTGTTATTATTACTTTAGGGAACACCTCATCTTGGAAAAGCACACGCGAGCGCTGATTCAAACGAAATCAAAGTCACTCAGTGAAATAAACTCCCCTGAAATAATTATTTTCATGATCTGTGCAAGTTTTCATTCTCGTATTCAGGTGACCAACGAGATGCGTCAGCGTACCAAACAATTATGCTACGGCATGATCTACGGTATGGGGGTGAAGTCGTTGGCTGAAAATCTGTGTATAAGCGAGACCGAGGCTCAACATTTTTTAGAATCCTTTATGAACGCATATCCTGGCATATACAAGTGGTTGGATGACACGCTAGAGAAAGCGCATCACAATGGATACGTGACAACGTTACTCGGAAGGCGCAGGCAACTTCCAGACTTAAGAAGCACGAAGTCGTCTACGAGAGGTAAGTCGATTGCCGCACATTAACATAAAATGTTGCATTAAGCACTTCATTAAGCAGTGTATAAACTTCAAATTGTGAAGATGCAATTTCTCAAACCTCCTGCTCATTGAATTGTTAAGCGCAAGCGGAACGGCAAGCTGTGAACACAAAGGTACAAGGCTCTGCGGCGGACATAGTTAAAAAAGCTATGATAATTATAGAAGAAAAGATGAGGCACAGCTTTCCGGATTCTGTTATAGTATTTCCCGAGACGCAAGGTACCCGTAAACTAAGGAGAAACAGTCGCGATATGCTACAAAGAGGTGGTTATTTAGTTTTACAACTGCACGATGAATTGTTATATGAGGTAAGCGCACGGTAATATAAATGCATTTTCGAGAATAGATGTAGATTTATAGTGGGTCCATATGAAAAAAATTAATCACACCCAAAAAAAAGTAATTTCAGAACAAGCGAAATCGTCTAAATTTTAGAGAATTTTATTCTTACACATGGTCTGAAGAGGATTCCTCTAAGATTAAGAGGAAAATATTATAAACACGTTATTGTTAAAGTTAGAGGGATTATATGTTACATATATAATGCAAATCTTATTGATTTTCTTATTGACTTTAATATAAATTTCTTCTTATACAAAAATTATTTAATCTTTTTTTAAGAAGATTATTATTTATTCTTACTGTACTTTATTCTTACTGGTTATATTAGTTAATTTGAAAAAATTATAATGTATACTGAAAAGTAATATATATATATATATATATAGATGTATTTCTAATTCCAGTTTTACAAGTAGGCACAAATAAAACAAGATCGTCATAACAAATAAACTTTCAATCAGTTTTGTTGTGGATTTCATAGATACAAATATGTTCATATCCAATTGTATGAAACATAGAAGAAAAAATATATTATTCAACTTCTCGCAATAGATATTTTTTATATTTGACCAAATATGGGTAAATTATCTTTGTTTTATGTTACAGCAACACATATACCTTTTTTAAAAAGCATTCCAAATATTCTGACCTATGAGTATATAGTTTTTTTTGTTCATGTCATGGAGGTAGAGCATGACTGAACAAAAGAAACCGACATTTAAATCAACATATTCCTCTTTATATATAAGATAAAAATTGATATAAGGAAATCCTCTTGAAATAAGAGGAAAATAGTTAGAATAATATCTAATAAATTTTAGATGAGTGGTTCACTTTAATCGCTTTATTGAAAGAGGAATCCTTTTTCTGTAAAAGGCTTTGCTTAGAATATGAGACTATGGAAAAAATCACTTTACAAATAGAATATCTTTTTTTGGGTGCATTATTATTTAAACGTTCGGATCATGTAGAAATACAATTAAGGACAATTAATGTATTAATATATTGTCTCAGGTAAATTCAGCAGATTTGAAAGAAGTCGCCATAATAATTAAAGAGTCGATGGAGGATGTATGCCAACTTACTGTGCCATTACCTGTGAAAGTGAGAGTTGGCCCTGCATGGGGCGATTTAACTGATTATAAATTTTAGAGGTTTTTATCGTTACACTAAAACTTTTTTTTTCGTTCTATATATTTCTACTTTTATATATCTTTTATAATCAGTCACGCTGAGCTACGTATGAATCATGAGTCAATATTTACAAGTAGATGTTTTATATATTTATCTTTTTTATTTATAAAAATTATAAATATCCTTAATCTCGATTACCGCAATTTATCTGCGATTTACATTGTATGTAAATTACGGGGAATAGAGATCAGGATAAGATGGCAAAAATTGTAAACAATATTTATATATAGATATACAATGGAGATTTTTATATTTTCTATGTATTTGTATTTTTTATTACGCTGAAATACCTGCAAGTTACATTATCAATATTTAATGAAAAATATTGTAAAAAAATACATTTTACATCTCTTTTTCCTTGCTTTATAAGAATTCCCTTTCAATATGTTTTTAGGATATTCTTTAACAACTATGTCGTATAAAAAAATGAAACTAATGAAAGAGAAATTAAATTTACTATCCCAGAAAAATTCGCAACTCAACTGAATTAGTTTTTTAAATATAATAGTATAGTTTAAAATACTAGTCTATTATTCCGTAATAATTATATAACTTTGATGATTTTATTACAATTATTCAATTGTAAGCAATAAATATTTCTAGCAGTATAAAATAATTGTTCATATATTCGACAAGTCTCATAATCGTTCGTATTTTTCATATTACATCACAAGGCGGTGCTAACGACTGGTGCAATTTCGTTACAGCCGTTTGCACTATTTGCTGGAAAGTCTCGTCCTCCTTGCTGGTCACCTCCAAGTTTAAAAGATCGATATGCGCTTTCTTACCGTCCACCGTAACGTACAATTTTTCGCCCTTGAATATCTTGGGAACGGAATCCTCGCCGAACATCTCCTGCAACATCTCGATGAGGCATTCCTTGAAGTGCATTCTGTCCATTTTAGTAGGTGCAGGTAACATCTTCGGCGACTGATCCATTATTTCGGCTTGTAATATTGCAGTGAGAACCGAGTCTGCATACATATCGTTCACGGGCGTCGCTATCCATTCCATTGTCACGATCTTGCCGTCGATTGTAACGTCCACGTTTTTGAACACCCGCAGCTTCTTGTCGTCTATGACTTCCAAGTTGCCAGCTATCTGCGTCAATAAGTGCTTCAACACTGGCAATGAAGCGGAGAAATATACACTCTGCCTTTGTATCACTTGACTCATACTCATGTCGGTATACTTGGATAAGTCACACGGGGCTAGCATGTGATAATTGAAGTTCCTCTTCACCAACACGCCGGACAATTTCTGTCCAGGTTTGGGTGTCTCCATCGCCAACGTGCCCATCACTTTGGCAGTCTTCTCTCCCCGAAAATAAAGCTCCACCGCGACCGTGTTCCTTGGATTGTGTATCTCCATAGTCGTGTTGGGATCGTCCTCGTACTCTCGCTGTAGAGCCGCCTTCAAACGGCCCATCTCGTTCTGCTCACCGTGCACGAGCACCACGTGCGGCGGCTTCAATATACGTATAAATTCCGACGTTTGCTGATAGTCTGTGTGTGCTGAGAAGGATATGTAATCTACGGACATCTTTAGAGGTAATTTTTGTCCGGACATGGTAGTGATTTCTTCAGGTTCTGACAAAATGCCCTTGGCCAATGTACCCTCTACACAGTAACCGGCTATTATGACTCCGTTCTTAGCGTCTGTGCACCAGGACTCGAACAACTCCCTCGACAAGCCACTCTGCATCATACCAGGTGATGCCATTACCACACATGGACCAATGTCCTCAAAATGATCAATTCCTTTTAAATTTGATATATGCTTGAACACAAAAGGATTGTTAATGGCAATTTGCCGCCTGATCTTGTCGTTCATGGCGTTTACATATGTTTGATAGACTGCCATACATTTCTTTGCCAAGGAAGAAGCATAGTAGATTGGGATTTCATGCAATTCCGAATGCTGACCCCAATATTCATCTAAAATGAGCAGAAGTTCTTGTGCTCTTCCCAGTGCGAACACAGGAATCAAGCACCTGCCTCCTCTATTTACAATCTCATGTACAAGATTGGTGAATCTGCCTTCTCGATCCTCCCTTTTTTCATGGATGTGAGTGCCATATGTAGATTCCGTGATCAGTACATCAGGGTGAATATTCGGTATCTCAGCAGCCATTAGATGTCTGTCTTCTTGTCGGCTAAAATCACCGGTATACAAAATCTTCACACCAGCGATTTCTATCATGAACATTGCAGCACCCAATACATGACCTGCATTGTAGGCCCAGAACTTTATACCAAACACATCTTTCTCCTCATGAAAATTGATGGTTTCAATCTTGTCCATGCTAGTCTCCAGATCAGACTCTGTGTACAGCATCTGCTCTGTGGCTATATTGCTGACTTTGATATAATCTGACAATAGCCAGCGATATATAGCTTTAGTAGCGTGAGTCATGAAACAACGGCCCTTAAAGCTCGTTTTTTGTAAGAACCAAGGCAGAGCTCCACAGTGGTCCAGGTGGAAGTGTGATATTAATAGCAAGTCAATTTCATCGGCCTCAACCAGATCGACGAATGGAAGAGCATCCATGCCTGATAGACCAGGATGTATACCACAGTCCAACATAATCCTCTTACCTTTAAATTCTAACATGATACATGATCTACCGACCTCTTGACCGGCACCAAGCGGACGAATCGATAGCAAATCGCTTTCTTCAGCCGGCACTTGCGTGTCACTTTTTCTTTTCGTCATTTTAGCGTTAACAGTAAAGGTTGATTTCTTGAATTATCCTTACCACATGGGTCTTGCGACTTATTGATACCGGACCGCGTTTAGCGCAGTATTTTAAGGTTATCTCGCCGCTGCAGGTTAGTCAAAACTGTGACGGTTAATGCAACGACATAGTCAAAAAATAATATCAGAGTTCCTCGATTGTGTCGCTCGACGTCCTAGTTTTCATAAAATCCCACCGGTCTCGGGTAGTACGAAATATTTCATTGGAAAATAAAACAACAAAGGATATATGTATGCGCTGACTTCTAACGCAGATTCATTCATTCATTCAATTGGTCTGTTCTTTGTAGCTGCACTGTTGAACTGGTGCGATAAGTTAAAGTGAGACAAATATAGGTTTTCTCACTCTAGCTTATTGCACCAGTTCAGCAGTGCAGCTACAAAGAACAGACCAAATAAATGGCTGTGAGTGTACCCCTGTGATGTCAGATGCAATATATTGCAACGCTACAACGCATGCGTGAAAGACGTAGAACTCTATGCCAATGATGGCAATAAAGCGCATCGCAGGGTACATGAAAGGGCGTTATACCGATCAGCTGTCTTCCAGGCTCCAGCGTAGTTTTCCTGCGTTTCTTGCGCGAGTATCTTAGATTATATCTTAGGTTATATTTGTTCAGTGGATACTAAATAACACAGCCATTGGCTGCGTTCAGAAAACACAACAGTTAAGTAATTCGTCAACGTTATTGGTCTGAATGTAAGGATCTAACAGTAAGGACCAATAGTTACTAAGCATTCAGTGAGCGCTTTGTTTTCTGAACGCAACCATTGGTTTCGCCCCAAGAGCGCCCTATTGTATATTTAAGTACGAGTCTATCAAAACTTGTAACGTAGTCGACGCATGTGCAGAAAGTTGTGGAAGGAATAAATGTCTCCAACACTGTTCTCGAGAAATCCAACTTGCAACAACCACGGACATCTATTGGATATTAAACTTAATTTTAAGGGATTTTTTTGTGAAAATGAATATTTATTTCGAAACAAAATGATAAGTACATGTTATTCAAAGTATTGTCCATCGTTAGCAATTTCCTTGCTTTTGAACCATTCCCATCGACTTCAAACGCTTAGAGACGGCCATTTTGGTTACATTTAATGCTTCTGCCAATTTTTCAAGCGTTTGATATCGATCTTCGTCCAGCAATGTCTTCAACTCTTCGTCTTTAAACTTTTTCGGTTGACCAGGGCGTTCCTTGTCTTCCAAATAAAAATCTACATTTTTGAATCGCCTAAACTAGTACTCACAAGTTGACATCGATGGAGCATAATCCTCATAAGCTTCGGAGAGCAAACGAAGACTTTCAGCTGCCGATTTTTTCAAATGGAAACAAAAAAGTAACGCTTCCCGCAAATTGCGTTTCGTTGGCACAAAACTCGACATATTGAATGCGCTAAAAAAATATGTTATTTAAAATTCGACCAAATGAAATATATTGATTCTTAAAGCCTAATGACAGGGCTTTCATATGAAGTCGGCTGCAGTATGGGCCGATGCCATTAGGTACTCATTGCGCCATATCTTGTAAATCCTTTAAAATTAAGTTTAATATCCAATGGGTGTATTCAGTACTACAACCGCTCACTGAGCGCTCAATAAGCTTTTACATTTGATTGGTATATTTTTAATTTAGATTTTAGATTTAAAAATATATACCAATCAGATGCAAGAGCTCACTTAACGCTCAGTGAGCGGTTGTAGTACTGAATGCACCCAGTATATTACATTAAGGCCCATCTACAATGGCTGCAAGAATAAGGTTCTAAGCGTAAGCAGTAAGAAATAGACCAACCATAATCGATTATTCTTATAATAATCGATTGTGGTTGGTCCATTTCTTACTGCTTAGGCTTACAACCTTATTCTTGCAGCCATTATAGATGGGCCTTTAGACTGCTAACTCCCGTATTTCTCAAGATAATTTTGGACTCCGAAAATTGTGTGTTACATAGTATGAGTAAACGTCTGCACATACATAGCGTAAATGGTGAAGAAGACATGTAACATGGCCGATATTCATTATCTTTATGTGTATAAGAAATTACATATGTATATATATATTATTTTTTCATTTCAACTAATTGGACATTAGTATTTCACCACCTACGCATGCGCATGAGTTCAGTACATAGCTTTCGGAACCATATGGGCCAGAGACTTTTGCATAACGCATATAATACACAACGCATAAGAGAATCAACAAATCAGAGTTCTTCATTTCTGGCCTGAGAAGGGAAATGAAGAAAACTAATTGGTTTATTCTCTTATGTGTTATATATTATGTGTTATGCAAAAGCTTGTGCTCTTGTCCTATATTTTATCCTAGCAGAGAGAAGAAAGAGAGGTATCATGGGCCGCTTTTAGGCGAGCCAAGTGCGAAGCGCTCTCTGTGCACATGAACTAACGACGCCAGTGTCCACGATTCTTTACTGATTTCCCTTACTACGCACGCACACATAGCTGTTGGCTCGGTCTATTCGTGTGACACTAATAGACCGAGCCGGCTACGTGTGCGTACGTGGTGGGGGAAATCAGTAAGGAACCATAGACACTGGCGTCGTTAATTCATGTCTACGGTTGTACAGAGAGCGCTTCGTACTTGGCTCGGCTAAAAGCGGCTCATGACATCTCTCCTTCTTCTCTCTGATCCTAGTTTTAGCAATCTAGTAATAATATAGATGTCTGTGGCAACAATCCATAGCTTCTGTATAATACACTAAACTGCTAACTCCTATTGTTCTCCTTATGTATAAGTGTTGCCTATGTATATATAATGCGCGGAGCAGATGCGCAAAATACGGACGCGATTCTAAAGCCAGCGGCACACGGTGTTTGTTTTCGTGCTGGATTGCTTGCTGGATGAAAATACTGCGTTCTCATTGGTACATTTCCGATGGATAGAAATGCACCAATCAGAATGCAGTATTTTCATCCAGCGAGCAATCCAGCACGAAAACAAGCACTGTGTGCCGCTGGCTTTACCTTTCGAAGTGACACACGTATATGTAATTGTCGTTGCAATAAGCCCGAATGTGATACAAGTTTTTAATATCAGTTATAATTAAGAAAAAAATACGTATCGCGAAAAATAATATTGGTAAAATTACGGTAAGTAATAAGATACTCGTGTGTGTGCGTGATCATGAAAAATATATACATGGTATGTGAAATTATAAAATTTTGTTATTAAATTTTTATATAAATTGTAAATAAATACTCACAGAAAAACATGCCGAAACGGTAGCGCGCCTACAAAAGTATATAAAACTGTTTACTGCGCATCCCTTAGTCCGTATTCTACGCAAGTCGTACATACTTTTTGGCAACAGTTAAGCCCTAAATACAATGCCAGGCAACAGGCAATAAGAATAAAAATAGACCAATCACAATAGATTCTTCTCAATAGTCGATTATGATTGGTCTATTTTTATTCTTATTGCCTGTTTCCTGGCATTGTGTTTAGGGCTTTAAAGGGACACAATTAGCAGTCTAGTGTATTATATAGAAGTCTGTGCAACAACCTGATTTCTAGTGACATTTGGTCAAATAAAGACCTCACTAGAGACCAATCGCTTCAGCAGGATTCGTCCAACTACTGCTAGCGGCGCGTCAGTCGAGCTATCGAGGAATCCTAATCGGACGTAACCTCTCAAGGTTAGCAAGGCGATCGCGGCATGCGCACGGCTGTGACGGGGACTCGTCGGGGACTTGTCGGTACAAAGAGAAACAGCGAGAGAAACAGGTGTTTGTAATCGTTCGAACGTAGAGGGCCGCCTGCGAGATGGCAGGCGGCGGCGCTGCGATCGCCGTTGTTCGGTGTAGCTCTTGTTGCTCTCGTTTTCCCAGGCGGAATCCGCATCGCACGTCGCTGTTTTCTGTTGTGTTTTTGGGGCCGTGACCGGGACGGAAAAACATGCCGTTTCGATAATTGTCGCGAGCCAGGGGCGAGCCGTGTGCGTGCGAGTGTCGTGTTCCGTGCCGTGATTGCTCGCGCGCGCGCGCGCGCGCGTGTCCCGAACGTCGTGTGTCCCGTGCGCATTGTGCCGCGTGCCGCGTGCAGGTGTAATTTAATAAGCGCAGGCTGGGGTGGCAGGCTGGCTGGCTGGCTGGCGATTTAACAGGATATCGATTTGTCTGCTGGTGGCGGCGGCGGCGAGCGTAGTGCCGCCGCTGTGTTGTGCCGCTGGCTCCGCATTGGCAGCGCACACACCGTCGCGTCGTTACGGCCGTCAGGCGTGTTACGGGGCAGCCATGGACGTCGATATTTTTGGGGCACAGCAGTCTGGTGGTAGGTCGGCGGTTGTAACGTGTGCGTGCGTGCCCGCGTCGTGTCTGATAAGCGACGAGATGTGACGCGAGGGTCGTCCCGGCGATTATTCCCCCGTTTCACGTCACGCGTCACACGCAGAGAGGAGCGGCCGGAACGGACGGCTGAGAGGCGCACGGACGAAGGCAGAGACACGGCGTAAAACACACGACGTTGCGACGTTGCGGTGCGGAATCGGATCGGATCGTGCTAGACTGGATCGGACTAGAGCGGGGACGGCGGATGCCTGGTGCACGGGATCGTCCGTTAGTCGTTCATCGTGTCGTCGGCTCGACGTAGAGCAGCGGTCTTCCTGAAAGCTGCCAGCTTGTTACTCGCTACGTGTATAAAGGAGCAACTGGTGCAACGATGGAGCTGAACGGCGCAGGGGCGCCCGGTGTCGGGGCCGTGGCTTGTCCTGTGTGCACCTTGTACCTACGTGAAGGCATCAGTCTACAGAAGCATCTGGACACACATCCCAAGGAGCAAGTAATAGATGCTCTCATCAAAGCCAGTTCCTCCTCATTGCATCCGTATCAACAGTATCAACAACAACAGCAGCAGCAGCAACAGACTCCATCGACAGTGTCCACACCACCATTAGTACCGCTGCCACAAGCTGCACCTCAGGGTCACGCTACCATACAGACGCCTCAGGCGTCATCCCAGGTATCGCAAAATGCACATATCCCTGCTCATTCTCCGTACCCCATAGGACCCATCTTTGAGTGCCCGCCTATAAGCACAATGATGCCGCCGCAGTTTACTTCGTTTAGTTATCAGCAGTTTGTGAACAACGGGACCATGATGATACCACAGGCATACGCTATGGCGCCACAGAATAATCAGATGATGCAGATGTTATACAGTCCGTACGGTATGTACCAACAGCAACAGATACCCACCGTCCAAATGATCTCACCAGTTACAGCTATTCCTGGCGCGACTAGAATCAGACCGATGGCCACAATGGCCACGGAGAGTAGCGTCAGAACGACCTTGGCGGTTCCTATAAACAGTCCCGAACCGAAGCAGATTCTACCTGAGATTCTGCCGGAACCCGAGCCGGAGTCCGAGACCGGACAGGTCTTGTCGGACGTGAACATACCAGCTTCCCCTCTGATGGGAACTGTGGCGGACGAGGACGCGACGACCGTCAGACGAGAGGAGGCTGACGACAGCGCGCTGCAAATGGATCACAGAGTGCAGCAGACGCAAAGTTCGACGCCTCCCAGCGAGAGCACAGTGCAGCACGAGTACAATAGCATTCCTAGATCCATCGCGATCACTTGCGCTATAAACAATAGCAGTGTAGACGATAAAGTAGAGATGGTGCTACCGGATATGCAGGACGAGGAAGAGGAGGAGGAAGAGGACGAGGAAGAGGAGTTGGAAATTGTAGCCACGGACTTACAATGTGAAACCGTGGCGTACGAGCAGCCGGAGACGCAGCAGTTCACGCAACAAGTTACGGAAGAGGAATATGTGAGCGACGACAAAGAAGTCGACATGGCAGGCGACACGATTGATTCCATGGCTTGCGAGCATGAGAATGCGGAAACAGCGAGCGGCGAGAGACCCGCGAGTTGCAGCCCCGTCAGCGAGAACGTTCCGCCGTCGCAGGAAGCTACGGAGGGAGACGAAGCGAAAGAACCTGTTCAACCCGAGGTGGAGCAATTGGAGAATCTTTTAATAACTATGATGGAGACGGAGTTCAGCGGTACTTCGCAGAAAGAAGGTAACGGCCAAAATGGCCAGGAGGAGAAGCCGGACGAGAAGGAGAAACCTACGGTGGACCGAATGGAGAGTGTGATTCACGACACGGTGATGACGACTCTTGGCTGCCACGAGAATGATCATATATTGCCCGACATACAGGAGAACGATACGGAGTGCCCGAACGATTACGTAGAGAATGAACTAGATAAAGGCTACTCCTATCGGCACAGGCACGTCAGATCGGCACCGCCGTCTCCCGTCACGAGGAAGGAGCCTGTCTTCAGGGAAGATACCGTCAGCTCCTTGCGCCACGGGACCTATTTGGAGCGTCCGCGAGTCGGCTCGTGCGATAATCTCATTTTGTATCTTCGGGAGGATGACGAGAAGATAGACGAGGAGGACAACTTCGACGAGGCGGACATGGAGATCGAAGAGATCCCCAGCCCGCATACGCCTTTCGCGAGATATGGCAATAACGCAGAATGCGTCAGGTCGCATACACCGTTGTCCGCGATTAGTGGTATATCTGTATTAAGAGTCAGGACGGATCTCAGCAAGCCCTGTTCACCCGCGTCCGTGCACTCATTCTGTCACGTGGATAGTGATAGCTTGAGCCACGACGAGGACAGTAACAACGGAGTAGATAATAATATCGTAGAGAAAGACCCAATTGACTGTTCTCAGGTTGAAGAGAAAATTAAGACTGATCATCAGCAGCAAGCGATGAGCGCGGAGTGCGAAAGTACCGAGAATGTCCAGGAGTCGAGTTACGTGTATCATCATCAGTCGGTGATAACCGAGCACGTCAGTTCGTTTCCTGTAAATCATTCTCAGCAACAGCAACAGCAGCAGCAGCCCGTCTTAACGCACGAGTCGTATTCCATGACCAGCTCCAAGACACACAGCCTGTTAAATTTGTCCGAGTCGATCAATCCCACAACCAGTACCGAGTCCAAGAGCTTTCACTCCACCACCAAGTCACTGATGCCGAAACAATCGATGGAGTTACTCAATATCAATGAGGACGCTCACGCCGGGCCGATCAATGTTTTTGAATTTGAAGGACTACAGATAATAGTTCCTAGTACATTTATAAGTGACTCGTCCCAGAAAGCAGTAAGTGCAACCAGCCAGCAGTCTATGGCGAGCAGCGAGGGTGCAGTAGGTATCGATGAAGAAGTGAAGAGTATCAACATGCGAGCCGACGAAACCATGCCGCCCAGAGGTGAATTGTCGGAACAAGAGAGCAACGGATGTACAGAGCAGTCTGCATGGCAGGTTTGTCAATGCTATCAGATTCTCTCTCTCTCTCTCTCTCTCTCTCTCTCTCTCTCTCTCTCTCTCTCTCTCTCTCTCTCTCTCTCTCTTTCTTTCTCTCTCTCTCTTTCTCTCTCTCTCTCTCTTTCTCTCTCTGTCTCTGTCTCTCTCTCGATACTTCCATATAAATTTTAGTTTTATAAAATTCAAAATTTCAGTTGGTTCTTAAATTTTTAACGTATTGAATCTTTTTTTTATTGTTCTTTATGTTTTTCGTCTGTACACGTTCGTACATTCTTTTAATTTTTTATTTATACTCACACATATCCGTATGCGCACACATTACATGTTATCTTTCTTTTGTAGTCTTTTTGAAATGTTTAATACGTGAAGTGTGTTTGATTCGAACGTTTTAACTCGTAAATGTACTTCACGGATCTTTCCGTAAACAAATTTGCATGTAATTAAAAGAAAGTGTATGTTTTATAAGAAAAAAAGTACTTAATTTACAATGCTTGTAAAGTAATGCTATTATTTTTATACAAAGATTTTTTTCAATTTCATCGTTTTTTTTTAAGTAACTATCCTAGCAGATAATACGCATATTATACTCTGCATATAAATTAATCAATTGTCATTAAGGACTTTATTACATAAATATCATTTAGAAATGCGATAAGATTTTTTTGTTGTTATTTATTTATTGTTATATTATGTTTGGCTTATTAAGTAAAAATATTTAGGCTTAAGGGGATTATTATACTATTATACTTAAAAACTTTATCCACAGGATATTGACGTTTTTTTGCAAAATTTACCTTGTATCGATTGCATAGTATTATAAATTCTTTGTACAATAAAAATATGTGAAAAGGTAAATTGGAGCATTACTCAACATGTAATGAAAACAACAAAAAATTTTAAACTTGACATCTTGAGTTGTCAGTATAAAAGTCTGACACAAAAGTAGTTTGTACATACCGAAAATATGTTTATTCTCCGTAACAAAAATTTCAAAGAACATTACTACATTTTTACAATTGAACCTAACTGAAAAATATATGAAAAATTTACAAAAAGTTTTCTATCTATTCACGTGCATTTTTCTATATGCATTTTTAAGTTTTTCATTTATTAAAACAAAGCAAGACACATGTATATGGAATATATACATGAACATCATACAAACATATATATGAAACATGTATGTTAACACTTATTTGACAACAAAAACAGACTTCATCAAAAGCCGTACAAAAGACAATAATAAAAAATAATGTGTTTCAAAGACTCTTCTAAAAAATTGTTCAGAAATAGATTTATAGAAAAATACCAAGTTCTTCAGATTGAGACAAATATTGGATATTTATCAAAAACGACATTTATAAAAATCATTAAATAAATAAAGCAGGAAAATCATAAAATAATTATATTTCAATATTTTTTCAATTACACACACACACACAACATAATAAATAATATATAATAAAATAATATATATATATTTATATAATTGTGGGAGATTATAATGAGTAGTATTATTATAAAATAAATAGATGAATGATTTGATTTAGGACTGTTACAAAAAAAGATATTTGAAAAGCATTTCTAAAATTCACTAAGTAATCGGATTGTTTTCTTTTTAAGAGGTAATGATTTATGTTGTTGGTTTCTTTTTACATATTACAGGTTTTATACTAGCTTTATTAATGTAATTGATAATAGTTATATATATACATTGAGATATTCAGATAAAAAATTGAAGAACAACTTAACATCGGGACTTGGCATGTGCATGGGTCATATTAAAAAGTACTCATCTGTAAAACGTACATATTGCAATTGAATTATATTAATCCTTTGAATGTGTGCAGAGAGTAGAGAGCGCAACGAAAAATCCTTTTAGCTGCTGGAATATTAAAAAATAGGCTACTCGAAAATATCGATTTTTAACTTGGCATATTTATTATACATGTACAAAGAAATATATTAAAGATATAATGATTGATGATACAGAATGATTCAGAAAGATCATATCTAAAACCCTAAACACGTTTTTCTCGAAACGTGTTTTCAAAATTGACGTGTAAGATTTTTCGAAGATTGTTTAATTATTTGATTTCATACTTCCCACATATCTTCAATATTAGTAGACATGTAAAATAGCGGCAATAATCGCTAGTAGAAACGAAGTGATTTTGTAAATATGTGAAGAAAAATGCTCTAATTTACATTAATGTATTTATATTTAAATTGACACATACACACACACACACACACACACACAGCTTCATGGCGGAAATGATTTACATACTTGTTAAAGAGGACGTATTACTACTAATATTTATAACTATATTTAGTACTCTTTTGCATAACTAAATAAAACTCATAATCTCAATCGCTACATGTCAGCCTTCGACGACAGCTCGTGTGCGATTTTTTCAGCTGTTTTATAGACTCCTTAAGAAACATCGTCAATCAATTCTTCTCTTGTTTTTCGACATAACTCTTTCAGCTCTGATTTCATATCAAGTACATGGGCACAGCACTGTCTTCTTTCTTCAGAATTATCGTTCCGATAATTCCAGGAAGTTCCAAGGAACACGACTATGATCCTCTTGTTCCGTAGTGTTGACTCCAGGACACCAAAACGACTTCCTGTTCTTCTCTAAGCTGCTCCTGCAGGTTATGACGAGCACCAATCTTCCAAGTCTTAGTCACACTATCCCGGATTTAGAATTTAACAGACAGAACCTGTACAGTATGAGATTCTTTCAAATATGTCTTTTTCTTAAACCGTCCAAGATGTTGGATTCAAGGTACTAAGATGATTTGCTGCCCCAATCTAAACTGCTGCTTCAGGCTCTACGAGTTCCGTCCTTTCAGGTCCCAATAAATTCAAATATCTTCTAGGAAACAGAAAAAACTGACGTTGATCCTCCTCAAGCTTCATATCTTATTTCCCATGTTCCTTAAACTCTTCTCTTCTCTCCTCGAACTCTTGGTTTTCGAACAATAAGGAGTACTTCTGTGGACCTAACGTTTTCTTTTAAAGATACTCCAAGTTCCTGCCTTGCCCTGCATTCGTCTGATGCCCCACGGAAAAAACACGGTTAAAAACCATGGGAAAAGTCTCTTCTTAGTAGTCTTCTTAGGAAGATCTTCTAAACAATCTTCATAGACAAGGATAAGGTGTTCGAATCCACCAGGAGAGGCCAGAGAGTCGTTATTTCTTTTCGCAGTTTCTGAGAGTTTTATCAAATTGAACGGAAGTCTAAGATCTTGTTCCAAGCACATCTCAATAGGCGAAAAAGTCTGTAGTGAATTCATGCTTAGCAAAACGATAAGATTTCACTTGGTCATTCGACTGAGGATGCAAATTCTAATAACCGTGTTGACTCTTGGAACAATTGGGGTTCGAAACCTTTTTCTTGATCTATGATCTATTGATGTGGAGTTCCAAGGGACACAAAAGTCTCCAACACCATGAGCAGCAGGAGGAAGTCCAAGAATATTCATTTGCAACCTTTCAAAAGATAATTCTACGTCGCCCTGTTTCTTCTCCATATACAAACAAGGAAATAGAAGTATCATTTATTTAATCAATTCTCCATTGGGCAAAGTTTCCAACTCCGCCAAGCAATCCGGCCAAGCATTTTCGTCTTGTTTGCGGCTTCTCTGGATTCTATTCTGGCGCAATAGTCACAAAAGTTTTGACATGTTTAATGAGAAAAGAGGGTATAGTTGATGTTGTTAGTACTTGCTTTAACTTTTCGAAAGCCTGTTGACACTGTTCAATCCAACAGAATTTATTTTCAAATTTGCTTTCCGAAGCCTGGAAAACACCTCTCGGAGATTCTTCATCATTCCTTGAAACGTAAAACTGAAAACAATTACATCGTCTAAATACACGAGGTAAAATTTGAAAACGTCGTGACGTGTGTCGTCTAGCGGTGCAACGGTGAAACTTTGAGTATTTTCGTGGTCGGTGCTGTGCGGCGACAGTGCGTACGACGAAGATCAATCTCGATCTATGCGCCATGCTTTCGCCGTTAACATTAGGAAATTGATGTTGTATGCTGTGGGTCTTTGTCTTGTTGAAAAATGAAATAATTTCCGGAGCAATTATGAGTATAAGGCAGTGTTGTATGTTTTTTATATATCTTTGTACTGAAATTGATTCATAATTCCGTTAATTTATCGTATTTGGTTCTGGTCGATTTCGAGAAAAAATGTTTACAACATAATATTAAGTTGGTGCAAAAATTGCGGTTTGTATCATTTTAAGTTTGGCGCCGATTTTTCTAGTTATCTTTTCCAATTACCGTTATCTTTTCCAGAATTCTATCTTGTAGGAATAAACAAACTTGTTTCCCATTAGGAGAAATATATACAGGCTAATGGTCTTTATTTTAATGAATATAATTTTTAACTAATATATGCGTCTTTATACTCGATGCGTAAAAATCGGAATTATTTTTACACCAACCTAATATTTCCACCGCCATGTTTGATTTTGAATACAAGTCTTGTACGACGTCTACCATATCGTATTCCATCGGATGTCAAACGATTGAATTTTGATCTATTAGAAAACATTACTTCTCCTCAATTCTTCGGTATTCGATGCGGTATTCGAACTTCAGTGAAAATAATTCTCAATTTCCGATTTCTTGGGCTCATCACTGGCTTTTCTACGCAATTTGTCCATTGAGTCCCTTGAAAACGTCTTCTAACAGTTTCAGCATGAATTTCTATGTCAATTATCCGACTTTCCGCTACAATATCAGTAACTATACTTTTTCTTGCTTAAGCGATGAAATCTTCAATTCATTTTTATAATAGTTTTTCGTAGTCGGCTGATTGCAACATGAATTAGTCTTTTAAAGTTTGCACCATGGCTGCTTGCAAATCGTTTCTGATCGATTTGTAGTATTCGCTATCTTTAAAAATTTTCTTTAACATTGCAACGAGCTTTTTTCTTCTGGACTTAAATTCCAATTTCTATCAATATTTTTATACTTCATATGTACATGGTAATAATAAATAATAATAAATAAATGATAGAGGCTATATTAGTAATTTTTTTATACGCACTTTTGTATGTATATCTTGTTCGAAATCTTGTTATAAATTAATGCCGTTAAGAATTATATCAGCCATGGCAAACGTAAGAAAAACAAATACTGCTTATTCATGAAGATTACTCTTTACCTATCGAACAGTTTCCAAGTATGAATATAAACATTTTAGCTATACATATATAAATATTTTAGGAGAAAAGAAACATACAATCCGCATGCATTTAGAGTTCAGAATAAACGTCTCAAATTCATGTCTGCTACCCCTGATTTCCTAAAATTTTCAAATTTAATACTTTTCCGTTGTGAGAGGTTGCTTCTTTTGGCAGGAAGTATGTAATTTCCATTTTGCACCGACGTCATTTTCTTAATTTGCAATTTCTCAGTCCGGCCCGGAGTATGCGCCTTTGATATAGATATATCGAAGATATGTGGAAAGTCTTGAAGTCAATCGGGCCAATAGTCTCTGAGAAATCTTGCATGTCGACTCCGGAAACATAGTTTCCAGAAAAATGTGTTTAAAATATGTTGTCAGATAAGATTAACATACGATAAGACAGATAAGCACCAACACGATCGTGCTACCCCTTTTGTGTATCATGTAGATACATATGTTGTTTTGTTTCACTATATTAGGTGCAATGGAAACTTGATGCAGACTTTTCGTATTTGAGCTTTTCTGGGCGAAAAAACACGCTTTCAACATGTACAAATCGCAAAACTTTTATATTGGGCAGATGTTTATACCAACTAATGGGGGGCTCGAGATGCTGAAATGTCGTTTTTGTTACATATTGAGCAGTGCTTCAAAATTAATTTCTGTATGTATTTTTATTATATAAAAGCATTCGTAATTCTGTGGAACATCAATACGACGTTAAGCTTGCAGAAAAAGATTCAGTATTCTGTTGGTAAGGTTTTCAAGTACGGCATTCCCTTAATCTACTTGGAAACGTTTGTTATTTTATCGTAGTCGTTATTATTATAAAAACCTTCAACATTTTTATATTTTATATATTATTTTTATATTTTTATATTATTTTTATATTTCTATATTTTATATTTTTATAATATTTATATTATTGTTGTGTATACACAAGTGTTGTGTAACAATATGCCAATGATCTTGCATGTTTGATAAGATAGAGAAAACGTTTTGTTGCTATATAAAATAATATATAGAGTATCTCTAAAGTCAGACCCCATCCCTTGGAAACGGCTTTAAACATGGGAAAATGTTTCAGAAAAAGTTGTAAAAAGTTGAAAAACAAAAGTTGTACGATTTCAAAAAGGACACATAACAACTATATCATTTAGAGAGCCACTTCTGAGATATTCACTGATCATTATGTTTCTTAAACGGAAACCTCAACTTTTTATTATGCCTTTCTACTAATTAACTTTAACAACTTTTGTTTGAGATATTTTGTTATTTGCTTAATATTTTTTGAGATATTTAAGAAAAACTTGGTAACTTTCTCAATATTTAACTTATGATATCTCACTAATTATTTGCCGGAAGAAAAAATAGTACTAGACCTTTTTACTCTATTTGGTCTCAAGAATATTGTTACAATAGTGCCCTAACTTTTGTTAACTTATCAACTTTTGGAAATTTTAAAATCATCAAATTAACAAAAATCAGGGCGCTATTGTAACAATATATTCTTGAAACCAAGTAGAGTAAAAAAGTCTAGTACCACTTTTTCTTCCGACGAACAGTTAGCGAGATATCGCAAGGTAAATATTGAAAAAGTTACCAAGTTTTCCTTAAATATCCCAAAAAATATTAGGCAAATAAAAAAATGTTTCAAACAAAAATCATTAAAGTTAATAGATAAAAAAAAGAAGACATACTAAAAAGTTGGGGTTTCCATTTAAGAAAAGTAATGATTAGTGAATACCTCGAAAGTGGCTATCTATAAAATGATATAGCTGTTATAATATGTCCCTTTTGAAACCATACAATTTTTGTCTGAAACATTTTTTATATTTAAATCCATTTCCGAGATTCAGGGGTGAAGTCGGCGGACTTAGGAGATACTCTGTTATCGGTTAAATAGATAAATAGATAAGGTAATTTATTAGAAATACATCTAACAAATATGGGATAAGTTGTACGAATTGAACAGTAACAAATGAAACATTGGTACGTGTCTGTACAACTACAACTTTCTTGCCACAGCTAGCCAAAATATAAATTGCAAAAGAGGAGGACAATTTAAGAGGGCAATAGAGATAGGAGAATGATCACGTAGTTGTTTGAAATGTCATGGTGCATATTGGCATGGTATGTTGCACTTCTAAATAATATATTTGTTCCATAGCTGTACATGGGACAAGAATCCTCACGCATGTCCACTTCTTACGACCTTCTGGCACGGGAAAGCTGGGAGGAATCCGAAGGATCCGACAACGAGATCAGTGGGCCCCTACTGGACAGTAGATCGTTGGCCACGCACTTCACGTCGAGTTTGTTTCTGGACCGGGATCGGAAGACACCGACGAAACGGACGTTCAAGTGTTATCATTGTAGCGAGGTATTCGATTGTCCTAAGGAACGCAGAGTTCACATGACTACGGTGCACAAGGGAGCGGTGCCTAGTAGCAGTAGGGATCAGTTAGAACAGCCGGAGGTGAAGGACATCAAGTTGCTCGACAATCGGATGAACGTGTTCGACGACATATTCGTGCCGGGTTTGCACGTGCAGCAGATGTATCATCAGCAGCAGCCGCTGCTGCATCAGCTTCAGCCGCCGCCGCCGTCGGACCTGGGCAAGGCGGAGGCCGGAGATCAGAAGATCGACAATCTAGCGATACCGTCGACCATCGAGGTAACCTGCGCGATATGCAGCCAACGATTTAACAGCGAGAAGTCCCTGCAGGTGCACCACAAGCGTATGCACATCGCCGAGGTGAACAAGCGTATTCGCGAGAACGCCAAGTGTCAGATATGCAGCGAGGAGTTCCCGACGGTGTTCCTCTTCAACGCCCACCTGAAGATACACCCACTGGAATGCAGCCAGTGCGGCAAGTACTTCTACAGAAAGCAGAACTTCAAGCTCCACATGAAGCGTCACCTCGGCATCAAACCGTTCCCCTGTACCGTGTGCGACAAGGCGTTCCTGACTAAGCAGAAGCTGGACGAGCACACCAACGGGCACACCGGTAACGCCCCGGTCAAGTGTAGCCTGTGCAACGAAACCTTCCGTAGATATTCGAACTTAACGCAGCACAAGAACCGGCACCACCTCAACATCAAGAAGAAGCTCAAGGACTACATATGCCACTGCGGCGAGGTGTTCCACACGAAGAAGAAGCTGGCCTGGCACAAGGAGACGCACGACGAGAAGCCGAAGGCGTGCACGTACTGTAACGAGAGATTCATTCACATGGCCAGTCTCACGCGTCATATGCGTCGCGCCCACAACCGGCGATTCGTGCCCGACGCTCAGCGCGAGAGCGAGAACGTCGAGTGTCCCATATGCAAGTGCATCTACCTGCGCTCGTCGTTAGCGGTGCATATGCGCGTGCACAACGGCGAGCGACCGTACGAGTGTCAGGTATGCTCCAAGGCGTTCAGCACCAAGTGGAACCTGCAGTTGCACAAGTGGACCCACGCGGCGCGCAGCACCAAGCCGTTCAAGTGTAATCAGTGTAGCGCCGCGTTCTACCGTCACAGCGACTACACGGCGCACATGAATTCCCACCGCAACGTGCGACCGTACACGTGCAACTACTGCGGCGCTCAGTTCATACGGAAGTACAACTGCCTGCGGCACGTGAAAGAGCACGAGGAGAACAAGGCGTACACGTGCGACGTGTGCAACAAGACCTTCCATCGCTCGTACTATCTGAAGGAGCACCTGCGCGTGCACTCGGGTGCGCGGCCGTACACGTGTCACATCTGCGGCAAGACCAGCGGCACCAAGTCCAATCACAACAAGCACGTTAGGATTCACCACGCGCGCGAGCCTGTAAATACCGAGAACTAAAGAAGGCGGACATTAGACCCTTCGTCGCTCGCGCTCGCGAGAGTTCGGACCTCTCTTCCCTTGTTTTCTTCTTTACGTAGCTCGAGACACGTCGGACTCGGCGCGCTGTACTTACAGCGGTAAGCGGATGTTCAGGACTGGATGATGATGACGGGACTGTTTTCTCTTTGTATCGGCCAGCATGATTGGCACCGCCCCGCGCGATCTCGTCTCGACTCTTCAGGAGTCAGACAATCGGAGTTGCGGAGATCGTAAGCCCGATCGTCAATCGCTGTCTTTAAATGGTAATTCGATTCAGCCTGAATCACACAGAGGGATCCGCTAACTCGTTCGCGATCCGTGTTCCTGCTCGAAGTCGTAGGCATAATTACGAAAACGGGAAACAAAATTTAGTTTAGATTAGCGCTAAATAGGTGGCGCAACTGGCCGTCGATGTAATCGAATGCAGCTTTCAATTGAGGTAACAAATACACATACACACACACATACACGTGCGTGCATTCGTCAGACGGGGAAGACGCAATAGCGTGTACGTGTACACGCGCTGATAACAATGAAAAGATTAAGTCACTGTAACGGTATCCGTGTGCTGAGTCTGAAGCGCTGGGTCTACCGTCGGGATTTTTATTCGATTTTCCACGAACATTACGTTATATATACGCGTCCGACGTTTTTAATATCATCATCCTGAAGCTACATATAAATCTTTTATATATCCAAAAGTGTCTTATAAATAGCAGCACTTTAAGCATTACCGATTTGCCATACGTTGCATGATCCGAGAACATGATATTGATTCGTCGTTCGTGTGGTTTGAACAAGTTGTGTGCAATACCATTTTCTAATGTGTGCCGACGATCTCGAATAACAATTTCCCTCGTCGTTGAAACTCGCTACATTCTTGAGTTCTCTGATGTGTATAATTTTATTGTATAGAATTGTAATTTTTATTACTCCTCAATTATTTGGAAAACTTCTAACTAAAAATTACTTAGTAAGTCTGTCTACTATTTTTTTTTTTTCTTATATCAGGTGTATGCAAAAATTTTAGTTTTTTTTCCTTCTGCCTTCTGATGTTTTTACTTTAGATTGAAATGTTTTCCCGCTGTTTTGTGTTCCTATAAAGTTGGCATTGAACTTTCTAATATTCCGTATTCATAGTTAGACCTTATATTTGAGGCCTCCTTATATCCATCTTTAGATGCTGCATGGATTATTTTATTGGCTACAGACCATTTGAAGATAAACTTAAGGAAGCCTTAAATATAACGCCTGACTATGAATACGGGTGTAAAATACTATTCATTATGATTTATTGGTGCACCTTAACCTTCAAAATAGGTGATACAATGAGCGATGAAAAACTTTATATTCGACATTGCATTTCTGGTTTGATCACTGATGATACAGAAAGCTGTCTGCCCTTATCTGTAAATCTGCATTTAGGATTATCATACATAATCCACTTTTCATCACTGATAACAATGTTGAAGAAAAAATCTTTCTTGCGCTCTCTGAAAAACAGTAAAACACACGTATTCAACCGGATAATGTTTTGCGACATAACTCATATTGCATTCACTTTCGAGCCTCCTCCTCATTCATCTCCTGAATTTTTCACTTTTTATGCAATCGCCTTGAAACTATTGCTTGATCAACCTTGAATCGTTCTGCAAGTTCTACTTGCGTTTAGGACAGCTTTTCATTCAATGACGCTTCTAAAATATCGGCCTTTCATGACGTTACAGAGCGCGGATATCAAAATCATTGTTTTTAAAGCGATGAAAGCAATATTTGCACTGTGGAACGCAATATTTTCCCAAAGAACAGAACAAATGGGTTCACGTGCTTTAGCAGCATTTTTTCCTGGCTGGAATTCATATCGAATGCAGTGTCGTATATAAAGGTTTTCATCGCTCATATTGCATCAACTTTTTTCTTCTGATACAATGATCAATATAGATCACCATTTATCAACCACCATTATATCAACTGTTATTTTTAAGGTAATGAATCATAACGAATGTTTTGGAAAGTTCAATACAAACCTTAGAAAAACACAAAGCGGCAGGAAAATATTTAAATTAAAAAAATTATTACATTAGACGGTTGAAAAAAAAGACAAACTTTTGCATAGACCTAATGGATTCTTTTATTTTTCAATTACTTGTACATTTTGTAGATTTTTTATAACTTCAATTACTTGTCTCTGTGTACTACATTTTTCATAGATTCTTATAATTTTAGCAGGAATTTACGTATCAGGAATTTATATCAGTGTACAATATAAGCAATTGTCATGCTTAACATCCGTCTGTCGTGTTAAATAAAAAAAAGAAGAAAAAAAGAAAAAAGGATGTATCGGCTAAACACACTTTCGACGATCGAGGGAAAATTTTTATCGAGCAAATCAATACTTTGTAAATTCATGATTACTGATTTTACGCACTATGATGTTTCGATGAATGTTCGTTACGTATAAATTGTAATACATACTCAATTCGACTACATTATATATAATATTCGTATATATATGTCGCTCTTCTGGCGAAAGAAGAGTGTTCACTTTATCTTATTAAAACTTTTCTTTTCTCTCTTTATTTATTATATTGCTATTGAATTTTTTTGTTTTATCGGTTTTTTTTGTTAACGGTTGAATACGGTTAGATATTTATAATTTCAAACGATAATAAACATTTTTTTTGTATGTGCGTATAACATTTATTAAAATTGTATGTTAAATTTTTCAGTTTATTCTGTATTAAATTTTCGCATTATTCAGTTTAGGTTGCATCAAAATGTGATTTAGTTTTGACGACACAAAATTAAGTTAAGTTAATAAGTTGTTATTTATGATATATAATGAATATATCAGGCTATTCCTCATTATTATACCGGATTGGTATTTTATTCGCGTTACGTTACGTGCTACTTTTTTTTCCTTTTATTTTTCAAATAATTACGTACTATGTAGGTCCAGTGACTTGAGACTTCAATTAGTTAAGATAATGAAATTTTTAATGAAAATTAACTAATATATCGTCTCAATGACAAGGTAGTTCCTGCGAAAGGAGGGCTACGCAATTGAAACACGTTTGCCAACTAAATAGTAATTAATTATTATGTAAAAGTATTATAAATCGATCCATTAATACTTACAGAAGTACGAAACACTTTTACGTGTCGATGGTTGTAAAAAAATTTTTCTTTTTTTACGATATCTATATCTTTACGTGAGGTGTGCATGTTGCAAATTCGCGCATCGTTGGCGAATATAGTAAGTGTGGAACGGCTCGTATTTAATTGCGTTCAATTTTCTACGCAAAAGGGCCTATTAAAACTAATATTATCACTACCGACTATCACACAATAGTTGCGAATCTTAGTTTTTATTCTTCTATATTTATATATTTTGCAATGTGTAAGGCCGTATTTTTTATTGGTTACTATATATAATTCCAAGACTGATCGGTGTTGGTCCTTCGTATATTGCTCTCTAATACAAATCAAATATAGTTACTTTTATCAGCATTTTAATTTTATGTCGCTATATCGTTGCACGATAATTCGCCTGAATTATCAATATCGTGTGTTCGTGTACACGACATCGATGATTGAAGCAAATATACGTGAGTACGAAAAGCGAGGAACACTTCAACATCCGAAGAAACGCGAAAGACCGGTGATTTAAATTTAAAAATGTTATTCAGCGCCTTCTTGTTATTTTAACGTAAGGGAGCAATGTTGAAGACAGGGTATAAAGCTGTCTGAATATGTGTATTGGTGGTCATAGATGTTACTGAATGTGTTTGATTAATTTTCTACAAATCGTGTGCTAAAACGAGTTCTAATTATTAATTTTAGGAAATCAATAGAAAATTGATATAGAGATAAAAAAGATAAACGCTTGTGAGAATTCGTTCGTGGATATTTGAATAACTAATTAAATCTGAAGGTGTCAACATAGCGCTAAAAATTTATACGATAATACAGTGCAACATTTTGAACGTTTACGTGTAGTATAATGGAAATTTTTGTTTGAAAGATGTTAACCCTTTGTACTCGAAATGATTGTCATCATCTAATATTATGTCGGATACTTCTTGTAAGAATGTGCAAACATTTTTACTTTTGCTATTCTTACGAATTATGGAACACTGCTCAGCTAAGATTACAACTTGTTGTTAATTAAAATAGGCAAATAATTGAAGAGAATAATATTAAAAAATGTTGTGGATACGCATACATATTAAATTTGGACAGAGAATATCTCGCTAGTTCTAGAGAATATAGATTGTGCACCGATACAAACAATCACACACTGAAAACAAATGCGAATATGTGGATGTGATAAAATATGGAAAGAATGTAATGTCTGTCTGTGTAATGTTAATACGAGAATCATTAAAGTAGATGTAAGATATCGTTATAAAATGTATTCGAGCAGTGTGGAAGTGAAAGTAAGTGTGATTGACGGTAAACGAATTTAATTTTTTTTTGTCGCAAGGTTCTATTCGTGATAGAGTTGTACATTATGACTAAGGACAAATTTAATATTGTATGAGCAACTTTGTATGAAAGAACTTGTAATTTCTAACTTCTCGCAGCTCTAGTCTGTACTGGATAAGAATAACTAACAGAAAGACAGAATATCCGAAACTAAATTCTTTGCAATATAACACATAATATTATACACAGAATGTCTTAACAGACGCGGATAATATTTTAATCTCAACTTGGTTTGTCAAATTTTGAATCTTACTAATTATCAAAAACAAGAAAACTCAAAGATTTTAAGTTTTAAAAATACAATTTGATAATGTAATATTTTTTATTTAATTGTTCATTCAACTCAAAATGGATTTTAATTCAGTTCTGATGATATTGATATATCTGATATCTAAATTAAAAAGAGACATGTCAGAGAAAATGATCTGTCTAAGAATTTTTACTGAACAAAATCAATATCGAACTCATCAGATCTATATAAGTGTAGATTTCTAAAATATTAATCGCACGTCTTGGGATACCCTGTGTATAGTCTGTATATATTTGGAATATTAAAACTTTGCACACAATATTCGCATGTCATAATCAAGCACAAAGGGTTAAATTATTTCTCTCTTAATCATCAATACATGAGATAGAAATACATTAATGTTCTTTAATAACTAATTAATTCCTTTGTTTATCTATCAAATTGACTCGTTTTGAAGACGATTTGAGGAGATATATATATATATGTGATGGAATTTTCAGGTAGCTTCAGAAGCCCACCTGTAACCAACATCGACGTCCAAATGTGCAATTGTTTAGTTAAATGATATACGTATTCTTAATGAATGCTGCTGTAAATAATGTAAATATGTACATCAGTTCTATTTTATAATAGGGCCAATGAATTGATTTGGCAATTGAGTATCGTATGAAACTCGATCTATACTATATGCAGATACAGGTAAGATAACATTATCATTAAAAAAAAAAAACAATAAATCAACCTATGTATACCTTAATAAAATTTATGTATTGAGGTACGTTTTTAAATAAGTTCATTTTTTCATTTTCATTTATACACCAATGCCCTGTATTTCTGCTTTGTACGATAAACGATAAATTATAAATTGAAGCTAAGTAGAAAAAGGACACATAATTAGTAGTATTATAATAATTGTTTTTCTTACACAAAAAGTATTCTACAATCTGTTATTAAATTGTGTCTTTAGGAATGAATGAAGAAAATATATTAAAATATATTTTACAAAATTTTAAAAAACAGGACAAAAAAATGATACTAGAGATATTATGTCCTACAAATAACAAGTAAAAAATTAATGAAACTATTTTTCATAAGATAATTGTGTTTGTATATAGAATATAAATTTTTAATATATATATGTAAAATAACCGTCAAAAATAAGTTTCTATATGAATATATATACATATATAACAGGTGACAATATGAAATTAAACAACAAATAGGGTTTAAAATTTCTAATCAACAGTCACGATATACTAATGTCTAAATATATATAAATTCATTCTAAAAATATTCGGTAATTACTAAACAATAAACAGGATTTTAATCTTTTAATCAACAATCACATACGATATATATGCTAATATCTAGACATATATACATTTATTCTAAAAATGTCCGGTAAATACAATCTAAGGGCTGTATTCATAGTCGGATCTTATATTTAAGACCGTCTTGTGTTCACGTTCAGATATTCTGTAGCCAATGAAATGATCTATACAGCATCTGAAGATGAACTTAAGACGATTTTAAATATAAGACCAGATTATGAATACAGCTCTAAGGTCCCTAACATTTTTTCCTTGCACCCTAGAAATTCCCCATGCGACAGCCAATTGGTGTATCCAACAAACTAGTTCTATGACGAATGAAGCATTAGTCAAGGAAGAAAGTTGAGTATTTAGCACACAAGAAGTGTAATTACAACGAATCTGTAAGTATACTGACGGATATTTGTACACAAATGGAAATTTCCTAAGCCAAATATTAAATATATATGTCAATATATAATTATATACGAATAGTTGAATTATTTTATATGCTTACTAATATTCGGAAGAGTTTACTAATCATAACTTTTATCATGACCATAGGCATATATTAATTTTATGATGACGAAGTAATCTACTTGTCATCTGTCCCGCTATTCCTATCCTTCATTCATCATAATTATAAGTACTATCAAGTACAATTGAAGTGAAGCAGTGCGTTATATATATATATAGTGTAACTTGTAAGAGAGGTCTTACAAATACAAATGGTTAATAACTAATTTTAGATCATAATTTTCGTGCCTTTATGATAAAGCAAATAAAATTTCTGTACAAAGTTCGATGATGTTTATACTATATCTCGCAAGTGTATGCCACATCGTATAACCTTGATAAATAGTGCGCGATACGGTTCAATTACCGTGTACACTTGTATAATATTCCTTTAGTCTTTTAGAGCTGAAACGATGGCAGGATGCTACGACAAGTTGTCTTGGACGGGTAAGTTATATGTTTCAGATAAATGTATGACAATAAATGTAATCTATTAATATATGTAATCTCATTTAATTTACAAATTCTAGCTAAAATTCTTAAATTTCACGTTTACATATATGTAATAGAAAGTGAATAATCGTTTAAAAACAGATTATCTTATCAATTTTGATGGAAGTTTATTCATATTTGTATTTTAATACATGGAATAATAAACAAAATTGTTCCTCCATATTATAAAAAGAATAATAAGTTCAGAGTAATATTCTTGAGGTTAGAATAATAGATTAGGTTAAATTTAATTAGTTTAGTTTAACACGATCGTAATTGCAATGAACATTTAAGTTTTAAATATTTATTCTGTAATAATTACTGCAACTTTGTATTTTATTAAGAGGAAATATTGTTTTGTAAATGATATACAAATTAGTGACACTTCCATTAAAATTGTATTGTAATTTTTATTTTTTACGATTTTGTTATACAGAAGTACGAGACTTGTTGAGAACTTGGAGAGAAGATTCTGAGCGGCGAAGTAGGGATGTAGTAGACTTTTGGGAAAATACACTAATGAACAAGATCGACCATTTGGGCAATGAAAGTATGATTAATCAATTTATACACACACATACATGTATATACATTGTTGTACTTAAAAACCATAAATATATATACAAAATATCCAGTTATCATATATATATTATTTAATCTGTTAATATCTAGAGTATCTGGTTTTGGAACAAGTATGCGTAGCAGCATTGGATTGCTACCGTATACCATTAGCAGAATATTGTATTAAGATTTTAATGCGTGCATTTCCTGGTAGTTTACGGGTTCACAAATATCATGCCATGCATTTGGAGGCACTAGAAATGTAATTATACTTGTAATATATTGTTATCCCTAAATATATATCAAAGTATACTTATTATTTTTGATAATACTTTATCAACATATTTCTTTAGGTATGATGAGGCAATGGAGGTTTTGGATTCTATTATAAAGAGAGATGAAACTAATGCTGCACCAAGGAAACGTCGCGTTGCTATTTTAAAGGCTAGAGGACGTATACCAGAAGCAATCAAAGAACTTACAGAATATTTGAAGAGGTCAGTAAATTATATATTATTATTAATATCAGTTATTAATATATACTTATATTTAAAGATCATTACTTGTAATTATAAAATATATATTAGTGACATTATTGTATGGAATTGTAGATTTATGAGTGATCAAGAAGCATGGCATGAATTGTGCGACTTATATTTGCAAGAACAAGAATATTCCAAAGCAGCTTACTGCATGGAAGAACTTATATTGCATAATCCACATAGCCACTTAATTTACCAGAGATATGCAGAGATAAAATATTCTCAGGTAATATATTTTCTACTTGCGATATATTTAGACTTGTAAATTAATTAAATTGGAAAATACTTTTGAAATGAAAAATTAGTGTATAAATAACTTGATAAATTCTGTTTCCACATTTAGGGTGGATTTGATAACATGGAATTGGCAAAGGCATACTTCAGTCAAGCTGTAAAACTAAATCCAAATAATATTAGGGCTTTATATGGCTTATTATTGGTAAGTTTTGAGTGTTATTGCTTCATAATATATCACAAGGCAATGTGAAAGATTTTAGGCTTTTATGATAGAGAGAAATATTTTATTTTCGAATTTGTATTAAATTATTAAATTATTTGATCAATTCTCAATTTTATCCAAAACCAAAATGCTTATTTCTCTTGAAAATATAGAGAATCCTTAGAAATTTACAAACACCCCAATAACCTAAACAGGGACAGTGGTATGAAAGTTAATCCAACTTGGCAATTCATACTTCCTGTTCTATAAAAATATAATACAGACTTCCATGTTACATCTTCATACCCCTCCTTCCATTGACTAATCAATGAGTATTTAGTTATTCTCCAAAACGCACACATAAAAAGAGAAACCCTTCGAAGAATCAACAATTTCTGGATGTTCCTTTCTTTGAAGAAATGAACTGAATGTTTGCGAAACTGCGGAGAAACAAATCCGAAATAGTCGCGACATAAACCCAAAAATCAAAATAAATGTCACAAAGCAATGAGCGTTATTTTTTTGTAAATCTGCATCTGTTTCTAGACAACAAACAACATCGCGACATCGGCCAAATGTCCTGCGTCCAAGAAAAAAGAAGCAATAAAGTTGAGTGAGTGGGCTAGTAAACAAATCGAGAAACAATACGAAAGTAAGGTTTCGAATGAAGATGTCAAAACCGTAGAACGTCTATTAGGACAATTGCAACTTGAAGCTTAGGTACGATTATTTACGTTAACAATTTGTATATTTATTTCAATGTAACTGGCATATATTTAAAATCGTTGTCATAACAATCTCTGAAGAATCATATGTGCACGAGAAACTTTACACATGTTTTTTAAATATATGCAATTAAAAAGAAATGATAAACTCCAATTATAATTGCATTTCAGCAGTATTATCTATTGTTTTACTGCTCTTCAATTACATAATAGGTTGATGTGGTAGTTAACGTTACATAACTATCTTCTGAGTATACATCTATGTTTTCGTATCTTACTATACATATTATGAAGTAAATATAACGGTCATTAATTTTATAATTATTGTCACTTTTGTCTAATATATTGATTTTCACATGCTGTTAAACAGTGGTTATTTCGGTGTATACATATTTTCGTGCAATTTTACATCATTTTCTTTAATTGCGGATGCTAGGAAATGAATCAAGAAAGATGATAACTGTATAATGAGTTTGTAGGGATAATAAAAATTCTTAAATATTACATGGGTTTCTTTCTCTGTCTCTCTTTGGAACTTTTCTATCAAATGACAAACGAACAACAAGATTCTGATAATATTTCGATAAATAATCTTTCTTACTAAAAAGTGATAATTTAGAACATATATACAATATTTTTAGAAAACGAGTTCAAGACTTTAAGGGCAGCTGGTACTCACAAAATGGAGGAAAATAGCCCTAATAAACATGGATCGGAAAATTAATTGTCGAAGTCATGAACAATTATTTATTTTAATTAAAGTAAATAACGTACTCGCCTCTAGTGTTTACAAAGTCTACAGAAGATTCTGTACATACCCTCCTCCTATTTCTACATATACTTCACAACTTCATACCATAGAACTTTTTCAAAAATTCCTGACTTTATTCTAACTATTATATTAGGCATTTTATATTCTCTGATGTAATTCATTTAAAGGTTCTTTAATGGAATAGAGGAGGTGGATCAGTCTCATGGCCCCCATGCTCTCTTGATTTAAATCTTCCAAACTTTTTTATGGGGATTTCTTAAGAGCATGGTATATTTTTCACTAATAAATGACAAACGAATTACATAGTAAAACTAGGAGGACATGTAGAAAATCTTCTGCAAACTTTGTAAGCATCAGAAGCAAATAGATCACTTGATTTAATTAAAATACATAATTGTTTATAATTCCGACAATATTAATTTTTCGACCCATGTTTATTAAGGGGAGCACTCTATGTAAACGCAAAAAAACACGTTTTTTTGGTGAATTTTTCGTAACAAAACTATTTATTATGAAAATGAAATTTGGTACACATATTAATACATATTTCAACAACATATATAAATTTTTTTGACTTTAGTCACACAGATTAGCTTATGCAAGCCCAGTAAACAATGATCTCGGCGTTGACACGACTCAATGGCAGGAAAAATAGCGTCCGCTGTAGGTGTCTGAAACAAAAGATTAAAAAAATATATATTATTTATATCAAAACACACCGACTGTACCTACTTTTGATAGTTTGATCATTGAATTAGAATTGAAAGCTTTCATCGCGTTTTGCATGTAGCTGACTAAACATTTTTGCAGTAAATCTTTGACAAATCTTGATAAATTTGATGATTTTGAAATTTCCAAAAATCAGTAAGTTAACAAAAGTCAAGGCACTATTGTAACAATATATTCTTGAGACTAAATAAAGCAAGAAAGGCTAGTACCACTTTTTCTTCCGACAAATAGTTAGCGAGATATCGTAAGTTAAATATTGAAAAAGTTATTAAGTTTTCCTCAAATATCTCAAAAAATATTACACAAATAAAAAAATGTTTTAGACAAAAGTTGTTCAAATTAACTAGTAGAAAAAAAGTGTAATAAAAAATAAGGGTTCCCATTTAAAAAACGCAAGTTGACCTTCAAATGCCCTTGAAAATAGAGGTCAAGGTCAAAATCAAGGTCATCATAAGGTAGCTCACTTAAACCCCTACAACTTTTATTCAGATAATTTTCCTTAAAATTTCAATACTGAAGAGTCTTTTGGGGTGGGACATTAAATAAAACCCTGTATATAAAAAGGCAGAAGAAATAAATTTACATATTAAGTAATAAGTAAATAATATGAATTTATAATATTCTTATTTTGCAGAAGTAGGATTATTCATAATGTTGAGATTTGAAGTTATGTCATTGAATTTCCAATTCCAAATAAATGATTAAATCTAAAATAAATAACACTTATAATCAATATTCATCATCCAAATTTATATTTAAAACTATCTTAATATTATTCTTAATTCTATGCTGAAATAGTATGTTAAAATATGAATTAATAATACTTAACTTTATTATGTTAAACATTATCTTACAATCATTTGAGATAATGTTATGTATATAAATTTCGACTAAATATGAGCCACTGGCTTATTTGGTTTTGTCACACACACTGTACATACACATCTACAGGTCAGGACCAATATTTTCAGCTACGGTAGTTGACGCTAAAAAGAGACAACACGGTCCCAACTTAACTATAGACCTGTTCGTTTTGTCTGCTGAACTGGTGCATTAAGTTAAAGTGAAACAAACGTGGATTTTCTCACTTCAACTTGGTGCACCAGTTCAGCAGTGCAGACAAAACGAACAGGCCTCATTTCTCTCTGACCGTTTGGTATCGTGGAGGGAGTAGGCAACGTTGCCAGTCATGGCACATTTGTACCACATGTGGCACAATTAAAGGTCAGTGGAACACAGACACAATTTAGTGATTTGGTGGTACATTATGCATTTTTTGTGGCACAAAAGAAGAAAAAGTGATACAATTCTATTTTTAAGTGAAAGTTTTAAATCTTTGACTTCTATAACAAACATATCGCATTCTACAAGCAAGAGTATGTAGATTTAGTATAACTAATAAAGTAGCACTTACATTATCTGGAGTGCGTTCGCAACTTGCACATTACGGATAAAGTAACTAGCATCGGATTAACCAATAAGAATAAAAAGAGCAAATATCTTTTCATCATGATTGGTTAATTCAATTATTCTATATTCAGGGCCGTATTCATAGTCGGATCTTATCATATTTAAAACCGTCTTAAGTTCACGTTCAGATATTCTGTAGCCAATGAAATGATCCGTACAGCATCTGAAGATGAACTTAAGACGATCTTAAATATAAGATCGGACTATGAATACAGTCTTCAGAGTAAAGTTTCCGCACCTCTAAAGATATACAAGTGTTAGCTTTTAAGACGCAAATTTAAGATGCAAATATAAAATTAGACAATAAAAACTACTTATAGATTCCTCAGTTCTTATGAAATCTTTAAAATAAATTAATTTAGGTCGAATGGCACAAAACGCACTAATGTGGCATACTTTTTGGCACAATCGAACACGGTTTTGCTGGCAACACTGGGAGTAGGGTAGGGTTCCTTCCAGTATGGTTATATTTCAATGGAATGCACATTTTTTAACTAGGTTATATTTTACATTAGTGCTATTGGTTACCCTAAATTCAAACTTACATACAACAATTCATATTTGTTTACTTAAACACATTTTTAATTTAATTGAAAAAGGAGATCGATAAAGTGTATATTCGACATTGCATAATGCATTATTTTCATCACGGAGAAAGTGTCGCTGAAACAAGTAGAGTTATTTATGAGACCTATGGTGAACGTTCGTTACCTGAATCTATGCTCCTGGTACAATCCTGGTTCCAAAGGTTTTAAAGTGAAAATTTCGATATTAACGGCGATGACGACCCTCACTCTGGACAACCTCAGAGATGATAGACAAGGATTTGAAAGTTTTATTCGTTGAAGATGCAGCTCAATCGTCTATGGAGTTTGCAAGATAGCTTGCTGTTAATTATATAACAATACTTCGACGCTTACATACATTGGAGAGGATCCAGGAAGAAGGGAAGTGTGTCCCACATCAACTATCTGAACAAGTTATCGGCAACTGGTTCAACACCTGCATCTCACTGTTTGCTCGACAAAAAAGAAAGAGTTTTTTATGGAATATAACAACTGGAGATGAGAAATGGATTTATTATGATAATTCTGAATGTAAAAAGGAATGATTAGACCCAGATTAACCTTCTCCTTCAACACCAAAACGCAATAAGATTCTCCTCTGCATTTGGTGGGACCCGAAAGGTGTGCTCTATTATGAACTGCTCACACTTGATGAAACGATTACTGCAGAGCATTACAGTCGCCAATTGTTCCGACTGAACAAAGAAATTAAGAAAAAAAGCCCATGGATAAGGAAATCGGAATGTCATCTTGCTCCATGACAACGCTCGGCCATGCTTGTTGCTTCTGTGACTAAGGACCTTATTGGAACTTGAGTGAGAAGTTCTACTACATCCAGCATATAGTCCAGATCTTGCCGCTTCAGATTTTTACCTATTTCAATCAATGCAGAACCATCTCTCCAGTGTGTAATTTAAAAATGAGATTGAAATATAAAAAAATGGGTCAACGAATTCATCTCATCGAAAAAAGTGTCATTCTTCAACTGAGGAATCCATTTGTTGCCTGAAAAATGGTCCAAAATTGTAACAAACGAGGGACAATATTTTGACTAAACAAGTATGTATTGTTTCTTTAATATATATAAACCAAGTCGTCAAAAAAATTTCAGGAACTTATGCACAGACCTAATACATAATGGAAAAAAAACTTTTAATGTCCTTTCCTATACTAAATAATATTGTTTTTACAGTCATCTTTCAGTAGTTTCTTTGTTACTACGTTCCCAGTCTTCTCGTCTCCTTGCTCTCTCTTCGGCCTTTCTCATTCGCCTCTTTTTCCTTGTTTCCTCACGTAACGCAAAATATTTTTCGCGGAAATCGACCAAATTCATATTGACGCTTTCATCAGTCGCCTATCATTAAATAATATAAAACATTGATGTATAAAATACAATTATATCAATGAAAAATATGCCCATTAAGTGTATGCATATGTACCTCTGGCTCTTTCAATTTCTTGTAAGTTAATAATCTTCGACTGGTATAATTGCTCAGTATTTGCTCGGAATTAGCTACGAGCTCTAAGCATGGATGCGCTGGTAATTGATCTTCGACATATTGGTCCCTAATATTATATTTTACTTATAGACTATATATTTTGATGTGAAATTGCTATTTAAATATCTCGATATTAAATAACATTTAATTGCATATTTTCATACTGATCATAGACATATACCTAAACAACGGATACCAACACACCAATCTGCCGTTATATTTAAGGTGCTTCGCGGAGAAACACAGTAAGTCTTTGTATATTTGATTCAGGCCGTAATCGATTTTAGAAGGAATATGGGAAGTTGCTTGATGTTCTTCTATTATTGGATTTATCTTCATAGTACCTATACGCTCCGTGGCTTCTCTTATACCGTAAGGTGCTGTAAAAGGAAATATTCTTCCTGATATCAAATTCATATATACTATCGCAAAGTACAGTTCATTCCATTTGCAAATTTTACAGAATCTTTGTATATCGTTTGTCAAAGATATTACGCGAAATTTTTATACTTACGATCCGTTATAATCGCATCTATTTGTAGGCCTGACCGCCAAAGTGGATATGAAAAATCTGCTACCACAACGTCGATGTAACAAGAACTTGTTCCATATTGAAACATATTCGCTGCAATATTTTCATCTTTCTCTCTTGTCTGATAACATGTATATATACAATAATTACAATTCCGCCAATGAATATATTACAATAATTAGCCATTCTAAAATACTTGCTTCATTGTATACAACAAATTGATCTATCTTTATTTGTGCAAGAGATTATGATCGGACCATGAGCAATACCTTTTGCGATATTCGTGTAGGCCTTGTACGGCCATGAAGCATCATGAAATCAATATCTGTCCCGAATGTGTATCCTCCAAATTGAGATGCAGAAATTAATAAGGAACCTGTTCCTACAAATGGGTCAAAAACCAAATCTCCTTTTTTAACTTGTGCCTGATTTGCCATTATTAGTGACAACTGAGGATCCATTGATGTGTTTCCTATAAATTTCCTAGTTTTTAATGACAACTTTTGAATTAACTCCCGCTGACCATCCGCAATCTATAATAAAATTATATTAAAATCTATTAACATGATTGACATTTAATTAAGTTACTCACCCATCTTCCAAAGAAATAATCATATGGTTTTTCAGGAATACTGTTAGGATCAAGTCCATAATACTCTATATAATATAAAGTAAAGTCTGGGTTTTTTAATTTAACTGGTCCTTCAAGAGGTAAATAACTGAAAGACTTTTTCCCAAGTTATGTTAAATTATGTCATGCAATTAATCTAGTAAAAGATTACTGTTTCATCTTAAACATTTACTTACTTCAATTTTATTTACTTTCTCACATTGTGAGAAATGTTTACAGAAAGTTTCTACTATAATTTTGAATGATCTCTTATCTCCAATAAAAGTTTTGGAATTTTCAGCTGTATAAGCTTTTAAAGAATTGTGTAAATCTTCAGTTTGTTTCCCTTGTGCCCATAACTCCAAACAAAAACGTAATGAGACTGCTCTGCTAGCAATTTTATATATTATATTCTCATCAGGTAAGTCTATAATCCAATAAGGCTGAAACAAAGTTTAATTTTCTTATTTGTTTTTTTATTCAAAAAAATATTTTAATAATCATTATATTTCTTTGCCCATCATTAGTATTGAATGCTCCTATACAAATTTTATATATACACATATATATATTATATTTAATATGAATTAAAACATTTATTTTAATAGAAATATTTAGATTATTTTTTTATCAATTAAGTCTCTAGCTTCTTGTAAAGTTTAATATAATGTTTACAAACCATATTTTACAATAAAATAAAATTACATTATCAAACGCAATTGAACAATACCTCTCATAGAGAAACTGTTCCTAACTGCAAATGATCTACTCCTGTAAGGATTATACATGTAATCTAAGAAGAATTACATATATATTAGGATAAATAATTTGTAATACTCATATTTCCTTACATGTTCCTTTGGCTTGATTATTGTACATAAATTAACATTGAACATACTGAATATAGACTCCATTTCCTAAAATACAATGAATATGAACATCACATATTAAAATATATTATTTTTCTTTTGATACAAAAATTTTTAAACTATTAAAATAACTTTAAAAGATATTGCATATTGTATGATAAGAAGTGTCATTAAATATAAATATAAGATTTGTTTTCTATGGCTAAACTGGCTGCGCTATTTTGCATTATTTTTCTTTTATTTTTTTTCAACAAATCTCAATTATATATCTGTTTTTTTTTTAATATTGAAAATGTAAACTACTTCAATTATAGAAAATAAACTATAGAATATAACGATAATTTGTAAAGAATTAATGGATCTATAATTATCAAATATATTTAATAAAATACTTACAGCAAATCGAAAGTCAACATGTTCATGAGCAAACCAAAAAAGATATCTTTTCAATCGATTACCCATTGTTGACACTGTTTAATATGTTAACACTGTTTAATTATGTACTGTTATGTACTTAAATATGGCTTTGTTATTGTAGATAATAACAGAACCTAACCTCATTAGTACCATATTCAACCAATGATTATAAACTTTATAATGAAGAGCTCACAATATATCTGATGCTCGTTCTTTTCTTTTTATGATTACTTCCGAAACGCATTCGATATCCAATAGATGAATCTATTTTCTGGGGAACCTAAAATCTCTAGAAAGAAGATTCTCCTATTGGATATCGGGTATGTCAAAACTCATTCATACACAAAAATAATTGCTGCGTTCAGCAGAAGTGAACATTTTCGGTGTTTTTTTTTTTTTTTTTTGCGAAAAAATTCTGAATTTGTGCAATAAGTTAGAGCAGAGAGAAGGAGAGGTGTCATGGGCCGCTTTTAGCTGAGTCAAGTACGAAGCGCTCTCTGTACAACCATAGACATGAACTAACGACGCCAGTGTCCACGATTCTTTACTGATTTCCCTCATCACGCACGCACACATAGCCGGCTCGGTTTATCAGTGTCACACGAATAGACCGAGCCGTCTGTCTGTATATATGCACACAAGACGATCAGCTCCTGCCACTATGAGACAGCAAGGGAGTAGGATTAGGAACAGCCATGAAATATAATAGTTGTAGATGGAAGTGTGTACTGCTCTCTCTAGATCCAGATCTCACTCGCTCCACTCTCGTTATCGTAAGCATCTTTTATCTTCGATGATTCCTGGATTGGTTAGGGAATATCGCAGTAGCCAATGAACGTTCCATATGCCGTGTTTTGTAAATACTATTACGTGTACAACTTTGCTTCCGCCGTTTTTTTTCCGAAATTCGAGGCTTTATTGTAAAAAACTGGCTATACATTTATGATTCAAAGTATTGTCCATCGCTGGCCACTACTTTCTCCCATCTTTCGGGCAGCGTACGAATCCCGCGTTGAGAAAACTGATCATCTTTTGAAGCGATCCACGAATCGATCCAATTTCTTACTTCTTCATAAGACCGGAAGTGCTGGTCAACCAGGTCGTGTGCCATTGATCGAAACAAGTGATAGGCTGGTATTCATAGTCAGGTCTTACATTTAAGACCGTCTTAAGTTCACTTTCAGACACTCTATAGCCTATGAAATACTTTGTACAGAGTTTGAAGATAAAGACGGTCTTAAATATAAGATCCGACTATGAATACCGGCCATAGTCAGAGAGAGCAACGTCTGGAGAATACGGCGAGTGGGGTAGGACTTCCCATTTCAACGTTTCCAAGTATGTCTTGACCACTTTCGCAACATGGGGTCGATTGTCATGCTGCAAAATCACTTTATCGTGTCTCTCGTTGTATCGCGGCCGTTTGTCTTTCAATACTCGGCTCAAACGCATTAATTGCGTTCGATAACGATCGCCTGTGATTGTTTGTCGGTTTTAACAGCTCATAATACACTACGCCGAGCTGGTCCTACCAAATACAGAGCATGACCTTGGAGCCGTGAATATTCGGTTTGGTCGTCGACGTGGAAGCATGGCCGGGATATGCCCATGATTTTCTGCGCTTGGAGTTATCGTAATGAACCCATTTTTCGTTCCCAGTCACAATACGATGCAGAAATCCTTTCCGTCTTTGCTTTTTAAGCAACTGTTCACAAGCAAACTAACGTCGTTCAACATCTCTCGATTTCAACTCGTACGGCATCCAATTTCCTTGCTTCTGAATCATTCCCATGTCTTTAAGGCGTTTTGAAATTGCTTGTTGAGTCACTCCCAATGATCGTGCCAATTCTTCTTGTCTTTGACACGAGTCTTCATTCAGTAATGCTTCCAATTCTGCATCTTCGAAAACCTTCTCTCTTCCACCGCTATGCCGGTCTTCGACGTGAAAATCACCGTTCTTGAAGCGTTGAAATCACTCACGACACGTTCTTTCACTAATAGCGGCCTCACCATAAGCATTTGAGAGCATTCGATGAGCCTCAGCCGCAGATTTCTTCACATTGAAGCAGAAAATTAAAACCTCCCGCAAATGACGAGAATTTGGCTTGTAAACTGACATTTTCAATCGAAAATAACTTTATGATGCAGACACAAATCGACTAATATTTCTATGGGGTTCTGTTGACAGATGTCCAAGTTTATTGCACGACGTCTATGATCTATTTATTTCGACCACTACTTACCGCTAAAGCCATCTATAGGAAAACGGCGGAAGCAAAGTTGTACATCTAATATTTCCGTGTAAATAAAATGCTGAATGGCTACCGCAATATTCCCTAGCCAACTTCCGCCACGTGGCAAACATGCCGCATCCTGTATGCAACCAGCCTAGTTTTCATTTTTTCTCTTTTCGAGCAAATCTCAACTGTATATTTGCTTTTTTCTAAATTTCAAAAGCGTATCTTGGTTCAATAATATAAAACAAACCTAAGAAATATTACTCTTGATTAATACATTTGATTGATACATTCATATGGATATACTAATGATCTAACAGCATCCCAAATAGGCAAAAAGATATCTTTTAGATTTCTAAAAGATATCTTGCAATGTCTTGAGATATTTTACATTTTTCCGAAAAGATATCTTTTAGGGATCTAAACATAAATGTCTATACTATACTAGATACCTAACTTCTAAAAAGAGCTGTGCCGAGCGTATTTTCCGGTTCGACCATGAAGACCGCCAAGTTAATACAAATACTTTGACATATTTTGAACTATATATATTCAATTTAATTTTAACCTGTACAAAACACTTAGATAAACGGCACCTTATTAATACACACATCTTTAAATGATATTTCTCCTTTCTTATCTTTTCTTATTCGTACTTTTGCAATTTACAACACTTATTCGGCATTATCTCGTTTGTAGATTTGCAGTTTTAATAATATTAATAGCAGTAGATACGAACACATCAAGTATCACATACGTACTACTACATACGCATCGGGTACTCACATACACACTACAAACACACACTGCCGCCATGCTTGGCGGTCTTCATGGCTGAACCGGAAAATACGCTCGGCACAGCCTTCATATAGGCCAAAACTCGAAGTTTGGTATCTAGTATAGTATAGACATCTATAGATCTAAATGTTAAAGACATCTTTTAGATGTCTGTAGATATCTTTTAGAAATTCTATAAATATATCTTCAACTAAATCTATTTAGATATCTTTTAGACAACTTCTATACATCTTTTAGAAATGTCTTGAAGATATCTTTCATAAGATATCTCTTAGATGTCTACAAGATATCAATGGCTGCATTCAGCAGACTCAACAGTTGGACAACCTTACTAGATTTTCCACTGAATCTCGCTCCTGATTGGTAAATACTTCTGGGTCTATGAAGAATCTAAAAGAATGCTCCAATCATAGACAATAATCACTAAGTGCTCTCTGATCACTTTGTTCTACTGAACGCGGCCAATGTTTACTGGGATATTCCACTAATCACAGACGATGGCTGCGTTCCGAAATTCACTATCAGTACTGAAAATACATAATTTGTGTCACGTATACTATAGAATTTCAGTGCTGACAATGAATATCAGAACGCAGCCGATATCATTAAACATTCAAATTTAAACTGAAATTTATATCTAGATTTATTACCAATAATTTAATGGCATATTCCAATGATCATAAATAATAGTCATTAAACGTTTAAACTCAAACTCAAATTTATTATATTTAAATCTTACTTTGCGCGTAAATTTTTTTCCATATTAAGTTGCATATGCATATATAATAAAAAACGACAAAAAAAATATGTATTTATAAAAAATGTTCTGTGATGATTCGAATATCAATTTAAATTTAATTTTGTAAAATATTTCAGTCCCTTTATCACACATGCATATGAGTTTCAGATGTATGGATTATATATGTATACATATATATATATATATATATATATACAATCATCTGCCTAACCTATGTCTAACCTATATGTCTTCTTCGTTTTCCGGAGGGATCCTTCTTCAAAATGTTACGAATATTTGAGAGACAAATTTTTCATGGTATAAGAAATAGCAGAAAATTGAATACGTGGTCAAGTCTCGCCACGGCATTTAATTCGAACGTCGATAAAAATCATTTATTAAATGTGTCGAAAAAAGAAACGGTAAAAGATTTTAAATTTATTAATTTTATTGTTAACTTTTGAACGTAATAAAGAATTAAGTTTCTAATTTTAACATATTTATTTGTTATTTTTGTCTTGTTTGTTATTTCATTGTGATAATTAAGATGCTTTCTTAAATAAAATTAAAGTTAATGAGTCTAACCTATACTCAATTTATAATTTCTAAATTTTTGTAACAATGTAAAGTTTTATTCCTTTGTAATTACTTTATTTTATAAGCACACATATGTATACATTACAGACGCATACATATTAGCATATTTTATAATTTAAAATGTTTGAAAGGGGTTGTTTGGTATTCCGGAGTTAAAGAGTGAAGATGGTTTTCATATACTAAAAAATCGTGCACTGGTGCAAGTAGATGCTCTAATTGAAGAAGCTACAAGCAAGGACAGGAAGAGAAAGATGGTGGCAATATTTGATGAACTGTCCGATACACTATGTAAGGTAGCAGATATGGCTGAATTTATTAGAATTGCACATCCTGATGAATACTATATAAGAGCAGCAGAGGATGCTTGTATAACCATCAGTGGTGTAGTTGAAAAGTAAGTTTATTTTTAGAATTATATTTCATATGTTCATTATATAATTATTTTATAAATATGACAGTTATATTTAAATATGAAATGTTTAATAGATTAAATACACATCGGAAATTGTACGAGTCATTAAAACAAGTGACAAATAATGGTGATATTCAAGTGACCTCTGATATAGATGATCATGTAGCAAAATTATTTTTATTTGATTTTGAGCAATGTGGCATACACTTGCCTGAGAAGCAAAGAAGAAGAGTAGTCGAACTAAATGATTACATCTTGCAAGTAAATGTTACTTGACAATATTCCAAATAGTGTTATAATTCGCAAATGTGATTTTTTTCCCATTTGTAGATAGGTCAGAAATTTATGACTGGTGCTGTTACACCAAGGGCAGTTAGTGCTAATATATTACCTAATGTTATTAGGCAACAGTAAGTACAATAATCCAACATTATAAATTTGTTTTTTTATTTAACCAAATTCATAGGATTCCATTCAAAACTTTTCAAAGGTGCAAGCTTTAGAAAGATACCTCATTGATTTCACAGTTTTGTGACAGAGAATGATCAGATAATAATACAAGGGCTTTACACTGACTCCTCTAATACCGCCGTTCGCGAAGCAGCATACAAATTATTCTTGTACCCTAATGAAGAACAGGAGTATCTGCTGCACGAACTTTTAAGTTCCAGACACCTGCTGGCGGAATCTTGCGGATTTGCATCTTATACTCACAGGTATGTATAATTTTTTTCTTTTTTCAATAAAACGTCAAGTGTAATTTTTTATATATAATAAAATTATATTGTTTCAGAGCTGTAAAAGGGAGCACGGTCGAATCACCGACTGTAGTGGCAGAATTTCTCAATATACTGAACGAAAATGTGCGGTCTACAGCAGCACAAGATTTTCAAGAGATGCAAAAGATGAAAGATGCCGAGACATCTGTGAAACAAGTTTGTATCCATCCTTACTTACACCGCATTATAATATGATTTGATACAATCGTGTTTTTTTTAAATTGTTTCTCTGAAATATATGTATGTGTGTGTGTGTGTGCTAAACAGGAACTAATGCTGTGGGATACCGCCTACTTCATGGTAAAAGCAAAAAAGACTTGGTTGAATACTTCCTCCACGGAATTCGCTCCATACTTTTCCATCGGTACTTGCATGGAGGGCATAAATATTCTTACGCAATCGTTGTACGGAGTCAGGCTCGAGTCCGTCCCAGTGTTAACCGGAGAAGTATGGGCCAGTAACGTTCAAAAGCTAGCTGTGATAGACGACGATGAGGGAACGCTGGGTTACATTTATTGCGACTTCTACGAGAGAGCGGGGAAACCGAATCAGGATTGCCACTTCACGATCCAAGGCGGAAAGCAACTACCGGACGGTTCCTATCAGGTATAAAACTTTATATATTTTTGCTTGTTAATTCGCACCAAGCTACGTAACGCGACAATTGATCTTTTTTTAACATTATTTTAGTTTTATTTAACACACGAGCAAGTTCTAAAAATAGCGCGATTCGAGGACGTCGTGTTTTAGGTGTCTTCAACGTCTTCTACACACAATAGCGAGAAACACAGTGATCCTATTTTATTAACGTTATTGTTTCCCTTAGAATCCCATAGTTGTACTTATGCTGTCACTGCCGCATCCACGCTGGTCGAATCCGTGTCTGCTGAGTCCGTCGTCTGTGGACAATCTGTTTCACGAAATGGGCCACGCGTTGCATTCCATGCTCGGTCGGACGAAGTATCAGCATGTGACGGGCACCAGATGCAGCACAGACTTCGCGGAAGTACCAAGCGTGCTGATGGAGTACTTCGCAAGCGACCCCAGAGTAAATACTTTGCGATAAAAGTCGATATAAATCGCCGTAATTGCTGGTATCATTCTACACAGGCTTCTCGGCCTTTTAAAGTTGCGATCAATTTTTTTACGTAATCGCACAGGTTGTATCGAGATTCGCGAGGCACTTTCAGACTCAAAAGCCAATGCCGGATGATCTGCTACACAAGCTGTGCGCCTCGAAGAACATCTTCTGCGCATCCGAATTACAAAATCAGGTGTTCTATAGTATGCTGGATCAGGTATATCACAGCGGTAGGCTGACAAAGTCCACCACGGAAATTTTAGCGGATGTACAGCGAGAATATTACGGTTTACCATACGTACAGAATACGGTATGTATCTTCGCATTGATTTCCTTTTTAAAGCGTCGTTAAGGGGGGAATTACATGCGGAAAGCCGTTTTCAAAGCTATTTTTACAAATTTTTTTAACAGAAACGGTAAGATCAATAGGCTTGAAATTTTCACAGTGTATTCATTAATGTTCAAAGTATAAAATAAATTTTATTGAATCACAAGAACTGATCCAATTTGTAATTATAGATAGAAACGCAGTCATCCGTTTGTGAGCTCTATGTTTGCTGTCGACATAATTACGGGCTTCTCACTACTCTGAAACTAAAAAGTGAAAAAGATTTTAAAAATATGCGGTTGCCATTATAGTTCGTACCAAAATGAAGAAGTCAAGTTTGAAAAAATAATAACTGTACAAGAAGAAAGTATCGAAAATGAAACATTTTCAACCTATAAACATGTTTAAAAATATGAATAAAATAAAATATAACTGTGTCCGAAAGAGGGGCGAAAACTACATGTCTACTGCATATTGTGTAAAATTTTCAAGTTATTCGGTTTAATAGTTTTGACGTAATTGTGTCGATAGTTTAGGAAAATGGTATTTCCAGATAAACGCATTTGAAGTTTTATATGTACTTTTCATATATAGATAGTAACAAATTTATTTTACACTTTGAACATTAATGAATATACTGTGAAAATTTCAAGTCCTCTTTTGATCCTACCGTTTTTGTGAGAAAAATTCGTAAAAATAGCCTTGAAAACGGCCTGCTCCGTATGCAGGAGGTCCCATTTTAAAGTTTCCACTGAAATATCTCTTTAGGAAAGCATTTAAGGAAAAAATGTTTCAAGCAAAAGTTGCTTAGTTGGAAGGGAGACATAAGACAGCGATATCATTTTGTTCACAAATGGCACCACTTTCGAGATATTCGACTGATCATTACTTTTCTTAAATGGAAATTCCAATTTTTCATTATATCATCTTTTTTTACCAAACGTTGTGTAAACGAACATCCCGTAAAGATTTAAGTTTCTATTCTTGTAGTTAAGAAATTCAGCAGCGCGTGCAACTTGTAACATTGTAAATGAAGTTCGTGGTCGTTTACAGGCATGGCAGCTGAGATTTTCTCACTTAGTTGGCTACGGTGCAAAGTATTATTCCTATTTAATCTCTCGTGCGATTGCCGCTTGGATATGGCAGACTTATTTCCACAATGACCCATTCTGTCGATCAGCGGGTGATCGTTACCGAAGAGAGTGCTTGATGCACGGAGGTGGTAAACCGGCGTCGCAATTAGTCTCGGATTTCCTGACCAAGGAAGCTAACGCTAGCACATTTGCAAAATCACTGCTCAATGAGATCGATATGAAAAATTCACGCGTACAAATGTTAAAATAACGAAATGCGGTGTAAATTTTTCCTAAATTGTACAAACCAATGGCAGTTCACATGCTGCTTCACACGAGTCGTGTTCCACACAACTTTGTATAATAAATCTTTGAAAGGAGAGCGATATTTATTTTTACATATAGAGGAGCAGATTTAAAGCTCGTGAAGAAGTCAGTTACTGGAAAATAATACGCTCCGTACAAATTTTCTTTGCATCCTTCCTTGGAAATCAAATTCCCATGTTGCGACGATGTACAATACAGACACGATAAACAATCACCGCGTCTCATTACTCTCGCTAAACAGCACTGAATTCCTCTCGTTTTTTCGTTTGATTGTATTTTATTACAAGTACAGAACCTTATTCTCTATGTACAATTTTGGATAGACCTATGAGTTATTACAAAAAGATAAGGTTTGTAGTGTTATACACAAACGAAACGCAGTATAAGGTAAAGTAATTCACGTAAGAAGATATTAATTTATATAATCTAACTCTTTTATACTTCCTGAGGTTACCCTAAGTCTGTACATGGCAACGTAAAACTACGATCATTTCCCGCTACAAAGGAGCGTGATATCTCGCTGGCAGTACTATCTTTTTCTCGATTAATAAAAAGTAACGTCGAATCGCATCTCCCGACACGCGCTTACATTGTACTGCGTTTGTTAACGTTAAAACTCTTTAGTGAGCACTTGCGTCGAAAAAATGAGCTAAACGTTTTTCTCACCGACAATTCCGTTTCTCCGCATTCGTAAAAACTGTCTAATCTAGTTCATAAATACATGGACACAAAACGATATAACAAGCCACCGAATGAACATTTACTCGCGTAACAGTTAGAATCTCTTTCGATAATCCTCCGATAGTTCTCAGTAATCGTTATTACGCTACACATCATGTAATTATCTGCTTGTTGAAATCTCTCATTTGCCTTAAATGTATTTTTATCATGTACGCGCGCATGTACGTGTAGAACTAGAGCTTTGTATTCACAATGAAGCACTGGACATTTGTCTCTTGTTTTTTTCCTTTTTTTATACAAATGTTATTTTCATTTTTGGATTATATTAGTAATTAGAATGTGATACGAATTCACAAATTTTGTTTAGCATGGAGAGAGGGAGAGAAAGAGAGAGGAGAGAGAGAAAGAAAAAGAAAGGAAATGGTTGCATTATTTACTTTTACCCAAATATTACGTTCGTGTGTTGCTGAATTTAACTTTTACGTTTTACACAGCATTTACAAGAAATGTATAGCTCTTCTTTATCAAATTAGTGAATCGTCGTCTCGTAAGTAATGTAGTAGCCTCGATTCTTTTTTGCTGGTTCGAATCTAGAATAGAGTACATAGAATCAGATTGAATGAGAAATATGTATAATTTTTGGAAATTATTAAATCGATTACAATCAATTTATTAGATTTGTTTACCCATGTAAACTTATAAATATAATAATTGGAATTATTTTATACAGAGAAGAATAAGCTGATTTCTTTTTTTTTTTTATTGAAGTAGTCACATAAATATGTGAATCATGAAGCAAAATTTAAATAATGGATCAGCTTCTCTTCTTATGTTTGAAGAGAATGAATAGTATGAGATATTGTTATATATATACATAAAGCATATATATATTATATAACATATTTTTATTCACGCAAGAAACGACCACGAAGTATCCCGACTAGGTTTTTAAGACCAAATATGCACAAAGTTATATCACCGTTAAGCATTTACTAAAACGCACAGCCTGTTTTGTCATCTCCAAAATTTGGACAAATCATGCTACAGTTTCTGCTTTAGTTCTTATAAAGAACTTGTACAACGTTTATTTTTGGATTCTCTCTCCAAAAATTGAAGTATCGTATTCAGGCTGCCTCATTAATTTAAATTTCAGTGATTAATTCTTCGATATATTTAGATTTTTTTCTTGAGTAAAAATATCGAGGAATGTCACAATTTACTGTCACCTTCTCTCTTATAATTATAAATTTTATAATTATAAATTTTTTCTCTTTTATAATTATAAATTTCGAACGACATATTTTAAGTATATATAAAAAACTTCTGCAGATTTGATCCAAAAACACTTAGGTTATTCTCAATTTTCTAATGTTTCATCCAGGTAATGTGGTCACACAGTAAATTTGAAGTGCCTTTCACATACTACATTTGTGCTGAAGCTCTTCATTTAAGTGGTATCTCTTCATCCTTTTTCATTGATGACATACGAAAAAGCAAATTATACAGTAGAAATAATCAGTGGATTTCAAATATATAATTACCACCAATATATTGCATAGATGTAGTATGTCTCTTTTATGTTCATTATAAATACTGCATCGCGCACGCGCGTTGTTCACTTCAAATTAACTAATTTATATTGCAATTGCACTCTTATATTCTATTTTTCATTGTAGTGTCAGTGTTATTCTACATTCTGCCTCTATTACATCCTCTTAACTGTAAGTATGCTGTGAAAAACTGCGTCGCATAAAAAATCGTTATATCCTAGGACGTCGTATTATCAAGGATATTCCATGTGGATAGTCTGGCTCATGTGGCTTCTCTCTCTCTTTCTTGCTTCTTTCCTTCCGTTATCGAAATTCGATAATAACACAACACACCATATGAAGAGGATTGCAATCGTTCAGTGTCCATAATGCACTAAGAAAATTAAGAAGAGGAAGTTCACTGTAGTTCCTTTTTTTCTTTTTTTCTTTTTCTTCTTTTTCTTTATGCACTGTCCACATATTTTAACGGTTATGCCAAACAGTCAGATCCAGTCCACGAGTCTGCTGTTCGAGCTGCAACCCGTTACATTCACAACAAACATCGATGGCGATTGATTCAATTTGCTAAAAAAATCAGCGTCGATTTGATTCAACGTGACTTTGGCATTTGCTTCAGGTTACGCAACGTAATTGTATTGGTTCGCATTGTCCTTATCTCGCTCCATGTAATCTCTATCAATGAGAGACTCAATTCGTTTCTTCAAATCTGCAGGCTGAGAAAAGAAGACATTCAAGTATTAGACTACCAATTTTTTTAAATTAAGAAAGAGACAATGAAATGACTACTTTTGTCTTGCACAAAAACCATACCTTAACTGGAAACTTTAATTGATTATACAGTTCACTAATGAGAAGATTGTGTGTCAGTGTTTTTCTCATTTTCATAATTCTGACAATAGCAGCGTCAATCTGATACTGTCTGTCCTGATATACTCTCTCTTCCGTTGCTTTTTGTTCTTCATTCTAAAAAAGAAAAATTTTAAACACCATACATTATACTACAATTAAGGGGGTATATAAGTTCTGATTCATTTTATATATTACATATATAAAAATCAGAACTCACTTTTTTTTTAGTTCATGTAAATAAGTTATCGCTTGAAATAAAAACATAAATGTAATTGTATTTTGTATCAAATACCGTTTCTTTCATTTGAATTTGATTGATCTTGATTCTGAACAGCTTATTTGTAAATTCCGCGTTGAATACGAATCTATCATTGTCAGCGACATCTCGTCCACGCGGATTTTTTTGCAGAACACGAGCTTTCCCGCATGCTAGAGACTGCAATGTTCTTCTTAGCTCGCCATCTTCGATATTTGTGGCAGCTTTGATATCCTCTAATGAGAGATTATCGCTGTCGTTGAACAGAATTAAGACCAGCGCTTGAAATAGCGACACCTGCAGTTCTTTATTACCCTATTTTTATATGGAGAAACACTCTCATGTGTTAATTAATAATTATATATTGATACGATCAACTATCGATAGCGTAACTTCTTTTTGAATACCTGGTTGAACCATGCTTTTAACACGCAATGTCCTAAAGTCGGCTGCCACTGCAATTTCCTACCGCTATGTTTTCCTAAGTAAAACTTATTAAACACATCTTGATACTGCACCATCTCCATTGGTAAGGTGACTTCCATTACAGGATATGTAGGCCAGTATCCCATGGTAAGTATAGACACAGTCAAATCTAAGTTACTTGCTATTAATTCGCTCTGCAAATTCCCTGCATACTGGAAACACATCAAACGTTCGAAATAATATATGAATTTCCTCATGTAAATTTCATGCAGTGAACGACGTAAGTGACAAGCGGCAGATTAAAGTTATTACATTTCTTTTTTATAATAGATTATTGTTTTTCTCACCTGTTTGAACGCAATATTAATATCTTTGCTAAGTTCCATATCTTTGAACATCCCTTCCAACTTACTAGTAAAACCACCACCGCATTCCTGCTTTAATTTAGATAGCATCGATTTTTCAGCATCTACAGAAGCAGATTTCCCTACCAACAGACGTTTGGCTAGGTCCTTTTTGTAGAAAGCTTCAAAAACATCCTTTCCGTGTATAAATCGGAAAAGTACCATAATTTTATCTAGCAATCTTTCCAGTTCCTCTTCTGTTGCTTCTTTATTACCCGCGCGTAACTTGCAGTCCACAAATTTAGCTGAAAACAAAAACGTTCTTTGAATTCTTTGAGTATGCATCAAAGTTGAAGAACAAACTTTTTTCGGCTAACGACTTAATCAAACAAATTATTTCTATTATATATCATATTATACATTATAATATTGCAAATAAATATAGATCATATAATACAGACGTATCACCTATTAATTCTGCTGGTTTGTTCGCTCTCTGATTAATAAAAGCCTCAAAAGCTTCTTTTAAGCTGTTTGCAAACTTTTCATTTTTATGAAAGCATGTATTGACTATGTTATCCATTTTATCTTTGAAATCTAACAGCTCCTGTACCATCGTTTTATCTTTTTCTGGATCTATAACTATTGTCTTGCCTTTTTTCTATATAGATATACAAATACATTATAGTCTTGTTAGCTGCGTGTGTGTATAAGATTCTCACACACACACACACACACACACACACACACACACACACACACATACACACACACATATATATATATATATATATAAAACATAGATATACCTTAATGTAACTGTTGAAGTTCAAACAAAGCTCCACAAGGCCATTCTTTATTCGACTGTATAGGTTGTAAAGTAATGACAAGTCACTAATCCTATTCTCATCTAACAAACCGCTTAAACCTTTTTGTAAAATGCTAGTAATATGTTCAGACAATAATTGTTTTTCTACCGTGTGTATGAGCGACCATCTGAAAAAAGTTAATAAATTTTTTAGACTAAATTATCGTTTTCAACATCTAATGAACGATTCTTATTCTTTCTTACAAGTTAATATAAATTTGATTTCATAAAGTTTTCTATATATGTAATGGTTATATACATATGTGGTGTGCAAATACTTTATATTTTATCCACGTTTTGTTAAAAATGCTAAGACTGATATTATATGATAAAAAAAGAAAAAATTACTTAGTTGATGTATCAAGATAATGTAACAGTCGTTCGTTTTCTTCCTGGAGACGTTTATCCACATGAGCCAAATACTCAGGAACATCATGCTCATTCATTAATCGCTGACCCTCAGCAGCATACAATCTTTCTGTAGCTACTAGGAACCTAAATCAGGAAAATATTATAAATATTATAGATAATAAATATTATAAAATTATACATTATATCTATAAATGATGCAGGATTCTAGTAAAATAAATTTAGATTTTCCATACTTGTAGAGGAAAAATTGGTTGACATAATAAAAAATTTGATATATATATCTACTATAGGGTAATAAATGTGTTAATAAAAGTATTTTTTGTTTATCGCATACTTTGTTTCAAAGGCCTCTTGGTAAATCTGTAGATCTGATAACATTCTTAACAGAGACTTGAGAAGTGTTCGATCCACAGTATCACCTTGTCGTTCCTTTTCAATAAGCATAAGAAGACCTTCCACCGTGCGTGTTTGTACTAAATTGTTCAGCACAATATGTAGTCGGAAGAGATGTAATCCCATATCCCTGAAAAGAGAAATTTCATAAAGTATATTGTTCAGATCGAAGATTTTATCAGGATATCAACAAGCCATATTAACCATATCGATGAAATGCTTGGATTTTGTAGAACATATGTTCTGTCAAGATACAGAAAAATACTCCTGATCATAATCATTTGTCTACAGTGTGATTGCCAACATTCATTCATCTTTTTCAAGAATATATGTCTGTCCATTGATTCTGCCAAAAACTGTTCAATATTGGCTTTCACATGAGATTCTGTCAGAATGGTTAAATTTGTATAAAGTGTTGATGCCATTTTGTGGTTACACATATTTTCAACTGCTTGGTAAAGTTCCTCTAAGGAATAGCGAATGCTTTTGCTGGTTTGTATGGCAACCACAGCCTCCTGTAATTTTTCCCATGTCTGTTCTTGATAGTTCTCTGGTAATTTTGGTTTATCTACGAGAAAATTGTTATTATATTAAGAAACACAAACAAAAATAAAATGTTCTCCAGCATATTTTCAAATATAAGATTCTCTTTTAAAACCAAATATTTACTTATTTTCTAATTTAAATTTGTTTCTAATTTAAAATAGTATGCATACCTCTTTTCTTTAATATTAATAAACTGATAAATCTTGGTTATGTCGATAAGTATATAACTTAATAAAAAAACAAAGTTAAACTTGTGTTGTAATCATAATATTATTGTACATACTATTGTACATACTAATAATTAATAATTGATATTATCAAATTTTAGAAGAAATTTTATTCGTTTTACTCAATTTCCTAAACTTTTTGAAGTTGCCTTTTCATGTTATTTGATTATGGAAGTATATTTTAATAAAGTGCAAACGATGTAAACATAAGAAAAGCAAAATGTCAAAATTAGTGTCTATTTATAGATTTTGCATTGTAATATTTTTGCAACAAAGTGTTCCGTGTATGTATATATATGTACACACATTGTATTGTAGTATATGTATATATATTCGTATATATACACACACATATGCTTATTACGCATCAATACGTTTTGCGTATAAAATGCGCACCGAATATCACGTATGATTACGAATACATGTTTGATAACATGAGCTACCGAGCGAAAAATACCAATTCCTCAAGTTACTGCGATTTAAATATTAGGTTATGTCGTTTTTCGTAAGTGCTATTATAAGACATCTCTGTCCCACAAATCTACAAAAAATCACGCTGAAAAGCCACAAGACGCAATCACAACGAATTACAAACGAAAAGACCGTCAACACAAAGCCGCAAAACCGCGGTATCTCCATGGCAAGTTCAGCGACCGATTTGGAGGTTAGATCAGGTGACGGGTACGGACGTGCGCTCGCTCGCTTACTTTTGAAGTTTTTAATGACGAGCTTTTTCGCGGAGCCGGGTTTCGCGTTCGCCAGGTTCGGCGAGATCTTGTTGACGCCGTTGGGGTTGCCAACGGCTAACGCGGAGAAATTCGCCCTCTTCTGCGTGTCGGTCGCGGCGGCAGCCGCCGTGTCCGTCATGATGACGATGTCGACCTTCCCGCCGGTGCCGTCTGCCTCGGTTTCGTCGGTAGTCAGTTGCGCGATGTCTGTGGTCGTGATCAGCTTGATACGCTTAGCAGAAGTAGAGTAATCCACCACCGCCGTGAGATCGGCGGCAGCAGCGGCGGTGGCGGCGGTGGCGGCGGTGGTAGCGGCGGCCGCCCTCTTCACCTGTGTTGTAGCCAGGATTTGGGTACTCGCGAGTCTAGACATATGCGAGCACCACCCGGCCGTTGGCCTTTCCCCGTTAGTGCACGCACGCGGCAGATAGTCTATTTTCTTTCGCACTGGCTACGCACACCAGATCCAGCACAATCCGTCACAACTCTGTCGCTTGTGCTCAGTCCTGCCTCGTCTCGCCTCCTCACGCTTCGTCTGGAGCGGTGCCACACGTGCACACCTATGTACACATGTATGCATGTATATTGATGTGTACATACACACACTGCACGACCGGAAAAAACTTATTTATCACGGTTACGATACACGGTTATTATTACCACCTACAACGGAACTCGCGACAATTGACGACCACAGCGCGGACGATCTCCTGTTATTGACTATGGATATTGAATATAGGGACATTGTGTGCATATCGGGGGGTAATATTCATTTGTCGTGCGCTCGCTTGGTTGGATTGCCGATTTTTTTTCCAGAAGGAAGTGCCGCCATCCTTTTGCTCGCAGCAGGATGTTATTATCAACGCAACGGTCGGTAATACAAATGCTTTCAATTACTTTGGAGTATCATCTCGCTCGAAGCGTCAGTCATAACGTGGCGGATGGTCTTAAATATTACTTGGTTTATGATCGAAAGCTTTTTCCTTGGTTTTCCTTGGTTTCTTTTCAACTGAGAAATTTTTATATTGCTATTTCTTTTTTACTGAATTGTTTAACATTGACAAAAGAACGTCTTCGTTTTCGATTACCTACAATATTCCTGATTATAATAACCTGATTTTACAGTCAAAATCGTCTTATGCTCATTTGAGACTCGGTGCGACCAATGAAACGGCTTCTCCGGTATCCACGTGTAAAGTGAACTTAAGGTAATCTTCGATGTAAAGCCAGCGGCACACGGTGCTTGTTTTCGTGCTGGATTGCTTGCTGGATGAAAATATTGCGTTGTGATTGGTGCATTTCCGAAGATGGATGAAAATGCACCAATCAGAACACAGTATTTTCATCCAGCACGAAAACAAGCACCGTGTGCCGCTGACTTTAAATTGGATTATGGATAGGAAGAATGGCGTATGGGTACACCTTTCTACCTAAAGCCATATACCGACCGAACGAACAAATGGATTATGGATTGAGGGTAACAAATCGGAAAAGTGTATACATATACGTTTCCTATCACCAGACAGCGCGCTAATCAAATTGAGCATTTCAACATGATTTAACCTCAAATATCGGGTATTGGCCTACAAAGTTCGTTAAAAATCGTCGTGACATGAGACGCGAATTTAGTTTGTAATTTTTTTTTATACGGATAGTGGGGGGACATCATGTGTATTAAGAGATCTTGTTAAAAGAAAGGATATGCAAGTAATTAATAACAAGCAATAATTTCAAGAGAGAAGGATACAGTAGGTAAGTTAATGGCTCAAAAATCATTGCACAGACTGAAAACACGTTAAATAAAAGAACGATTATGATCTTACAATCGAATATCTGTAGTATATAGCTTGACTCGATTAAATGTCATTTTTTAATGTTTTTTTTTCCTAAACTTTCTCTCTTAAAGCACGAATCAAACATTTTTATTTTTTGCAGATAAGCTAGAGAGATCTACACATATCACATATATTACATAGAGCGAAAGCACATGTAACAGGCTGATCGGATGCGTCGGATAATGAATATTTTGATAATTATGAATTATTGAATTGGGCATTTAAGAATTTATTTTTGGTGTAAAGTAGAACAAATGAAGCTAAATGATTGATTCATACCTTAAGTAATAGGAATTCGAACCTTACTGTTTCTTTTACATCATTGCGGCTAATTCAGGTTGGTTAACCTTCACGTTACATAAATTTTGTTAATTCATGTGCAGTTTTTGCATAAGTATATTGTGATTGAATGTATAAATTGAGACAATTTTTGAAAAAGAAACAACTGTTTTGCATTTATTTTTTTGTAATTCATTAAATTTATAAGATTTGTATAGATTTGTTTTACTATAGTTTTAGAGGTTATACCATGTTAAAAAGAAATTTTAAGTTTATTTCTAAAATATTACCATTTGTGTTAAATCTCTTATTATAATGTATATATAATGTGATAATTTGTATTTACGTTTTTTGTATTTGTTTTTCCATTAAGTTCATTGTTTTTTTAAAGTTATATAAGTATGATCATGTGATATGCTTTGAAACAGCTATTTTTACACGGTTAAAAATAAATTTGAAACAAACTTTGCTAAAACTAGTTAGTGATCAAAAGTAACAGAACATGTGATTTGTATGCCAAAATGTATGCTGTTTTTTTCTAAATTTTATGGTTTAACATTTTGTAACACAACTTGTATTACAAATATATACTCATATATAATTTCTAATAACATTTGCAATATATTCTTCTATTAGATGTATAATTTGATATTTCCTAACATTATCTTTTCTATTGTTATGTGATTTATATATTTTTATACTTTATTTTTTATTTTATTTATTAACATTTTTATATTTCTTGGTTCTGGTCTTTGCTTTTTTTAATTATTTCTAAATTTGTACGATGCATCATTAATTAAATGGCTCTATTGAAGTTGTGTTTTTAAATGTTTTTGTTTTAAATAAAAGTTTTCTTACAAAATGTAGTTTGAGGATATTTCTTCTAATATGTTATCAGCATTCAAATATTCTTTTAAGCTGTTGTGTATCCTAAGTTTTATGTCGTTAAATATCACTCTACTACTTTTGATTGAAATAAAATCTAATATAAAAATATTAACTGGATTTAAAATTAAGTATAGAGTATATTATCTATTTTATAATCAAATTTATATGTTTATTGGTGTATATTAATGATTCTGTAACAATTTATAAGTGAGTGAGTGAATTTTTTTTATAGAATTATAATTAAACATTAAATATCATAGGTAAGTGCATATATACTATATTGTTAAATTGAACATTAAAATTCACTAGTAAAATTAACAAAATTATTTTGTTTTTTATATACGCAAAAGAAAAAAGTGAGATAAAATTATATGATGAATCATATATTTGTGTATAAAATAAACTAAAGTAAATTATAAAGTAAACTATAAATAAATAAAGTGTATAGTAATTATACATTACACGCTATTATGCAAATAAATATACAATTAAATGATTCTTTTTGAATTTTTGTATTACAGAATGTCTTTCCTAAGTAAATCAGATCGTGAGAAATGTTGGAGTCGCAGGGACGACTACTGGAAATGCCTGGACGAAAATAAATCTTCAGAGGAATGTTTAGAATTTAGGAAACAATATGAAAAGTTTTGCCCCTCTCAATGGGTAAGTATTGCAAACGGTGTTTCTTTTCACATTATATCAGTAAAATACTCAGTATGTATGTATTTCGTGTTTAACATTGATAGTAAGATAGATGGTAGATAGAGCCATTTGATCGTCTAACAATTCTTCTATATGTCACTGTTATGCAGGTGAAACACTTTGATCGTAAGCGAGATTACTTGAAGTTCAAAGAGCAAATAGAGAAGGGGGGGTACGTTCCCGAAGAGTCCAAGGAAACCTAAAACACTAATCTAACGATTTCTACATTCATAGTAATTCTCTAAACTTAATTCTCAAACTATTAACTAAACTTCATACAACTCGCTCACGAATGTTCTCTATTATTACATCATTGTCTTCATTTGTTGTTGGTCTAAAATAAATGCTTTGAAATAACAAAAGACAATGGTTTTACTGTGACACGATGGTTTTATTATTTTATTCTTCTATTATCCCTAACCGGTACCTCTCTAAAGAGAGTTGCAGCAACACGTTTGCTTTCTCCAAGTTCCTTTGTGCGTGTTTCCAGGATATCTCGAATACGCGCTGAATCTGTCATGAAATTTGACGCTAAATTTGAGTTACTTCAATCACACGCTTATATACTATACTCGAAGCAAATAACTTTTTCCGATTTTGACGATTCTTAAAACTCGCCACAGCACAGCTTTGCGGATTTCATCACAATGTAAAATTACTTTTGTATTAGTTCTTTTTTCGCTCACCTTTCTTCCTTTACTAATTACCGCTCAACAAAAACGTATCGTTCTCCGTTCGTTGCAGGATACGTTGCCTTGACGGCAGGATTCAAAGTTCCGAGAAATCCGATCTGCCGCAGTTCGACAAGGAGAGCCAGGCGGTTCTCGGCTTGCGAGCTGCGGATAAAGACACGTGCAACTAGCGGCGTTATTTGCGAAGACACGCACTGTTCTTGGAGCGACTTGCGAAGTAGTAGAGAAGTCTCACGAAACAATCGAATTACAACCATCATCGTTATTTTCATACCTTGTACGAAATAATGAGCGTCCTTAACGAAAACATGAAACTGAGCGACGTGTTCGACGAATTGCTGAGCTGCCAGGACGACGTGCCGATTTTTCGGGTTGGTATTCCTCGGAGTTGTGCTCCGCGCCGTTTCAGCATCTCCGATCAGACAACATTCGCTACAGTTACTCGTTTTTTTCAGAGATTGATAAGCATTGCGCACTCGCGCTATTCTTTGCTGGCTAACGAGAACACGAGAGAATGGGAGCCGATTCTAAAGCACATTGTACAAATAATCAGCGGCACTTCCGAATCTGCAAACGAGCGCGTCCTGTTGGCGAGCCACGCGTTCCACTCCTTGCTCTCAGCGCGACCTGACTCGTCGTTCCTCCTAGACGTCGTAATACTGTTTCAGAGATTGGAGTCGCGCGATTTGTGTTTTCTCGAAGAGCGCTACGTCGTGTCTGACGTTGTGTTATTCAAGTTATTGAATGCCCATGGTTACCTGCAGGTGAATCGGAAAGACATGTATCACGATCACGTTCTTTCGACCATGTTTGATATTATACATAGAAATTGTACGAAATACACCAGATATTCTTACTTCGCGTACAAAGTGTTGCATGTTTGGTTGAAAAGGACAACGGACACGCGCTTTTGGCATCGAAGCGACATCGTCTTGGAGCAAAAGTTAGAGGCCGTTTTATTTTCCAATTGGTCCAACGCGTTCAACGACGTGCCCAAGCAGAACGCACAGCTGTTCAATGTGTATCTCCGGATCATGTCGGAGAAGTATAATGGATTTCTTAAACACATTTTCGACACGTGCGACAAGTACATATCCTGGCAGGACGAAACGAGGTTTACAATACTGGCGGAAGTTCTTCGACTGTGGGACAACGTTGAAACTATGATGGAGAACTTGACGCAGGATTTTTTGTATAATTTGTTCAATACTTTAACATACAAATCGTTACGTTGCGCTGTCACGAAAGTTTATATGGTAATCTTGAGGAAGCTGAGCGAGAGCGAATGGAGAGAAGTATTTGGGGAGACCGTGAAAACTATAATCGAGCACTGGGAGTCGGGAGATTAGTGAGTTTATATATTGATAATTTTATACTCAAGAGCTTTCAAAATGTAGAGAACGCCATAGATTCATTAATTTCTTGTTCACATTCTCGTTTCTTGGATACAAAATTATACTGAGAACGGATTTCTACAAAATTGTGCGTTTAGAACGCGTAAAGAACATGGTCTGTACATTTGGACATTTTATTTCCTTAGCAAATAATGTCTCCCGATATATGATTAATTATATAATTATATACATATATATACATATATATACATATATATATATGTAATACATAAGGTGTACCAGAAAAATGAGTACTCTGAATTAACTTGAAAGGATGATGATTTTGAAAAAAAAGAATGTTAAATACAAAATTGTTAAGGTTTAGAAATGGATATCTAGTAGTGAATTTGAACTTGACCTAAAGATAAAATTTAGAGGTCAAATTAAGATCAACTTTAAATGGAAATTTCCATTGATAAATTTGAAACTTCTAAAGATCAAGTTAAAAAAGTTAGGTTAACACTATTGTAACAGCATATATTTTTGAGATCAAATGAAGTAAAAAAGTTCAGTACCACTTTTTTTTCCGACAAATAGTTATCGAGATATTGTACATTATATATTGAAAAAGTTACCAAGATTTCCTTAATATTTCAAAAAATATTAGGCAAATAAAAAAATATTTTAGATAAAAATTGTCCGAATTAATTGCTAGAAAAAGATGATATAATAAACAATGGTGATTTCCATTTACAATTTTAAAGTTGACCTTGATTTGACTTCCAAATTTGATCCCTAAGTTGGGTTCAAGTTCACTACTAGATGCCCAAACCCTAAAACTTTTATTTTAACTATTTTTTTTTTAAATGTCATCCCTTCAAGTTAATCCGGAGTACCCATCTTTTTGGTACACCCTGTATATGTATTCACACATATACACACGCACGCACGCACTCGCACTCTCACACAGACACACTCACTCACACTCGCACTCACACACACACACACACTCATACACACACACACACACACATATATACAGGGTGATTCAAAACAACCTTTCATTATTAAAAGTATAAAATCCTGATAAAATTCTAAAACAACTTTTCCTCTTGCAAAATTTTGGCAAAGGCTTAGATTTTAAATTATTAACAAAAATAGTAGACCTATTGCGGGTCGGGTACAGGAGGTAGACAGGTGCGGCGCAACTCACCGTCAGACGTGGGTGCTAACGCAGAGTACCCGCAGCAATCAGCTGATCACACTACACATGTTATACACTAGCATGAAAATGCATTCTTTAATTTCACAGTTTCTTCAATATGGAGAGAACCGTAGGTTGATATTTACGACGCGGAGAATGCGTTTTACAATAGGAAAATCCCTCGGTGGTGGTAAGAGATGCATTATGTAATCGCAAATATATTTATTACAGCGAGGATTTCGACGCGCTTCATTCGTTACTGAAATATTGGCTCGATCCGACTATTGACACGCACAAGGACACTTTCACATTTTTATGGGAATTACGCACCGAATCGCAGGACTGTTACTTCCATTCGCATCTACTGATGACAGCCGCTAGATTGAATATACTGTTGCCGCAAATGTGCGATATCGATCGTTACATCAACGACAGACGAGAAATCACACGAATGAATGCTTTTGCTGCACTTTGCTATCGCGATCGTCCGGACAAGATCTTCGGCGACAACCAGACGAACCCGTTCATTCAGATTAAACGATTCCTGTGGTTTAACGCCAATGTCTCGAGCGTCCTTATGCGCGAACATATAGTTAAATATTTCAAAATATTGTATTCCAATATATTAAGGACGATTTATGCGAGGGCTAAATGCGCGAGATCCATTCGCGAGTTCACCAAGTGGCTGCACGAATTCTTCATGGATTGTTTCGAGATAGGTTCGTGTTATCAGCGCAAGATCCTCGCTCTGAAGCTGTACACGGCCTTGCTCAGTTTCACGAGAAGAGACTCGTACAAGAACTGCGATTATGGCGAATATCTTCGTAACATTGCAACGATTGATAAATATCTGATTGTCACCGACAACTGGAGATTCACGAATGAGGAGAGCCTGTCGGCACTATTGAGACTCGTGCTGGACAGCACACTCGATATCCGACAGTTAGCCACCGACCTTATCCTGAAATATTTCAAGAAGGATATTCTGCCAGATGCGGATAAGGTGAGCGTGAGAAAGTTCTCGCGATTGCGCTGTCTAAAATAATAATGATATAAAACTCTGTAGGTGATCTATGCCTGCGGGATGCAGCGTTGCAACTCTTGCAAGTTTTACGAAGTCGAGAGCGGAGCGGCTTTCATGAAGATACTGGCGCATTGGTCGTCCTCGGACAAGATTAACGGATTGGAAGACTCAACTGCAATATTCTCCGGTGACGAGTTTAACGACATTGTCAATTTGAAGCGCGCTTCCTTGAATTACTCGACGGTCCTGTTGTGCCTAGCCCGTCAGCAATTGACACTGATGAAAAGCGACATACTGAAAGCTGTAGCCGAGAATCGTCCTTTCTACGGAATGTTGACCGCTCTACTGGCGATCACTTTCCGCGCCGGCCCGGAAAGTCGAAGTTCGTCCACAGATCCGGAATTCACGGGAGAAGTGCTGAATCTTTCGAAGGACGCTGCTGACTTCTTCTTGTCCACGTTATTCATGAAACAATCGAACACAGGTGTATGTGAGTGAATGATTAACAAATACGTGCATATACAGGGTGTCCCATTTTTAAGTTTCCACTAAAATATCTCTTTAGAAAAGCATTTAAGAAAAAAATGTTTCAGACAAAAGTTGCTTGGCTTGAAGGGAGACATAAGACAACAATATCATTTTGTTTATAGATGGCGCTGCTTTTGAGATATTCACTGATCATTACTTTTCTTAAATGAAAACCTGAGTTTTTTATTATATCATCTTTTTCTATCAATTAATTTCTATCAATTAACAACTTTTGTCTGAAACTTTTTCTTTTTTTATTCGCCTGATATTTTTTGAAATACTTAAGGAAAATTTGATAACTTTTTGAATATTTAACTTACGATATCTCGCAAATTATTTTTCGGAAAAAAAAGAATACTAAACTTTTTTATTCTATTTGGTCTCAAGAATATATTGTTACAATAGTGCTTTGACTTTTGTTAATTTGATAATTTTGAAATTTCCAAAGGTCGATGAGTTAACAAAAGTTAGGGCACTATTATAGCAATATATTGTTGAGACTAAATAAAGTAAAAAAATTTAGTATTATTTTTTCTTTCGATATAAATAGTTAGTGAGATGTCGTAAGTTAAATGTTGAAAAAGTTACAAAGTTTTCCTTAAATATCTCAAAGAATATTAGGCAAATAAAAAAATGTTTCAAACAAAAGTTGTTCAAATTGATTGGTAGAAAAAGATGATATAATAAAAAATTGGGATTTCCATTTAAGAAAATTGATAATCAGTGAATATCTCGAAAGTGGTGCTATCTGTAAACAAAATGATATCGTTGTCTTATGTCCCCCTTCAAACCAAACAACTTTTGTCTGAAACATTTTTTCTTCAATGCTTTCCTAAAGAGATGTTTTAGTGGAAACTTTAAAATGGAACATCCTGTATATACACAATATACTCAATATTTTTAACTATAAACACGATCGTACAATAATTGTCACTTATTAAGAATTAACAATGATTCATTGGAACTGTTTATAATAAATTAAACAATTGATAAATTTCTCTGTTCAGTGCATTAAGATTAATTCTAGAGAACTTCATAATTACTGAGGAAGATCATTGCGTTGATGATATAAAAATCATTGCTCGTAAGAACGATTAATTTTATAATTTACGTACTTCAGTTTTGTCTTTCAGTTTATTCGTCGTCATTCGCGGAGATGGGATTGGCTATCGATGAGCATATTAGGATCAGCGAAATAGACGATTGTAATTATGGTAAATTGCAGTTATCACCAGCACATCAGGTCCTTATCTCGTGCATCTGGATGTCCCTGAAGGTATGTTTCCTTTGAGTTTAAACTCTAAATTTAATGTCGCACCAAAATAAATTAAATATTACATACTTTACCATCGCTAGAATCTGCAGGATGTTTAAAAAAAGGGTTCAGAATTTTAAGGGCAGATAGTATTCACAAGATGGAAGAAAAAAGTCTTGATAAACATGGGTTGAAAAATTAATATTGTCGGAGTTATGAACAATTACTTATTTTAATTAAAGCAAGTGACTTATTCGCTTCTGGTGCACGACCGTACATGAAATGCATCTTTGCCATTTCTTGATCGGAATAATATCGGATGTCGTTCTTATCGTAGTGTGAAAATTTTGTGACATTTTGTTCTCTGCAACCGTTCATTGTTGTTCACGAGGGTGTGACTAACAATTGCTTGGTAAAAGGTGTCTATAAATGAGAAGAAAATAGCTGTTTACATTCCGAGCGAGAGCGAAGAGACTTTTTTAGGAATTCCTTTAAAGCATATGATACTCTCTTCATCGATAAATGACATAGACAAATTACATCAAAGAATACAAAAATACCAAAAGTGAATAAGTCGCTTGTTTCAATTAAAATAAATAATTATTCATAACTCCGATAATATTGATTTTTCGATCTTTGTTAGGACTCTTTTCCTCCATGTTGTGAGTACCATCTGCCCCCAAAGTCCTGAACTCTTTTTTTAAAACACCCTGTATACTACGATATAATAAATAGAACATGCATAATATACGCGCCAATTTCGCATAGGTGTTGTGCGAGATTGCTAGCGAAATCGGGATGCTGATGCAGTCGGAAGAGATGGTGAAGAGCTCCATGGATATTATCGTCATGGTATTGCTGAAGTGTCGGCATAAAGGTGTAGTGGAATCCGCTGGAGTGGCGATCGCGAATTTATCCAGGTGACTGTTCGACACGAAATGAAAATATTTCGTCGATGTGACTGTCGTGCAAATCAGCGATTGTCGGGACGACGAACGATCGCTTAATTGTTTCAGACGTCTATACGATAGGAAGGAGTACTGCGAGCTACCGCAAACGTATCTAACGAGTTTGTTGGGGGAGGCTATGGAGGGAGAAGAACTGTTGCACCTGACACGTCGAGGCGCAGGATTGTCTATTATGTTCCACAAATTGGTCGTCAGCGACAACCGAAGGGACCGACCTATGGTGCATTTTATGGTGCAGAAGTTGTTACGCTCTCTGGAGAACTTCTCGCTGGTGGAAATTAGAGAAGTTCAGTCCGACTCTTCAGGACTACTTCAGGACTCACCGTGGGCGAGACGTTTGTACTTTCTTTGTACATTGGTAGCCGATAAGGAGATACACGCCAGCTTGATCCCGTACATCGAAGAGATCTGTTTGAGGTGTTTCGATTGCATCGAGTCCGACGTTTGGACCGTAAGGTATCGCTACAATGCTAATTACATCTCTTGTCGATTATATATTGGGAGTGTGATTTAACCTTCGAAGGTTCTTTTTTCTCAAAAACTGATTTACTTAAATAAGATAACGAACGAATAACTTAATCAAAATATTTTCTTTCGTTTTCTACAACTTCTTCCCATTTTGCTGGCAAGAGGTAGATTCCGCGACGATAAAAAGATTCTTCTTGGAGTTGATCCAATTTTCAACAAATTTTCGCACTTCTTAGAAATTATGAAAGTGCGTATCCTCTAGAACATGTTGCATCGGCCGGAACAAGTGATAGTCGGATGAAATAATGTCTTGAGAATATGCGGGATGCGGTAAGACTTTCCATTCTAGCTCTAACAGCGTTTACTTCACTGATAATGCAATATGAGGTCGAACATTGTCGTGAAGAGGAATCACTTTGCGTCACTTGTCGTTTACCCGCAATTGGTTTTTGATCCAATGTTCGCTTCAATTTGTATAACTGTTGTCGATAACAATCAGCGGTGTTTCATTAGTTTCATTAGAATTTAACAGTTTATAATATACAACTTGAACCTTCTTGATCCCACCAAATGTACAGCAATACCTTTGAACCGTGAATGTTGCACCTCAAAGTGGATGTTGCCGGTTGGTCTGGATCAACCCATGATTTTTTTCGTTTATAGAAATTTTCGGATTATCGAAATAGATGCATTTTCATTCTCAGTAACAATTCGATACAGAAAATTCTTCATTTTTTGTCTGGCGATCAACGAAATGCAATTATTCAACCGGTTCGCAATGGCATTTTTCGATAATTCATATGGAACCCATTTTCCTTCTTTGAATCTTTTCCATATCATATAAACATTTAGCAACTGTTGTACGATTAACATTTAATGCTCCGGCAAGTTCTGAAGTGGATTGTGCTGGATTTTCGTCCAATAATGCTTGCAAATTTGCATCTTCAAGCCTTTTGCTTATCCTGAGCGATTTTTGTCGTTAACATGGAAATCATCATTTTTGAATCGTCTAAACCAATATTCACGCGTCTTAATTAATGGACCAACATCACCATAAGTTTCCATCAGAATTCTATGATCTTCAGCTGCCGTTTTCTTTTGATTGAAAAACAAAGTAACGCATATCGAAGATGCTCTTTCATTTTTAAGATGGTATTAACACGATTTTTACTGCGCCTATTGCTAATAAATGAACTAAATATCATGGATTAATATTAAAGAAACAATAGCCGTGTGACTGGAATGTTTCGACAAAACGGACATTAGTGTCATTTCTTGCAAAATCCTCAAAACTAAATCACGCTCCTAATATTTGCGACATTACAGATATTTGTTGCGACGTTATTCATTTATTATTTACATTTATATTTATTACTTATCTATTTATTATTTTACATTTATTATTTATTCGTTTAGTACATATTTATTTATATTTATTACTTATCCATTTATTATTTTATATTTATCATTTATTCGTTTAGTATTTATTTATTTATATCTCTATTATTTATCCATTTATTATTTACATTTATTACTTATTCATCTATAATATTTATCTATATTTATTTCTTACCTTTACATTAAAATCAACTCACCGGACTGTGTTCTTCAAAGCCGGTTTATTTTCTGGGCATGGTTCGCTTAACCCTTTGAGCCACGAATTTTTCCTTTTAACCGATTTCTATAAAACTTCGTATCAAAGGGTTTTCTGGGTCGCTGATTACGAATCCGTTGTCAGATTTTCAAAATTCAAAATGGCGAATCCAATAGCGGACGTAAAGTTCAAAATCAACCAATTTCCGTGAAACTAGGTATCTAGGGGTTTTTAACACGTTCATTGCCGTTCACGCGATATCGCGTGATCGTCGCTAATGAGTTTCTATGCGGGATAGAATAGCGGCCACAGCGAAACGGCATGTGATGTTTACATAGGCCACTGGAGAAAGGATCGAACTCTCGTGGAGGAGGAAGGCCAGTGGCCTCCAGCCATCGTCTGTTGTTTTTGCTAGCCAGTGCGCACAGTGGCGGCGTTCGAACTAGGCGATGACTCGACGATTTTGTTTAGGTTACTCGTTGATTTAACGCACTTGAAGTTTGGTTTTTATTTATTTTGAATATTATTTATTGTTTTTTATTATGAGTGACAAACCAGGACCCTCGAAAAGACTCAGTTCAATGCCAGATCGTGCAAAAAAACGACTAAAAAGTACGGATGTGGAAGAGTTATTATTGGACTCGGACGACGACATTTATGCAGGGAGTGATGTCGATGATATAGACTACGATTTTGGTGATAGCGAAATTAACTCGGAATCTGAAGAAGACGAAACTTCGCAGTTGCAGGTAGAACGAAATAATGAGGTTGTAAGTGAACAACAAATTTTCGTTCCCTTCAGTCAACTGTCAGTTCGTCCCGTTTCCCCTTCTGGTTCTGCGGCGCCATCTGCAACAACTGTGTCACTACCACAATGTCCGTCTGACCAGCCATCGCGCGCAGCTTCAACGACACGTTGGAGTACCGACTTCAGTTCGATGAGGGAAATTCCCTTTACTCGGACAAATGAACTACTAGTGTCAGCGGCGAATAATCCGAGGGATTATTTAGATTTATTTCTCAATGAAGATTACTTACAAAAAATCGTCGATTGCTCAAACAGATACGCAGAAAACTTGAAAAATTCATCTCATCAGGTTCAGTCTCGAATTTCCCAATGGAAGCCACTCACTGTAGAAGAACTGAAAATCTTTATTGGGTTACTATTACACACTGGTACAGCAAAAATGAATCGCCTTGTTGATTACTGGAAAATTCACCGTTTATATAAATCAGTTTTCCCTCAATATATGTCGACAAATAGGTTTCAACTTATTCTAAGATGCCTTCATTTTGTTGATGAACAAAATAATGCCGATCGCATGAATAAATGCAAATTAATAATAGACAACTTCAACAATATTATGGAGTCTATTTATTATCCGGGTAAAAATTTGTCTTTAGACGAATCCATGATTTTATGGCGTGGTCGACTTATTTTCCGCCAGTATATCAAGGGAAAAAGACACAAATATGGAATCAAGTTGTATGTACTTGCGGAACCAAATGGTACCATCTTAAAAGTTCATGTTTTTGCCAGTACGTTAGATGAAACTGCTGGGAAAGGCCACGCAGAAAAAATCGTGGAAAAGTTATTAGAGGGAAAATTGTATGCTGGCCATGCAATATTCATGGACAATTTTTATAATAGCTACAGTTTAGCTGTCAAATTATTGGAGCAAAATACATATTGCACCGGCACATTGAACAAGAAACGAAAAGAAAATCCACCTAGCATAATTACAGAAAAACTAAAAAAAGGCGAGAATATATCACAGTGTCGTAACGGTGTCCATGTAGGGAAATGGAAGGACAAAAGGGAGATAAATTACATCACTACTGAATTTCCTGACGAAATGCAAGAAGTGACCACCAGACGCGGCAATGTTGCTATGAAACCCGCAGCTATCATAAATTATAATAGAAACATGTCCAGCGTTGATCTACAGGATCAAATGCTTAGTTATTATCCATGTGAAAGAAAGACTTTGCGTTGGTATGTGAAAATTTTTATACATACTTTGATGATGAGTTTGATAAATGCCCGGGTACTTTATAATAAATATTCTAATAAAAGGAGCATGACTCTTTATGATTTTAGAGAGAAAATAATTGAATCGTATTTGCCAGAAATAACATCTGACCCACAAATCACGCAGAAGAGACGTGGAGACCGAGACCAACACAAGTTGACTAAAATTGAAAAAGCCAAACCGCGATGTCTAAGCACTGGCAAAACAGTAAACGCAACGTCCAGAAAGGATTGTAGAAACTGTTATAAAAATAAAAAAAGGGTAAACACCACCACTGAGTGTAAAAACTGTCCAGGTTCTCCCCCGTTGTGTATTGACTGTTTTTTTGACTTGCATGATTGCACTGCTAAATAAATTTATATTTTGTATCCCTTTTTGTGTTTTTTGTATTTTTGTTTTTTGAATATGTAAGTGATTTACAATTTAGAGTAAGTTTATTCGTTGTATAAGTTTTTTAGTTAATATTATAATATGTGCAATTACGAAACCAATTAGTTCAACGAAACCAAAATTAGTAAGTTCCTGTAAATGTTGATTTTTGCTAATATAAATGTCTATTTGTGCGTTATTTTTAATACTTATAAGTGATTATATAGAAAGATTGATAATTAAAGTTATAATTATTATATTTAAATGTTTTTTATTGGTAAATATTTAGAGTACATTAAATCCTACTTACATAATAATAAAAGTATATAGATAATATACTAACTTATTTTGAACACAATAAAAACTAAATAAAAGAAAAAATAACTTTGGCCACCACACGAAATTTAAATTTTCAGTTTGGCAATGAACGTGTTAATGTCGTTTTAATTACAAATCCGTTGTCAGATTTCCGAAATTCAAAATGGTGTAGAATTTGGGTTTTTTAAAATTCTCACTTTACTGTATTGAATCAGCTATTGTGAATTTTGAAAATCTGATGATAGATTCATAACTAACGACTTAAAAACCCTTCAATACCAATTTTTCTAGAAATTGTAATTTTTTTAAGTTTTCCGTCCGACATATTGGATTGGTCATCTTGAATTTTGACAATCTGATGATGGATTCGTAATCAGCAACCCAAGAAAATCTTAGATACCTAGTTTCACGGAAATAAGTTAAATTTTTAATTTTATGTTCGTCATATTGGATCCGCCATTTTGAATTTTTTAAATCTAACAACGGATTCGTAATGAGCGCCCCACAAAAATCCCTGCGTATCAATTCCCAGATAAAAATAGTTAATTCTTCGCCTTACCATACATTTATTCTTATAAACATTTTATTGTGTTTACTTATTTACTATTAGCAATAATAAATTTAAAGGATTTATAAATAATCACAATTATTTTACACTAGTTAGGGTCTTAAGAAGCTAGAAAATATAATTGCTAAGAAAATCGATCATTAAAACTGCTTATAAAATATAAAAAACTGACGGAATATAGGTGGATCTTTGGGTATCCACCTGCGCCACAAAGGGTTAAATTCCACGGCGTCGTTTCTCTTCTATCCCCTTATACCTAATATACGACATCCTTCCTTGTATACGTTATATCTGTTATATGTAAGCAAGGAACATGAAATGAATGTTTAGAAATGTTGATTTTACGTGAATTTTTGAACGTTTCTTGAATAATATTATATATACATTTAAAAACTATTATTTTGCAATATGATTTTTCTATATGTTGTTAAAACATTTTATAAAACATTATAGCAAATATTTTTTAAATATTATTTTAACATTTATTTGATGTTAATGCAACAATTAAAAAATGTTTATAATTTGATATTAGATTTGCAACATTATAACATTCTCATTCATTTAAACATTACTGAAACTTCGAAATTATACCCAGAATAAATACGTTTATATGAAGCGAAGAATTGGTGTAGTGTTAAAATGATAGACTTGTAATCCAAAACCCTTTCGGATGTCGGAGTTCAGTCCCACCAGTACCAAGTGTGAATTTTTCAAATGTGATGTGACATGGTATCAATAAAGTAAACTAAGTTTCAAGTAAAACCAGCATAACAACTTTAAGAATCGTTTCTACTGGAAAAAGAGCAATAATTAGTTTTTAATTTTTGTACTGAGAAATTACCAAAATGTTAACAAAATTATTAGCACAACATTATTTATAACAACTTTACATTTGTGAATTCAACAGTACCGAAACCTCCAAATCGGGGTCAAAGTTTGTTCATTATGATATTGCATACAACGTTAGATACGATATATTTGAAAACGTTACATGTTACTGAATATCGTCATAATAACGTTGTAATAATGACTTTTTGCTTACTGCAATTCCTTAGGAACGCGAGTTTGCAGTTGTACGGCGCGGTGGTGCCGAGACTGGTGGGCCAGTGCTCGGGGAACAAGAAGGACGGTTCGTTGGACTTCGCGGACGGTTACTCTCTCAACCATTTCATCACGCATTACCCGAAGCTGGCGGGTCGTATGCTGATGCAATTGCAATCCGCCTCGAAGATAACAGGAACCTCGGACGCGGCGTTGCGCTCGTACGCGAAGGTCGCGCACACGCTCGCGCTGCTGTCCAGGATGTGGACGGGTGGTTGCGACCTCGTCGATTATCCGTCGTCCGCACTCATACAGCACTTCCGGAAACCGTTGTACGAGCTCTGCGAGAAACCGATGATACACATCAGACAACTGGCTGCTAAAGCGTACGTGGCGCTGACACCTTCGACGTGTCTCGGCTCGACCTTGGATACGATTCAGCGGATCATTCGTGAAAGCGACAACGACAATCGGTCATACGGACTGTTCCTGATCGTTGGACATCTGGTGGACAGGTTGATACGCGACACTCTTGCTTCAAGTCGCCCACATGTACCCAAAGAGACACGTACCTCCGATTTATACGCACATTTTTGTCAGCGGTACAGGAACGTATTGACAGCTTGGCGAGATATGTGCAAGGACGAGGGGTATTATAAGCAGCCATGCTACATGTTGGAAACGTTGTTCTTCGAGATGATGCAAGCCGACGGTGACATGAACTTCTTGCCGGACGAGCACGACGATATTTGGGCGACAATCGGACGCATAACGCCGTCGCAAAAGATCCAGCCGGGGTTCTTCCAGTTTCTCTCCCTCCGGGCGCGACACTGCGCGTTGCATATGAAGAACAGCATTCCGGAAATCGCGCGTAGTGTCTTAGATGCGAATTGCACCGAGCAAAGTATCGGATTCCTCAACGGTACGTCTCATTCAGTTTCTTTACTTGAATTCATCCTGACGTACGTGACCTCAATGAGAGACGATCACGATCCGTTACTTCTCGCTCACATGGCAAGATTGGTGCGAGGAATAATGAAGAATGATGATTTGTTCGACGATGAAGAGCCAAAGCTCGACAGCTTGGCAAGAAAGTTCCGCAGAATTGCTGCGGACACCGTTGCGACGAATCCGAATGTGGTCTACATGAAGAACGCGCTGATCCTGGCGTTCTCCGACCAGGAGATGCTGATCAATGAAACGTTATCGCATGTTCTCAGCTTGAGCACGGATGACGAACAATCGGTGAGGCTGGCGGCGACGGATTACCTTGAATTCGCGTTTCGTCGTTTCGCGCAGCTGACGGATGACAGCAGGTTGACATTAATGAAATGCTGCTTGATCCTGCTGAAGGACGAGGTCACCGAGATACGCGACGTCGTGTCGACGTTACTGCAGAAATATGCGATTCATCAGCGCATCAGGTCCGAGCCACCGCGACAGCTACAGCACGCTGAGATCGTCTACCAGCGGTTTTTAGAGGATGTCGTCTGCCAACTGTTAACTGATCAATCGCTGACTGTTGATGATGCACTCAATAACAAGGTTGCGAACATTGTACTGTACTTCACACGCGGGATCAAGAACTCGACCGATTCTAACGTGACTATCGAGAACCCGTTTTATCACGACGATGCTACTTTTTATAAGGAGGAATCCAAATTCTTAAATTTGTGCTATTTGTATGGAAAACTCAGGATTATCGATGAATCTCCGTGCGCTAACAAAAACAATTGCTGCGACGTTGCACGCGCGGTAGAAGTAAGTCGCGAGTTTCGGAAGAAAATTACTTGTAATTATGATTTGAAAACGTTTTTGTGCATCAAAGAGATGGATTACTTGATACGCAAACGAGATTTTCTACTACAATGTCTATTAGTAAGCCCAATTGTTCACCTATCTTTGAGTTGAAATTGTGACACTAAATTATATCAGTATGACCCTTACGGAAAAAACACTCAAATATTGAGTATCTATACTCAATTATTCGAATTTATTCTTAAATGTGAGTGTATACATTCAAATGTGAATATATACACTCAAATTTAAGAGTAAATTCGAATAATTGAGTTAGATACTCAATATTTGAGTGTTTTTTCCGTAAGGGGATGTCTGAAGTTTTGAGACAATCATAAATTTCTTCTTTTTTTGTCTAAATAATCTAAACAAATCTGTCCGAATAAGTCTGTTAAATAATTCATTCATCATCAGCGCAGTCAATTTTTCAAATAAATAAAATAATTTATGAGATCTGCTAATAAAACAAAATTAGCTTTCTACCTTAGTTTATAAGCTAGTTCTACATTAGTTTATAAGATGATTTTTCATATTATAAATATAAATTTTTGAAATGAATATAGTTGGCATTATGTATGTATGTTGAAATAACTTTTTGTTTTAATTAGTTCATGTATCTAGTTTTGTTTGCTTTCCTTTCAATTCATTGTTATCAAAATCATTGACTTTTGTTAACTTACTGATTTTTTGGAAATTTCAAAATCATCAAATTAACAAAAATCAGGGCGCTATTGTAACAATATATTCTTGAGACTAAATAAAGCAAGAAAGTTTAGTATCACTTTTTTCCGACAAATAATTAGCGAGATATCGTAAATTAAATATTGAAAAAGTTTTCCTCAAATATCTCAAAAAATATTAGACAAATAAAAAAATATTTTAGATAAAAGTTGTTCAAATTAACAAGTAGAAAAAAACAGTGTAAAATAATAAGGGTTCCCATTAAAAAAACGCAAGTTGACCTTCAAATGACCTTGAAAATAGAGGTCAAGGTCAAAGTCAAAGTCATAAGATAGCTCACTTAAATCCCTACAACTTTTATTCAGATCATTTTCCTTGAAACTTCAATACTGAAGAGTTATTTGTGGTGGGACATTAAAATGAGACACCCTGTATATGTGTGTGTGTGTATACAGGGTGTCTCAGAACTTTGGCACACCGGCTCCGTAGAGATATAGAGCTAAGTGAGAGGAACGAGAAAGTCCTCTGCCATAATGTGAAAATTGTAATAGTTTTTTAATCATAACAGCGTAAAGTTTGGCGTTTTCCACGCCCAGCGCGGCCTATCGACGCTTCGCGGCAAGTTGTGTGCGTAGGGGCTGAGCGATAACGCGGCTCGCGCTGACCGTCGCGCGACGTCAAAGCGCCAAGACGCCATCGCGACAATCAGTGCTGACAATCAGACGAGGCGTTATCGCTCATCCCCTACGCACACAGCTTACCGCGGAGCGTCTATAGGTCTATAGGAAAACGCCAAACTTTATGCGGTTATTACTAAAAAACTATTATGATTTTCACATTATAGTAGAGGACTTTTTTGTCCTTCTCACTTAGCTCTATGTCCCTACGGAGTCCGTGTCCCAAAGTTCTGAGACACCCTGTATAAAAAATACTAGGACGGCGAAATATCTCGAAAACTAAGCATTTTAGAAAAAAATGTTTCAGACAAAAGTTAAAATTAATTGATGGAAAAAAATGATATAATAAAAAATTGGGATTACCATTTAACAAAAGTAATGATCAGTGAATATCTCGAAAGTGATTTGTAAAAATGATATAATTGTTTGATGTCCTCTCTGAGACCATCCAACTTTTGTCTAAAACATTTCTTAGTATCTTTCATATTTTTCGAGATTTTTGCCTAACTCACTTAAAATGGGACATCTTGTATATATATCAGATTTGTACCATAATTTTGCATCTCGTAATTTCTATTATCTTAATCACTATTTTAATTATCGATTGATTAATTAGTCGATCAATAAACAATAACATATAATTTTGTTAAGATGTTAAAATGAAAGAAGCAAAGTATTACAAGGTGTACAAATGAATAATTCAACATTTTCAGCTAAATTCAAGGTTTATTTTAACTCATTTGCATCCAATATTCCGCGAGCCGCGACTGTCTGCTATCACTGAACGCGGAATATTCCGCGAGCCCGCGACTGTCTTATCACCGTGCGCGGAATATTCCGCGAGCTCGCGACTGTCTTTTATCACCGAGTGCGGAATATTCTGCGAGCCCGCGACTGTCTTTCATTACCAGTCGCTGAATATCCTTCAAATGCCACAGATCGTGTCTGATCCCTTTTGTGAGCATCTCGCCTACATCAGTTCATTATATTCTAAACAAGTTTTACTTTCGTTGTGAAAATCTTTTTAACTGCCATTGTATGAGTAAGTGCTGTCAATCTATATTTAAATTTAACAAATCTAAATTTAAAATATAATCTAATTTTATAATTCAAACTAAAATTTAGTTGCCCCAATGGATTTTGACCATCTTGACGATTCGGATTCAAGTATAGAAATAGGACATACTCGAAAACGTATCCGTCGCATTTCATCAAGTGATGACAGCGAAGTTGATCAGTGCAGCAGTTTTATAAATGAAGATTACATGTGGAAAGCCGAAAATCATACGTCAATTATACATGATTTTTCAAGTGTGGGTGGTGCAACTGTAAATACGCAACATCTGTCGAGAAGGGAAGTTTTTGAATTATTTTTTAACAAAGAATTAGTTTCCAAAACAATTACAGAGACAAATAAATATGGCGCAACCGACGCAGATTTTATACCTCTTACAGACGATGAACTAAAAGTATTTATTGCTTTAAACATTTTAATGAGTTTAGTTTCTAAGCCCACTATTCAGAGTTATTGGACCACAGATAAAAGCATAGAAACACCATATTTTAATAATATTATGCGCCGTAACCGATTTGTCTCTATCGCTAGAAATTTACATTTTTCTAGTAATAATAATTCTAATGACGCGCTCATAGAAATTCGAGAAGTTTCTGAAATAGTAAAAAAGACTTTTATTCGCATGTATGTACCAAATAAAAACATTTCGATTGATGAATCATTAATGCAATGTAGAAGTCGTTTACATTATATACAATTTATTAGAACAAAACGAGCGAGATTTGGTATTAAGTTTTACAAACTGTGTGATTCGAAATCGAGATACATACACAATTTTAATATATACGTAGGAAAAGATAAAACTAATACTGGATCTGCTAGCAGAAATGTTGTAATAAATTTGTTGAAAGAGAGTGGGTTATTGCACAAAGGATATTGTTTGTTTATTGATCATTGGTACAGTTCACCGACCTTATATCGAGAATTATATAATATGGAAACAAACGTATGTGGAACAGCGAGAATGAATAGGAAAGAAATGCCTCGCGAACTAAAATTACACCAATTACAAAAGGGAGAAGCTGTTGTATTTTCTACAAGGGATATGGCGGCAATAAAGTGGAAGGATAAAAAAGATGTCGTTTTACTAACAACTATGCATGGCTTAGATTTTGCCGAAACGGGGAAAACAAACCGATATACCGGACAAAAAAGTTTAAAACCAACAGTAGTAATAGATTACAATCAATATATGGGTGGAGTTGATGTTGGCGATCAAATGTTAAGCAAATTTCACACTATGCGAAGATGTAAAAAAGCCTATAAGAAAATATTTTTTTACTTCATAGACATGATGTTACTAAACAGTTACGTAATTTTTAAAAACCATAAAAAAGATCGAGCTTTTCATGTTTACAAACAAAAATTAGCCGAAGAAATTATTGACAAATATTTACCAAATGTAAAAGTAAGTAAGGCATCTATCAATGATTCGATAACGCGATATACTGGCAGGCATTTTCCTATACGGATACCTGCAACTCTAGCAAAGGGAAACAGAACATCAAAGCGATGCGTTGCATGCTTATCTAAGTCTCTTCGAAGAGAAACAGTTTTTAAATGCCATATCTGCGATGTAGCATTATGTATTGATCACTTTAAGGAATTCCACGAGAAATAATTTTTTTATTTTATCTATAAAATAATTTTTTTTCTTTTTTTATAAAAAAAATGTAAAATGCGTTGTTTGCGATGTAACACTGTGTATCATTTGTTTTAAAAAGTATATGTTAAATAAACTCCATGAACAATTCTGGTGTCATGTACTGCACATACGACCGACCACGCGCGGTGATACGGGCCAGTCGTCAATTGAACGTCGCTGATCCCTGAACACGGCACATTAAGTAGGATCATGATGCAAATGGGTTAAAAGAAAGTAAAACAAATTTGTCAATTAAAATATTCGCCGTTATTTTCTATGACTTGAAGCCATCTTTCAGACAGCTGATAAATGTCATGTCGGAAAAATGTTGTATCTTTGGATACGATAAAGTTGTCAAGCCATTTTCTGATCTCATCCACTGATTTGAAGTGCGTATCGGACAAAGCATGTTGCATCGATTGGAACAAATAGGAATCGGTAGAAGCGACGTCTGATGAATACGCTGGGAGCTGCAAGGTATCCCAGCTTCATGTCCAAGACTCATTATGATGTCGTGGAAACATGTATGGCCTAGCGTTATCAGGTAACAATTTCACAGGACGTTCTCCTTTGCCGCTGTACGGGCATTTTCGTCCTTATTCTTGATTCAAATGGTGTTAATTGGTGTTGGTAGCGGTCCGCAGTAATTGTTTCATTTGGTTTCAATAGCATAATAAATCACGCCCTTCATATCCTACCAAATGCAAAGCAGCCCTTATGGAAAAAAAAAACTCAAATATTGAGTGTTTACACTCAATTGTTCGACTTTACTCTTAAATGTGGGTATGAAATTTCAGTATATATATCCATTTGAGAGTAAATTCGAATAATTGAGTGTAACCATTCAATATTTAAGTATCTTTTCCGCAAGGGAGAATCTTTTCGAAGTGTTCTGGTTTTGCGACCGATGTTGATGGTTCGCCGGGATTTATCCATGACTTCCTGCGTTTTGGATTGTCATAGAGTATCCACTTCTCATCGCCCGTAATAATTTTTCATAAGACTTCCTACGCTGCTTATTGAGAAGAGGAAGATACACCGCCACTCGTTGATTTTCGTTGACTTCAGGCGGTATTGTTATCTAGAGTGCTGTTTTGGAGGTGATTTTCAAGATCGAATAAATTTCAAACTGTTCGATTTTTTTTTCAAATGTGTACATATTTCTTGTTCCTTTAAAGATATAGATTAAAGATATAGATGTAGAAATTATTTAGAAAAAAAAAGAATGTTTTTACATATAGTTTTGTACGCTCGGACACAATGATGCGCGGAAAAAAGCCATGATTGGCAACCAGTGTTGCGGATGTTGTATGTATCTGAAAAAAAAAAACCAAACATATTCTTAATCTTATGAATCTTAAATAAATATGAGGTGTTAAGTTTGATATTGATTGACAGATTTGACCAGAAAAAAAATTTTTTACAAAATGGCAGCATGCTAAACGTGATTGTAAATTTTTCCAACGTTTCTTCCCCTTCAGCGAGTTATAAAAAAAAAAATTATTTCGACTTAATTCTGCTACCAACGTTGAAAAACAGTTTACTGAAGGTAAATACTAAATTAGAGCTCAATCGGCTAATTGGTTATCGAGATATCGTGGTTGCCGATTTGAAAAACAGTTTTGAAAAAAACGCGTTTAAAGTTTTCGTACCGTTTGATGAGGTTTAAATCAAATTATTGATATTTACTGGTTAATCATTCAACCCGGATCCATAAATGGCTCCTTCCTCTCTCTCGTAAAATTGATTTTCAATATATAGTGCTTCTCTTCTAGCAGTCCTGGCTTCTTTTGAGGCGGCTGACGTTCATCTATCGGAACGGTCGATTCGATTTTAGTCGCGCAACGCTGCATACGCGTTTGCTTGCCGATTTTGACACCCATCGTAGTTAATATTTTTAATATTGTTGAAAATCCTTCGTTAAAAATCAGTGAACAGCTAAGAAAGTGGCGATTTTTTACTCCTAACTATTCTGTAAACTCTCTTTGCGTTTGTGCTGAATTCTCAGCGAGCTGCTGCTCCAAATTATTGTTGTCGCACTTCTGAGGTCTTCTAGGACGTTCTTTGTCACTCAGACTGAAATGGCCGTTTTTAAACCGTCTGAACCAAAATGCACACACACCGTACGATACAGCATCTTCACCGTAAAGAGAACAAATCGATTCGCATGTTCTTGCAACGCTTTTTCCTTGTTGGAATTCGTAAAGAATGCAGTGTCGGATATGCAGCTTATCTGTTGCCATTTCTGACTGATATTGAACTGAATAATTTTTGAGGTTAGGTTGAGCCTTCCATCCAGTCTCCAGTCAATTGGTCTGTTCTTTGTAGCTGCACTGCTGAACTGGTGCAATAAGCTAGAGTGAGAAAACCTATATTTGTCTTATTTTAACTTATTGCACCTGTTCTACAGTACAGCTACAAAGAACGGACCAATGTTGGGGCATTTAGTCCCAGCGAACTGCCCTGCGCATGCGTCAATTACGTCACGCGTGTAGCTGCTTAACATACTCGTACCTGAATGCAATATTGGGAGTTTTTGTGGAGTCTGAACCATATCTTTTTCCATTTTTTTTCTATATAGGCTGCATTCCGATATTCATTGCTAGCACTGAAAATCTATAGTATATGTGTTACAAATGATGTATTTTCAATACTGGCAGTAAATATTGGAACGCAGCCATAATCCTACATTGCTACATTGGTTTCGACCCAAGAGCGCCCTATTGTGCATAAATGAGTACGAGTCTATCAAAACTTGGGGCAAGAGCACAGGCTTCTGCATAACGCATAAGAGAATAAACCAATTAGTTTTCTTCATTTCCCTCCTCAGAATAGAAATGAAGAACTCTGATTGTCTTATGCTCTTGATTCTCTTATGCGTTGTATATTATGTGATATTATGCGTTCTGCAGAAGTCTGTGCTCTGGCCCTTGTTGTTGATGTAGTTGTGACGTAATTGACGCATGCGCAGGAAGTTCGGTGGGACTATGCCCCCAGCATTGCTTCCATCAAACTAAATGTAATTTTTAATTACATATGTATATATATCTCGATATAACATAATCGTAAAAGAGTGGGAAAATCTGATTATTTGAAACTTAATTTCTTAGCCGCTTAAAAAAGTTCGGATTATTCATTCGTAATACCTAATAATATATTTGCAAGTACAATTTAATAAAGAGAATGCGGATTATATGAGGTGATTTAAGGATATATGCTGTCTTACTTCTACTAATTGTAATTTATACATTCTTGAAGAGAAAAAAAAAAGAGATGATTTCACTCACATACACACACGTCTTCACAAAATGCGCAAGACATATTTAATAATTCTGCGTAATTACAAGTGTACAACTTACAGATACAGCCAAATGTGCGGCAAACACATTCTCGGGAATGTGTATAAATATATAGGCTTGAACGGTGTATTTACATTATACTACATATTATGATGTTAAAACAATTCACGAATGCGGTTGCGAGTATGTTACAAGCAATAGGGACTTTACTTTGCTAAATCTTCGCGAAAAAAAGGGAGAACTTAATGTCTAGAAAAATTTGCATATACATCCTGGTATCATCAAATCCGTGATATAACACGCGTCCTTTATATTATTATTTCAATCAACGCTCGAATCGTTTAATTTCAAATAGAGAACATTTCCTCGCGATGATGATGAGCATGAGTACATTTAAAACACTACGTCTATAAGGGCAACGTCGAATATAACGTGAAAATAAATAAAATGCGACCATGCATATACATGTTAATTCCGTAAAACGCACGTTACGTAGTGCGTAAAATGCGGATAAATTTAACTCCAAAGGAAAAGTATCTCTGACAGAAGCTAAGCTCGGATCTCGTAGATTTTGCAAATTCTCCGACAAATTCGCAAGAGAGCACAATGATCACGAAATACAATCGCTTTTTTGACATTTCTTTTCCGTATCTCTGCACGTATGGTTTACTTTTCTTTTCATTATCACTCATGGCTACCCGTAGCCACTAATGACGAACAACTTTGTTTTTCTTTTTGTATTTATATATCTAGTAATTATTTATCTAATTACAGAGTCCTTCCTTTAATTTAGCAACGCTCTTTACACTAATGTTTCACCAGTTTGCTCCACTTTTACATTATCATCTTGATCTTTATCTGTTTGAGCAACTGGAACAAACCGAAGGACTATTACATTTGCTTGATATGTCGCTATTAGTTTTATCAAGGTTTTTTCATTATTAGCGTTTTCTTACGTATATCAAATACAGTTAGGGTTCGGACACGCGGAAAAACTTAAGCAGTAAGATGCAAGCAGTACGAAAATTGATCAATCAAAATTGATTATTCTTCTTATTGCGTAAAAATACTCAACCTTGAATATTAAAAGATATTCAAGAGTTGAATATTTTTGTACCGTATGAAGGATTGAATAGTTTTCTTAAATATTTAAATTTGCTTACTGTCTACGTCTTATTGCTTAATTTTTTCTGTGTGTCTTCGGCTTCACTCTCGTGGAGCACACACACTAATTCGTCAAATTTGAATGACGCTATTATTTTTTATTATTATTATATATGGAGACACGTGTCTAGTAGTCTCGTTATTATTACTATCAAAATTAAATATAGTAAATACCTATTTATTTAACGATATTATGAACTTTAAACTCATATACAGTATGTAGCTTACCCTAAATTGTGACGAAAAATTTGATTTTTCTTAACGTGCAGTAGAATATCGCATTATAAGAGCAGAGTTATAACTCACTTAAAGTTCCACAATGCTTTCATTCCATTATAATTTCATTATCGGAAGAGAAATGGAAAAAAAGAACAATCGGATGAAGATGAGATTCATCATCATATAAATACCAATTGCGTTAAATTATGTTAGTAATGTTATCGTGATGTTTGAAGAACTGAAGTATTATTAAAATTATTTCAATAAATATTAAGATTCATCGTCCATCGCCGCGGTCATGATTACTTAAGTTGAAGTAAAGACGTCAGAAACGAGAAAACATAGTCGATTTGGCCAGATTTAGCAATGCAAGAGGTCAATGTACTATGGGACAATTTCGAAATCAACTTGGCCTGATTTAACACATTCGCACGTTTTCAAGAACGTGCTTGCAGGAACCTTTATTTTCTTGTTTTTGACATTGTCAATCAAGATGACCGCAGAGTCCAAAGGACTAGAAGCCATAGAGAGAAAAATAAAGAGTGAAGGATTCTATATATATTTCTCTGTAGTGTCTCTTAAATGTTAATCATACCAGTAGATGTCTCTAACAGAGAGCTGACGCCATAATAAAGTTTTAGCGTATGTTATATACACTATGTAGACACAAAAATATGATTGCTTAATCGCTATCATGCATTTTATAAATAAAATTTCGCAGTGTGCGTTCTATTACCATCTAGACTGACCTCACTAATGCATATATATTTTGTAATGAACTACTACAATGATATCTACATCTTTGCATTGTAATTTTATAGTGGATCATAATATTCGGTATACTGTTGATGTTGTTACAAACATCTGTAATTAAATATACTTTCTTTCCTTTCCGTCCATTGCTTACAACGGTAAAGATTGTCCATATTGTAACATTATTACCGTACGCAATCGAGCTCTCTTTCAGGCGTGACACACAAATTATGCATCAAATTCGTAATTACAGAAAGGAAAGCGTTAAAATATCTAATATTTTTCATATGTACATTAGGCTTATACAGATTTCTACGTGTGATGTAAAAATTGACGATTAGTGGAATTCAATCGAATTGAACGTAAAAATGACTATCTACATCATTTTTGTTGTTGCCATAAAGTAAATTTGGAAGTATTTAAGAATTAGATAGCTTTTTTATGGAGTAAAATTATATAAAAAAAAGGTTGAGACTGTTAAGGATTATTAGAAGAGCAATAAAATTTAGAAGGCACACAAGTGATACAAAATATATATATACATATATGTAAGCAGTGAAGTTCTTCCACAAAAATTTCACTGCAGCGGAACTTTTGCTACAATACGAGTAGCAATGATTGATGAAAAGTTAATATAAACATAGATATATAGTTGAAATTTTTTATTTTTAAGATCTCTGGGGCCCTTTATAGTGGGCATTTTGTCAGAAGCAAGAAATCAGAACCCTTAATTGGAACATTTTGGCGGATAATCCCTTGATTTGTAGAATATATATATATATTTTTTTGATTTAACATTTCTAGGATATCCGTACTTGATAATTTATCATACTGTAACTCCAAATGAGATCAATTTTTTTTTACATAATCCTAAGTTCTACATATGTTCAAATTCGTGAAATGTTATATTTAAAACAAAAAAAAGTTAATCTCTAGTTTGTAATATACATACATATATATACATACATATATATATACGTATACATACATGAATTTGCCATTGTTACATTTCATTGCGAGTTAATACAACAGTACTAAGTTTGAAAATTGAGAATTTGCATTCACAAAAATTTGAATTTCAATATTCACAATTGAAAATAGTCTGTACGCATAAAATAAAATAATGGCAAATTCTCGATTAACTTTCCATGCACTATTATAGATTGTTATCGCTGCGTACAATTATTTTTTTCTCGTTTTGTACTTGAGGTTGTACTCATTTGTTATTTACTAACTTGCCCGGATCCTGTGGACATCTTTCCCTTTTGAGATGACTCTGCAGTATCATTTGCTTGATCAACGTCCATCTGAAAATGAAATTATTGTTTCTCCAATTAGTACTCGTAAGATTCGAGTAAATAATAAAAAAGATGTTCAAAATTACAATGCAAATTATTCTTCAATGCAAATTTTTTTTTACTTTGATTCACGTAAAGCTTAATTTGCAATAACTTTTTGATTTTTATTGGAATATTTATTTAATCATCTGACATTTCTGCTAAAGAAAAATCAATTCGAAAAAATTATTTGAAAATTCAATTATCAAAAAAGATATACAATGTTACCTTATCTTCTTTGTCATCATCAACTAAAATCGGGCCATTTTCAGCCTCATATTCCTTCAGAACCGCATCCAAATTGTATCTCCGTCTATAATTGACAAAGAATGACCGTAAGTGGGCCTCAGTTTTAGTGCCGATTACGTCGGCGATCGCAGAGAAGTCCTTTCCATATTTTCGAACACCTTGAACAGCCAATAACAGTTCGTCATTTGTCCAACGTGCATTTATCCGGCTCGATACTTCGGGCGGCCGCAGATCATCAATGCCGTCAGCTGTCTTTCGCTTCAGCGCGCTCACTTGTTGCTTGTTGGATTGTATCTGTAAGTTTAAATAAAATTATTATACGATGCGCGCATACAATTGTATGAATGATTACAGATATAACTATATAGTTATCGAGATGATATATATAATATACAGCTGTGTATATTATAAAGAAAATGTATCCACACGATGCGTATATTGCATAAATTTTCTGATTCTACGACATACTTGACGCTTTAGGCTAACAATTTCAGTGTCGATAGCCTGCAAGCTGTTGGTAGCTTGATTTGGTTGACCAGCTAAGGCTGCCAAATCATCATGATTCACAACCAAGCCCCGCGGTGGTTTTCGTTTATTCGTACGACCCGCCATCGATGTCACCGGTCTTGTTACACCGGTGCGCCTAAACCAGCAGAAAACAATTTTGCTGTTGTATAGTGCAGTTTAACGTGAAATGAATTCTAAAATGGGACATAAGAACGGATCTACGCTGCGCTCTGATGTTACCAAAATGAATTGAATACCAGCATGAATTGAAGACATAGCTTGTAAAATTTGACGTACGAGATGAGCGAACCACGGAGGATATTCATAAGTCTCACATCTACTTCTTAAAAAAAAGAAAAAAAAAAGATAAAATAAAATAAAAAAATGCTTCAGGTCATTACTGAAGTTGAAAATAATGAATTGTCAATTGTGTGTGAGCTCCAATCTCGGTAGTACGTTTATATCTGTTTTATCTTGTATGAATATCCTCTCAGACGCTTATACTGTGTTACACACTATAAAATTCATTTATTTGTAGACACAAATTGGGGTATTTAATTTAGTTACGTCCACTGACCTCCAGTGCAGATAGCAGCTATGACACGCGTGTCCCTTGGGCGTCGCACGAACACTATGGCATGCTATACCGCAATTGCTACATGAACCCTACAACACATAACACCCTTTTGAGAGAAAATTTCGATAACCCCACCCTCCCCCACATATACTCCCATTTTGTAATTAATTTATCTGTCATTTATAGTTTTTGAATACTAAAGTAAGAGAGAGAGAGAGAGAGAGAGAGAGAGAGAGAGAGAGAGAGAGAGAGAGAGAGAGAGAGAGAGAAAGAGAGAGAGAAAGAGAGCAATGTGACTTGTGTCCTGTTCTCTACTACAACATCAACCGAGTTTCTTTCACATTCATTTCAGTTGGCTCGATTATTTCTAGCGAGATTGGTAAAACCAACATCGTTTACTAGGTGTTTTGCATTTCGAGATATATAATGCGTTATTCCTCAGTAAGGTTTCAGCCTATCGAAATTTCAATTACGAGGAATTCAAATTAGACGTGGAAGTTCGTTGAATTTCAATTTCGATTGAATTTGAAGAGAGAAACATTTATATGATGGTGATTAGCAATCCACGTGATACAATAAAGATAGCAAAACCACAGTGAAGCATACTATATACTATATGCGAGTGGGTAAGGTTTAGGCTGAGTACCTGAACCTGAGGGGCGTTTTCCGAGTCGGACGGGGCCTTAACATCAGTGCCTTGGCTTCCTGGCACAGCTTGGTTCTTTCCACGACGTATTCCGCGGTGGATCGTCCATTTCTGGAACGTTCCACATTCACGTTCACATACGTAACGTAACGGCCAGCTAAATTATTTGCTTATATTCTTAGACGTGCGAAAAACAATAAAGAAAGACTTGAACAGTCTTAATTGTGTGAAAAATATGGAGAAATTTTATTCCCAGAGTATCATTAATTTTGAGACTGATCTGTTGGAAAATTTCATCCTACATAGGCATATGTATAAAAACATCTTATATGATAATTTATAGATTTCCTGCCACCGTATTGTGCTACATAATTGCTTTATCTTATTGCCACGATTGTACATATATTATCGTGTGGATACATTTTTTATAACTTTGGGACACCCAAGTTTGGAAAAACAATTCTGTTGTTTTCCAATGTTACCAATTTGTGCCATGATAGCATAACTATACGCAAATAATACAATCGCGCATAATAGCTAACACTAGAGTGTTATATATATCGCGATAAAAAAAAAATAACACATGTTATATGTCATTGTTGCATTCATTTTCTATTATTTTACGCAATATCGACAAGTGAATGCCTTATATATATGAACACAAAAAGCACACGTATAGAATTATATTAGACAAAAATTTATTAAGCATTAATCTATAGCATGTACTACTTTTAATAGCAAAATATATATTACAGAAAAAAAACGGAAAGAAGACTTTAATATCGAATAAATTATATTCTAAGAATAAAAAATTTACTTCCAATCGTTTTAGGCACTTGTATGGATACACTTCTACATTTAAAAACATGAGTTAAAAAAATATTATTCGATAAAAACAAAGGAAAAGAAAATTTTATAAACTAATGGAAATGTGATCCCTCCAGATTAGATGTTTTAATTTTTTATGATCAGGTATTTTGGCTTTCTAATATTCTTACTTTAGTAGATATTCTTACTTTTTCCTCAGATTCGCTATCTGTATTGGAGCCAAGCTCGCTTCCATTTTCGCTGCCATTTTCGCCTTCCTTGCCACCGCTCGTTAATTTACGCGCTTGTCTGTCCATCAATGAAGTTCTAGTTCGTGTCTTCTTCCAGCTGTAGTAGTATTTTACAAGACTCGCAATAGACTTGTCAGGTAGCTGCATATAAAAATATTGTTATGTATTGTATCAATTCAAGAATTCAAAATATAAAGTTTCAATTTAAATTACTCTATTTAATTTTGGAAACTTTAAATTACTCTATTTAGTTTTGGAAAATATATGATTACAAGTGCTTCAAATTAGTATTTTTCAAGTTAGAATATTTAACTTTTAATAAGATTAATATGTAATTTTATTAGATTCAATATATTTTTGTAGAATATTAATATGAAACATAGTTTTAATAAAGTTTCTTATATCATACATACATATAAAAAAAAATCTATTAAGAAACAATATTTATATTAATGAAAGTAATACAGTATATAATGCGTACCATTTGGCGAATACGATGGAAACTCTTTCCATGAAATTGAAATGCTTGTTCAAATAATACTTTATCCTCAACAGTCCATTCATCAGGAAAAGGTGTAAAATTAGCTAGGTCGAGAACAGCACGTTCCAAATTATGTTTATGCCAGAACAACATTCCCAGTGCCTGTTCTCCATTATAACCATATTTCTCTTTTGCCAATATGATATATTCATCCACTAAATAATGTAAAAGAAGATAGAAGTTAGTAAGTTTTATTCTTTATTTATATATTTATTAATTTTTATATAAATTTATTACTTACGTTTCTGATCTGGTATATCAGTGGTTGGTGACCAAACCAAAAGAGCTCTATCAGGACATTGGTCCAGTCGACGTTCTAAAATATATTATTTTGTGATATATAAATTATAATATATAAATATTGCAATATGCAAAATACATATATCTAAATTATACCTATATGTTACCGGTATTACTAGTAACATACCATGAACAGGAACATATTCTGGAACTATAACTTGATAATCACGTCCAACTCTAATTTTTTCCGCTGGAACTTAAGAAAATATTATATTGTTAATATATCTATTAAATATACTATGCAATATATGAAATACAAAACACACATATATATATATATATATTATATGTGTATATGTGTATAAAATTAGTAGCAATAGAAAAAATAAAAATTGAAAGTATCATGGAATATTTATAAAATATAATGAGCAGATATAATATGTAGTGTATTCATTTAAATTTACAATAGCAAATTATTCATGAAACTTCAGTAATAACAACCTAATATCTATAAATTTTATTAACTGCTGTTACAGAGCCTGTACTTGATACCTTCATGTATATACTTGCATGCATTATATATTATATACTATATATGTTCTATTTTAATATTAAAATATTTGTTCTTTAAGATCTCTTATGAAAACGTCGGGACATTGACGCAATTTTAAGCAATATTTGCAATTATATGCGAAAGACATTCAAATGGCAGAGAGTAAAGCGCGTTGTTCAAAGAGCCCCGTATACGTTGAACGCTCGATCGAAGAACTACCGTCTCTCACATACGCTGACTCAAAAATACTCCAAACGATCGTCCGTGAATTCCCGACGCGAAAAATATGTTTCGAATTCAAATGAGACGCTCGAGATCAGCCGGGAGACTAGACCAGGATTCACTATACCTGCATCCTCTTCGCTGGACGATTCCGTCTGCACATTAGGGCTGGGGCCTCGCGATCTTCGGCCGTTTCGTACGTTCTCGGAGTTCCTCTCCGCCAGGACCATCGCGTTGTCTCGTTAATTACGCAAGCACGACGCAAAACTGCAAGATTATCGCCTATTTCTCGCGGCAGAATGTTAAAATACGCCAACGAAACTAGTGGATGTGTAGCAAAGCCCTATCTCCTTCGCCCTATTTGCAACGAAATCGCACGACGATACTGCCGTGTAGCGCACGGCGGAAGCTCTCAGCTGGTGCTCCGTGCGACCGTAGGGAAAGGAAAATGGCCGTTTTCTGCGCAGCCACCTCATTGGCCGGCGATGCCAATTGCCGTGCATCAAGAAAATATGTGATCGGAGACTAGATTCGACAAATTCAGTCCATATGACATAGATGCCTCGTGTAACTTCGATAAAATTATTTATTGACAAACAATAAGCGACGAGAGACGAGCAATAATCGATGAGAGAGATTACTTCACCGGGCAGAGGGATAAGATGTACGAAAACCGATAACCAAAGATAATGCGGCAATGATTTCGAAAATTTCACAATTCCTCCAGATTAACACCCCAGATAACATAAAACGTCAAAGTTATCTATGCTCTCTGACGAGTGTTCCGAAATATCCTGAGCTGATTTAAGGCTACCGTAAGACACTTGATGCTGTGTTATTTGAGATAAAATAATTTAGAAACATTCAGAATATTCCAATGGTAATGATGACGAAAATCTTAACGGGTCATTTTTAACAGGTAATGTCCACAGACCTCAGGGGTTCGTGAAAAGTGAGCATTTCCATGTGTTTTTACGTTGGAAAATGTTCACGAGTTTACGTGTCAGAGGAAACCCAGTAAGTAGAACAGAAAATTATGGTGACATCAAAATGACGTCAAAATAATGAGGAAAACTCTTTTTCTCATCATGATTCGGTCATTTTCTTGTCATTTTGACGTCATCATGATTTTTTGTTCTACTTGGGAAAGATTCATGATTGACACCTTGGATGCATGTATGATAAAACTCCACATAATTTTTTAATTATCTTTCAATTGTCCTTCTTAAAAATCAAGTGATAAAAAGATACACGACAAAATGCATTTTGTATATAGATAGATAGAGAGATAGATATATAGATAGATAGATGTATATAGATAGAAGATTAATATTTGCAATTTGCTACATGGAAACAACACAATCGATTTTTCATCCTCGTGTTTACCTGCGCGACAGATGTTCCTCTTCGTTTTGAACAAACGTGTAATATCTTTGTGAGATTTCTAATTTCATGCGTATCTTATCAATAGACGTCACGTCTTGCGTAGCCGTTGTTATAAATTTTCTGTATTATCAGTCGATGACGTGGCACCAAAATATTTGACTTTAATAGATAATATTGATAATACACGGATAGGTCTTTAGTCGTGTACATTCTGTAGTTTGCGACATTTGTTTATTTCGTGCGATACGCACACTTAAATCTATTGCATCGTGTTTTATAAACATATTAATGGCAGCAACAGATTACGATATATTAGAAATCTCTTCTCCTATTTAAACAAATACCATGCGTCTTTGATGTTTCATCCCAGACAGCACCGGACATCCAATGGATGTACGTTTTACGTCCAATTTATGTCCGTATGTCCGATTTACGTCCGTGGACATAAATTGAACGTAATAAGGATGTCCTTATATTGGACATCGGACCTGTAGGACGTCCGATGTACGTCCATTGGACGTCCTATGTCCGAAGTTGTGACAAACGTACGTCCTATGGACGTCTTTTGTAAAAAAAAATGGACATATAACGGACGTCCAGTGTACATCCGTGTGCTGTCTGGGATCTTTATCTCAGAGAGCTTTGTGTGTATATGAATGTGAAAAGAAATTCAAACGATTCAACGAAGAAATTAAACATTGCAACAGGAGGTTTTGCAGCTTTATTATAGAGACGAAAAGGTTATAGAAACGAAAAATATACGATACAAAAATGAACGACCGAGAATTCGGCGACCGGTCGAGAAGTATAACTTTTATTTAACGTTAATATTTTCCTAAATCATCGACCACTATTAACAATAATACAATACCAATTGGACATTGCAATAGAGAACTTTGAAACTTTATTGTGGGGAAAAAAATGTTACTGAAACGAGAAACGCATGTGAAAATGAACGACCGAGATAATTCGGCGACCGGTCGAAAAATATAATAACTTTTATTCAACATTAATATTTTTCTAAATCATCGGTCACTATGATAACAATAGTTCTATATCAGTATCATACGATATTATATCAATAATACAAATATTATATCAATAATATGGTAATAATATATTATCGATTCAAGTAACACAACGAAGTAACACATAACGTGATAATAATCTCGTTAGCTATCATTTCTACACGAAAACTATGAAATTACGCATATTATACACTTTATGCAGATCAAAGGCGATGCGCGTCGAGTTATTATGTAGTCGTTGTCCAGTCAATCGGTTAATTTACTCGCGTTGAATTTGGCGACGGCCTTCGTCCCTTCGCTCATCGCGTGCTTGGCCAGTTCCCCGGGCAGAATTATCCTCACTGCTGTCTGTATTTCCCGAGAGGTAAGCGTGGATTTCTTCACACGTTGCGTCAGAAGCGACGCCTCACAACAGATTTGTTCGAACATGTCCATCATGAAGTTTTCCATAATTACCATGGACTTTGTGGAGATTTTTAAATCAGGGTGTATCTGTTTTAATACTTTGTGTACGTATCTATTGAAGGACTCCTTCTTCCTCTTCGTTTTCTGGCCTTTCGTTTTCTTCAGGTTCATCTTGATCAACGCCTTTCTGGGTGATTTTCCCGACGTCATCGTCTTCCCATCGGATACCATGATTTCGATGATCGGTATCACACTTCCTTTATTCCGTCTTTTATTGCGTTCTCTTTTATATTTTGCTCCTATCAGCACAGTATTAAATGTGGACTATGTAACTGCGATCGCGCATATCCTTTGTCCTAATGACATATGTTGAGGACGCATGATGACACATGTTTGTGTGCTTTCCACCAATCAAGAGCGAATTGTGTACTTGTCTCTATTATTGGTACAGTATAGTGCGTTAGGGCATGTTGAGTTTTTCAAATTCAACGCGAATTACAGCCGTTTGATTTTCAAGTTGAAAAACATTACGCGCGGTTTTCACACGAGCGAATAGACACTTCGAGTCAGACAGCCGCATTTGATGCTGAACGCGCGACCAGAATATGGCCTTAGGAAGAAATTGGCGAGATACAAAGCGGAGCATGTTTCAAATCGATGACAAAATTAATATATAAGCGGATTATAATTACACGGCGTCCCGATGCATCCAACACGCGATTCGATCGCTGCGATATATCGATCATGTCACGAAGTACGGTACGGTCGCGCGGAACGCTACCTGTGAGTCTCTCCGTGCCAGTGTTAATTTCATTAATATATTTTGTACAACAAGCGAGTACAATTCTTCCAGTACATTAGCATAGACCGTCTGTTCTCAGTGAACGAGCGACGGCGTTAATCGCGACGATTTTACATTCGGGGTTATAACCGATGATATTCTCATCTCCGATATAACCTCAATCATGATGCCGTCCGATCAAGCGGAAATATCCCGCTTCGCGGCGCTGCTATCGAGCGACCGTGGTCGTTGCTGTCTTCGTCGTCCTATGCCCCTATCAGTCTCCCATAGGCTGCCGTGTCGTGTGAGAGGTTCTCTTCGTCGTTTCAACGTAAATATCACATTTGTCGAGAATCCGGCGTTGATTCGGTGCACGTTAGGCCGCAGTCTTTACGCTTATTAGCCATACGCTTTATTGCCAGTCTTCGCATTATTATTCGTTTCCCGCACGTTCATCCGTTCGCCAATAACCAAAAAATCTTCCCTGTAGGTATAGCTTCGCCTTTATGATAAAGCATCGCGTTTATCGCGATATCCCCGTCAAGTTGTTTACCGATGTAACGCTGTATAATGCGTTCCGGTGCTGGTGGAAGATACAAAGAATAACACTTGACGTTAGCTATAGTTTTCTCGCAGCAGCTCGTGTCGTGTTCGCTATAAATTTTCGCCTGTTCATATAGCAAACACTCTGTTTTATACATATGCATATATGTATTAACAAATAAATCGTCTTTCGACGCTTATACCTTTATATCATATGCTCATGACTTTCCATTCATATACATGCTTTGTTATTGCCTTATGCTTTTGTGCTTTTTTTTTTTAAATATCCAATTATTGTGTCAATATATGTATATATAAAATGTATGTTAATTATTTACTATGTATGTACATGCGGTGATGTTTGTTATTATAGATAGTTATGATTTTTTAGTATCATGAAATTATATCAGTTTTATCCATCCCATTTGATGTATTTGTTATGTTAACTGTGATATAAATGCAATACATAACATAGCTACAATGAGCTAAGGTATATTTGCAAGAAAAAATAATATTTATTACTATTATAAAATATTAGATATTAGATCAGTTTGGAGTACTAATTTTTTATCAGATTTTCTAGTATATTTATAGAATTAAAAATTAGATACCTATAGATATATAGCATTAATATTATTATTACAATTATTATTATTATTATTATTACAATTATTATTATTATTGTTATACTATAATAATTATTATTATTATTGGTTAAACATTCAATGAATATTGTATGCCATGTGTTTATTAAGATTACAGTACTTAAGATGTAAATGTCATAAGCTGTATTTTTACATTTGGATGTTTACTTTTTATTGCAGATGATTGTCTAAACAGATAAGTCAGCTTTAATTTTAGTCATAATTATCTCTAAAAAAAGACCCAAGCACAATCTATAAAAAATGAGGGTCGTTGCGCTAGTTAGTGGTGGCAAGGATTCTTGCTTCAATATGATGCAATGTGTAGCAGCTGGCCATGAAATTGTGGCTCTAGCGAACTTGTATCCTGTTGGAAAAGGTATCGCGATGAATCATGTTATATTAAAATATTCGATTAGCAGTTTATATTATAAATTTGCACAAGGATGCACTATAAATTTAATATATTTCCAGATGATTTAGACTCGTTCATGTACCAAACGGTAGGCTATCAGGGTGTCGAGTACATCGCTAAAGCTATGGGTTTGCCTATGTATCGTGAACCAACGTTTGGTAGATCTAAAATGCAAGAGAAGTACTATTGTCCTACAGAAAATGACGAAGTTGAGGACCTTTTTAGACTTTTGAGCAAAGTAAAGGTAAATTAAATTTTTATCGTATGTACATGTATATAATATCAAGTAATCTTACAAAATTACTAACGATCTTCATACATTTTTAGGAACGTGAAAATATAGAGGCTGTGTCATCTGGTGCTATTCTTAGTGATTACCAACGAATTCGTGTAGAAAATGTGTAATTATGAATTATTTGAAATATACTGTATGTCGTTAATTTTGTTATGTTTTATTTTAAACATAAATGATTTGGAATATTTTTTTCCAGCTGCAGTCGTTTAGGTCTTATTTCTATATCATACTTATGGAGACGAGACCAGGAGCAGCTGTTAATGGAGATGATACAGAGTTCTGTTAATGCAGTATTGATTAAAGTTGCAGCCTTGGGTCTTGAGCCTAAGCATTTGGGTAAATCTATATCCGAAATGCAAACCCATCTTGTCAGGATAGTAAGTTGTAATTTTGTCTATTATTTGTCTAATATTTATTAGTGTTTTTCTATTCTTAATAGCTTGATTCTCTTTTTATATTTTATTTTGTTCGTATTTTCTGGGATTTGTTAATATATTCAGTATTTTTATAACAATATTCTATGAGACAATAAGAGACATTGTTGTATTTACAGAAAGAAAAATATGGAGTTAATATATGCGGAGAAGGTGGAGAATATGAAACTTTTACTTTAGATTGTCCTTTATTTGGAAAGAGCATTGTGATGTGAGTTGTACAATTTTACTTGTCTTTCCAGTATAATATAAGAATAAATTAACCATCTCTGATTTTTCTCTTTATTTCATGATTTAGTGATGAGTACGAGAGCATTGTACATACATGTGACGACATAGCGCCTGTAGGATATCTTAATTTTACAAAGATTCGTCTACAAGAGAAGAGTGTAAATTGCTATTCTGTTCTACAAATAATTTCGAGACTTGTATATTTTGTTATATTGAAATGGAAAGCTATTTATTTTACAGAACGCTATGGAGAAATTGAGTCTGGCGGAGAGATTGAAAACTGTCTCGATAAAAACATCGCAAGATTACATCGCCGAAATAGTCGGCCCGGTGCTGCACGACGGCTGCAATTTGTCAGACGACGAAAATGACGAGCACGAATGCGGAAGCAATAGTCTAAAGACATCGAATTCTGGTATTTATTAAAAAAGAGAACACAAAAAGAGCGAAAAGATCACTTAGTAGTAATTTATGGCATATTAAAAGTTATAGAAAGAGAGAGAGAGAGAGAGAGAGAGAGAGAGAGAGAGAGAGAGAGAGAGAGAGAGAGAGAGAGAGAGATATGATATTCGCTTTTGCACATGTATATATCTGAATGTACAGGTCCGTTTAATCCTCCGAGCCCAATGGAAATCTTCTACGAAGAGGAAGATTATCCGGATGCACCGGCTGTCAATAGAAATCAGAGAGGATGGTTCTGGTTTGGCGGTATCACGGGGAAACGTCCGGACGTCACGTCCTCCGTAGAAGAGGCATTGGAAAAATTAAGCAGTAGGTGAACTTTTCATCTTAATTATATACTCTTTGAATCAGCAGTTATTCTTGTACAAATTTAACATTCTAACATAAGCAGAAGAGTATTTCCGGAAGATTACATCTTCAATCAATTTTCCTTCACGCGAATCCTTCATCTAAATTGCAGCTCTGGTTGAAGACGAGAATCTGCGAATATCCGATATTGTCGCAGTAACGTTGTACATAAAAGATATGTCGAGTTACAAGGCTATAAACGAAGTGTACACTTCTTGGTTGGGCAAACGGAACCCACCGGTTCGTGTGTGCGTGGAATGTCCTCTGAATGTGCACATAGTGTTAGACGCGACGGCATACAAAGAAAACCAAGAATGCGGAGACAAGAATGCCCATAAACGACACACGATGCACGTTCAAAGTATAAGTCACTGGGCACCTGCTAATATCGGGCCTTATTCTCAAGCTGTTCGTGTAAGTTCAATCCTGCATCTTGAAAGAAGAAAGCCGTGATATTCGTTTCTAGACGGTGAATTAAATAAATAGTAAGGCGGATAATTAGGTATTAAGAAAGCGAAATAGTTACCGGAATGAGCAAATTGCTTTCCCAACAGGTAGGTGACATTATCTCGGTAGCCGGGCAGATACCTCTGGTACCTGGTAACATGACTCTTTTGGACTTGAACATTAAGCGGCAGTGCCGCTTAACGATGAGGCATATAGACCGTATTCTTAAAGCCATGGACGCAAACACACATCTCAGAGATATAGTACAGGGGATCTGTTTCCTGACGCATCCCAGTTACATAGCGGACGCTAGAAAAGAGTGGGAGAAGAGATCAAACAACGCCATTGTAGATTACATCGTCGTACCGAATCTGCCACGTGGTGCCCAGGTCGAATGGTGCGTTTGGGCTCACAGGGATAACAGGAGATTTGAATGTACGTAGGAAGCAAACAAAACTGATCGCTCGATCGTCACGTACACGTCTTGATGAATTATCGTATGTAACATAAATAACGTTCTGATTGCAGACGAAGAAACAGGAAAATGCGTGGGTAATTTTAAGGTAGCCATCAGGCGTAGGTGGAATTATGAAAATACCGTTTCAGCGATTGTATGTTATATGTGTACTCGTAAGTTCCTCTTGAATCGAATCATTTGCCGCACGACACACATGTATATGTATTATATATATATATATATATACACAGGGTGCTAAATTTCAAACGTAACAGGTAAAAAATCTCGGAAACTATGAAAGAATCTCGGAACTATGAAAGATATTAAAAAAAGTTAAAACACGTGTTCCATGATTTCGAAGGGGAAAGAGAATGGCATTATCAGTTTTTTATTTGGAGGGCATTTTCAAGTTGAAGGTCAACTTAATTTTTGAAAATAGAAAGCCCAATTTTTTATTATATCTTCTTTTTCTACCAATTAATTTTAACTATTTTTGTCATAAACATTTTTTTATTTGCCTAATATTTTTTTTAAATATTTAAGGAAAACTGTAACTTTTTCAACATTTAACTTACGATATCTCGCTAATTGTTCGTCGAAAGAAAAAATAGTATTAGACTTTTTTACTTTATTTACTATCAAGAATATATTACTATAATAGTGCCCTAACTTTTGTTAACTTATTGATCTTTGGAAATTTCAAAATTATTAAATTAACAAAAGTTAGGGTACTATTATAGTAATATATTCTTGACAGTAAATAAAGTAAAAAAGTCTAATACTATTTTTTCTTTCGACGAATAGTTAGCGAGATATCGTAAGTTAAATGTTGAAAAAGTTACCAAGTTTTCTTTAAATATTTCAAAAAATAGGCAAATAAAAAAATGTTTCAGACAAAAGTTATTAAAATTAATTGGTAAAAAAAGAAGATATAATAAAAAATTGGGCTTCTACTTTAAAAAATTAAGTTGACCTTCAATTGACTTTGAAAATGCCCTCTAAATAAAAAACTGATAATACCATTCTCTTTCCCCTTCGAAATCATGGAACACGTGTTTTAGCTTTTTTTAATGTCTTTCATAGTTTTCGAGATTTTTTACCTGTTATGTTTGGAATTTAGCACCCTGTATATATAATCGTATACATCCTTGAAATTTCCACAATATTTTCACTATAAATATTTGATGCTAATGCTATAGAAAATATGTCAAAAGTGGCGGGAATTTTAAAAACCATAATAAAATTTTATTTTTTGTACAGGCTCGTCCAATTCGACCGGCAATATAGCCACAGAGGCGTGCTTGCCATCGACGGAGTTGACCGCGAACGAACTGATGGAAGCGTTCGAGTACGTCTTGTGCAAGCTTACGAAAGGCTCGCAAAGCTCCAATCCGACGTGTAATCTGCGAATATTTTACAAGGTCGGCAGCTCGCCGGGCCCGAACCTCGTTCACAGTGTCCTGTCTAAGTTTTCTACAGCGAATCTAGTGATTACTATTGTACCGGCTACTCACTTACACAATTTCAACACTTTTTTGTCTATATGCGGTATTAGACACGAGTAAATACTCAAATTGTTTTTTACATTGTCAATTATCCGGAACGATTGATGCGCGCATTTAGGATAAAGTCGCACAGGGATTTGAATCTGAGATACTCTCGGTAATTCACTTCCGTCGTTCGAAGTAATCGAAGCGGTGACTGAGGAAGAGCGAGCGAGAATGGTGTTTTGTAAGTGCAGTGACGCATCTCTACTAACCGCATTGTTGCTTATTGATTTAAAGAAAACGTTCGATACGTAGGAATAAGTTGAATAAAAAAAAATATATATATGATCATCCTGTACTCCCGAGAACACAACGAGTTCAGAAGCAGATTGCAAACCATGCTGCAAAGTTACGATAATCTGCGAACAAAGAGACCTAACGGGAAAGGAAAGAGCAAATTTAACACACACCTTTCGAAAGCCTCACTACGGAAAAGACGAAGGTAAAAGATACGAAGCTTTTACACAGCTTTAGCTTGTAGGACACTCGAAGGAGAGCGATTGTGTAAATGTAACATTGACTGTGAACAGAGAGAATGGAAAGATTGAAATTTTAGATACATCTTCTTCGAAACTGCGGCTTTGTCTATACACCCTTCTTGCAGCCACCGCTGTTCGATTAGCTCGACAGTCACGACGGAATTGAATGCGACGAAGATTGGTGGGGGAAAAAAAAAAAAAAAAAAACAAAACAAAACAAAAAAACAGAAAAAAAACAGCGTTACAACGGCACCAAAGTACGCACCATTATTTAGTTTCCCTGCGTGCGCATAATAAGGGGGAAACGCTCGGTCGTGGTCGGAACGGCTCGCTGTTCTCGATGCTTTATGTATCGGTATTCGAGTACTTCCTCGCGTCTCGCACGCGAGTCGATCGACGATCTTAACGTGGCCGTAGCGGTATTCCGTATTAACGCGATATTTGTCGGTACTTTGCAACCATCTAAAAAGGAAAAAAAAAACGGGGTGAAGAAAAGTAGCGAAAATTTTACAGAATCAGGTGATTTTATCGGTTTGTCACAAGGCGATGCAAAATAATTTATCAGTGACGTGAACAATACGCTGTTCGACGTCGTCGTGTTTGCCGGATGGCTGCGTTTCTATAGAATTCTCGGTGTACACTGGTTTGCGCACTCATTTTCCCATCGGGAGCACGTCGAGTCTACGATTGCAAGCTGCTGCTGACGAGCTTGCGCGGCAATTGATTGTGAGAGAAGTCGAACGATGATACACGGTGTAAATAGCGCGACTCTTTACTCGTTGGATAAAAATATAAAAAGAAAGTACATTCTAAATCCTCCGCAATGCAGCCGTAACACCGGATATCTCTTATCGCTCGGACTGCCGACTTCATCGGGAAGAGCCTACGCGAACGAAGTTGTGCAACCAAGAAGCGTACTGTATATTGTATTCTATAGCATATCATCGATTGTTTTACCTAGGATAGTGTGATGATGATTTTATCTGTAATTTTAATTACTCCTGCAACGTAGCAGAACCTCATCGATCCGCTGCTTCTTGTTTAATCGTCACTTCTCGATATTTTAGAGCATCGTTAAGCAGAAAATACGGAATACCACTATCGTTCGCTCGACATTTTTCGATAACGTAGTTGCGTCGTCCTTCTTTTCAGCTGCACTCTCGTTTCTCTCTTCTCATCAGACCATCGGGATTATACGTGTTTCCTGTCGGACGCGTAGAAAGAGTCACAGAACAGTGCAGCTGGAAAGAACGGACTCTTGTATTAGCTTATATACCGACTACTAGTCAATGGCGGGTCAAGTGCAATTCTGAACTATGAACCCGTCCCGTTATAGTGCGTAAGTGCTCTTCAACAACGCGATTGCACGTTAGTGAACAATTCACGTACGCGCGTATGTCGTACGTGCGACTCGTATTGCTGTTATATCGCTGCGTTTCGTTTTGTTTTATCTTTATCTCTTTGCTCAAAGTATGTTTTACTTTAACGGTGTTGTAATCACGTGCGGAGGAGTGTTACAATCGTGTGTGTGTGTGTGTGTGTGTACGCGCGCACGCGCGCGCGTATGTATGTGTGTGTGACGTTTCTCCGAGCAAGTTGAGTCGCGCACGGCCACTTTATTAGCAGCACTCAACGTTCAACTTGAATTTTAAGAAAAAGAGATGAGACGAAGAAGGAAAGCACAGGAGAGAACGCGTGTCACAGGAGCGCGCGTCGAGAGGAAAGAATTGCGTTTGCAGCGAGGCAACGTGCGCTTTTTAATTTCAGTTGCAATGCGAGAAACTTGGATCCCACTCTTTCTCTCAACGACGTTTCTCGCGACGCGACGACGCCAGAGTTCCCGGAAACACTATTAAACGCGTGTATTGCCGACTGACTTTTCTTCGCTGAGGAGGACAACAGTGTCGCGATTTATAAAGAGGCAGAAAAAAACAAAAAAAGAGAGAGAAATATCAGCAAAAAAAGTTATATACTTAAAGAGAGAGAGAGAGAGAGAGAGAGAAAGAGAGAGAGAGAGAGAGAGAGAGAGAGAGATGCTGCGCGGCGACTCCGCATCTTCTGCGCGTGTGTCATTGTTGCTTTAAAAAGAGGTATCTTGTACAGGCGCGTTTTACAGTGCAAATTAACGAGACTACTTTGACACTGATATACAAGGTTGATGCAACGACATGCCAAAGTTTATATTTTGCAACAACTTGCTCATTTTTTTAAACGGTCGCAATTGCCGTCGTTATTCTGTGTGTACATAATGCAACATAATCTAACACGATCTTATAAATATATTGTAATCGATCTCCAGCGAAAAAAAATTGATTAACACGAAGAGAGAAGAAGAGTGTACGTATACGTGCGTGTCTGTCTATGTGTGTATATGCATCTGTGTGCATGTATGTGTGTGTGAAAGAGAATGGAGCGTACTGTTCAAAATGTGAATGCTGCGTTACGATATGTATGTAAAAACAGAAGAAAAAGAAGAAAATGTTTATCCGCATCTAACTCTCGCAACAAAAGCACTAATCTGAGGATTATGTCATAAAAGAAGAGAATAAAGAAAGTGATATATATTTTTAAGAAAACTGCGCTTAGTCTCTCTCGTACTTTATTCGTTTCCCTTCCGGACACGCATGCGACGTCTCTTTCCGGAAGTACTGATTAACGAGATAACGCTGATAATTCGAAGCAAAGAACACGTACAACCGATAATTTAGAGACAGTCTCTACACAGTCTTTATAAGATTAATTAATACCTTGTTTATACTCTGTAAAGCGTGGACAGCAAAATAGATTGTGAAAAAATTTAGTTTTCAGCGTTTGTTAGAGCCGCAAAGATGTCATTACATCTCACTAGATCATGAAATTCCGTTTAGTTGATAGCACTAAGTGAAACATAAAATCATAAATTCTTAAGATATAAACTATTCTACGTACGGATCTTCCAAATTTGATATTCAACATTGCGTTCGTGTAAATACAAAAATATCAAAAGGAGAAAATCATCCTACTAACTTTATAATATAGAAAAATCAGAATCTCAGATTTGCGAAAGAACAGCAGAATAAACATAACTTCTTATACATTTTATGTATATTCAGTTTTACAATAGTCTCTCACGATAATTGTTTGCAAAAAGAATTGACTCTTTTAAGTTACATTTTTCTGTGAGAGATTATTTACTTATATCTGACCCAAAGGTACATATAATAAAAATTTAGTATGAGTCGAGTTAATTTAGTTAAATTATTGATATTGTAACTATGTACATCATAACGCACTCACATAAAGTACTCGAGAAGAACATTTCACGTGCACTCTCATTTACAAAGATAGTCGGATAAAAATGCAATATATATACCGCTTAATATAACATAATTACACTTCGCTAATATCGTTATTATACAGCTTTGAACGGTCTTTCCATAGTGTTATTACGTTCACGTTTTGAGTATCTTCGGTGACATAGGCTTTGCCACTTGCTGACGATTCGACGGTGCACAGAAATCACATAAATAATTTTTCTTATCAAACGCTACTCCCTTGGTCTCCACGCAATCTGAAATGATATATATACAAGATTACAATATACTTTGTATCTCTCTTGCATGCCTGACAAGGTTTTCACAAGAATTTAAATGCTAAAGAATAAAACTTTTTCAATTGATAATTTTTTGAATTCACATGTTCACTGCAAATATTACATATCTATTATAAAATAAAACATCCATTACGAATCCAGATTCTACGTAAATTCTATTTGTTTGAAAAAAATTCTCGATTTAAAATAATTTTAGAATTGTATAATCATTGACTTGAACTTGAACCATGGACATGCTCTCGTGTGGAAACAATTAGCATGGTAAAACTAGTTATTTTTCTACTACTTAGAAATCTTTATATATATATGCGTACACACACATACACATCATAATATTTATTAACATTTATAATTTTTGCAGAAGCAAGAAGATAGAAAAAAATACTATTGTTATATACATATATATATATGTATATAACAATAGTATATATATATATATAGGATGTCCGGAATCTTTTGGAAAAAAAAATTGTAAAGATTAAATCAGGTCAAATTAAGAATAAAAATATCATATACTATTTTATAAAAATCACAATAGTTGTTAAGTTATTAATAATTGAAAATTACTACATCTAGAAGCTTTTTTAATTAATAACTTGAAAATTTGTGTACTTATTTGCAAAATGATATATGACTTTTCTTCTTGGTTTGATCTGATTAATCTTCACAATTTTTCATTTCCAAAAGGACACCCTTGTATACATGCATATTAATTGATAAATAATTGAAATATGGCTTTTAGGATAGTGATGATTTAATAAAATTCGGTGCACGTGCAAATGTTCCTATACATGCAATGAAATTAACACTTTGAGCACACTTGAGAGTCATACTATACAATATATGTGAGTACAATCTCTAATTAAAAAAAAAAGCGGAAAGAAGATTACTATATGAATCCGTATGCTTAATTTCTAACGACGAGTTTTGTTAATTGAGATCAGTTACGTACGAATCTGTGTTGAATAATGTTTAATAAGGCTTTTGCCTGTGAAATATTAAGCACGCTATATACATGGATCCATGTAGATGTGTGTAAGTGCGTATATGCGTGCGGTGTTTTAGCATATGTCTTCCATTAACATGGATCCGTGCATGCAACGTTTTAAATATCAAATGATAGGACAGGATAAATAAAGAGAGAAATGCTCTTTGATCTAAATTCACAGTAAGAAGCAAAGGGTCAATTATGGCGCGGTCAATTATAAGCGCATAAAAATTTATAATAATTGTAAGTAACGTTAGGAAGCATAATTTCTTTTTGAAAAAGTTATCGATAAAGATCTGCTTTAAATTCTTCCCGATAATTCGCGAGGGGTGAATTGAAAATCGATATTTCCTGCTTTCATACATAATTATCTGCTTGTAAAAGCATCGAAGCATCGAAGAACCATTTCGGCGAGTCATCTTACGCATATTTTTATGTATATTTCTCGAGGGTTCACATATTTGATAATCTTTGAAATTTATCTCGCATGAAATATTTACGTTTACAGTTAGATATGAGTTTCTCAGTTGTGTGATTATAAATATAACGTCGCGTGTGTATCGCGTGATTGAAATGAAAAATTTAGATCCAATTTCAAATTCAAATCTGAATATTTCACGCGATGCAAGTTTTGAGACCATGACTACTAATACGAATCACAGTTATCATAAAAATTCACACGCTCACGTTCTAATCAATTTTTTTTTCTTGTTTTATCGCGTTTAATTAACAGAATCATATGAAATCTGATGTCGATACCTAAGTGCAGATACTTGTCGCATGCGCTGCAATGCACTAGATTCGGTTCCAGGTCGAGCCTTTGGGCGGTATGACAGCGACTGCAGTGTGGGCAATAGCGACCCTTTCGCCACAGCCTTGTTATCGCATAAAGATCATGTGGTTAGTGAAGTCAGGTAGAGAGGAATATTATGTAATTATAGCGGTGCTCAGCACGCGGCAGGGGGAATTAAGTGGTACTTCACACGGTAATCACACTTCTCATCGCGTCATTTAGCCGTAAATATATAGTATATATATAGTATCCCAGGATCTCTCAGGATCTGACACTGTAGATCCGGGGCACTTTATATACGCAATGTAATGTTACACATACAATTATCAAACACATCGGACACATGATAATTGATTTATATTCCAATCAATACACATCAATTACAGGTAAATTAAAGCACTGGACTTGCTCGAATCTGTTGCTGTGTAAATCTGCTCTTAATCGGTAATATTAATTAATAACATTAACTGATAGCTAAATGATAAGATAGAGACAAAAGCTGGACGTGAGTCCAGTTGTTGAAGTCCATAATTAGAGGCGAGATAGAGGACGCCGAGATAGAACGTGTTACAGTGTGAGTGATGAAAATTATTGTTAAGCAACTGAAGCCCAGCATAGTTCGGAACAACCGTGTTTCAGCATATGTGACGTAAATGATATGTCGAGAGATGCACTCACTTCGAACACGGTATACAGAGTGTAGAGACATATACTCGGGTATTCTTCTCGCCCTTCTTGTACTCATGCTGCCACTGCGCGACGCTGTTTCTGTCGGAATTAGCACCACCGGGCTCTCTCGAGCCGCAATTTGCGCACACGGCACATTCCTGACAATGCCACCTGCCTTGCGGTACACGTCGCAAACCGACGCAATAGATGTGGTACCTGGAGACCACTCAAGATTAAATAGTATTCCATCGAAACTTTCGTACCGTAATGAACTTATCCATTGACTCGATTCACTGTGCGAAAGATATTCGCTGCGTGTGTGACTCACCCTCGATCGCACATATCACAGAAGAGCATTTTGTCCTCATCCGCAGGATCGTGGCATTGCGCGCACGTTTTACAATCGGTACACTGCCATGCATACGATTGAATATGAGGGACCATATCCAGAGTCAAGTCTATACAGGATGGGTGAACTGAAAGAATACAATAACACCACATAGCAAATTACCTCGACTGTTTTTGAAGAAAGCACACTATTAGCGCATTAGAACGCGTGATCTTTACCGTTTCCATTACAAGTGCCGCACTGTATTAATATTTCAGTTTTATTGTGTTTATTCAGGACTTTCAGACACATCTTGCACTTCAACTTTACGTCGTCTTTTTGAGTGACTATCTCCATATCAACATCGTCCATAGTCGACTGAGATCCTTCCGTATCCTGTGTGCCCTCGCTGGATGATGAACTATATATATTCAAAGAAATAATCTACATTTTAAAAAGTATTGCATCCTGGCCATTAAACAAATACGGAGAAACTCCAAAATAAAAATTCCAAGCTCAATTTGATTGCTTGCTCCTTAGAAATTGTTTCAACATAAAGGAAATTAACTCTAAATTAGAAAGCATGAGATTGCAAAATTTTGTAACGTTGCTACTAACCTAGAGTCGCCAGAAGATGATTCACTATCGCTGTCGCTTTGAGATCCTTCCGATTGACTGTCGAGTTTACGTTCGTTAGGCCGCGTTGGTCCGTACAGGACGGTATTGAGGGGATAATATCTCAATTCCGCTGACGTATATTCCCGATAATAATCGGTGTACTGGCCTGGTATCAAGGCGACCGGGTAATGACTCGTTTTGTGCTCCGTGTCGATCTTTTGTGGCTTCTTTGGCACATGAATCGTAAAGGTCTGCAGATCTAAGCAGTACTTGCGGTTCTCCTTGCGAGTTTTGTTCAAATTAGCGTTCCACGTCATCGCAGACTGCACCGCCATTTCCGCGAGATCTATCCTATTCCTCTCCGCGTTCGCCGCAGCTGTGAGTTCCTTCTGCTTCTTGGAATGTTCCTTCACCTGTTTCTCGCGCATATGCTTGCGATACTCCTCGTACTGATCCGGAAAATCGCTGCACATCACGTCCAGCACTTCTGAACTGCACACCGCAGTTAATCCTACAATAATACGGTATGATAAAATGAATGATGATTCGATGATCGAGTCTGCACGATCAAAGTTACAATCCTTTCGTTTTTTAACTCGTAAGAAGATATTAAGGACTTTACCCATGTCGCACATTGCCTCACTGACCAATACATTTTCCCTCAAATAATTCCTCTCTTCCATGTCGACCATCCTGCGCTTGAGATCAGGATATTTACGCTTGAAGGATTTCACACCGAGATATTGGGATATCTGCTCCTGAATCATGAAGGTTTCACCTTTCTTATCCAGTGGCCACTCGTATTCTGCTATTTTGTCGACGGTGAAAGGTCCTTCGTCGGGATCGAAATTGATTTCCATCCTTCGATTCTTGACTTTGACCTTTTCGGATTCCGTCGTAGCAGTACTCAGGACACTACCTTGAGATTCTTCATTTATGATCGTCTCTGAGGCTGTAATACAAATTGCCAAAAATTAACTTCCAAGTAAACATAACCAACACATACATTTCGTATAGTTTTATGTTAATCAGCGTATACAAGTAAAAAAGAGATACCTTAAGTTTGCCTAATATGACAAATAAATAATGCTTTTTATATGTGCCTCTACGAAATTATTAAATTATACTGATGAAGAAAGAAAAATTTCGTACTTCACTAACGTTGTCAATAAGTTACCTAGATTACAGCATCCTTGATAATTTATTATTATTTTTTGTTGATACATATTCACTGAATCCTGAGTGCGACAGATATTTACCGAGGAAACCTCGGTATTAAAAATATTACACCACGTTGACACATACTGAACACACTTATCATCAAATATCACATACAAAAAAAACATATGTTGTTATGCTAGTATATATTTACATGGACGATATGCGAATTAGTATGAGCGTTTTTAGCGCTGCTAAGCACAGCATAATCGCGACACATATCGCGAATAAAAGAATCAGTGTACAATCGCCTCGCATTTGAGCACGTCATTACAACAATTTCGTATTAAGTCACTTGAGAGACATCCTATGCCACAAGAAAGGGTCTATTTTTAGTTCCCTTAGAGTTGGATGTGTACCAATACATCCAAGTTAACCGGCTCAGCTGTTCGATGATGAAAATGAGGATATGTTTACTTAAGTTTATGATAACGCTGATGTTACTTCTTCCTATCATCAAATGTTGCTAAAATATTATATATATACATATATAACTGGTAATTTTTTTAATTTGGACACGTTTATATATGTTAGAGATGATACTTCAAGATATAATTAAGTTGTTCCTAAAGAAAGTTATTCCTGATAATTACAAATTGCAACACATATTGGAATTACATTGAAGTATCTATTAATACTCGTATATAATGTGGAATATTCAAAAAACGACGAGCGAGATCGGCCCTGTCACTAAATCACAATATCAATATGGCATAATAATGATGCTGCCATTATCTCATTATCAATACTTTTGTCATACTCAATTTTTTCTATTCCTTTTTTCTCTTTTTTCTTTCTTTTCTATACTTTTTTTCTATTCCTTTTTTCTCTTTTTTCTTTCTTTTCTATACTTTTTTTCTATTCCTTTTTTCTCTTTTTTCTTTCTTTTCTATACTTTTTTTTCTACATTCTTTTACTTTTTTATATTTCTTTTTTATATTTCTTTTTCTTTTATCTTTCCTTTTTATATTTTCTTCACTTGCATTTCTTTTGTGTGTTCTTTCGTGATGCACTATTATTACTATTTGTAACTCAACACGTGCGTCATCCAAAGGGATGAGTTCTGTAAAATTTGCAAAATAAATAAATACTGTTTAATGGTATTTGTATAACGTAATAATTTTTTTTCACTAATATACTGTTTTGTAATATAGTGTTCAATATTCGGATATTACACACAATAGTTCTTCATTCATAAGGTTATGCTATTAAAATGGAAAAAGTGCATACCAGGTGCTGATATATTCCTAGCTGGTGTTTGCGACCTGGAGCCGGACTCGGCGCTCATTCTCGTCTCCTCGTCGATCACTTGCACCATCGACACCGTTTCGCCGCCTCTGATGACTGCGTCGGCTTGCTTCTTCGACGTCGGCGTTAACCAGTTCGAGGGTCCGGGTGGCGTAGGTATCTCCTTCATCTCGGATGCTCTCGATCCATCCGACGATGTCCTACCTTTATTCTCGGCATTCTGTTTCGCCGTGGTCTTCTGTATCTTTTCGGAAACTACGTCCGCGGCCGGTCTTTTGTGCTGCTCACTATCCTTCAAGTCCAACGACGCCGCGGAGCTGATAGTCGCTCGGCTGGTGGACGGCTTCGCCGAATTATCCTGCGTGACGCCGCACGGCGATCTTGTAGGTTCCAACTGCATCGCGATCGCGGCGGCTTCTGCGGCTTTAGCCTCCCTCTTCCCTTTAGCAGTGGTGGGACCTGCGGTTTTCGTATCTATAGGCGGTTGCTTCAGCGCCTTGTACAACTCCGATGATTTTCGCAACGAATCTTCCGCCGCTGGTGTCTCGTCGATGGTGATGACAGCCATCGTCGATGCCTCTATAGCCGACAAGTCCTGATCTATTCGAGGCTTCTTGCCGGTCGGGATGTCCACGTTATCCAATTTTCGTTTACCGCGACCTACAGACGCAACGGAAGGAAAGTTAAAGTCTCATTGAGATAACATTATCCGACTAAATGTACAACAGACTAACCAAGAAGAGAACAAACCTCGTCCTCTGCCTCTCTTGGGCGGAGCGTAACTCTTCTGGCTCCTACACGTCCTCTTGGGTCTCTCGTTCTCCCGGTGTTCGACCGGTGGAGTCTGCTGGATCTCGTCCAGGGACAGGGGGTCTCTGGGTACCAGTAGGTGCGCGGGCGGATGTATCACCTGTTGCACCAGTGGATTTCTCCGAGGTCTGCCCCGCTTCTTCGGCACTTTGATATCGGTCATTCTGCTGGGCGTGACTTCTTCGATGATCATGACGTCCTGGCTGGAGTTGGAGTTCTCGTTGACGATTATCAGCTCTGGTCGGTGTTCGATGATCTCGCAATCCGACCCGCCCGGCGAGTTGGTCGTGTTCTTGCTCAGAATATCCTTCAGCTTGTCGCTCATGGAAGACGAGTCCGACGTCTTCGACGGCCGTACCTGCGTGATACTAATCTCCTGGCTGATCACATTCATCTGCTGCCGGCTGATCAGACTGGTCTTCGGGTCGAACAGCAATTGCTGCTGCTGCTGCTGTTGTTGCTGCTGCTGCTGCTTCTGCTGATCCCGACACATCACCGGCTGAATGGTGACCTCCGGCAGCATCTGTGACAGCTGCGCCTCCAGCTTAGACTTCTTGCTGTCGACCGGTGAGATCGTGATGTCCTTGCGCTTGGACGATATCTCGAGCGCGCTCTCCATCGCCTTTCTATTCTGAATCTGCATCGGCGTGACGGGTTCGATAGTGAGCTCAGACCGACCACCTTGCAAGATGGACGAGTGGCTGGCACCGGCGCCGGTCTTGAGGATCTTCAATGGGGAAGGAGGATCCTTACTGTGAGCGACGTGATGCTCCGCGTACCTGTGTGAGAAAGACGCAAGCGCAGAATCCGGCGAGCCGGTAACCGGAGCCTCCTTGCTGGCCTTGTGCGCGGAAGATCCTTGAGTTTCATGACTGTCGCACGCGACGATAGTGGGATGACCGGTCTTGGACAGCTTGATCTTCATCTCCAACGGCGAGTCCGAGACGTCCTTGCTGCGTCTCTGTTGCTTCTCCTTTCTACCCGTCTCAGGCTCGGTCACCACCGAAGCGTCGCCCGTCTTGAAGAGCTTGATCTTCATGCCGAGACTCGCTGGCAACGGCGAATCGCTGCTCTTGGCGTGCTCCGCGTCAGACGCGCGCGTCGTCTTGCCTTGATGGTCTTCGCCGACGGCAGAGCTCGTGGCAGTCTCGCTCTGCACGATGGAGGCGTCGCCGCTCTTGGACAGCTTGATCTTCATACCAAGTGGAGATTCCGTCCTCTTGGGCGTCTCCGCCTGAGCTTCCCGCGGCCTTGAGTCCTCCGCTTGCTCCAGCTTACTACTAGATGAGCAGCTCACCACTGACGTCAAGTCTCCCGACTTGGACACCTTGATCTTCAGGCCAACGGGGGAGACCTCGGAGCTCTGGGACGCGTTCTCCTCGATTACTTCCGACAATATGGTTGACGTTGAGGTCTCACCCGACTTCGTTACCTTAATTTTAATCCCGGTAGGCTCCGTCGGCTTCGCCATGTCCTGCGCGGCGGCGGCCTCGAGTTTCTCTCTGTGCCTCGTCTCCTTCACGTCGTCCGAGACTTCTGAGTGTATGATAGACGCGTCGCCGCTCTTCGACAGCTTGATCTTCATACCAAGCGGCGACTCCGTGCGCTTGGGTGGCTCGGGCACCTCCAGCTTGTCCCTCGTGTCCTCGACGGTGTCCATGGAGATGATGGACGCTGCGCCTCCTTTGCCCTTGGTCAGCTTGATCTTCATGCCGATCGGAGACTCCGTCCTTTTCGGCAGCTCGGCAAAGTCCTGCTTCTCCTTTGTCTTCGTGGACGACTCCTTCGTGTCATCCACGCCGGGTTCCGAGGGGGACACAATGGAGGCGTCGCCAGTCTTCGACAGCTTGATCTTCATGCCGATCGGGGAATCCGTGCGTTTTGCTTCCTTGTGCTCCTCTGCTATGTCCTGCCAGTCGCTCTGAATGATGGAAGCGTCGCCGCTCTTGGAGAGCTTGATCTTCATGCCGATCGGTGATTCCGTTCTCTTCGGGCTGCCCTGCGGCAAGTCCAGCTTATCCTTGTGCTTGGCGAGAACCTCCTTGGAACTGTCTTGCTGCACGATCGACGCCGAATCACCGGACTTGGAGAGCTTGATCTTCATGCCGATGGGCGAGTCCGTTCTCTTCGACTCCTCGAACTTGTATTTACTCGTCTCCTTCGAGTCGTCCAGGCTGCCGCTCTCGTGTTTCTCCGTGGTCGCACCCACGATGGACGCGTCGCCGCTTTTCGACAGTTTGATCTTCATACCGATGGGAGATAAGGACGAGGACGTGCTGTCGGTATGCCATTGGCCCGTCTCCTCCAGATTCTCATTCGATATTATGGAGGGGTGGCCACCCTTTGACAGCTTCAGCTTGATCTTACCCAGTTTCTGGCCCGGACTGTCCTCCGGGTTCGGCGAGTTCGCGGCTGAACGGATCTTCGGGCTCTTCGGCGACCGCGGCTCGCTGCAATCCGCGATCGCGGACTTGGCGATCTTCAGGATGATCCGCGGCGAGCCCACGTTCTCGAAGTCGTGCTTCTCGGACTCCTTGCGCGGCGTTTCCACACTTCTCGACTCGGCAGCAGTGCTCCTGTCAGACTTGGGCGACTCCAGCATCTTTGAGTACATCATGGCTCTGCTGGAGTCCTTTGGTATGAGAAGACTGTCGTTTGGACTGATGGTGGACTCCACCTTAGTGGAGTCCGGGACGGGTATCTCGATCTTAGGCGGCTCCTTCAGCCGCTCTTCCAATATCGATACTCGCGGAATCAGCTCACACGCCTTCAGGATACATTCGTTCGACAACGGCTTGAGATCTGACTTGGTGTCTTCTTCTTTCTTCTCGCGCGAGGATGGGTCATCCGTCGCTTGCACACTTGGAGAGTCAGCCATGATGGGAGCGAGCTCGACAGGAGACTTTGAACACGTCCGGTTCTTTGTCTTCTCATTCTCTTCGACTCCTTCGTTCACCTCCTCCACTCTCCCGACATCCTTCCCTGGCGTCGCGTCGCCAGCGAGGATGTTTTGCATCTGCGTTGCGAACTTCCGCTCGTTCTCCAGCTTCGCAGCCTCCGATATAATCTCAGCCTCTGAGATGGAGATGGAGATGCGCGATGCTAGCTCGGATTCGCTGTTCGTGTAATTATCCGCATCGTCAGGCATCACGTAGAGCTCCGCGCCAGCCTGCTTCGCGATATCCTCGACGACGCTCTCCACCATCTTCGGCGAGAGCACCAACGGCGAGTCTATCGTTTGCTCCTCGGACTCCTGCAGGAATTTCACGGCGGACTCCAGCTCGGAGATCTCCGAGCTCGACTGTGAATTCTCGATGACGGCCGGCATGTCGGCGAGATTCTCTTGGGACACTACGGCTTCCAGCAGCATATCCTGCGGCAATTCCAGCTTGCTCTCGGCCTCCTCCAGGTCGCCCACTGACTCCAGCCGGTTGTCTCCAAACTCCGCGTCCAAGTCACTTCGCTCCGGATTACAGACTGTCCTCAGAGGCTCCTCCATCTTCTCGTCATCTGCGTTCTCGCTCACCGGCTTCGTGCTGCTCGCAGCTTCGCTCATCTTCAACAATTCATTGGCTTCGTTCTCGGTGGCTTTGTCGTTAACCGGCTGCTCGGCCATCGCTTCGTTCACTTCGTCGTCTCTGCTCGTCAAGCAGCTGGTGATTACATTCGTTATGTAGTCTGAATTTTGCGACAAGCTCGTTTCGCTTTGATTCGTCTGATCCAATAAGAGATCCATATCGACTACCTTACTTACTGCTTCCTCCGCAGCCTTGTCCTCGGCCTTCGCGTCCTTCAACGACGGATTCTCACTGCCAGATATCAGATCAAGGTCTAGGAGTCCCTCCAGGGAGTCCATATGTTGCGTAGCGATCGAATCGTCCATGCATACCGTATCTTGAGACAGTTTCTCAGCTAACTTTTCGATATTCGCCTCCAACGGCAAGTCCGCCGAATCCTGCAGCGAGTTTACTTCAGCTCCGTTTTCTTCGATCTCCATTATGCTCTTCATGTCAGTCGTCTCGTTGTCATCGCTTAACATGCCTGTTAACGTGTCTATCGCGTCTTCTTTCGAGGATTGTATTGATTCGGGCAAAATTTTCACAACATCGCTGACGTTATCCGAGATATTTTCATGATCTTTGAGATCATTCTTCGAATTAGTGTCTTCATCATGTATTGACTCTCCCTCGATTGACTTCTCTGAGCTTTCTTGCAACATAGAAAGGCTAATGTCGTCTGATTGCACGTCCCCTAAATTATCGTTGGCAGATTCCTTGGCTTCTGTATTCTTCTCCTCGATTATTGAAGTTACCTCGACATCGCTCAATTTTTCCGATTCCTTATCGACTACTATCGCGGTTTCATCGCGCGTCTCTTTATCCTCCTGGATCTTCTCATCTTGAGTGTTCATCATCTGGATATCAGACGCTGGAATTTTCGATTCCAAAAATAGATTTGTGTCAAGAATTTCTTCTTCTGTTTCTGCTTCGACTTCGGCTTCGACTCCGGCTTCGACTTCGGCTTCTGCTTCTTCTTCTTCTTCTTCTTCTTGTTCTCCTGCTTTTACTTCTTCTCTTCCTGCTTCTTTGTCCTCTTCATTAGTACGTTCTTCGGCTTCTACAATCTTTTTTTCGCTTGTGCTTGGTATAAAGATCTCTGTTTCTTCGGCTTTCTCCTCATTCAACGGAATCTCAGTTACGATATTTTCTTCGGTTTTAACTTCTTCCTGTGATGTACTGTCCAAAGGACTCGATACTTTATCTTCTGCAACCACTAAATTATCAGCTAATGGCGGATTAGTATCCTTTTCCGATGATACGTCGGGAGAAGTAACATTTTTCTGAATAGGTTCACTTTCCGTTTGTGCAGAGTACGAATCAATTTCTTCACTCTGCGCGTGTAATTCAGGCTGGTCGGGAGTTTGCTGTGGAGAAGATATCTCTGTCGCAGGTGATGTTTCGTCTTTGTTCACGACTGACGACGTTATTTCCGGTTTCAAATCTTCTATCTTCTCAGCTTCACATTCTAACGGTATCTTTGTATCTTCAGTTGTATCACTCGTTTCAACAGACACAGGGGCAGGATCTTCGGGTAAACTTTCAGATTTATCAGATTTTTCAGATCTATCAGATTTATTAGAGGTAATCGTATCGTTAACTTCACAGACTTCAGATGTTTTTAATAGAGGTGGAAGCTGTTCGATAGGTTCAGTACATTTGACCGAGACCAAGGATTCAGTACAGACATTTTCTTCCGTGCAAATTGTCGTATCCTTAGAAATATTAACATCGGCAAGTGTTGCGTCTGCGTCATTCTGTGTTAATGGATCCGAGGAGTGTGAATTTGTAATACAGCTTTGCTCATCCAATGAATGGTTACTTGAACATTGCACGTTACTCGTCTCCACGGCGATAGTCTCTTCATTTTCTTCGATAGCTTCATGAGTCAATGATACCGTATTTTCCTTTGAGTCTGATTCGTTCTTAACTGTACTTGACTCAACCTTAGATGCACTGTCATTCGTTAGCATAAACTTTTCTTTCGCTTCGACGTTTGTGTCTACATTGTCCTGATTGTCATCGGTGGCCGTCTCGAGATCTGTCGCGATAGCCGTTTCCGCTGAAGCAATTTCTTCTATTGTTAGAGAGCTGTCAACGACAGCGTCGGATTCCTGACTATTTTTACATATCGATTCTGACATACATGATTTTTCATCAGATACTTCAGTTAGCGTAGAATTCTGAATACTATTTGCAGATTCTGAAAGGACCTTTTTATCTTCACATTTGGATTTATCTTCCACAAGGTCTTCCGTGTTATTGTCAGTGACAGCATAATTGTCGTTTATCTCCTTAGTATCCGATGATTCATTTTCACTAGAAACCATGGAAATACTCTCCTCCTGTGTTTCAAGAATAAGCGTCGACATATTTGATTCTGATTTGGTATTATCAACTTTATCCTCTCGATCCTCTTCGATATCTTGCGTTTCCTTTGGCGATGCAGTAGACGTTTCTATATTCGGCATTTCTGCACAAGCCTCATTGGATGATTGAGGTTCCGACGATGTTTCTTCAATTGTGGCCGTTCTATTTATTTCTGTGTCATTTTCTATTTGTTTATGTGTACTGCTTGATATCTCGTTATCAGTACACTTTGGCACTTCGTTTAAGACCAAGTCGTTCTGTTGTAATGTTTCACTTTGACTAGAATTTTCCAGGTCCCCAATTTTTGCACTCAGATCTTTTGTTTCTTTATTACTGATATCTTCTGTTTTTATATTACATTTTTCTGGGATAACCATATTAGTTGAATCATCAGTTGAATCAATGGATTTTTCTATATCTTGTTTCGTTGCATCAGTTACTTCAGAATTATCCTTATCATGACATATTGCAGAAATATTAAATGATGGAGTTTCTTTACAAATAGAAAAGGATGTGATATCTTTTGGAGAATCATTGTCATGTATGTTGGTCTCTTCAGAATCCTCTGATATGTATGCCTCTCCTATTAATTGCAAACTTTTACTAATACTACCAATTGTCACTACATGCTTTGCCTCACTTTTGGAGTCTAACACTTTGTCTTGGCTTTCAGTTTCATCATTGACAGATTTGTTTTCCATCTTCCTCAATATATCTTCTTCATAGTTCACGGAAGAAGTCGCGTTTGATTGTTGCTTATTTTGGACAATTTCTTGAACAGTATCAGCTAATACAGCACTTGATAAATCAGTCTCAATACATGGTTTATCATTGGAAGACGATGTACAAACCACAGGTGCATCATCAACTGTGTCTTTAGTATCTACAGAAGAAGATTCGCTACATTTAACTGAATCCAGTTCAGTACTTTCGGAAATATTTTTACTTGTAATCGATGATGAATCTTTATGTATCATATTTTCATGTGTATGAATAAATGTGTCTTCTCGAATTTCAAGATTGCTATCTACAGCACGTTCCTCAGACACAATATTGGATTCGTTAGTACCAACAATACTTGTAGTATTATCATTATTTGTTGCACAAATGACATCAGAGGTAGAACTAAGTACATTAGATGAACTTTCTTGCGTCTCCTTCGTTGGATTCGTCGATTGTTGAGATGATTCCACCTTGGATTCCGTAATTATCTCTGAAAGTGCAGCAATTTCGCTCTCTAAGGTTGAATCACCAACCTGTTCGCCAGACTGTACACCAATAATGTCATTGATATCCATGACGCTCAGTGCTTCAGTATCATATGTCTCTGTGTCACTGTCAATACAGTAAGGGACATAACGCATCGGTGAATTATCTTTGGAAGATTTCTCACTCTGCTCCTGACTTTTATTTTTTGAGCCAAATAGGCCCATCTTAGAATCCTCAGACATTGTATGGAAGTTCTGTGCGGGGGACGTTATGTCTACCGCTGCCACTACTACCGTTACACATTTATATTGCTCCTTCTAACAGTGCATGCGAATAGATCTCCAAAGAGAATCTCAACAGAGTCATCCCTGCAAATGCATCATAAAGGTATAAAGTTTTTGAATCTATTCTTTCAGGTTGCATTATACTATATTTTTTACACTCGAGATTAAAGGCGAGAGTACTCATTCATCGACGATATAAAATAGAAAATATCTCTGACATTTTCGACCATTTCGATCCTACCTTACTTACCGTTTACATTGATAGTTTATTTGTTTTCACCCGACATAACCAACGTCGTCCTCCATTTGCGTCTACCAGTTCACAATGTTACACAGATTGCATAAATGTATGTGCGATGTAACTGGAGCCAGATATATCGTCTAACTTTGTAGCAAACGGGATCGATACGCGGGCGAGTGCACAGTTTTCAAATATTATACTTTACCAAATCAACGCTACTTCGGCCTCTTTTCTCTTTCTCTAAAATCGCCAGTCGGCATCATAACTGACGCAGAAGAAATTCCCCTAGTTGCGGCTAACCTATTATATTCCCAAATAAGACGATATGCCGCACAAACTTTCTTCTACATTTTTTTGTTTTATCCTTCCTCACTACTTTCTACGCGTATTTTATATATTGTCTTTCACGAACATATTTGTTCTTTTTAGTCGAACTTTCGACACTAGTGCAAGAAAAGTATTACATTGAAACGTCAGAAATTTGTTCGCTTTCGAAACTAATGCATTAATAAAATGCAATAAGTTGGACTGAAGGCCGGTTGTTCTAATTCCTTGGTAAATTAACTGATAGTTAAATCATATGTTTATCTTTGCCTTTCCTTCAACTTAGACAAAGACAGACATATGATTTAACTGTCAATTAACTTACCAAGGAGTTGGAACAACCTGCCCTGAAACAAGTATACTTTCTGTCATTTTAACTTACTGAACTAGTGTATGCTACTTCAAACTACTTACTAAAGTTTTTCGAAAACGAGCAGTTTACTTTTTAGTCGAGAAACGTCGCGGCCAATGTATTGAATATTGCTGCACTTTTTCAAAGTGCAGCAATATTCAATACAGCTGCAGTTTATTGTACACAGTAGTATACCAAATAACTGTACCAAATAATTTTGAAAACATCAATAAAGATATAAATAACATATATCCCATACAGCACAGACAATTGCAGCAATATTGCTACATTGCGTATTGCAGTGCAATATTGTAGAGACATTGCAAAAACAATATTTTGCATTATTATATCTGCAATGTTGTAGCAACATTTCAAATTGCGGTTATTATTAAAAAATTATACGAGATATCGCTAAATGGAAGAGGACTTTTTCGTTTCTCTCGCTTAGCTCTTTGCCCTTATGGAGTTGGTATGTTACAATTATAGGACACTTTGAATATTGCTCTAATTCTCATATTTAATCACCACGATTTGGTTTTACAATTATAGTTTCATATCCCAAACTTAGACGTCTTATTAATTCAAGAATAGTTACTGCAAGTACTTAAGACTTGTATTATTTCAAATAGCAAGGTGACATCTTATTGACGTTCTATTGAATCAATAAAACGGCGTCTTTTAAGATATCATTTTACTCCTTGAAATATTACAGATCTTGGGGACTTTCTGTGACTATTCTTGTTTGATGTCAGAAATGAAAACAATGGCATATTAATTTTTTTTTTCATGTACGTTAAAATAAAAGAGATTTCCATAAAACGACACTTATGATCGATTTTACAAATTTGTAAAATGTTCCGACACTTTTCTTTTGCTGTATGATAATCATTCACTGTAAATAATTAGTGAAATTTATATAAATGTTGAGATGAACATATTATCTCTCATGATTATTGTTACAGAATTTTTATGGAAAATTATTGATTGTCACAACAAGAGGAAAGTGTGTCCAGAACATTTTATAAATTTGTTAAATCGATCACAAATATCATCATCTGGAATGTATCTATATAACTAAAACAATTTTTGGCATACGATCTTTTGCTTCTGTCGTCATTAAATAAAGACTCACAGAAAGTCTCCAGGAGAGACTCTCAATATACAGGGTGTATCAGAACACGGGCTCCGTAGGGATATAGAGCTAAGTGAGAGGAACAAAAAAGTCCTCTACTATAAATATATATATATATATAAAGCATTATTGCATACAAATTATATTACAAATATTGCTGCAATGTTACACTGCAATGTTATTGCAATATTACTGCAAGCGGACATTTTACCTTTGCTGCAAGATTGCAGCAACATTTCGCATCGTTTCTGCAATGTTGCAATCTTGCAAAACAACGTTCCTGCAATATTGCTGTAACGGTGCTGTGCTGTATGGAATATAATATAATAAATATATACAAATATATTTTATTCTATGCCTAAAGATTAAAAGATTACTTTTTTCGACATAAAAAATATACAGAATTCAACGGGCTGTTCAACTTCGATAGAAATAATAGCAATGATTTAATAAGCATTCTAGTATCTAACTAAAATTGTTGATATTAAAGTTTTTATTGCTTTATATTAATTATATTAGTTTTTATTTTTCAATAAGAGAAAGTTTATTATTCCTATCAATGAAGAACTATATATATTAAAAACGGCGATTCATAGCAGAAATTTGAAATTATATTTTAAAATTTAAATCTATTCTAAAATAAAAATCTATGTCATTTCTTGTTGTGCGATATGCGTTTTGTTCTATGAATAAAATTAGTATTTCATTCGTACTACGAATACAGGTTTATTATTTGGTTTGTTCTACGAGGAACTTGAACTGACGAAAGGTCTTTCTCTGGGTCCTTATTCTCGAAAATTTATGAAAAATATCGTATACTACATATTTCATCAATGGGGCAATTTAAATGGCTGAGAATCGTGATATCTAGCGACAGCTGAGAATCGTGATATCTAGTGACATTCATGAAATATCGTATGCAACATACGATATTTCATAAATGTCATCTTTTTCTTCTTCAAATAACTAACGTTCCATTAGTCAGTCTTATTGTATTTATAGTTTCTTCGAGTGAATTGAGTTAATTTCCTTTATATTATTTTGCAAATATTTAAAAAAAAATTTCTAATGCTAGGTAAGCTCTGGTAATATTGGCGACGCGATCCACAATATTACTAGCCGGAAAGATACCGGCTGTATAAGGCTCGATTCATAGCTTATTGCTCGATGCATTGTGAATGGTGGAAACTGTGATCTGCATTTTATACAAGAGCTGCACACAAGCAGGATAAGTCCGCTCCCTATTGAAAAACTTCTATTGAGATTTAAAGGGAGATTTCCGAAAAATTTCTTATATGAAATCTCAATTATTTCTTATGATATCTCAATTGAGTTATCATGTGAAAAATTGAAGTTTTTTTATTTTTTCCAATTTTATATGTTCAATTTTATATTTTATATGAAATATTATTTACTTTTTTATATATTAGATCTAGTATCCAGACAGCACAAAACCTCCAAAGGACGTCCTGGAGACGTTTTTAGGATATTAGAACGTCCTCAGAATGTTCTTAGAGTGTCCTTTGGAAGTCTGTATTGACTGGGTTAATTCTTTCCCATTTTTGATAATTTTCAATTTTTATTTAAGAATCAATAGAACGAGATTAATCAATGAAATATTCTCCGTTGTTATCGATGATCTTGCGCCATTTATTGGGCAGTTACCGAATCCCGATAGAATCACGATAGAAACTTGGTGGCTGTGAGGCTATAAAATCATGATGAAATTTCGTATGTCATCAACTGCCGAAAAATATGTATCAGACAATATGATGTTGCATCGACCGAAATAAGTGAAAAATCTGATAAAGCTAACGGAGAATGTCTCATGTGGGAGAACTTCCCAGCCCAAATGTAAGATGTGGCTTCTGTATGTAGTTTAGCACTGTTGTACAACAGGATATGACTTTACAGCTGCCTTGTCCAGTACATGGCCTTTTTTACTCAATTACGTCGCTCAAACATACCAATTGCTCTTAGTAAATTTCTGTTTTAATGGTTTTATCTGGTTCCAAGAGTTCATAGTACAGCACACCCTTCTGATCAACCGGCGATTTTTGTTAATATTAATTGTTAGCTCGTGTGGAACTTATTTCCCTCCTTTCTGTACTTTCTTTTCTTTTCTCATACGATGTAAACGATCGCAAATAGCTTTCTTGTTTATTCCCAGCTTTCCTGCAAGTTCTTGTTGTGTTTTTACTGTATTTTCATACAGTAGATTTTGCAATTCCGTTTTTAAACTTTTTTAGCCGATCGGTACGTGATTGGTCGTAAAGATCAAAATTACCACTTCGAAAACGTTCAAATCAATTTTGGCACGTGCGGTCGGTCACAGCATTTTTACCATAAGCTGCATAAATTATTTTGGCTGCTTCAGAAGCGTTTTTGTTGAATGAAATACGAGATGCATTGCGTTTCGAATATGCTCTTTGATAACCATCGTTGATTATTTGAGGTTTTCTACATTAAATGCTAAACTATCGTCTGTTCTTAGCCTATTTTTTTTGGCTGCACTGCTGAACTGGTGTATTAATAACAAACTCGGATGCTTGCACTAGTGCACACTGAATGCGAGTTTTTTCGGTACCACACATTCAAGTTGTGCCCTTTACCCTAAGTTGTCTTCAAGTTTGTTTTTTTTAACGTTATTACAATATGGATATTTCTCAATATTTTCATATTTCTCCTTATCTGCATAAAGCTATATATACATTATACCCAGCACACAAACAGCACAAAACACAAAGTAATACTGTTGGTTATACTGTTGGTTATGATGTCTCATTTAACAATATATCCGTTGCCTAACACATATCATATTGCACTTATATTGTTGAATGGGAAATTATAAGTAACAGTTATATAACTGTGTTATTTCTTTTTTGCTGGATAATTGTTACTTATATCGTAGAGTTTTTAATAGATTCTCTAACAAATTTATTTTTTTTTTCTTTTCTCTTGAGCTTCTGCTTCATTGTTTTAATTATTCTCATCATGTGCTTTTCCTGTAGGCTCATTTCCTGCTTCTTCTTACGTAAAAGTGAACTGCTTATAACTGTTCTCAGCTTTTGCTTGGGTAGTTTCGCAGTACCACCACCAGTAACACTTGTAGGTTGCATTCTCAATGATGAAATTGAAGCAAGAACTGTTGTGTTATCTTCTTTCGTTTTCAAACTCGTCCTTACAATTGTAGACACATTGCATTGCATTGTAGTCACAGCAGATGTAGGAACTGGAGTAGTGACATATTCCATCACAGGAGTAGCCATCATAAGCAGGAGCCCTCATAAATATCGATGGCACAGCCAGATTTTTTAAAAGGACACTGCTTGCGTTAGCTTTTTCCATGATATCTGTAGCTACAAAATGAGCACTACAGATTATGTGGCTTTTTGTAGGTATAAAATCTCTTCCGATTGCATTAATCCACATTCGCAAAACGTCTGGACGCTTTATCGGAAAACTGAAATATTTCATTGCAGCATAACCTTCACATATTATAAACTTTGAATATTTATTACAATGCATTCTACTTACTGAAATAAATGATACCCGTCTTCCTTAGTATTTTTGCAATTTGCAATGCAGCACCTATTCGGCATTATCGCTTTTTTGAATTTACAAAATTAACAATATATGGTAATATGTCAAATGACATTGGCCGCGTTCAGTAGAACAAAGTGATCAGAGAGCGCTTAGTGATTATTGTCTGTGATTGGAGCATTCTTTTAGATTCTTCATAGACCCAGAAATATTTACCAATCAGGAGCGAGATTCAGTGGAAAATCTAGTAATGTTGTCCAACTGTTGAGTCTGCTGAACGCGGCCATTGGCCGCGTTTGCGTTTGCTTTAAACTCCGTTTAAAGCAAGTTGTGGAACTGGGCCTTAAACGGAGTTTAAAGCTAAACCGATGGTTACAAGCAATAGTATATGCGCTTATACTATTGCTTTTACCTATCGGTTTAGTTTTAAACTCCGTTTAAAGCAAGTTGTGGAACTGGGCCTATGTCAATGTACACCAGTTCAGGAGGACTGAATCAACTATAGAGTTTCACATTCTGTGGTTGGACCACGTCATTGGTGTGATGCAAATGGTGATTACAAGTTTTACAAGTTTCGCCGCATAGAACGTCGATTGATAGATATTCCAAATTTTGTGGAAAATATGGAAACATTATATCATCAAACTAATAAATTAGTTCAGGAAACGCAGCATCTTTTCTCACAACTAGAGAAAAAATCGTCCGATGCAGATTTACAGGAAATAAAAGCGGCTATAGAGGACAAAATCAATCTTGTCAACAGGTAGTCAGAAACAGTACATTTTTTTTATTATGGTCATGATTTTATATTAGGAGGAAGTATAATGTGATATGTTGAATTTTTATTCACTATTTTTTTTTTCAGTAACTGTGAACGACTAGATGTGTTATGTCTGAAAGGACCTGTATCACAGAGACAGAATGCTAGAATGAGGGTGGACCAATTAAAATATGACAGTCGTCATCTTAGCGCAGCCTTGAATTCCTGGTGCAATCGTGTGATGAGAAGACAAAGAGAGGAAGCTGAACGAGAGGCCTTATTAGCAAGAAAATTCACTTCCAATGATCATGTTGATATTTTAATAGACCATACTGTACAACACAATAATAATTTACACAATGCGGTTCATGGCATAGATGATTTATTACATCAGGGAAGCAGTGTTTTGGACAATCTAAAATCTCAGAGATTAACGTTGAAAGGAGCGCATAAACGTTTAATAGATATCGGTAATACCTTGGGTCTTTCTAATACTACTATGAGGCTAATAGAGCAAAGAGCTCGACAGGATGGTTTTATTTTGATTGCTGGTATGACATTTACTTGTCTAATCATTATTTTGGTAATACTTTATCTTAGATAAACATTCCTAAAAATTGTTAGATATAATATTTGTAATTATATCAATACAATTGTTAATTGTAGTTCTTGTATGATTAACATGTATACATTGATATCTTATACTTTTTATTTATAATTATTTTTATTGCTTACAAAAATGGTTGTACAGTTTGTAATTCTTGATCATTATTATGAGTTATTCATTATATATAAATTATGCAAAAAAATATTTTCATCTGCAGTAATTTAATTCATTTAGAAAAGCTAGAAATTATTATAAGATTATTGATAAAATATGCTGATGAGGTAATCTTTCAATATCTTAAATTTATTTTATTAAAATTAATTTATACAAGTTTTGACCAAAAGAGTTGATGAATTCTAGTCATACGATAATTATTATACACAAATACTGAAGCTTTTAAGACGTATTATAAATTTATTGGATTCTTAGCAACAATAATAATTTTTAATAATCGCAACTGTAGATCTGTTCTTTTTATTTGTACTTTCTACATTTTGTAATTTTTTCCTTTTCTTATCCCTTCCATTAAATAATTATATACTTACCTGTTTTAAATATAAAAAGTGCTATGCGGATGAAAAAAACAGATCTAACTTAGACTTTGATTACTGTAGATCCTTTAACTATAAAATCATGTCACTGTAAAATGTCAAATTATGTTAATGAATGCGTACGCTCGAAAACCGCTAAATTTAAAGATAATTATTTAGAAGACTGACATCACCTTGAATTTCGCTCAAACTTGCACAATTGTGTATTTTGGTGCGTAGAACGCGATTTTGCAAGAAAAAAGTGTCGCTCTCAAACGAATCAAAAGTTACAAAAATCTGAAAAATAACATGCATAGGGTTAGAAAATCTGTCATGCCTTCTTCTTCTTCTTCAATATATGGCTCTGTACACACCACAGATGCTCCGACGCACTTGCTACGATCTGTCATGCCAATAATACAGACTACGTTTACACGGCTTCTAACTTCGACTTAGTAACTACCGTAGTTAGTGCAGGCTCGAATCCGATTAGAGTATATTTTTAGATCTAAAAGAATATACCAATCGAATCAAAGAATTCACTAACTACGGTTGTTGCTAATCCGGATTAACCTTGCCGTGTAAACGTAGTCATAGTGTAAACGCAACTCACCTTAAGTAGGAGTTATACCATTAGCGTTACTTAGCGTTACTATATGCGCATATACTATTGCTTTTAACCATCGGTTTAGCTTTAAACTCCGTTTAAAGCAATTGTGGAACTGGGTCTTATGCCCATTTCTACCAACCTTGGTTGATTTAACCGACTGGTTATTCCATCGGAATGAACCAATCGCATTTAATCATTCTAATTAACGACAAATGCGATTGGTCAATTCCGTTGGAATAACCAACCGGTTAAGTTAACCAAGGTTGGTAGAAATGGGCATTAGTCGAAGTTAGAAGCCGTGTAAACGTAGTCATAGTCTGGTATAGAGATGGCAACTGTGGTTGCAGCACGGACATAAACCGCCTGAAAATGGATGTAGCACGGACCTCCACCACATATAGATTTTACCACCGAGACCTGAAAGTGGATGTAGCATCGTAGTTCTCCTCTCAAAATGGATGCAGATGACATCCTCTCCCAGTGCGGAAAATCGGTGTCGCAGAAAATGTCGTGTTGACCACTCTCAGGTTTCTTTCTTCTTACGCCTTTCTATGTCTATAAAATTACGTAGTACCACTGATTAATTTAATATTTTTTTGTTAAATATTTATCGACAAAATATTTGTCGATAAGAAAAAAATTGTCTTTACTATATAAATCCTATGTAAATATATATACACATGTGTACCAAAATTCACTAACGTCGATAACAGATGATAACGTTCCCTACTTTTTGACAATCGCCTCTACGTTATCGACACTTTGTAAGTTAATTGACGACTTCAGCGTCCTCTTAAAACAGGATTAGTTATTCAATCTATCCTAACCTAACCAAACGTAACCTAATTCAAGGTTTGGTTCGAAGACACGTGCCAAAAAGCCAAGTATAAACTTCGGGATGAGCTGAATGCACAGTGTTTTGTAACTACCAAACTGGAAAAAAATATTTTGGAGACACGTATATATTACAGATTACATTGTGTTGAACAGTATAATTAATAATAATGGATGAATTACTGAAAGATGCGCGTTTCGCGCACGTTGCGAAAGATCCGAAATTTCGACATATTCCCAAAGCTGAGAGGAAAGTGAAAATTGACAAACGATTTCAAGGCATGTTTAAAGATAAAAAGTTTGTTGTAACATATACTACCGATAAACGTGGTAGGCCGGTTAATCAAAGCACTACAGAGAATCTTAGAAAATATTATGATCTACCTAGCAGCGAAGAAGAAGAAGAGGAAAAAGAAGAAGAAGAAGGTGAATTAAATGAAGATACTTCTGTATCATCTGCAAGTAAGGAAACTAAAACAAAAGAAAGTACCAAGAATATCGAGAATAAAAAGATAAAGAATAAGAAAAAAAAGAAGGAAACAGCAAAAGAAACTGATTCAAACTCTGTGAAAGATTCTGTAAACACAAAAAATAAAGAGGGAAGGAGTGATGATGATTGTTCTCCTAGTAATGAGAATTTGATACAGATAAAGTCAAAAAAGGAAGATAATTCTGATGATGGATCAGATAAATCCTCAAATGACACTGAGGATGAGAGTGTTGAGGAAAGATTATCCCAAGTAGATTTAGATGAAAATGAAAAGCAGTTGCACAAAAGAAGAAAAAATGAGAACAGCAAACTTACAAGTGAAGTTAAAAAAAGATTAAAAGATCTTAGTGTGAATTATGCTAGGGGTGAAGGTGTCTTATTGACTGATAGTTCTTCAGAAGAAGAATCATCTGAAGCTAGTGGTAATATTATTGATTATATCTTATGACATTAAAGTGTACCTATAAGTAATATAGTACATAAGGATTGTTATGCATATATTTAAATGTATAATAGTGTGACACATAAAGTTAGGGTATCTAGTATCATTCAATTTTGCTTCATATTTCTTTCCTTTCAGATGATGAAGAAATTGAGCATGACTGGGGTGAACTAGACAAAGATGCTGAGACAACAGATAAGATTACACATAAATTAGCCATTTGTAACATGAATTGGGATGTAATACGTGCTGTTGACTTAATGATTCTGTTAAACTCCTTTTTACCTAGTGGTGGATTTCTTCGTTCAGTCACAGTAATAATACATAGTATAATATTACATAATCATGATGAAAATATAATATTATGAAATGTTGATAGTAATTAATAATATGAAACAAACTTATATTAATAATTTATTACTATTTCATCATTTATTAATTAATAAACTAATTAATAAATTCATTAATAAATTTACTAATTAATAAAATATTTTATATATTTTAATGAGTAATAAAATAAAAAAAATAAAGTTCTCTCCCTGATATATTGAGTTCATATTTATGAATTATAGCTTATTTACCAATTTTTACAGATTTATCCTTCAGAATACGGTCAGCAGCGAATGAAGGAAGAAGAAATTAGTGGACCAAAGGAACTAAAAGATGATAACATTAACAGTGATGATGAAAATGAAGATGTATGAAATATGAATTCTTTCTATTATTCATAGTTTTAATAGTTGATTAAGATGCAATGTACTCTTATTAACAATTTTATAGTCAATCCTTTTTCCCTTTTTTTCTTTTTAGAATGAAGAAGGAGCACAATATCACATGGAGAAACTGAGACAATACCAGTTGAATCGATTGAAATATTATTATGCTGTTGCTGAGTTCGACTCTGCTGAAACAGCAAATAAAGTATATACAGAATGTGATGGTATTGAATATGAATCAACCTCGAATCGACTAGACCTCAGATTCATACCAGATGATATGACATTTGACCAAGTATGTGCTAAAATATCCTGAACATTTTTTTTGGATACAATTTCTATTTTCATGATATTTTCTTAGAAATATACCAATTTCAACTACAAAATATTTATTTAAGGAACCTAAAGATACTTGTAATGAAATACCGACAAAGTATCAACCAAGGCAGTTTACGACAACAGCTTTGCAACAAGTTAAGGTTGATTTAACGTGGGATGACGTAGATCCAGACAGACAAGAATTTTTGCAAAAAGCAAATTCAGGAAAACTGGAAGATATCGACGAAAGTGATCTGCATAAGTATTTAGCGAGTGGTAGCGAAGAGTCGGGTATGGTATTATTATGTTGTAACTTTTCTTTTGGGTCTATATATTAATGCGTTATGTCTTTATATTTTAGATACAGAGGAGAAGAAAAACGAAAGCAACGTGGCTGACGGTGATTTAGATTCGAAGGTGAAAAATGATCCAATCGAAAAATACAAAGCTCTGTTGAGATCTATTGAAGAAGAAGAAGAGAAAACGAAAAACAAGGATGTTGAATTAGAAGTCACCTGGGATGTAGGCGCGAAAGAAAAGGTCGAGGAATTGGTCAAAGAGAAGATGAAAAATAACGAAGAGCTCACGCCTTTCGAGCAATATTTAGAGAAGCGTAAAGCAAAGAAGAAAGCTAAGAGAGAAGAGAGGAAGCAGAAAGAGAAGAGTCAAAAGGACGATTCAGAAGATTCCATACCATCTGATGTAAATTTGAACGACGAATACTTTGCCGAGGAATTGAAAACCGGTAAATCATTATCTCGTAAAAAGAAGAAAAAAGACGAAGAAAAAAATGTATCGAACGATGAGGAAGAGGATCGACGTAAAGCAGAGTTAGAATTACTCTTAATGGATCAAGACGAGGACGGTGCTAAGAAACACTTTAACATGAAGGAAATCGAAGAAAACACATCACTATCCAAGTCCAAACGGAAACGTCTCAGCAAGAAGAAGGCGCAAGAAGAAACGAAGGAAGACAACTTCGAAGTCGATGTTAAAGATCCTAGATTCACCGCTTTGTTCACGTCACATCACTTCAACATCGATCCCACAGATCCGCATTACAGGAAGACAAAGGGTACGGAGGTCTTGGTCAATGAAAAGCTGAAAAGAAGAGCCGATGATGCGGCACGTGTAGAAGACGTAAGTAAATTAATTGAACATTCTCGTTAATCGCGATATTCGCCTATTATGGTTGAAAATTTTACATTTCAATTGTTTTAAAGATGTCGGAAACGCAATCCAAGAAGTCAAGGATAAACGAGAAGCTATCCATGGAATTGCAAGCATTAGTTAAGTCCGTGAAAAGAAAAACACAAAATATTATGCAACCAATAAAGCGATAAGTCGGTCATTTAGTTCTGTATGGATTATAGACGATTATTAGTCGTTTATAATGTATAAAGTCTATTTTATTGTCAAAATAAAAAATTAGAAATAATCGTGCGCCTATTAAATGACATCGTACTACTTGGTTAGAAGTCTCTCATCGACTTGTGACGAGTGCGATGAACTTTTGTCTACATCTCATACGCGCGATGCTTCATAGATTATTTTTCTTTTTAATTGATATATTTCGCAACTTAAAAAAAAAATTGTTCACATCAGACTTTATTTGACATTACAAACGAGATACATATACTGTAATCAGGTTTTTAGTCAAACAATCCAAAGCCCATGTCATCGTCGGACTCTTCGGATTCCTCTTTTTTCTCTTCCTTCTTTTCTGCGGCGGGAGTATCGACGGTCGCATCTGACTGAACCGCTACAGTAGCAGCAGCAAACTTACTTGGATCCTGTAACCAGACATTTCCATTGATTTTTATACGTGCCAATTTTACTAATAATATAACATCTTTCTATTATATTTAGTTCAGACAGCGTTTACACGCATTTTTCAACCGAGATCCTGACGCGTCAGTGGGTTCCGCTATTTCTAGCTCTGACACGTAAACCAAGATCTTCAGACATGCAATGTTTTCATCATTTAAGACTTCTAACTTGCAGAAGTGAAGAATAATAATTATTCTCTTTCATCACTCAGCATATGAGTACACTGTATACAAAATCATACCTTGATGTATTCCTTGATTGTAGCAGCTTCCGCAAATTCGACGTCAGTAACAGCAGCAATGGCCAACAGATTCTTGAAACCATTAGCAACACTGTGCGGTGCACTAGCGATTGTGGGATAACTAATCGCCAGACAAATCGAGGCTACATTCGCAACACCAGCCAAGAATTTCTCACGGAGATCTTCAGGTTTAATGTCCAAAATCTCGGGTGCGAAGATGGTACCAGAGTCATATACTTGTTCAACAAGTAATCCGTATGAGAAAGGGGAGATGTTCAGCATATTGAGAAGTGTAGCCTCAGAAGCTCCCACTTTGTCGCCAGGTTTGAGAATGTGTACATCATTCTAGAAAATTTCATATCACTTTTTAAATTTTTGAGATAATACAACTTAGAAGTGTCAAATGGATGGATTTTCAATAGATACTTACGATAATTTCAATAGTTCCTTTAGAAATCTTAGTTGGTATACTTAAAGCTTGAAAAAATGAAGTCTTTTCAGGACCAAGTCCTGTATTCTGAGCGGGGATGACAACACTCAAAGGTGCTATGGCGCCAGCTCTAGCAGGTGCTCGTACTTTATTCTCCAGTAATTTATCTCTCACTTCAATTAGGTCTCCCCGAGTAAAGACAAATCCAACATTACCACGGATATGAGGTAGTAATTTTTCTAGTGCAGCATTCCGTTCGACATGGCCACGAATAGCTTTTCTCATCATAGTATTTTTACCCATCAAAACAACTCCATTTCCCCGTAATGACATGCGGATCTGTTGCATTTGTTTGGATCCAACATTGTCTGCTCCCACAATAAAGCATTTGGGATAATCGTCCAATAGTTGCTGATATTTAAAAAGTTCTAAATAAATTACATAACAATTACAAAGCACATGAAAGAGTAAGAAGAAAAATACTTACTACAAGCTTGGTGAAATAATTAGACTTCCATGTTGTTTTGTCCTCCCTACCCATCTTGAGTGTGTAGGGATACCTTGCAGAAATTTAAGGACTGCAAACAATAAAAATCAGTGCTACATATTAAACACAATATAAAAGTGTTATATATTAAACACAATATAAATCAATATTAATCTTTCTACTAAATTATGTTAAAAATATTTCTTACACATAAAGGCTGCATTTTGAAATATAGTGGTAAAAATCTACTATTTATATTATGTAAACTGTATTTTCAGTATTGATTTTTATAGGTGCCAATTTTATTAAGTAACATCTTTCTATTATGTTTAGTTCAGACAACGTTTACACGTATTTTTCAACTGGGATGTATCAGTGGGTTCCGCTATTTCTAGCTCTGACACATGGACCAAGATCTTCAGACGTGCAACATTTTCATCATTTAAGACTTCTAACTTGCAGAAATGAAGAATAATAATTAATAATAATATTCTCTTTTATTCAGCATATAAGTACATTGTTGGTATATTTTAAACAAATGCATTCAAACAGTCTAATCTTTTTCAAAGAACTGGTTTATACATTTATAACAAAAACAAGAAAAAATATGCAATCAAAATGTAATCAAAATTTGTTAGGGAAAAAGAAACAAAAACTAATACATAGTACAGGGGATGCAGCAAAAAAGACCAAGCTAAATATTAATAATTAAATAAGTTCAATTGTTTTTAGTTTCTTTGAGTCTTTTGTTTTTTATACATGGTTTTCTCATAACTTCATTGCATATTTATATTTATAATATGAGACTATTTTTCTCAATTTCCTAAATGACTTAGTAAAAAAAAAGACAGACTATAATTTTTTTTATTAAGAAAACATATAGAAATCTCACAGATTTTAATATATATAGACTTTGAATATGTTAAATATATCCAATATCCATCAAAGTTAATGGCAATCAGAATATTTCCATATGGTTTCTTATAAAGCCACATGTTTCCATAACCTCTTGTTTGACGCACTTTTCTTTCGAACGTTTAAAAAAAATACACATAGCTTTGTATTATTCGTAATTAGAAATGAATATGCGTATCGTTTAATCTAATCTGACATAAAGAGAAAACATTAAAGGTTTCAAAAATATATATATTAATTAAACGACAAAAATGAAGAACATAGCAAGAACATACCTCAACGACGTATAGTAGAATAGTGTTCAAAGCAGCGATCAAGATGGTTCATGGTTCGATAGATGGCTCCAGGCAGAACAATTCTGCTCCTACGCCAGTCATCGGCTGCATTCAGCAGACTCAACAGTTGGACAATATTACTAGATTTTCCACTGAATCTCGCTCCTAATTGGCAAATACTTCTGGGTCTATGAAGAATCTAAAAGAATGCTCCAATCACAGACAATAATCATTAAGCGCTCTCTGATCACTTTGTTCTACTGAACGCGGCCGCGTTTCAAGACGTAAATGTGTGAAAAATTATATAATCTGATTGGTGCGTGCAAGGAACTTAGCTATCTCCTGAAAGGCTGGGAAATTATTTGTAGGAGTCCGTTTCTAGAGAGTTTGCGTTGATGTTAGTTCCCAAATAATAGTGTTTTAAGGCCCATCTATAATGGCTGCAAGAATAAGGTTGTAAGCGTAAGAAATGGACCAACCATAATCGATTATTATAAGAATAATAATAATTCTTATAATAATCGATTATAGTTGGTCCATTTCTTACTGCTTATACCTCGTCTACAATAGAAGTCGTAGAGTCGTAAGTCGTAGAAATTGACCAATCATAGTCCGGTAAGAGAAAAATAATCGACCGCGATTGGTCAATTTGTACGACTACGACTCTATGACTTCTATTGTAGACGAGGTATTAAGCCCTAAACACAATGCCAGGCAACAGGCAATAAGAATAAAAATAGACCGATCACAATCGACTATTACAAGAATAATCTATTGTGATTGGTCTATTTTTATTCTTATTGCCTGTTGCCTGACATTGTTTAGGGCTTTACGCTTGCAACCTTAGGGCAAGAGCACAGGTTTTTGCATAACGCATAATACATAACGCATAAGAGAATAAACCAGTTAGTTTTCTTCATTTCTCTCCTCAGGATAGAAATGAAGAACTCTGATTGGTTGATTCTCTTATACGTTGTGTATTATACGTTATGCAGAAGTCTGTGCTCTGGCCCTTAGTCTAAAGGCTCGTCTACATTAGCTGTAAGAGTAAGGCTGTAAGGTTGCAAGACACGAAATGAAATATTTTCATTCGGTGACAGCTTACGTTACAGCCTTACAGCCTTAAGGCCTTATAGCCTTAAGCCAGCGGCACACGGTGCTTGTTTTCGTGCTGGATTGCTTGCTGGATAAAAATACTGCGTTCTGATTGGTGTATTTTCATCCATCTTCGGAAATGTACCAATCAGATCGCAGTATTTTCATCCAGCAATCAATCCAGCACGAAAACAAGCACTGTGTGCCGTTGGCTTAATCAAAACATATGTAGTCTGTTCTTTTTAGCTGCACTACTGAACTGGTGCAATAAGTTAAAGTGAGAAAAAATATAGTTGTCTTATTCTAACTTAAGCCAGCGGCACACGGTGCTTGTTTTCGTGCTGGATTGCTTGCTGGATGAAAATACTGCGTTCTGATTGGTGCATTTCCATCCATCTTCGGAAATGTACCAATCAGAACGCAGTATTTTCATCCAGCAAGCAATCCAGCACGAAAACAAGCATCGTGTGCCGCTGGCTAAGATGTAATTAGAAGTAATCAAAACATAGTTTAAACACATTCCAAAATACCAGTGAGAATTTTCAGAAAAAAAATAATTACAATGCCGGCTATAGTATAAAAAATTGCAAAAAACGAAAATAATTTTTGACATGACAGTATGTGATTAATATCAACTGAGCCACGGTCGTCGCCATTTTCGAGCCAAATCGTGTGAAGTGGATGAAAGAACCTAACCTTGTCCCGTTCCCCTATTTACGGACCTTGAATATACCTCGAGAGGAGATCGGTTTGATATTGTCTGTAGTCTGCTAGTCTCGAAGATATTGTTTTGTTTTGATCGATCTGATTATATTACTCGAAAGTAAATAAACTTTTTGTAATAAATTTTTGAGGATGACGACACTCAGGCCTTTCACGTGCAATGATTTATTCAAATTTAACAACGTGTGAGTAGTTTGTACTAAAATTATGTATATTTTATAATTTAGAATTTTGAAATTTAATTATATATCATTTTCATATAGGAATTTAGATCCTCTCACGGAGACAGTATCCTTTACTTCAATTAATAAGATGACAGTTAACAATAACAGTTGTCAACCACACACATGTATTTTCTCATTAATCTGTCACAATATAAATAATTTTGATAATTATTAATTAGATGGTAGGAGACAAATCTGTTGATATTTTGAATGTTTTAATGTATATATTCCCTCATATTTCTACTTAGTATGGGCTTTCATTTTATATGCATTATCTTGCACATTGGCCAGAGTACTTTCAAGTGGCTGAATCTCCAAATGGCGAAATAATGGGTTATAGTGAGATCAATTATCTGTGTTATGTTATTACAGTGAAGTAAAATTTCATATTGCTTGTCTGATGTTGATGTTGTCACTGTTTGAAAACTATTCATAGTTATGGGAAAAGCAGAAGGACATGGAGAATACTGGCATGGTCATGTAACTGCTCTCACAGTTTCTCCTGACTATAGGAGACTGGGTCTTGCTGCAATGCTGATGAAGTTTCTGGAGGAAGTTTCTGAAAAGTGAGTTAAAATAAAAATGTTTTTTCAGTATTGTATATTATTACAAGCTACAATTATACAAATTGTTTTCTGAATTGTATATTAATAAAGCAGATGACAATTGTTACTGCTTTTTTTAAATCAGGAAGCAGGCTTATTTTGTGGATCTTTTTGTGAGAGTCAGCAATAAGGTGGCTATCAAGATGTATCAACAATTAGGATATATTGTTTATAGGACGATACTGGAATATTATAATGGAGATCCAGATGAAGATGCATATGGTGAACTTATTTCTAAAGAGTTTGAAATAATATATCTTTTTTATTGCATGCAAGACTGACAGATATTGTTTTATTCACAGATATGAGGAAAGCTTTGTCAAGAGATGTGAAAAAGAAATCTGTAATTCCATTGACGCATCCTGTGAGGCCTGTGGAAGTAGATTGAAAGGTTTTAATATTTATATATTATACAAAATGCATTGTTCGAGAAATACATCACTTGATTATTTAATTGCGACTTTCAACTGCGAATTATTCTTGGTAATAAAAAAAGATGGTTATTTGATCGAATCGTTCAAACAATTGAATCAAACTTTTACATCTATTAGTTCTGTGGATTATATATCGGATAAACTTCACGGTGTTTTATACAATGTCTGACCTTCATTATTAACAATATACAGATCGCTTCCGACCGAAACAGGTTTGAATCGTCAGTCCAAGTGATCGAAACGCACCTTGGTCGAAAACGCAAACACCACTAAATACGACGCTTCGAATTTTCGAGATATAAATGTAAGATGACTATGTGAAATGAGCTTATATACAGATGTGCGTATACGTTATGTATTAATGTGCAGTTTATTTGCTCTCCTGTACAATAGTACACAACGTTTTCCACTTGTTGTCGGTCTCGCTCGTTTTTCTCATACGAATAAATAATAAATATAAATGTAAGATGAGAGATAGGCTCCGGAGAATGCGATCAGGATCGAGAGCGATCCTCGATCGATGTAAATTGCTAGCTGCCTATTTTGATTCTACTACCATCTTCGAAACGCAAACGTCCCTCTTTTATATATGCTATTTACACGAATAAAATGAATGTGTGTATGTGTGTACATATATACGTATATACGTACGGATCTTCCACTACGCGCGCGCGCGCGAGACTCGCGATATACAGGGGGAGCGTGGAGGAGGGAGGAGAGGGTGCTAGTCACCCGCGCAATAGCACTCGATGTCGCGTGTGTTATAAAAAATTAGGGACAAAGTGTCGTTCTTGCATATCTTTGTACTGCACTCAGTAGTCTGAGTTTCGAATTATCCGTACGAATGTTCGAAGATGCGCTAAATGAAGCCGGGTGTACGTGTTAGTCCGTCCGTTTTCAGACAGCAGACCCTTGGAAGGAACACAATGAGGACGTTCGACAGAGATTCTCGAGCGGGGAACTCTTCGGACGTCTCTCGTGGGTCCTTTGACTTTTCCATCCCACTCGGGTTGTTTCGTTCGCTTCCTGGAGCATATAGACGCACAGTCGTAGTCGCGGGATTACAAAACTATCCCAAAGTCTTGTACGTATTGCACGAAAGCCCTACATTTTTTTTTTCCTTTCTTTAGCCCCGCTCGTTTCGTAATCGCTAGGAGGAAGACGTTTGCTAGTTACGTAGGACACGTCGAACGAGTACAAAACTTCCCTTACGATAAGACAACGCTACAAACCGCTTACGTCGCGTACTTTTTTTAATACACAATGTTGCACACAGAGTATTTACGCACACAGGAACGTGAGATGCTAATCGTTAAATAATAAATTACGTTCCCATTATTACAATCTATTTCATCGTGTCCTTGTACAAAAACAAAAGAAACGCAATCGCTTATACCTTAAATAAATATCGAGACTAGTTGTTATATCCAAGTTGGTACATCGGATCTTCGTCTGTCAGTTAATCGACATCTCGCGAGTAGCCTCACGTGTAAGAAGTAAAAGGAAACGGACGATTCGAAGATAAAACGAGAAGAAAGTAATCAGTCTCTCTCTCTGCGGGTAAACGGAATGTAAAATGCTTCCGTTTACAAGATTCATCTGCCATCTCTATTCGATACTCCGACTTATCTGGTTAAAGTAAAACGGTGTCCCCTCTTTTCAACTCCCTGTTTTCATTCATACGTGTCGGGATCGAATCGAAGTGTTTAATCTAAAATTAATTGCACTCTCGAATCTATATATATATATATATATATATATATGAGGTTGAATTAGTTTTGGCCCTTAGCAATAGATAGCTCTAATTAATGGTTAGTGCGAATGTAGAAATCTGGCAACGCTGAAAGATTTGACATTTTTCTATGACATATGACAATTTGCGCGCTATTGTTACTGATAGTTTCATTGTTATTATATATGCGTCTAAAATGGATCGTACAAAATTGCATTTTTGACATTCGTTATCTTTTTTGTTTGATTTGAAAAAATCTGCAACTGAAGCTCACGAAATACTTGTTACAATTTGTGGTGATCAAGCTCTATCGTATTCCAACTGTAAATTTTGGTTTTAACGATTCAAAAATACTGGTCAACAAAAAAAAAGAAAATTCTGAATTACAAGCGTTATTGAATGAAAACACCGGAAACGGAAAAACAATTGGCTGAACAACTCAGTGTCGATAAATCAACAATTTCTAAATGCTTACACGCCGTGGGAAAAATTCAGAAGGAAGGCAAATAGATTCCACATGAATCAAGTGCAAGTACAAGTCGTTTGAATATCACCATATCTTTGCTTGTCAGACAAAACAGTTTTTTGTGGCGAATTATAACTGGAGGTGAAAAGTGAATTTATTTTGATAATCTAAAGCGAAAAATCATGAATTGATTCAGGGCAATCATCAATACCGACACCAAAATGAAACATTCACGATCATAAAGCAATGCTCTGTATTTGGTGAGATATGGAAGGTGTGGTGTACTATAAGCTTCTAAAATCGAATGAACCAGTTACGGGGGAGCGATACCAGCAACGATTGAACAAATTGAATGATGAATTGATGCAAAAAAAGTCAACGATAGTCAGCAATAGACGCAAAGTGATTCTTTTGCATGATGATGCTCGTTCACATGTTGCTTTAATCGTTAAACAAACATTGTTAAAGCTCAAATGGGAAATCCTTCCGCATCCAGCATATTCTTCAGACTTAGCACCATCTGATTATCATTTATTTCGATCGATGCAACATACTTTGGCAGGTACACACTTCAATAATTACGAGGACGTGCAAAAATGGATTGGATTGTTTCGAAAGACAGATCGTTCTGTCGTCACGGGATCGCTTTGTTGCCAGAAAGAAATGGGAAAAAGTCAGAGCTGACGAAGGAAAATATTTTGATTGATGTAAATTTAACCATCTCTTTAAAATAAAGATAAAAAAGTTAACAAAATAAGCCCAAAATTAATTCAACCTCCTAATAACTTTTCGATCCGAGTTTATATGATTTTAATGCAACGGAAATCTTTGAAATTCACGCTTGATCTTACGCTAAATTTAACGTTTAATTGCAACCTAATCTCCGTCAAAATTAGATTCCCTCAGATCGAACTTCATTGTGATAAAATTTCACTCTTAGTACTAATTTCGCTTGAAATATCGCTACACCGGGAAAAGCAGCGATTATAACGAAAAATATACGAAATTAAGTTAAAAAGGAAAAGAATCGCGTTTTACACGTTACATGACATAGCGATGACATTGATGACTTATGCGCCATCCGGCTGCCGAAAGTAAACCTTCTTCGCCGATACGCACAGGTCGTGACAATTTTACTCGGTGAAGTCGGCGAGGAACATATCGCTGTGTCGGTCTTTGTATACTCCTAAACACTTAGTAACTCTGATTAATATATACACGGTACGTGAATACATCACTCTCACGCAATATCTCATTTGCGTTTCTCTTCGTTACATTTCTCTCCTTTCCCCTATTCTCTCTTTTTTTTTTCTTTTTCAATTTGGTATATAAATACGGTAGCAAAAGTCTCAGCGTGATACTTAGCCGCGGGATGAAACTATTCGATGTGTTAACGCACACTAATTAGGCAGTGTTAACAGGTCGATTCCCGATTGATCTCACTCCGCCACTCTTTAAGCCACGACTTCTAGTTTCCTTGCACGATCCTTGCTCACTTTGCGGTCCAGTTCGCGCTTCTTGTCGAATATTTACACGGAAATACATGGTCTTACAAGCGTCGATACTAATTTACATGCACATACGAAACGCAAAGATGAGTCGAAACGCGCGTTTTTCTTTTTCTTCGGCGGAAAAAGGAAAAAGAACGGCGTCGTCGCGGTGTACGATATTAATACTGCACATTTTTTACGCTGCTCATTTTGTATGACACAAACGAGGGAGAGAGAATGCTCGTCGTAGTCGGACCTTTGCGCAAATTCCGGAAATACATTCGCCGTCGTCTTCTCGAAGACTAACACGTGAGCCAGCCTTTCCGTTTAAGGTCTTTGGTGATCCGGCGTCGACTTCAAAATATCGGGTTGAGTTGGAAGACAGCTTGAACCTGCAACAGAAACAAGCTTTGCTAGAGTCTGTTCCACAATTTCGTGATGTGTCGGAGAATTGAAAGTCTCTTTCACAGACCAGTCGCAGGTCTCAGGGTGGACTTGATCGAACGGTGCGATCCGTTGCGCGTCAGAGTATTCATTTGCGGCGTGCCCGGCAATGTGTGGCCCAGCGCGTTCATGTAGTCTGCGATTAGCAGTGTTATCTCCAGGATCTGAAAGAAATTGTACGTGTAAAATTAACGTACTTCTCTAGATCGCCACTTATAAAGTCTTAGAGTCGCGCTCACTTTAGGTTTCGAAAGCGCGAACAGCAGTTTCTGTTCAGCCGCACCCTCGTCTGGGCAGGCAACGAGCATGAAATCGTCCAAGCAACCGCCGAAGGTCACTATGTTTGCGTAATTGTAACGACACATGACCGCCATAGTCTGTAATTCGAGTAACGTCACGCTGTCCTCGGAAACTGCTATCCAAACGGTGACAGAGTCGGCTTGCTTCAGCTGCAAGGAACGGTAGCAGTTGGTTTCAATATAGTACAAGATGTTCCATTTTAAATGAGCCAGGCAAAAATCTCGAAAAATATAAAAGCGATAACGAAATAATAAGAAACGTTTCAGACAAAAGTCGTGTGGTTTCAAAGGAGGCAACTATATCATATATACTATATCTATTTTGTTTACAAATGGCGTCACTTTCGAGATATTCATTGATCATTACTTTTCTTAAATGGAAATCTCAATTTTTTATTACATCATCTTTTTCTACCAATTAATGCGAACAACTTTTGTCTGAAACATTTCTTAATATCTTTCATATGTTTCGAGATTTTTGCCTGGCTCATTTAAAATGGCACACCCTATATAATGCGATCGAAAAGTTTGTTCCGCTTTTTTAACTAACTTCTAGGCAATCATAGTCGGCTATATCATTATTATATATTCTCAGAAGCATAATAAGTAAAAATACACAGCATATAGTTTAAATATTTAATTGTTAACTTGCTACTAACAAATGAAAATGAAAAAAAGATTTTTTTTTCAAAAGAATTCATTTGTAAGCAAACTTTTAGGAATTTTGGCACATTGCATTATTAATAGTTTATTAACCATATTTTACACATTTCTTTTTTAATTTTTTGCATAGGTTCTGTTTTTTATAATAAATTATTGAAATGTTGGTATTATTTTGATTCTTTTATTTGATTTAATTGAATTTAATTAAATTTAAAATAAAAAAAACTTATATTCCAAAAATGAGAAAATTCCATTAACAAACCAAAATTCTTGAATAATTGGTCCGCCATTTTGAATTAAAAAATTCTGACTTTTGATTCGTATAATTAGCAACCTCGAAAATACTTAGATACTATAGTTCAAAAAATTCCATCGAGAAATAAAATGTATGGCTCAAAGACTTAAAGCTTTTAATTTCTCATCGCGTTTTTAGTTTCTCATCTGATTGGTGACGTAAAAAAGCGAGGAAATTTACACTAGAAATACCTATTAAAAAAGAAGAAAAAAACCAGAGAGAAAGAGAAAAGAAAAAGTTAGAAAATATATCCATATCTCATTTATTTATTATCTCATACATTATATGAGACGGCAAAAAGAAAGTCTTCAGAACATTTTAAAAATATCCTCGATCGATTGTTAAGTGTCATTTTACGGATATAACATTTTTATCTCCGTGTAATCTGCATGAAATTTCAATATGGGTTTCCTTGTTCTTGACGTGATTATTCAGGATGACAGCTACAGCGAGAAACAAGAGCCTCAAGTTGAACCGGCCTTATACATTAGATTAATCCGAAAGTTCGATTTAATTTTTAACAGAATATGTATGTAATACAGGGTGTCTCATTTTAAAGTTTCTACTAAAATATCTCTTTAGGAAAGTATGTAAGAAAAAATATTTCAGACAAAAGTTGCTTGGTTTGGAAGGAGACATAAGACAGCGATATTATTTTGTTTACAGATGACGCCACTTTCGAGATATACATTGGTCATGTTCAGCAGAAAAAGCTGCTTACTCAGTGCTTAGTGATTATCGTTTCTGATTGGTTCATTCTCCTAGATTTGTTAAAGATCTAAAAGAATACTCCAATCATAGATAATAATCACTAAGCGCTTAGTAAGCAGCTTTTTCTGCTGAACGTGGCAATTGATCATCAATTTTCTTAAATGGAAATCCCACTTTTTTATTATATTATCTTTTTCTACCAATTAATTTGAATAACTTTTGTCTGAAACATGTTTTTATTTGCCTAATATTCTTTGAGATATTTAAGGAAAACTTGATGACTTTTTCAACATTTAATTTACAATATCTCGCTATTTATCAAAAGAAAAAATAGTATTAGACTTTTTTACTTTATTTAGTCTCAAGATTATATTGTTATAATTGTGCTTTAACTTTTGTTAACTTATCGACTTTTGGAAATTTCAAAATTATTAAATTAACAAAAGTCAGGGTGTATTGTAACAATATATTCTTGGCATCAAATAGAATACAAATTTCTAGTACCACTTTTTCTTTCGACAAATAGTTAAGTTGAATGTTAAAAGCAACAATATCGGTAATGTTCTACTGTCAAAACATCAATGAATGATCATAATCATTTGCTTGACGGATAGTTTGTTTCTATTAAATGCAATAAAGTCAAATTGATAAAACCTTAAAAACAGAACTTTTTGACTGAATAGATGGAATGTACTTTTGCTATATTGTAGTTATCTTTCTATATGTAATTACCCTTCTATATATACCGTACCTTTGCTTGATATAAGGTAGCTCCGAAGAAAGGCCACTTTCTGGTGCATGTGAGATAAATTCGAACACAGTCGAGTACACTACGTCCTTTCAATGCGATCCACTTGTCCTGCAGTTTCTCCTGCAACTCTCTAATGCAGAAAAATCAGCGTTGCTTTAAGTGAAGGTAAATATATGCAAACGTATGCCGATATAAAGAGAGAGGACTTTGAATACATCGCTTAGTTATGCACAGAAAAATACATTCTAGTGAATTCGTTTGTTTAAAATATTTCACAAGCTATATATTTGCAATCTATTATCATTTCATCATATAAGTATCAAAAATCTACTCAAAGTACATTTTGAATTTTAGTGAAATTAGTACTTGAAGTAAGAATATTAAATCAAAGCAAAAGCCTGATTTGTGTTGCCTCTAAAGAATAAAATATAGATTTTGTAAAATATTTTTGAAAATAAATTCTTCTGTCGAATGCATGATTTGAAATGAATTTTTCTAAAATGTATGATGAGTATATATTTTAGGACTATTGTAAAGAAAATATTCTTTGTCGAAGATAACTATTAGAAGAGCCATTGAAAGAAGGCAAATGAATTGAACAATTGCTTTACTCAGCAGTGGAAAATGATATTTGTGTTTCCTTTATAGAATATAGATTTTGCAAAATATTCTTGAAAAAGAATAAATTTTCTTCTCTCGAATATATGATAATGAAGTTTTTTAAAATGCATGAATATACAAGGTGTCTAAAAAAAATGTATACACACTTTAACAGCTGATAACTTGCATAATTTTCTATTCTTTTGAGATTTAATCGATTTGAAATGATGGGAAGTTAGACTAAGTTTTGAATAAAGAAAATTTATCCCAAAGTGCTACTGGAAATTTTAAAACGCAGTTGAGGTAAAAAGATAGTTTAAGAGAGAGTTTCAGATCCACTTACGCGACTTACCATTACTCGAATTAGAGAGCAGTTTGAAATAGATGGAACTGCTCAGAATGTCTAACAAGAATGTTCCACAAAAAGTGCTTCAAAATGCGATGGACACTTGATTTTGAAATTCTTATCTCACGTACCGCTTATCGCACAGATTTTTTCGAACTCTGGTGATGCATTTCCATCAACCTTTCTTGTCTTGTAGGTCTCGTCGGTGTTTTCTATGTTTCCTGTGACCATTTTGAACAGTTTTATCTGTTTCAAATTTATGTCTAATTCAAGTGATGGTAAATCGCGTGGGTAGATCTGTTTGAAACTCCTTCCTAAACTGTCTTTATACTTCAACCGCATCTTCAAATTTTCCATTAGCAGTTTAGGATAAATTTCCTTTATTCAAAGGAAGCTAGCTTCATACATTATTTAAAATCGGTTAAATCTGAAAGAAAATTATGTGAGTTATCAGCTGTTAAAGCTGATTTTTTTAGACATCCTGTAATTTAGGACTATTATGAAGAAAATATTCTTTGTTGAAGATAACCATAGGAAGAACCATTGAAAGAAGACGAGTAAATGGAGCAATTGCTTTTCTCAGCAATGGAACGATATTTTTCTCTCTATGTACCTACGCACCTCAATTGATCGGCCGTAATATTGGTTCGATAGCGTATCGGGTAGAATTTATCCAGGGCTTGCAAGACGAGATGATGCGGGTTGCTTCCGGGGCCACTGCCACGCGCTTTGTCATTGTTGTATTCCCCGAAGTCGATCTGAAAATCAATCGCGATGTACAGTCAGTGTGACGAGGCGTATCGCACTAGAATGGTCTACTCGATCCGAGAGCTATCTTGAATAGCGATTCAGGTTACTGATAGGCGATGCACATAGCCAACACAATAATGTAAAGGCGCACCTGTGCCATCAACGACGCGAGTTCGAAGGCAAGCTCACGATTTAATGGGAACTTCCCCTGCACGACCTGCTGATTCACTTGGTAACACAAGAGGAGCCTCTCTTTGTCCGTTTCCATTTTAGCGGCCTGCCGCCAATAGCATCGTGACTTGTATGTCAATTGTATCACTCTGGTGTTCTCGAACTTCCCCGAGCCCTTCTCTCGCAATGCGGTCTCCCACTTTGAGATGATATCGCACAGCTGAAATCCACATATACACATATACGTGACAAGCTTGAGTCACAGAGCTTTCAGATCTCAGCTCGCTAGCTGGAGTTTGCACACAATACAGCTTGCGAAGATCAGATAATTCGCAGCATGAAAGAGAACCATGAAGTCATGCTTTCTCTTTGCAAGTACCACGAACCTTCGCCTGCAGATCGATGAAGTGCTCGAGATCTTTCTCGATCGGGTCGTCGCTGAACAGCGTGAAGCCGGACTGATGGACATCTCTGCAACCGATCTCCTGGTTCAGCGTGTTCAAGAACTCCTCTATCGTGGTGCTGCCGTCGAAGCTTACGACTTGATACGTGCCGTTGAGGAAGTGCACCGGTATGGCATGCGGTAGAGAATGGTGATACGGATTTTTCATCAGTATGGACAGCACCTCCATCCTCGACGGTTTCACTTCTCTGCTGCCGTTCTGCAACGTTCTCTCCAAAGCTCTCTCGCAGTAGGCCGCATACTTGCCACACTCCGTTCTGTCGATATAACAACCATCATCATTATCATCATCATATTACATAAGGTGACGAAGATTCGCGATCGAATCGATCATCGCGGAGGAGCGAGCTTTTACGAGCGATAGCTCACGAAGATGGGCAACGGCTGAGAAGCTTCGCAAGGTGTGACGATCGACTCGCTCAGGTGCGGTTCACTCACTTGCTGTCGGCGTTCCTCTGCAGGTGCAGCTTCAGGTACCACAGTAGCCGATTGTTCCTCGGCAGGAAGAGGGAGACGGCAAGCGCCAACAGCTGCCATCCCTGGATAAGCACGTACTGCGCGGGGTTAGTTTTGCAGTCCAGGATTGTGGAGGTCGAGTGGCCCTGCGTGAGCGGAGGACTGTGAGAAGTCGAGGCCGTTGATTGCGCGTCCGCATTTTCACCGCTGCCATTTGCCGCGGGACTTTGCGTATCGCAGGTGAAGAGCGATTGCGTGGCGCAGAGGAGGAGCTGCTGCAATGGTATGCTGGCATACTACTACGTCCCTGTATATATTATACTCAGCCAATCCTAGCTTACTACTTTTCGTTCGAGGTAACGACGTGATCGTCAGCTCGCGTGAACGTTTCTTGGAGAACATGAGCGAGTAATCAAGCATTTCTTCCTTTTTTATTACTTGCCTTACTTTCTATCGACTTTTTTATTGCTTTACAGTCTCCGATCTTACGATTCACTTCTTTCTAGTGATTTTGTGCATTTACAGCCTGTGAAAAGAATGGCTGAATGAAAAGAAATCGACACGGGGATCCTTATTCTGCCAAGTCTTATTTCTCTCCTCCGAAATCGAGGATTATGCCTTCAAGGTGCTTCGATTCTTTTTCATTCCTTTTGCTGCTCTTCTTATGTATTAGCTTCTCATTCATTTATTTCACATTTATTATTTTCTCCAAAATCGAGGAAAATTAATATCGATTAAATCTTCCTTCGAGTTCTTTGAAAGTCAAACTCTACTTGTTTTGCGAAATAAAGTACAATTGAATGCTCTACGTGGAATGAAATGAGAAGGTGTCACTGTGATATACACAATAAAGTGTCAAGCTACTCGACATCACTGGGTAAGAATTCAAATGAGTGAATAAAGGAAAAGAATCCAAACATGATCTTGTAAGGCACTCTCTTTAATTACGAAAATCAGAAACTCACGATCCGGCAGAACAAGTCCTACCAATTTCCCCCGATTTGTTGATTTTTCACACAGCACAAATATCTTCCTCTTAATGCAAGACCGTTCCCATCTTATTCGTAACAACCACTATGCGTAATTCGAATTAATCGTGGCACGGTTAGTAAAGAAGCACGAGAAATCGAAAAATTTCGCACGCACAACTCTACGTGTTAATCGAATGAAAAACGCCGCGTGTATACTCGGTATAAACCCTCAAAAATTGAATGAATCAAAACATGTGAGAGTGAGAGAAGCTCTTGAGAAGGCTCTTAGGCCGCGTGAAATCTACCGTACAGCTGGAGAAGCGTTGCGTTTACGTTCGTTGGCGTTACATGAGACGAGCGAGGCTTGCTCTTCTTCTCGCAAATTTACGTCCATAGCAATGTGAGACTCGGAAATCGATGTGCAGACGCATAGGCCGTTCTCGTCGAAGGTCAACAAGATGTCCACGCGCGAGGATAGTCCCGAGTGCTTTTTACGCGACGCTGCGACTGTCGTCGGATCGACAACGAGTATACAGGTACAGTGTAACAGCGACATACAGGTCAGTATGACGGGTTGCTTGCTCCTATTCGGATGATAATGCAGAGGTTTCCGAAAAGTCACTCGTTGATTTTGTTGATAATGATATTTAAATATTTTTGTATCGTTCTTCCTAATCTCCAATTTCTATCGAACTTGCCAACATGAGAAAACAATTAAGAAATTATGCAAAACCAGGAAATATGTTGTATGATTTATCTCTTTAAGTATTACTCTTGTTTATTCTGCTTTATTCCGTAATATTTATTTTTCAGTTTCATTTTTTAAACATCTTTCTTAATTCAATGAGACTCGATTCTCGATTGTCGGTATACGGTTGATAAACTGTCATAACGATCACGGTGTAAAGTTAGTTGCATTTGTCATAACTGGGAAAACTGCAAATATCATTATCAATAAAGTCAACAAGTGATTTTTTCGGCAACCTCTACATTATCATCCGAATAGGAGCAAGCAACCCGTCATACTGACTTGTATGTCGCTGTTACACCCTGTACATCCGTAATTTAGGAAACGGTGACAGAGATAACATGAATGAGGATCGAAATGGATATTTTATGATAATTCTGTGTCGTATTCACCCAAAAAAAAGTATTCTATTTGTAAAGTGATTTTTTCCATAGTCTCATATTCTAAGAAAGGCCTCTTACAGGAAAAGGATTCCTCTTTCGATAAAGCGATTAAAGTGAACCATTGGTCTAAAATTTACTAGGTATTATTTTAACTATTTTCTTTTTATTTCAATTAATTTTCCTCTTATATGAAAAGGAATATGTTGACTTGAATGTCGGCTTCTTTTGTTCAGTCATGCTGTATCTTCAGACATGAACGAAAAGGGCTCGTATGCTCATGGGTCAGAATATTTGGAACGCTTTTTAGAAAAGATATGTGTGTTGCTGTAACATATAACGAAGATAATTTACTTATATTTGGTTAAATATAGCTTATAATCTATTGTAAGAAGTTGAATAATATATTCTTTCTTTTAACTATGTTTTATACAATTGGTTATGATGAACATCTTTGTAGCTATGCAATCCATAACAAAATTGACTGGAAATTTATTTGTTATGATGATCTTATTTCATTCATGCCTACTTATTGTAGAATTGGATGCATCTATATATATTACTTTTGATATTACTTTTCGCCATACATTATAATAATTTTTTCAAATTAATCAGTAAGAAAAAAGTACAGTAAGAATAAATAATAATCCTCTTAAAAAAATATTAAATAATCTGTGTATAGGAGGAAATTTATATTACAATTAATAAGATTTGCATTATACATATAGTTCTTCTAACTTTAAGAATAATGTGTTTATAATTTTTTTCTCTCTTATATTTTTCTTTCCTTTCTTTTCTTTCTTTCTTTCTTTTTCTTTTTTTTTCATTTTTGTACTTTTTTCCCTATTTATTATGTGAGAATCTTCTTACTCGTTACACTATTGTCTCAACTGCTGTATACCAAAGGGGTCAGATCCGTATATTATTAATAAATAAATAAACAAATAAATAAATAATATTTTCCTCTTAATCTTAGAGGAATCCTCTTGAGGCCATACATAAGAGTAAAATCCTTTAAAATTTAGATGATTCCGCTTATTCTGAAATTATTTTTTTTGGGTGCTCACATTCATAAAATAGGCATTTATGGTAGAGCAAAGTTTCAACTTTAGGAATCCATTTTCTGCACTGCTGGGCGATGATTTCTCACGGAGTTGTATGAGCAATCGAAATCGAGATGCTTTATTTTTCTTTAAGCAGTTGGGAAATAAGAAATTGTAGAGAAATTTCTTCCCGATAAGTAAATTGTATAGAGGACTTCAATCTTTTACGGAAGAGACGAAAATTTTCCATTTTGTCTATCTTGTCGTTTTCGTTGTGAAAATTATCGAGATTATAAAAAAAAGACTTAAAGAACAACAAAAGTCATAACAAAGTGTGGATACTTCAAAAAAGTTTTCAAACCCTTTTTTCAGATTTAGTTTAGGTAATCTAACATAATTTTTATCGACAAAATCGACGAACTAGACAAAATGGAACATTTTCGTCTCTTCCGAGTAAAAAATGGAAGTTTCCTATATAATTTACTTTCTGAAGAAATCTTTCTACAATTTATCTTCAATTTACTAAGGGTTAAAAAAATTGAGTATCTTGACTTTAGGTGTTCATAACTCCATTAAACATCATCTTGTAAATTATGAAGTTGCGAAACAGAATTATTATAAGGTATCCATTTTAGTATCTTTATTTTTATCAGCGTTTCCGGGCTTATGGATGCCAGAGACACATAAGCTGATGATTGCTCGCATAATGATCGCATAATCGAGTGTTACGATCCGGTAATTCTCTGTTGATGAAGTTACACGTCTGATTGCCAAACCGGTTCGCATACGATAAGTATCGTTCGTAGCCGAGTGTTTTTTTCCAAGCGATTTGCCGTTGGGTCGATCTTAAACACGAAACGATAAGGACTCCACTTGAGAATCGCACAATGAGGAGTTTGTCTTTTCTTCAGAGCTATCGCGGACTATTCGCATTTCCCAGCCAAATAGTTCCCTAACAAGCTGCGTTTGTCGGTTCCAACCAGAACTATGTTAGAGGATTCCCGATTCCCGTCTCGGTATCATTCTGTTCGAAGTCGATCACCGTTCCGGTATTTCGGTCCATGAGTGAAATTGAAACAACGTGATGGCTACCGATTTGGACCGATATACAGAGTATATAAAAAGTAACGGCTCAGCAAAATATCTCGAAAATTAAGCATTTTAGGAAAATATGTTTCAGACAAAAGTTATACGGCATAAAACAACTATATCATTTTACAGATGGCGTCACTTTCGAGCGAATATTCAGTGGTTATTACTTTTCTCAAATGGAAACCCTAATTTTCTATTATACCATCTTCTTTTACCAATTGATGTGAACAACTTTTGTTTGAAACATTTCTTTATTTTCTTATTATTTTCTGAGATATTTAAGGAAAACTTGGTAAATTTTTCAATATTTAACTTACGATATCTCGCTAACTATTTATCGGAAGAGAAAATGGTACTAGACTTTTTTACTCTATTTACTCTCTAGAATATATTGTTATAATAGCGTCCAGACTTTTGTTAATTTGATGATTTTGAAATTTCCAAAGATCGATAAGTCGACAACTTTTGTCTGAAATATTTTTTTTTCTAAAATGCGTAATTTTCGAGGTATTTCGCCGTCCCAGTACTTTTTATATACCCTGTATAATATATTATATACAAGATGTTTAAAAAAAGAGGATTTCAAGAGCAGGCAATACCCACAAAGTGGAGGAAAAAAGTCCTAGTGAACATAGATCGAAAAATTGATGTTTTCCGAATTATGAACAATTATTTATTTTAATTAAAGCAACTGACTTACTCGCTTCTGGCGCTTACTGGATGAGATGGACTAGTCTCATGGTCCCCTCGCTCTCCTGGTTTAAATCCCCTGGATTTTTTTATGGGGATTTCTTAAAAGCACGGTGTTCTCTTTACCGATGAATGACATAGACAAGTTACACCAGAGAATACAAAGGATCTGTTCTTTTTAACTGCACTGCTGAACTGGACGCGTAGAAAATCTTCACTTGCTTTAATTAAAATAAACAATTGTCATTAATTTCTCAATCAATGTTTATTAGGACTTTTCCCTCCATTTTGTGCGTACCATTTGCTCTTTAAATCTTGCATCCTTTTTTTAAACGTTCTGTATATATACATATCTGCTCTTATTACCGAACAAAACGCTGAAGAAGTATGTCCGCGACGAACATAGTAAACGTTGATCAGAAACGACAATCCGACGTGAAGAATGGAAACTCGGTAGCCGTCTAGAATGAACGGAGAAAACTTGAATTCAAAGAATTCAAAGCGAACGTCTTTGAGATACTGAGAAATGCGAGGTAGAAAAATTTCAGGCATATATTCGTTCGGTACCTTCACCACCTAGCAGGCCATAAACGCGACGTGCAATGTGATGAATCATATGATAAGAAAAAGAACAATAGCGAGAGTAGTGACGATGACAGTAGCCATGACAACGAGACCGCGATAGCAGTGACCGCGACGAAGAAGTTAACGAAGACTCGGACGGATCGCCTCGTCGCCGTCGATGTCGTCGCAAACGATGGCGCAGCGTTGCTGATGACCGTTGTCGATCGCGCTGGTCGTTTCTCACGGTAATTCCCACGCGAGCGATTAACCGGAGAACGAAATTACAACGATCGTCGACCCTTTTTCTTTTTCGTCGGAAGAGCCTCTCGTTTTCGTGGAACTCCACGGAATCACTGCGACGGCGAGAGTAAAGACGGTGCAGACAAAGGAAGGAGGTCGCAGTGCGTCTCCTTTGTCTGCGCCGTCGTCTTTACCCTTGCCGTCGCAGCTCGCCAAACGACGCGAACGTCCCGAAGACTTCCGGAGAGATGCCTCGAGGAACATTTTCAAGGCGTATCGGACATTTCTCAAGTGTCTTCAGATACTTTCGACGTTCGACGAGACAGAGAGGACAAGGAGGATTTCACTCGTTAGAACAATCGATTCCGCTGATAAAAATCTAAGTCTCTAAGCAGCATTCAAACAGAGAAAATACCGAAGTAACTGCTTGCAGCTATATATCATAAAAAAGGAACTTATGCAAAATTAGAAAAAAAAATAATTTAAACATGTTTCTCTGTGTGTGTCCTCATGTACACCAACATACCATTCTGCAAGTGTGTGTGTGGCGCGGAACGTATTTTGACAGATAATTTCCTTATCAGAGAAAGAGAGAAAGAGAGAGAGAGAGAGAGAGAGAGAGAGAGAGAGAGAGAGAAAGAGAGAGAGAGAGAGAGAGAGAGAAAGAGAAAATCAATTCGTACAATATATAAATGAGACAATTGAATGCGATCGATTGTATCATGATATCGTCGAAATATGTTCAGCTCACATGGAGGGCGTTAGGGTAATTCTGATTGGGTATATGAGAGAGATGTGATAATATTAAAATATATAATAAAAAGAGTAAACGGAACTTAACGTCACGTGTGATATCGAACAGAATTATAAATGCATGCGATTCAAGTGGTGAGAGCCTAAAAGACAGCACACTTAAAGCGGCAAATGAGAATTAAATGTGTGAATGATTGTTAAAACTTAAAGGACAGTCTCGCCGAGCTTGGTCAAGTATTATCGTGGCGGCAAACGACGGCGTGTGTATTCTCGATTGGCGCTTTTAGAGCTGCGCGCCGAACCCCCACCACCACCTGGTGCGTTCACGTTTTACATCTGTACTCGAGTTCATCTTTGCAATAAGAATTATGAACCAAGGGTATATTCGTAATACTTGACTAAGCGTTATCCCAGTGTACCATTTTCCGCGTTGAAGGAATATTCGTTCGAGCGAATCAAATGATACCGGAACCCGGTTAAGTGATGAGCGTATGAGACAGATGGGGGATGATCCAATCCGTTTCTGACAAACGTGACCAATGATGATATCGCTATCGCTTATAACTTTAAAAAAAATGGTACAGGATGTTGAGTGTTGTTTTTTTTGTTAAACAATAAGCAGGACTTACAACGCGCGCAGTACCCAGTGACACAAGTCTGGCGGCCTTTTTTACCTGTACGCCCAAACGGTGTTGCGTGTGACGACTTGTCTGCTTTACCAGTGCGCATATGAATTCAGACTGAAGTTCAGGCTGGTCTAGGCACTGTTGCAGTGCGTTTTGTGCCAGAACCACGTGGTAGTCGATACCTGCTTGCTCTACTGCCACCGACATAAACAGCTGACAAGCCTGTACGATTAAAAGTGTGTAAGATTACATCAGCCGTAAGTTAGATCTCTTTTTTTTCCTAACTCCTCACACTCCTAAGTTTTAACTCTTCATACTCCTCTCTCTCTGCGCTGAATAAAAGTGAGAAGCAAAAAAATATATATATACGGAATGTTTGAAAAGAGAATTAAGGACTTTCAAGGGTAGATGGTACTTACAAGATGGAGGAAAAAAGTCCTAATAAACATGAATCGAAAATTAATATTGTCGGACTAATGAACAATTCTTTACCTTAACTAATGACTTACAAATGACTTATTTATTTCTGCTGCTTTTGTATTCTCTATATGGAAATTTGCCTATGTCACTTATCGGTAAAGAGAATGTTTGGTTAAAGGAATCCCTGAAGAAGGTCTTTTCGTTTTTGCTTGGAATGCAAACTTGGAATGCAAAGCATCTATTTTCTTCGCTTATACACACATTTTATCAAGCAGTTATTAGTTATATATCCTCATAAACAGAGTAAACAGTTGCAGAGAGCTATCACAAAATTTTTACAGTACGTTCGTATTATTTTAATTAAGAAATGACAGATGTGCATGTCATATATATGACTGTGCATCAGAAGCGAGTAAATCACTTACTTCAATTAAAATAAATAATTGTACATAACTCCGACAATATTAACTTTTCTGTTTATTAAGACTTTTTTCCTCCACCTTGTGAGTACCATCAACCACTTTAACCACTTCGTTGGCACTAAGAAATAGTATCAACTGACCCAAAATGGCAACATATAAATCATGCTTGATTTTTATAAACGTCGGTACTAAAATGTTTTTCGGGTGGTTGAGTATGAATTTGAGGTAAAAATATGAAAATTCAAAATGGCGAATCTAAAATGGCGGCAAAAAAATGTATCTGATTTTTCATGAAATTCGATATGTAGGAGTTTTCCAAGTTGCTAAATATGAATTTCAAAATTCAAAATGGCAGATCCATCTGATATCCAATATGATCATATCCAATATGATAATCAAAAAAAGGAAATTGTTGTGATTATTGTGAAACTCGATATCTAGAGATTTTTCAGGTTTTTAAAAATGAATTTGAGTTTAAATTTTGAGTTAAATTTGAGTTTAAAACTTGAAAATTCAAGAAAGTATATGTAATATATGCAGTATATGTAATAGGGGCTAAATTTTTTTTATAAATTTAATAAAGAAATATTTTGGATCCGCTATTTTGAATTGCTATATTTTGACCTCAAATTCTTATTCAGTAACCTCAAAATTCAGTAACCTCAAAAACCTTAGAGTACCAATTTTTATGAAAATTGAACTAGTCAATAAAAAAATAAACGATGTGCACATTAGTGCGTCAATGCCAACGAAGCGGTTAAAGTCCTGAACCCTTTTTCTAAACACCCTGTATATACATTCGATTGAGAGAAGCTATCGTAGGAAGGAAATCGTGTCAACCTTAAAAAGCTTTATAGCCTCGGTCTGCAGGGACTCGGAGGTCAGGCTCGTTAGCGGGCTAGTGATATTCTCTTTCGTGTGCAGCAGCAAAGGATGCCGCCACAGCACGCAGGTGGGGTCCCCGTCGGTTTCCATCAGTCTCTGTACCAGCTGCTCATACTGCGTTCCCGCGCTTGGTCCGCCGCCGGAGACCACCGTCAGGTGATACAGCCAGTTGTCTTTATCCTGCTTGTGTGGCATCAGCAAATACGTCGGGCCTTGATGCGTCGGGAAGATACCGATTGTTCTTTCGTGCGGACACTCGGCGTCCCTTTCTTCGCTGTCGCTGTCCGACACGTGTTCCACCTCCTCCACGCGAGCGTCCCTCATGTTGATTTGGCCGATAGGGTTCTGAAGTCGCGATTTCAATGACGACATTGAGACATTCACTGAATTATCAAGGTTCCCGGTTTCTCGCTGTGAAACTCTGACGTTAGAAGCGAAAAAGTCCATGCTAAATATTCTTACTGATTAAGTCGATTGAGCACTTTTCTAATATGCCCCGAAAACTTTCCTGTTGCTTCCAGTCAATAAACAACCGTGAGATTAATATGACATACGACCTTTCTCTTTTTAAGTTACTTTTTCTCAGGATTTGGTCGCCTTGATTTTTCGCCCATTTATTGATCGCTTCGACAATTTTCGAAATATTTTGGAAATGTATCCAGTCAATTGCAAAGATTATTTTATGGATGTATCTTTTTGTGATCCGCAGGAATTTTTAGCACGGATTCCCTCACTTTTGACGTCAAGATAGCTGCGGCGAGGAAACCGAAGTCTTGAGTAAACTCGTCCGTCGTTGTGTGTCGAAAACGCAACAACCGCTGTTGCATTTTCCCGCACAAGCTTAACAACGACACGTACACACACATACACACACACACACACACATACTTTTGCACGTGCACTCACCGTATCGCTGGGACATTTAAAATACAGGAACATTTTGCCGATGAGCACGCACCAACATTTCTTCGCGTGGCCATTCTTCACCTTTGTCAGCCAACCTTGTATCGTCGGCTTGTTGTCCTCCTTGCTGAGTAAAAGTTTCGTTGCGTTTCGCCTTTGTACGTTCTGCAGTACTCTTATCCAATCCTCCATCGTGGCGATGCAGTCCGCAGTTAGGTAATAAGTCTTTTTACCGGTGGCTATTTCAAAAGTAGCAGCACCCTCGGCTCTATTGATCCTGAAGGATGGACAAAAGTGCTTCTTATCTTGTTCTTTGTGAAAGAAGAAAAAATGAAGAAGTGTGTTCTCCTTCGTGAATTCGTTATACAAGATGTTTAAAAGAAAAGTTCAGGACTTTAAGAACAGATTTACAAAAGTATTCACAAAATGGAGGAGGAATCCTCCAGGAAGAGGAATGCAGGAGGTCCAAAATGCAGGAAAAATGTAAACATGGGTCGGAAAATTAACAGTGTCGAAGTTACGGACAATTGTTTATTTTAATTAAAGCAAGTGACTTACTCGCTTCTAGCGCATGGTCATACATGAAATGCATTTCTGCCATTTTTTGATTGAGATAATATCATTCTCATTGTAGTATGAAAATTTTGTGACAATTCTCTACAATCGTTCATTGTTCACGAGGATATGTGACTAATAATTGCTCGGTGAAACGTGTGTATAAATGGAAAGAAAATAGATGTTTGTTTATGTTTCAAGCAAGAGCGAAGAGATCTCTTCTAGAGATTTCTTTAAAGCATAAATGGACCGATAAATGACATAGACAAATTACATCAGAGAATACAAAAGCAGCAGAAGCTAATAAGTCACTTGTTTTGATTAAAATAAATAGTTGCTCGTAATTCCGTTAATATTAATTTTTTTGGTCATATTTATTAAGACTTCCTTCCTTCATTTGAGTATTATCTGTCTTTAAAGTCCTAAACCTTTTTCTAAAACACCCTGCACATTTCGGGTGAAATTTGGCGAATCGCGGGCAGTGTGTGCATCGCAGATACATACCTGCATACTTCATCCAAGATTATTTGGCCCTGAGGTTTCCGATTGACATCGTTTTGACTCTTCCAGTAAGTTAACACGCCGTTCTTCAGGACGAACCACCGTTTTCGCCAAGTCTTCAACTTGCCGCCCAGTTTCGCTAGGTGACCTGTCTTCTCCAATGATTCTTGTCGCTTTGGACTTTCGCCGGATACACGCATCAGCAGACTAGGCATGCTAGATTCCAGAGACGTCGAGCTGAGCGCATCAGGAGGTATCGCATAATCCTCGGACAAGCCTGACTCGAGAGAAGTGTCTGCAAGTCGAGCGATATTCAAGTTGTCGGGTGTCCGATGTCTTACGCGCGAAGCTCAATATTTCCTTACTGTTTGGTGTCGTCTTCTAGGAAGCCGGATAAAACTCACCACGTTTTACGCTTTTACTAGGGGAACCGCTGGAGCTTCTCTTCGCGGGGCTAAGACTGCTGGTGGTTTTGATGCTCTTCGATGGGCTGCTTCCGCTGCCGAGGGAAGAATCCGTGTTATCGGACGAACTGTTGGTGATTCTGGTGTTGGTCTCGGTCTGATTAGGATGTTCTTCTCCGTCCGAGCTGTCGTCGGAGCTGTCGCCAAAGGGCATCGATCTGATTTGACTAGCGCGTCCTGCAGAACACAGCATCAGCGTCATTAGACATGAAAAGCAGCGTTAGCTTCATTCTACAGCGCTGAGTGGGCGAAAATTAATTCAACTGTCAATAGCTTCAACTCGATCATTACTCGTGCGAATCGCAGTAAGTGACATAATCAGGAAATACCTTTGACAGTCGCGTACACTGGAACCGAAATATCGCAGTAGCCTTGAGAGTTGTGCGCTGTCAAATTATGCCCCGTCACCTGGGAATGCTTCGACGAGCTGGTCGTGTTAGTCATCGTGGATGGCGCGGATTCCTCGTTTGACGGTGGACCGATGCCAAGGCCGCCGTCTGCCACCTACAAATTGTCCAGCGGATCGTTACATCGCGTGGAATTCGTTTCGCTTCGACGAACACTTATATATCGGATCTCTACAGATCGCGTACATCACCTGATATATCTTCGCCTCCCAGCTGGGGAATCTGTGCAAAGGCGGAGTCGGCGGCCGGGGGCCTTGGCCTCCACCCTGCAGCCAGTTCATGCCCTCTCTGCTGGGCGTGTAGATCTCGGCGTAGTCGTGCACCGTTTCCGAGCTCCCGCTGTCCCTGTTCATGTCCGAGACACCGGGTATGTTCGGCAACATCACCAAGTTCTCCACCGCGGCGGCCAGCTCCTCGGACAACAGACTAAGGGGAAGTAAAGAAAAGCGGCAAGCATAAAGCACGGAACCGAGTTCACTGCTTCCTGTGTGTTGTGCTGCGTGTGCGTACATGTGAGTGTGTGCGTGCGCCCGCGCGTGTTTCTTCAAGGTAATAATACTAATGCTTGGCAAAATATATAGGAATCAAGTCTCGTGATATCGAGGAACAGTTGGGAAGGCCGATGGATCCCCTCAGGAAGTCCCAGGACGTTACAGGGTACCACACTTCGGAAACTCGGGCGCCGCTATCACGTCGTGAGGCCTCCCAAGGAGAATCGAAAGCACGAGCTGTACGGATGTATTCTTGTTTATTCGCGTCCCGTCAAGGATATCGAGTGAGAAGTGTGGTGTTCAGCCTCTTGTGGCGGCGGAGGTAATGCAGTTTACGCAGAACGTTTGCGTCCGTAAATGTGAGCTCGCTGCGGCGGGAGGGAAGAACCTTACCTCGAGTCCATGTTGCTGGTCGGGATCCCTCGCTGAATGGTGCCGCAAGCGGACAAATGCCTCCGATGCTTCGTGGCCGTTTGCGGTTCCGTCACGATATTCTGCACGCACTCTGGCACCGTCTGCGGCGTGCCTTCCAGGCTCTCGGATCGTCTACGCAAGGTGGGGTCTACTTCCAGAGACAGCGATGCTCTCGTTGGTGCCTGCGTTACGAAAAGCTTCATGATGCTTTATAACATATACAAGGTGTCCGGGGTTTTTTGGAAGCGAAAAATTGTGAAGATTAATCAGATCGAACTGAAAAGAAAAGTCAAGTGCCATTTTGCAAAAAACACAGTTTTATTAAGTTTTAATAAGTTATTAAGTTATTAATTATTCAAAATTAAACACATCTAGAAGGTATTTTGATTGATAACTTGAAAATTTGTCTACTTATTTGCAAAATGGTAAAGGACTTTTCTCTTCAGAATGACCTAATCTACAATTATATCGGCTATCATGTCTAGCGACAGGTTCGAGGTTTAGAATTCAAAATTCAATATACTTTTCTCTCGCGACGTGTCAATTTCCCGCGAAGATATAATTCGCTAAATATATATGAAAGATAACACAGAACTCATCGATTTTTTTTTATTTTTAAATATGTTATAGAGGTGAAGTTCTAAGTAACTTTTTATAATACAATTATATGACAGTCGCTTGTAGTAGTTCTCAAGGTTTTTTGTATAGGCCCGGAATCTTTTAAAACCGAAAAATTGTGAAGGTTAATCAGACCAAACTGAGTAGTCAAATATCATTTTGCAAAAATCGCAGTAGTTATTAAGTTATTAATGATTGAAAATGAGACACATATAGAGGCTCTTTTAATTGATAACTTGAAAATTTGCCTACTTATTTCCAAAATGATAAAGGACTTTTTTATTCAGAATGACCCAACCTACAATTATATAACGGCTATTATGTCTAGCGATAGATGTGAGTATATTGAATTTTGAACTGAATCTTGAACCTATCGCTAGGCACAATAGCCGTGATATAATTATGCAAATTAAGTTATTCTGAACAAAAAGTTTTGTTCCTTTACCATTTTGCAAACAAATTATCAAATGTTCAGTTATCAGTTAAAGTTATCGGTTAAAAAAGCCTCTAGAAGTAATATATTAATGATTTTCATTCATTAATAACTTAATAATTATTGCAATTTTTCCAAAATGGTGCTTGACTTTTCTTTTCAGTTTAACCTGATTGATCTTTACAATTTTTCATTTCCAAAGATTCCGGAAACCCTGTATAATATTTCTTGGAAAGTATTTAAGATTATAAAAGTTGAAAATGTTATTATTCTTTATGTGTCAAAATATAATATACAAGGTGCTAAAAAGATATATCGACAACTCTTGGGAGATAATAGGGGATACATGAATAAGCAATATGAGATAGAAAATTTAATGATCGGGAATACATTATATATGATGTGTGGAAGAAAAATACCGTTGTTACACAATTGCACTTTACCGACATACCTTTTTATGCACGTAATAATAACGAAGAAATGCACTCAATTTCCAATAAACGAATAATTCAATAATTTGAAAACGTAAGATGCGCAGAAAATGAAATCATGTAGCAACGTAGAAAGATCACATTTTGAGCTATATTTGACTGAATATATCCTTCCGTTGTTTAATGTTACAAAATTCGGACATATTAAGTTGATTATGTGTAATATTGCTGTAATTAGCTGAAATTGAATGCATTTCTCCTGCTTACGTACATACAAAAGTATGTCAGTAAAATGCAATTGTATAATAATAGTATTTTTCTTTCACACCTCATATATAATAAGTTCCCAATTATTAGTTTCCTATTTCATATTGTTTATTTACGTATCTTCTATTATCTCTTAAGGTTTGTCAGCCTTTTTTAGCACCCTGTATATATATCAGGTTGTCTAAAAAGTATTGAGCCTTTTGCGCACGAGATAGCATTAGTGTCCCAAATCTCAGGGTATATGAGTTGCAGTAGGTCAGGCTTAACGTTATTTGACAGCTGACAGTTGAAGCTAGAAGACGTATAAAAAGTGTTGGAATTCTTATAATCAGACGTAAGGTATTGCGCCGTGAAGATGAGTGAACTTCCCACAAAACTGCGCTACATTTTACAATTTTATTTCGATAAAGGCGCAAATAATGCGCAGGCCCGTGAAGAAATTTGTGCTGTTTATGGGCAAGATACGTTATCAAAAGCAACAGTCCAAAAATGGTCCAGTCGCTTTCGTTCTGGAAATTTCGATGTCCAAGATGCTCCTCGCAGTGGGCGACCAATCACAGAAAAAGTGGATGATATTCTGGCAAAAGTCGAGCAAGACCGGCGGGGTAAGCAGTCATGACATCGCCAATGACCTAAACATCCATCACCAAACAGTGTTAAACCATTTGGAGAAAGCTGGCTACAAAAAGAAGCTCGATGTTTGGGTGCTACATGATCTGACTCAAAAAAATTTACTCCATCGAATTTCTATCTGCGAATCTCTACTGAAACGTAACGAAATCGAGGCATTTCTGAAGCAGTTGATCACGAGTGATGAAAAGTGGATAATTTACGACAACAATGTGCGAAAAAGATCGTGGTCGAAGCGAGGAGAAGCTCCACAGTCTGTGGCAAAGCCCACACTGACGCTCAGTCACACAGGTTATACTGTGTGTTTGGTGGGATTGGAAGGGCATTGTGCATCACGAGCTGCTGCCACCAGGCAGAACGATAGACTAGAACCTGTACTGTCGACAATTAGCGCGATTGCACCTAGCAATTCAAAAGAAACGGCCGGAACTGGTCAACAGAAAGGATGTCGTATACTACGCTGACAACGCCAGACCGCATACATCTTTAACGACCCGTCAGAAATTGAGAAAACTTGGCTGGGAGGTTTTAATGCATCCACTATTATAGCCCGGACCTGGCACCGTCAGACTATCATTTGTTTCGATCTCTGCAGAACTCCCTGAATGGTGTCACGTTAGTTTCAAAAGAGGCCTGTGAAAACCATGTGTCACAATTTTTGGACCAGAAACCGCAGAAGTTCTATAGCGACAGGATTATGGTGTTGCCGGAAAAATGGCAGAAGGTCATCGAACAAAATGGTGCATATGTAGTTTCATAATGTTACTTTCAAATAACAATAAATGTATTCTCAATTTTGACCTTCAAAGGCTCAATACTTTTTAGACAACATAATATATATATTTTTTTCGGAATTTCTCGCACGCTAGACTTTTTTATAAACCAAGTGCTTGAGATTTTGTAAATCTGATATGAAATTCGTAGTTAATGACTTGAAAAAATAGTATGTATCTGATTTACATTTATTCAGACTTACACCTACCAATAAATGTGTTTGCACCTGGTTCAAAGTTCTGTTAACTCTTTGTGTAGCAGTAATAAATATACTTTTTTCCTTTCACTTTTACGATATATTAATTAATGTTTAATGAAAATAAGTAGGATCTCAGATTTTTCTGATATATTAATACATAGTTTTTATATCCAATTCATTTTTAATTACTTATAAACAAATAAAGTTGAACAAATTATTAAAAAAAATTAATTTCTTGAAAAGTATTTAAAATTAAAGGCTAAACATTTTATTGAATATTTTTCACATGTCAGAATATAATACGTATTCTTTTCGAAATTTTTCGTACGCTAGATTTTTTCATAAACAAATTACTTGAATGAATTTGTAAATCTGAATTATGAAGTTCATAATGAACGATCTGAAAAACTTTTATATAGTGTTGAACTAATTTACATCTATTTAGATTTACGCTAATTTATCCTTATATGCCAGCTTGGATCTGCCATTTTGAATTTTTTAAACTTAATCTTAAATTTGTAATCAGCAAAGCCCAAGAAACATAGAAATGCAAGATTTTATAGAAATCCGTCAGGCAGGAAAAATGTGCCATACAAAGAGTCGATTGATGTCTTTTTGATTGATGATATCAAAAGCAAAGAAACTTATATTAAAAATTCCCACACATTTTAAGATATTTCGCATCTTTCTATAATGTTCCGAAAATTTCTCCTCTGAGAATCAATAAATAACCGTAAAATTAACATGATATGCAACTTTCTTTTCTAACTGCCTTTCTATCTCTTCTTATGATTTCATCACTTGCTTCGAAGAAGAAGAAGCGTTTTCGAAGCATTTTGGAAATGCACTCAGTCGACTGCAGGCGTCATTTTACGGATGTATCTTTTTGCTTCTACGTAACCCGTGGGAACTTTTAGCTTTTAGTTGGACCTCTTCGCTCAGAATTTGCGGCGAGGAGAAGCAGAAGCCTTGATGCTATAAATCAGGAGAAAAACAGGAGCACGTCGACGGCCGACCATCGCGAAACTTACGGGTGGTTTGAGTCCGATGTTGGTGATATGATTGCGCAACAGCTCGAGCTGCTGGTTACACTTGTTGTTTTGTTCTCTCAGGTGTTGATTCTGTTGTTCTAGTTCTCTCAGCTTGTTAGTGACCCATTCCTTTATCCTCGCTGCTTTCGCCTCCACCTGCCTGGCGTCTTGCAGCCGTAATTGTCTCTGCAAACGAGCAACGACGACTGACTGATAAGACCGCTTTCAGCCGGATCCCGCCCATTCGGGCGGCCGTCGGATATCGTAATCTCGAGTATCGAGAAAATAGAGCGCGAGAGTAACACGAATTGTGACTCGTCGCAGTTATCTTCGTGTACTGCTAAGAGAATGCGTTTTCATCACCAGTTACTTTTAACCGACTGTGACTCAAAAGCTCCTCAGACTGTCGAAGTTTTTTTTCTCCCCCGGCGAAAGAAGCAAACTTGCTTCAACGCGTCTGCCAGTTCCTCCTATGCAAGTGTTTCCGTTTACCTGCTCTTCAACTTGCGTCTCTAACTTGGAGATGCAGGCACAATGGACGTCCTCGATCTTGTCATTCTGCGTACCGGAGGTGGACGGTAGCGAATGCGGCGGAGAACTGACGCCGGATGTGCTTAGGCAGTATTCACCCTTCACCAGCCGCTCCTCCATCATCCGTACCTGGAACGGACAGAGAGTGAGTGAGCGAGTGAATGAGTAAGCGTTCATGTATAAACGAGCATCAACTCGCGCCGTGTTTCCCGGAGACGTAGAACTTCGCTGATCGATCGGTACAGCTGTACATCGACGCGCTACAACATAAAATATCTAAAAAGTAAATAACTATTCCTGCTTAGTCCTTTAAGGATGAGTCTTGAGCTGTTGGGCGAGCCAAGCAACCGGAAATACAACGTTTGCAATTCAGCGGTGTCGTGCGGTGCTTCTCTACGCAACTTCTATTCAGGCATTGATTCTTCTTCTTTGCGTTGTTCGGATATCTCGCGGACACATAGGGACCCAAGGTACTTAAACGCGGAGGAACCTCCGTCTAGCCGCAGTGCCCCGGATGTGAGACTTACGTCGAGTACGTTGAGCTGATCGAGCGAGGAGTCGCGGTCGCGGGGTCAGTAATAGACACGATGAGGCCGAGCGGGCTTTTCGAGGAAAGCGGGGATCGAAATCGCGCGAGTGTGCGAAGGATCTCGCGTTGCGTTTGCGTGCGCTTGTGGATAGACGGATAGAAAAAGAGCGAGAGAGAGAGAGAGAGAGAGAGAGAGGGGGGGAAAGAGAGAGAAAAAGAGAGAGGGAGGGAGAGAGGGGGAGAGAGAGAGAAAGAGAGAGAGAGAGAGAGCGGGAAAAAGAGAGTGAGAGAGGGAGAGGGAGAGGGAGGACTCGTGCATCAGGGGGGAACCCTTCCAACTGTACGTAGGACGCGCTTACGCTCGTCCATACGCAACTTACGCGGTTCGCACGCGGTATACGGGGTGCACGTTTCGCAGCAGCTGTCAAAAATCGATATCGCCTTAACGCTCGCTCGCAAGCGTGCGGGAGCGAGAGCGAGAGCTTTGTCCACCGGCGACGGCCGGCCGAAAGGGGACTTGTCGAGAGAAAATCAATACGCGGGGAAATCGTCTCTCTCTCTCGACGGAAAGCCGGAATGTTTTCCCGGCATGTGCTGCCCAACTTATATCGATCTCTCTTTCTCTCTCTCTCTCTCTCTCTCTCTCTCTCTCTGTCTGTCTGCGCCGCCCTCCGGTCCTCTTTCTCCTCCTCCTGCCTTTACCGTTTCGGTGTTTTCTCGCGAGTCTCATCGCCTTCCCTTGTCGTCTTTGCGACGCGAGACGCGACGTGCCGCGTCGCCCACGCGCTTCGCGGCGTAAAGCGATCAGCTTTCATCCCCGCGAGATGATAGCCCCGTTCGTCGTACAGTCGCGCGCTTTCATCTCTGATTTCTCCGACGGAACGTTCCCGGAGGAAATTCACCGCGTCTCGTAGTTGCTGGTAATTTCATAGCCCCTTCAGAGCCCCTTCCGTGTACCGATGAAATCGCGAGATCCGCGGATCCGCTAAACTTAACTGACTCTCATGCGACGAGAAGTAGTCATCGATATCCTGGATAATCGTAAAATACGTAATTACGATGCGATACTGTCTTCACCGTCGTCTTCGTCTTACCCCGATTGAACGCTGCCATGGTAGACGGTTTCTCTAGAGCTGCGGCTCTAACCTCTTACTCTATCCTTATTTTACAGCAGCTCGTCGCGTAGAATATCTACGCTTCATCTACGCCAATACTTCGCGTCGACCTTCGCAACAAACGCGAACAAGCGCACAGGGACGCCGAGAGGCCGGGGCTGCCTCGTCCGCTCGCCGGTGAAGATCGCGCCGAACTGAAGCGAGGCAAACGGCAGCGAAGTACATAAACTCCGGGGGTTTTCTAGAGGCGGTGAGTCACGTTGGCTCGTGGCCAATGGGTGAATTTGTAGATGCTACTCGTATGCATACACGACACGCGCGCAACCACCGTAGGTCATGCCGATGACCCTGAGAGCCGGCGCGAGCTCGCTCCCTAAAAGAGCGCCGTCCCCTGCGGCGTCTGATAATTGACGATCGAGTCGATCGCGCGACAGTCGACGAGTACGGATGAGCGAGAGTCTCGATTCGCGAAGAAGAATTCCCCAGCGAGCGAGGCTTCCCGCGAGCGAGAAGCTCTCCTCCGCCGCCTTCTTCTCTCGGGATCATTCTTGAAAATTATCGATCCGCTCCACTTGTGCATCCCGTTAGCGCAGGCTTCGAGACGAAGAAGACACGCCGAGGAATGAGAGAGCAGGCCGGAGAGCGATCCCGAGTGCGCTTTGACAATGCGGCTATGAGGAAGTCGCTGCTGCCGGTGTGTTTCAATATCCGGTGCCGCGTGAGCAAGGGTGACTCACTTAACTCGCCTCATGAGCGAGAGAGAGAGAGAGAGAGAGAGAGAGAGAGAGAGAGAGAGAGAGAGAGAGAGAGAGAGAGAGAGAGAGAGAGAGAGAGAGAGAGAGAGAGAGAGAGAGAGAGAAGAGAGAGAGAGAGAAGAAGAAAAAAAAGAGAGAGAGAGAGAGAGAGAGAGAGAGAGGCCTCGAGCAACATTCTCGCGGCTTTTATTGGACGTGAAAGCCGTTAAATGCTCATTGTATCGCTCAGGAGAGGCGTGTATCAATAACGCTATTGAAATAACGCCATTGACGCTGTGTGCGCGCGCGCGCACCCTTCGAGAGAGCGCACAATGGACGTTCAACAGTTTCCCGCGGTTGCGCTAGAAATTATCGCAACCTGCGGGACAATGGCGGGACAAAAAGAGCGGAGAAAGAACGCGTTTATTCGGCGAGCGTAATTAGGCGCGGGCGACGTGTGTCGCCCTCTCGTGCGCGCGCGGCGTCGCTTAATTTTAGTAATCCGCCGTGAAATATCGCGCGTCCGCGTTGCCTTCTAAATTGCTGCACGATCGGAACAACTAGAAACAGTTCACGAAACGGAGAAACAGAATATATCTTCCTTTCTCTCTGTCCCTTCCTCTGTCTCTTCTTTTTAGTACATCTCGGCGCGACGTCGTCTAGTGGCGTAATAAAACCAGCGACACACACACACACACATTCTCTCTCTCTCTCTCTCTCTCTCTCTCTCTCGGCAGAGATACCCGCGACAAAGCCAGCGTATTTTACGACGAGACGCCACTCATGCGCGGAGAGCATTATTGCGTAGAAATTTAACGAACACGCGAAAATTGCCGGGCCGCCGGTCAATAATATATTCGATAAATACGGGCTCGCCTGTCGCGCCACGCAATTCCCCGTGCAATGTGTATTAACGTGCACAGTGGAACCACCTGCTGCGATGGCCGCGGCGCGGCCAGCCGGGAAGAAACGCCGTCCCGCGACTCGATAACGATTGCTCTTCAGCGCGACGTCCGTGAGAATCATTCAGCGGACGAAGCGAGGAACTCCGCGCTCGATTTCGTTCGACGGACTCTCCTCGCGCGCGAGTTCGCATGCGACAAAGTCGCGAAGGCGAAGTAAGGCCCCGGCCCGGACGACGCGAAGAGGCGGCGTCGGCGACGGTAGCGACGACGACGACGACGACGACGACGACGACGATGACGACTGCATCTCTTCGTTTTATTTAATGTGCGGATGTCGGCGGGAAGTGAGGATTACTCATACACTGGCGGTGAGCCAATTCTCTACACGAGACGCGACTCATTAAGCCGCTGTCGCAACCGATATATCGTCCTCAAGCGGTGCTAGCGCGATACCGCCTGATAAGGTTCCCTTTCACATCGCGACGCGACTCACCAGCACCCTCAAAAGCGCACGCTGCAAAAGGAGCAAAATGTCACGAAAGCATACAAGCTGGAAAGTAACGTGTGCAAAAATAACGATAAAAGTATAAACGTGACGTCTCGGTACCGCTAGACAACAAGCTGTGGCTCTTGTCAACGCCCGAAAGCAACAAAGAGATATTCGAGTACTCGAGTAGGGTTCCGCATCGGTAAGAGTGACATCGATATTTGACATCGAAATTAACATCGAAACTTAATATCGATATTCGATAAATATCGATTCTATCTTAACATCGATATTTACTTGACATCGATGTTTTTATTCAAAATTAAATTCTTTTGTCTCTCGCATATTACTGTATATTGTGCAAAATTAATTTCTTTTTATTTAATGCATAAGATTACGATATAATAAAAGAATTATGCAGTAAATGAATTACACAAGCAAATATTGTTAATAGAACATAAAAAATTCGTAGCAACATACACTCATCACAGATTTTTTTATTAAGAAATACAAGCTATATCAACAAGGTAGAGCAAGAGAAAATGAGAATAGACGATATAAATAGGACGTATCTCAATTCTTACGAGTTCCATAAACTCTTATTTACGGATTGTAAAAGTAATATCACAGTTGATTATTTCTTGACCGTAAGGAGAATAATCGACTGTAAATGGTTAATTTTCTCACTGTTTGCATTTTTCTTATTTACTCATAGGTGTTTTCTTTTTAGCTGCAATGTCTGCACTATCTTGCAATTTTTCTCTTCCATTTTCCTTTTTAAACTATTTACTTTTTAAACTAGAACTATTTGTCTTAAAGTTATGATTTTTTTCATAAGCGGGACATATATGTCCTAGAGGTATGAAAGAATTAAATGTGTAAAAACAGAATATCGAAGAAAAACATCGATAAAATATCGATGTATCGTAAAGCGATAATCACACTAGCGATTGCCGATTGGATTGCAATTGCGATTGACGATTGGCGATCACTTTTCAACTAATCAGGACAAAACAGGCACCGATTGAGATTGGTGATTGCCATTTAGACAATGTTCTATTTTAATCACCAATCGCCAATCGCAATCGTAATCCAATCGGCAGTCACTAGTGTGATTACGGCTTAAGGCGTTACATCGATGGCAAAATATCGGAACATCGAAATGTAATCATCTATGATCACTTGACATCGATGTTTTTTGCGGATTCCTATACTCGAGGAGAGCGGGACATGTCTGCTGGAAGTCTGCGCTGTCCTCAGGATGATCCTGAATATGTCCAGGATGTTCTGAGATATTTTCAGGACATGGGAGTTTCTTGAAAGTATCCGAGTATACCCTGGACGCACTCAGGATATGTC